AAAAAAAAAAAAAAAAAAAAAAAAAAAAAAAAAAAAAAAAAAAGAGAGAAAAGATAATAAATAATAATAAAAGACTACTATTTACTAATAACTTTTCTTTAGTTCTAATTCTATAAATTAAAAGAAAGAAAAATAAAAGAAAAGAAGAAAAAAAAGAAAATTAAGAGACCTCTTATTTCTCTAAACTAACTAGAGAGAGCTTTACTTAACCTAATAAAAGAAATCAGCTACTACTAAACTAAATTCTATTATATATTATATTCAGTTAGTTAACTCTTTAATAATATTATAAGAGAGAATAGTAATAGCTGTAGACTTATACTTGGGCTCATCCAGGTCATAGTACCCATAGTGAATATTATAATCCTTGAACTTATACCCAGTATAAGCACCTCCCTACCATCTAGGCAGTTAAATAGTCTGTTGAAATTTTATTTGATTATTATACTTATAGTGATATAGTACAACCAAATTATAAGATATAATTAGGAGGCTGTTGATATAAGAGGAGTATCTAGTATATATCTAATAATATTAGTTTTTTATATAGGAATACTAGGTTATCTTATCTAAGTAATAGTAAGAGCATCAGCTCTTATCTTAAATTCATAATAAGGAAAGCACCAAATATGCTACTAATCCTGAGTATAATAAAGTTAAAGCAAAGTCTTATTTCTATATACTAAAAGTTATACAGTAACCCAATACTCAGGATTACTAGTGCGAGTGTTATAGGTGATTGAATAGTATATAGAAATAAAGAGTAAATTATGATTAGAGGCAGAAGTAGAAGTTTAAAAGAGATTATAGTAAATAGAACTAAGAGAATTATTTAATTAATTAGACTTATTAACTCCAGAACCAGGAAGAGAAGGCATTACGCGGTAGAAGAAAGAGATAATAGTAAATTATATAAATAGAAGAGGAGCAAACTGAGGAGAAAGAAAAGATACTTAAAAAAAAAAAAAAAAAAAAAGAGAGCTGACTTGGGGGGGGGATAGTCTTCTTATATAGTACTTTATATATTCTACACAAAGCTAATGACTAAGCCTAACCATATCCCTAGAACCGGTTGTGCAAGCTGCATGAAGAAAGTTCTATTCACTGGAGAACTGTCGGATTCACTAGATTAAGAGGAATCGTACGACAGAGGGAACAATAGTGAATGAAATAAGCCCTGCCCATACTTATACTGTCTACTAACCAGCTATAACACTGCCTGGGAAGGAAACTAAAGCATAGAACTGTTATTCTGAATCTGCACCACTGATCATACGAATGCGAACCACGAAGAGAGATAAGGAAGAAGAGAGGGGCTTCTATTATAGGACTAAGGCCCTGATATAGAGCTCAGCTTCAGGCACTAGTTAGTGCCTGAGGCCTTGTATACTATATACTAAACTAGCGCTAGCTTAGTTCGCACATATCTGAAAGAATTTTATATAAATAGATAAAATAGCTCTCCAGCTATTTCTTCTTATTTAAAGGCATATTTTAATTAGTATAATCTATTCATCCTATAATAATAAGTAATACTTCTATAATCTAGTATAATTTTAAGTAATTTAGCTAGTTACTTCCTCTCCTGATCTATTATATTATATTGGTCTGATGAATTGTATCTGGAGATATACTAGCTAATCAGAATGCCTACCGGGCCCCATCCTAGGTCTGATGAAGGTTCATCAGACCAACCCTTGTGGATTATATACCAGCCAATCAGAATGCCTACCGGGCCCCATCCTAGGTCTGATGAAGGTCCATCAGACCAACCCTTGTGGATTAGAAGTTGTTTGCAGAGATATACGGGCTCACCGCGCACAACACCAAAACTGTGGATGCCGCGAAGGCCTATGGGGGTCGCTAGCAGCGAAGATCATTCACGAATCATAGATGGTTGTTCATTCTACTAAGTAACCGCGTCGAGATATATCGAGGACGGGGCGTCGCCCAAAAAGGAAAGGGTGACACTCCCCGCCGGTCCCAAGGGAGGCGTAGGCGACAGGGAATAATCATAGATGAATACAGAAAAAGCAACAAACGGAAATCAGTCTCAGATTTCGTTTAGGCGGCGGCGAAGGTATTCCGGCAAGGGCCACTCTTGAATCGGCTTGTTGAGAAAAATGGTGTTGTGGCAGCCAAATATCTATATTTCGGTGGCTTCAAGAAACACGCGGCCTTTATTCGTTTAAATAGCGGAAGTTGGGATGTCCTTGTCATTGAGATAACGCTCTAGTGCCGTCGCCGGTGGGCCCCAAGTATAGGCATCGGGGAGCAGGTCATTGTGTTTACACCTATGACGCAGTAGGAATATTCCTCACTATGTTCATCTATCGTTTTTTTCCTGTACTGTACGCCCTGCTTGCGACCGGCGGGGAGTGTCGCCCTTTCCTTTTTGGGAGACGCCCCGTCCTTGATATATCTCGGCGCGGTTAGTTAGTAGATAATAATGAATAACAACTATCTCTGACCAATATTGATTGTCACTAATAGCGACCTCTGAGGGGCTGCCAATAACACCACTTTAAAAGCATCGGGTCTCCAATGCTTCATCCCCTGTAGAATAGGAGAGTGTTCACACAAGGCTAGGTGCGGAATCATGAAGTTCGCTGGAGAAAGAATATCATCTCTGTATATATTGCTGAAAGAAGAAATTAGCTGGATGCCGGCAATGTATCGCAGATGAGTACGCAAACTTAGTAGTCCCCTGTCGAATGCTGTTTCTCGGGGCAGTGGGACTTTGACTACTAGTCATGCGCAGAAAAGCATTGACGTGGCCGGCTATATAACATTAGCATATAATCATATCAAGCAGCATTTCAGCAGCGTAAGCACCAGAAAAATTTGGACTTTACAGCCACTTCCGTCGGGGAACGGTGGCTGCGACGAGGCATGTTGGAGGAGTCTTTTGCAGTTCAGTCGCGATTAAACCAATTTAAGTCCTTTGCTTGCTTGAACCATCACTTCATCCCGTCACCGTGTGTTTCACCACACCATGACAAAGGATAATCTGATGTTTGATGGACCTGGGTATAGAGAGATGGATATAGAGTGTGACTAAGGCCATCTAGACCGATTTCGCAGTACCGATACAACATCAAAGAAGTATCAGACTGGATTAGAAAGTGGAAACGGGGAAGCAACTGGGCCTCGAGAGGAGAGAGGATGTGGAACTGGAAATTGGTATTGGGTGGGAGTGGAAGAGGAACGGGGTAAGTTAATGGTCAGCCTGGGATTTGCTACATTCACAGAAGGCCCAGGTTGGTTATGGTGAAGTTATAGTATCCGTAGTCATTCACAAAGGATAGAATATCGAAGCTATTGATGAAAAGGCTAAGCTAGTTGGAGCTTGTCAAGGTATGCCTCATTTAGGGTAAGTGAATATACTTACTATATTCACTGCAGGGTATTGTAGACTGCCGGGGTCGGACTATTCAATATAGCTATGAAGCCCTCGTCATGAAGGTCTACATATTAGAACTCGGCACTTTCTACGAATAGCGAACCTTACCAACCCACGGCATAGAGGAAAGCGAAGAGGAACAAGGCTCTGAATGCCACTCGCAAACCCATGGACAATCCTGCCCGATTCCGCATCACAGTTGGGGCACGAGCCCTTCTCACGCGCTCAAGGTCCCGCTTAGTGTCCATTCTCCTGCATGGTCTGCACAGACATCTCCGGGTAGGAGTAGGCCGCCCACGGTACCGTCGATCCCTCCGTGGCGTAGATGTAGACGAGCCACCTCCCTGGGCGACCGCAAAGCCCTGGATGTAGAACACGCGTATGATCCCACCAGCGAGACCCTGCGCTCTGCGCCTCTTGACGCCCAGCCCGAACAGGAATTTGATTTTGAACTGGCCACTGTATGTGTCCAGCAATACAATTACCTTCCGGCCGGTTGCGATTAGTCTCTCCATGGACCGGTGGACCATGGAACGGAGGTCTTGCCTCGCGGGGAGCCGCAGAATCCGGACTTCATGACCTCTGTTGTGGATCATCATCACAAACGAAGCGTAAGAGCTCGGAACGTGCTGGACACCGACGATAAGGACGACGGTGGGGAGGTTGTTATTGATAGGCATGATGAGCGACTTGTGGTTTGAATGGTAGACAATAGAGTGGGTCAAGGGTGTAGGAGACCAAGGATGAGGTTACCTGCTTCTCCAAAGATGTTTGGTGGAAGAGTTGATCTTTATACTGAGGGAATGGGCTGACTATCTCTTTGTTTTTGTTCTCACACATATCACTAAGACCACTTCTTAGGGTAATTTTTCATTTTTAGGTCGATTTTAGGTCGATATATCCCGGTAGAGTATTATAGTGGTATAGCCCGCTAAAATCATGTACATCATTGTTGCTATATATCGCTCTTACCTTGTGAGAATGGAACATCTCTTCTGTGTTTTCCTTCGCACTTTCTACGAACTGAGGGCGCTGAAGCCGAACGATGCGCCTACCGTGTGCTTGCAGGCATGTCATACTACTCCCTCACTTGGTGCTGCTGCCACCGACCGTCGAACCTCGCGAGGTTCACACATACTGGACCAGGGTGGGGAATAGGGGCAGGCAGGAGGTGGTGAGTGACCATTGAATGGACCGAATGGTCACCAAACCCGTTCAGAGGTTACTGTACCTATGATAAGCTGCGAGCAATCATACTAAAAAGTACTACTATTGCTTATACTATATCTATGGAGATGCAGAGATCTTACTAGATATCTGTAAGATCATCAAGTGAAGTATGAGAGTAGGACTCGTAGATTAAGAAGTAATATATTCTCAAGGCAGTAAGATACTCAGCTGACGAAATCTACACCTTATCCTCCTTTCGAATCTACAGTGTCAAATGATGAGCCATATACATAGTAGGAAGGCTGACCTTAACTATCACCTTCCGATGATTACTACAGCAAATGATGAAATCCTGGCAGGGGAGTGTATGCCGATTTGTCCGATCTTGTCCCGAATCATATGCGCCTGCCATCCCCGCCTCGCTCTACTTCGTCCTCACCGTCTTTCGGACGAGCCAATCTGCCTCTTTCTTATCTATCCATTTTCATACTTGAGTATACACTTCTAATAATGGTGATGCCCTCGGAACTCTCTGTTCTTTGTCCGCCAAAGCATGTAATTTCCTCACGACAGACAGGCCGAGCGAAGGTGAACGGTGCGTGCCGGTAGGAAAGTCCAGCGCAAGAGATTCAGTCCCCCGTGAAATTTGCAGGGTCTGAAACTCCAGACATGTTGAGAAGAGCCTAGATTCAACCGGAGTCAATGCTTTGCTGCTTTAGTAAACTCGAGATATCCGCAGCTATACCTTGTCGTGATTAGCAGTTCATTACAAGAAGAACAACGCGCACTTGCGGTCGGCCGATGGCTCATACCTGCATTCATGGGCATGGATATGTCCTGTGTCTGGCGAGACTGTATTTCACCCCACTACTCCAGTGAATGAGCAGCCACTTCCAGATGGATGGGCACTGCTCCTCGAGCTCCTATTATCCGGAGCAACAACAGGCTGATCTACGGAGTACCTGAACAAATATCAATACTACGTCCCCCATTCATCCATGAGCAATACCAAAGCCACATTTGGAAAACTCTCCAGATGCTGCTCGTAGAGAAGGCCTGTACCAAAACTCGCTTCAGCCCTGCGGCGTCAGACTTCGGCTACCATAATTACCCGAATGTAACAACATCCGGCTGGGGTTTAACCGCTACACGGGGGTAGCATCACCGCTAATAGCTTGCGGGCTCAATCAGGATCCGGGAACCGGCTCTGTGCTGAGACTCGGCATTCGTAGTCTGCGGTGCAGTCGCTGTGGGCCTATGCAGGTGTAGGCTAGAGTATGATGCGGAGGCTGGAGGGTGGCGTTACAGCGTCTCGGGGCTACTGCCAATCAGCGATGTCGGAGGGTATAGTCAGTCGACGAAGTTGCCAGCTAGGGCGCCACTGAAGTTCTTGTTTGGCCAAGGATGGTGGTAAGGAGAATAGCGCAACGGAAGAGGCTTCGGGTGGGCGTCAGACAAGCCTCAGCGATCGGGTCATGCCGAACACGACAATGCCGCTTTCTATCGCCAGTCTCCGTCGGGAAGAGTCAAAAACCATCTGGCAGACAACAGAAGTAGCTTCAACGACAAGGCATGATGTTTCTCGAACAGGTGCACCCAAAAGATAGTCATCATCGGGCATCCAGAGAATGAACCTGGCGTGAGTCAAGGCCGGGTCTACCCGAGTCTCGGTTAATTGAAGACGAAGAGGGAAAAACTCCGAGCAGAAATCAACCGACTTGATGGGGAAACCCCATTGAAATCCACTCCCCCGGGCGGGTCTGATTCGTTCCCCAAACCACATCCCCGGACCTCCGCATTCCCTGTTGATGATCCTTACTCCTTGAAGAATCCAATGCAAGTCTCGCACCACCTCGTCTTCCCGGCCGTTTTGCCAGGGTGACGCCATGACGTACCGGCCGATTGTAGCACTCCGGGATGGAGATCGCTTCGGCCTGATTGAGCATCATCGGTATTTAAAGCCCAGTCCGGCCCCGAGTCGGCTCTCCGCATCCCCAACCCATCCCGGTGCACTCACTCCTTCTAGTCCGGCGTGGTTTAATGCCATCATGTTTCGTATTACAAACATCTACGGTACCGCCTCTGATCTTATTTTGACCATCCCCAAGCTGACCCGATCTAGTTCTCGCCGCGTTTGGCACCATCGGTGGTGCATTGTTCGGCTTCGATGTCAGGTAGGCTGGCTGCTACCCCGTCGAGGACCCATAACATCCATTGACCCCTGGATAGTTCCATGAGTGCTTGGATTGGGACCGACCAATATCTCGACTATTTCAATTATCCAGACAGTAATCTGCAAGGAGGGGTAAGTTCCTACCGAAACTGAATCTTGTGGCCACACTGACCGCTTGGGAGATTACTGCATCCATGTCCGCTGGTTCTTTCGCCGGTGCACTTGCGGCGGGTTTCCTTTCCGATCGAATTGGCCGTCGGTATTCCCTCCTTGTCGCCTGCTGTATCTGGATTGTCGGAGCCGCCCTACAGTGTTCTGCGCAGAACGTTGCTCATTTGGTTGTTGGTCGGGTGGTCAGTGGACTAGCTGGTAAGCTATCGGATCTCCCCACGGATGCTTTGTGCTCACCATGTTTAGTTGGTATTACTTCCTCGCAGGTTTGCGTCTACCTCGCTGAGCTGGCCCCTGCCCGGATCCGCGGTCGGATCGTGGGTATCCAACAATGGGCGATTGAATGGGGCATGCTTATTATGTATTTGATCAGCTACGGCTGTGGGCAGGGGATTTCCGGCCCTGCTTCTTTCCGCGTCGCTTGGGGCATTCAAGGAATTCCTGCCTTGATTCTGCTTGCCGCTTTGCCTTTCTTCCCGGAGTCGCCCCGATGGTTGGCCAGCAAGGAACGGTGGGAAGAAGCGTTGGATACCTTGGCTGCGATCCACGCCAAGGGCGACCGCGATGATCCCGTGGTCCAGGCGGAGTACGAGGAAGTGCAAGAGGCGGTGCGGGTGGCCCAGGAGGCCAAGGACGTGTCATTCTTGGCTTTGTTTGGCCCGAAAATCTGGAAGCGGACTTTGTGCGGAGTGAGTGCCCAGGTCTGGCAGCAATTGCTCGGAGGCAACGTGGCTATGTACTATGTAGTCTATGTCTTTGACATGGCTGGAATGGTGAGCTCACCCCGGATCTGAAGGAATGCCAAAAAGCTAACGAGAAACAGAGCGGCAACACTACGCTCTATTCGTCCGCCATTCAATATGTGATCTTCCTCGTGACCACCGGCATCATTCTGCCCTTTATTGACCGGATCGGTCGACGGCCGTTATTGATGACGGGGTCCATCCTGTGCATGGCCCTCCACTTTGCTACGGCAGGCATCATGGCCAGCTACGGCCACCACGTCGATTCTGTGGCTGGAAACTCCAACCTGAAGTGGTCGATTACCGGTGCACCGGGCAAAGGTGTCATCGCGTGCTCCTACATCTTCGTCGGTGTCTACGGTCTCACCTGGGTAAGTCATCAGACAAGTCCGCATGCTGGTCCTCATCTCACGATCAATAGGCTCCTGCAGGATGGATCTACGCCTCGGAGGTGTTCCCGCTCAAGTACCGAGCCAAGGGGGTGGGGTTATCGGCAGCAGGCAACTGGATCTTCAACTTCGCGCTGGCCTACTTTGTGTCGCCGGCGTTCACGAACATCCAGTGGAAGACATACATCATCTTTGGGACGTTCTGCACCGTGATGACCGTGCACATTTTCTTCACCTATCCGGAGACTGCGGGTCGCTCTCTGGAGGACATTGATCTGATGTTTGATGCGAATCTGCCGGCTTGGAAGACGTCGCGGCTGCCCGACCGATTTGGCGAGGAGGTTGAGCACCAGCGACACAAGACTGGGGGGGAGGGGGAGAAGGGTGTGGAGACGGCACATGATGAGATGGTCTGAGTGAGTAGGGGTTCTTTTAAAGCAGGCTACTAGATAAGATCAAATATGCCAGTGTCTAGCGCGAATGGAGTCGCCGTTCGATTTGCTGCCGAGATTCTGTCGACACGCCGACAGTTGACGTAATATTATTATAGTAGTTAGAGAGCAGTCAGCTATCCTAGTTCACTCAATCATCGGCATAGTTAGTTCGAACGATTAATCAGATTTCAGCAAAGCTGTAGCTCGACTTGCTGAAACACAAGCCGTGGTAGGTGTGGGAACTAAGTACAAGGTACAGTATCGTGAGAGTAGAGCAGTTGTTTGACTGCCACGCGTCGATTTGTGGAAAATATTTAGCCTAGCGCGTGTGGCTAAGGCTAAACTCTTTCTGGTCACGGGTGTCGAGCAGGTAGGTTGATGCCCTGATGCCTGAGGCAATATTCCGGCAGCTGGAGGTGGCTGAAGACCTGTGATCCCCCCCGCCCCCCCCCCCAACTCGACAATGAGTGCTCTCTTTCTTTTTACTCACAGTACATGTCAACTTGTTCTCCTGGCCAGATACTATGATCTAGGTGGTGTGCTTACTGTCCTGAGAAATATATCTTCGCAGTCAACAACTGCACCCTGAAGAGAGCATTGAGGTATATAACGCTCGACTTCATTGCTCTACTTCACTTAGAGACTGTATGCAGCGAGAGACCCGGATAGTGATCACAATCAATTGTAGTTAGCATTTACTGTCAGAAGGGGCCGGACCCTTCGACTCACCCAGCAAGGATGATGGTGGGGCCGCCTAAAGAAGTCTTTGAACTCAATTAACCTCGCCCGTGATGTCACTGGCTGGTCATCACTGCAAATTTGAGCTGCAATGGCGAACTCGACGAGGTTCTTCATGATACAATCCATACCCAGTATACTCTCGAGTGACATCCTCTTAACCTATCTGAATGGAGTATTGATTTCTTCAAGTCTTCACCCCTTGCAACCACACAAACTGGACCTCAACTGCTCCCACTTTCCCTCCCCCCGCGCAAGTCCCACATGCCCCACATCTCCCACCCTCGATTCATTCTTAATTCAGCCTTGATCTCATCTTCCAACAGCTTAACTCTGTCTGCGTCCAGAGTCACACTATTCTTACACTGAGCTGAGGTAGCCTCTATCTCTGCTACTGAGCTCGTTGCGTCCTTGCACGCGACTCGATATCGGCCGAATCCGGGTGCTGCCCGGAATCTCAGGCAGCATGTCGCCCACCAGCTCCCCGCAGCCGTCCATCAACGGAGAGAGCGAGGATGCACCGGACTCTGACCTCACGCGCACGGAATCCATGCGCTCCGCCGCGGATCGCTTCAGCCCGATCCATGAGCTGGTCTTCGTGCTGGTCGTGTGTATGGCGCAGTTCATGACGCAGGCCGCGCTGGGCGCCTGTCTGGCCCCGCTGGCCATCATCGGCGACGGGCTCAACATTTCCCAGCCGGGGATCCTCAGCTGGCTGATCGCGGGCTACTCCCTCACCGTCGGCACCTTCATCCTGTTCTTTGGTCGACTTGGTGACCTCTTCGGCTACCGACTCATGTTCATCATCGGGTTTCTCTGGTTCGCGCTCTGGTCGATGGTCGCCGGGGTCAGCGTCTACTCCAACTACATCCTCTTCATCTTCGCGCGAACCCTGCAAGGGCTGGGGCCCGCCATGCTGCTCCCCAACGGGCTGGCCATTCTCGGGGCGACCTACCGCCCCGGCCGGAAGAAGCACATGGTCTTCTCGCTCTTCGGCGCGATGGCGCCCAACGGCAGTGTGATTGCCGCCATCATCGCCGCGGTCTTCGCGCAGCTCGCCTGGTGGCCCTGGATCTGGTGGTCGATGGCGCTCTGGTGCTTCCTCCTCGCCATTCTGGGCATCTACGCCATCCCGCCCACCCCCACCCCCGCGCGCATCCGCACCCTCTCCGCGCGCGAGCTCTGCTCCGAGATGGACCTCCTGGGCGCTACCCTCGGCATCACGGGCCTCGTGCTGGTGAACATCGCCTGGAACCAAGCCCCAGTGGTCGGCTGGTCGCAACCCTACGTCTACAGCCTGCTCCTCGTCGGCCTGCTCATCCTCGCGGGCTTCCTCACCTGGGAAACTCGCTTCGCCCGTCACCCGCTCATTCCCTTCCATGCCCTCACCCCCGACGTCTCCTTCATCCTCGCCTGCGTGGCCTGCGGGTGGGCCAGCTTTGGCATCTGGATTTACTATTTCTGGCGCTTTCTGGAGGACATTCGGGGGATCTCCCCGATCGTGGCCTCCGTGCAGTTCCTCCCCCCCGCGATCACCGGGATTATCGCCGCCTTCTCCACGGGCCATCTGCTGAGCAAACTCCACCCCGGCTGGATTATGGTTATCGCCATGGCGGCGTTCACGCTGGGCAATGTCCTCTCGGCAATCACCCCGGTGCACCAGACCTACTGGGCGCTGTCCTTTGTGACGCTGCTGATCATCCCCTTCGGGATGGATATGTCCTTCCCCGCGGCGACGGTGGTCTTGAGTGATGCAGTCGGCAAAGAGCACCAGGGGGTGGCGGCCTCCTTGGTGTGCACGATTGTGAACTACAGTATCTCGTTGGGACTGGGGTTTGCGGGCACGGTCGAGGTGCATGTGAACCACGGGGCGGAGACCTTCCATGATACGTTGGTCGGGTACCGGGGGGCGTTTTACATGGGGATTGGGTTGGGGGGATTGGGCTTGGTGACGAGTTTGGTTTATGTGGTACATGCGGTGGGGAGGGGGAAGCAGCGGGAGAGAAGGGAGGTGAAGGAGGGGACAGGGGATGCGTAGTATGGTTTGTTTCTATTTGGTGGATTAGAGGGTTATAGAGCATGGATTCAATACGAACCCAACATAGTAGTTACAGAAATCCCCCTCCTGCCCACGAACCAATTACAGATCATAAGTATGCGCCTGCACATTGATCGTCTCCACGGTGAAAGTCTTCGAATCCGACGTCTTCAGCCCTGTGGAGCTAACCTCGTTGGTCGCCAGGGTGCCGGCGAAGGTGCTGTCCGCGGCGTTGAGGATGATGGTTGTGTCGAGGTATTCTGCTTGCGTTAGCTTGGGACATAAAATTGAAGATTGGAGTAGAAGTAAGGGGGGTGTTGCATGGTTCTATCAATCAATTGAAGGATAGCATGGAAAGTGCATCATTCACCCATGAAGGTACGGTACAGCTGGAAAGAAATAAGGCAAGGCAAAGCAAACTTACGGTGCGCGCGCGCAGTGCTCTTGCAAGCATTGTCCTGGCACTCAACAGCCGTACCCCAGCCCTGAGCTTGACCGGAGCCTGTAGGTTGCAGTACATTAGTGCTTGTCTCTCCAGAAAAAAAAAAAAAAAAAAAAAAAAAAAAAAAAAAGGGGACGGGCGTACTGGTCGAAAGAGTCGAGACGACTTTGCCGTTCAGCGAGACGGTCTGGTCGTACTTGGCGGTGGAGTCGTTGTATTTGTCTGGTTCACTCTTCTTAGCCCTGTATCTAGTGAGTAAAGGGGAAGGATGGAGTAGTACGTACATTGCATAGTCACCTTGTCGCCCGCGTTAGCGGGGACCTGTGTTCCACCGAGCTGGGTGTCTGTCCGTTTTTTTAGTATGGCTTATCATATGACAAGGGAGCGAGGGACTTACCCTCGAGGGTACTGGCCCAGATACACCACTGGCCGGATGTACCGCCACAGTTACTGCACAATGCACATTTTAGCAAGACTTTCCAGGTGAGTCCCGGGGGGGATAATCAACTCACGCATTAGGATCGGAAAACGATACCGCAAGCGCCTGGATCAGGTCGCCACCGCTGGTGCCCATGCCAGGCCACAGCGCAAGACGGTCAGCCACGGGGCTGGGAACCTCTGGAAGCACGAGGGTCGTGGTGGCCTCGCGGATCCAGCTTTGCGTAGGGCCCAAACTGAAGTAGGGACCGAAGCCCACGGTCGACTGGGCGTGGGCCAGGCCGAGAACGGCGAGGGCGGCGAGGGCTTCAAGACGGGGCATTGGGAATGTACAGTATGATGAGGAAGCGAGGGGGTACGAGATAGTGAGTTCGAATGGAGAGAGGAGCTGCCGTGGCTTTTTGTGTACGTCGCGGGACAGCCCGGGGGGGAGGTCATATTCATCACGGAGGTGTATCCAGAAAGGCTGTTCGGGATGAATTTGTTTCGTGTTTGTACCAAAGCAGTGCAGAGGATGTTTCAGAGCAAGACCTGCGCCTTACCAGAACCCAGAACACGGCATGTTTTGATGTTAGGGACCGGGAATTGTGGTCTGAGCAACGCTTTAGTGTCACTCCGATACCAAATGCTCCACCCCCGTTTCAAGCTGCCCCTGAGCCGTGAATCACTGCCACTTTGAGCAGGCTGAAGCAATCATGTAAATGGCTGAAAGTATGAGGAACGCAGGAAGAAAGATCGGACAATTGCTCCATGTGAGGTAGAGTGAGGCTAAGTCGCGAATGCTGCGGTTCATAGTATATTATATGTATGTGGTGGAGTAAGGCGAAAGCTTGGCCAGACAAGCCTAACGACCCATAACTACTGTATGACCCTGAGCCCTGAGTATATTATTTATCATAATTGAGCCTAAGTTACCATGTTCATTCAATATGCACCGAAAACACACGCCACGGAAATGGAGTAGTGCAGGCCGATGCCCTTGGGCGATGATCTTCTTGGGGAGCTCGATCCCGACAAGCACCAGAGTTGCCGTAGTGAATCAGCCAAGCCCAGCAGTTCATCCTGCGCAATCTGGCGAAGAGATGCTGTGGGTTGTAATTAGATTAGTTAGAGGTGGTCAATGCTTAATTATCAAATGGACTGAGAGTGGTGGAGATTATGTGATAAGATGCTTTCTCTTGTGGTCCTGCAAGGCCCAGCGTTTTTCCGTGCGTCTAATGCCCTCCAGGCTTTTTTTTTCCCCCTTTGTCTCTTCTCAATCTCCACCTTCTTTTTTCTCGATTTCTGCACCAGGCAAGAGTACCTTCTCAGTGATCGACAGCACAACTTGAGCAGTGGATTGTTGAACCAGGGGATCAATCAAGCATTCGACTCGAAGTGGATCTGGGGAAAATCCGGGGATGAAATGCTACGGCCGGATTCAGCCGGCTGTTGACGCCGCCGGGACCCCGGATTGGGAGCGAGGCTTGGGCAGAAGGCCCAGCCTGCTCCATCCATGCCTCATGCTGCAACCATATTCAATCCATTTCACTCGATTAGTGAGAGACTATCTTCGGGTGCATTGAGGGCAGCAAGAACCACTATTCGCTAACCCGACCACTGCACAAGAAGAGGCAGTCAATTGAGTTGCTACGGCAAGGGGGGTAGCCTCACAGACACTAGTAACAGTATTGGCTTCTACGTGTCACAGTGGCGCTCAGAAGTGCAGGTGCAGTACAGAACGAAGAGTTAAGTACAGGAACGGAATTCATGGATCACTAACCACTTGGGACATATGTCCTAGCCACTGACCATGATTATGATGACCACGTCGGAGTGGTATGCTCGACCGGTGTATTGTGGGTAATGGGATGAGGTACGACCCGGCATTCATGACAGCTTTTACGCCTTGCTTCTTATCCTCTACCCTGTGAGTTGGAGGTAAACCCCTCTGACAGACACCTTCATCACTGGCTGTCCACATCCAACCCCACCGATCGTATCAGTCCGGACTTTACATACCGTCACTCGTGCTACTCTAAGCGCCACATCGGAGTCCGGATGAGGACCGAGAGCGAGGAGATCTCTTGGGCGTCTTAGTCCCTGAGGTAAGCATATCCCCTAATCTCATCAGCCCTGATGGCCTTCTTCTCGGAGGAATTGGGAGAGAGATTCCTGCGATTGAACATTGACATAGGCAGGAGCTACTATTGGTTCCTTCAAAGGACACATCAGTTCATACACGAGACGATGAGTATCAGGGTGAATGTGGGGTGCATGGCAAAAGTCTACTCGGGCCCGACTGTATGAGACAACAACCTCAGGTTGGCACATCCGATCATCAAATAGCGCAGGCGAGTGTCGAACTGTGAGCCTGGTAGCGAAAATTTGAGGAGTCGAGCTGATTTCAAGGATTGTCAGGGTTAGCTTCCGTGGCGAGAGTGGCAGACGAGTGCTGACCGGACCAAGTACGCAAATCCTTCTCCAATCCTACAACAGGGTGATGAGATTCCTTCCCTCTTATCTTGACCCAAATTTAAGCAGGTTCGAAAGCTATTGTCAAAGACAATCGGAAATGCGACCGTAGGAACTTGGATAACTACCGATACGGAGTACCTCGTAGCACTCACTCACCTGTCGCCACGTGAAGCACCATCGAAGCAGGGGATACCAATTAAATAGCAATGGATCTCTGCCACAACCTCATTAAGATCAGTACAGACTGGACTTGTGCTTCACATGCATAACAAAGGGGATAAGACAAGCAATCAAGCCTTTTGTCTCCTTAATCCAACATGTCTCCGGCGATAGCCGGTAGTGTTTATCCGACCTAACGCCATCAGCGATAGATGTTATCGCGCCAATCAAATACTGATCTACTGCAGTGAGTGCTGCAATTGGTCTAGCAGGGCCGCTAGCTGCATCTCGCCCGGACGATAGTCGCAGTCCCAGTGCCTTAGACTCGCCCGGTCAGACTGAGCATGACGTTTGAATCTACTCCCGTAGTAAGCGCTGAATACAGGATCCTCTCCTTACCCGCGCCGGCCCCTTCTGAGGCTGTTGATTCGCGTCAGTAGGGAATAGACTATGCTGTACTCCGCATTGCCGACCTGCTCACTCGGAGATAAGAGATTTTGCTCTTGGAGCTTTGGATGGGTTTTCTTGGGTGCAATTGCTTGGGTGGCATTTGCAGGGCTCCGCCTGTTGTTGGCCTCGACCGACCCCGTTCCATTCCTCGCCTGCAAGGGATCAACTGCGCGCCACCCCAGACGATACTGTACTAGCTGCCCACCACGCGAGCACAACGTGAGCTTGCTTCCTTTGACGGCTGAACTGGCCGCTTCCGGGCGCACAGCCGGGCCGGGCGTGAGGGTCATCTGTCCAACCTGGAGCCGATGTAACATTCCCCGGACGAAACAGCATGGCGACACGAGACGGTCTCATGTGGAGCCGATAACAGCTGCCTCCTGATTGTTCGGTGGCCAAGCCTGACATTAAATGAGTGGCACAGGCCTTACGCCTCCGATAGCGTGCGAGGTCTTCTTATTGGTGAACGTGCAGTGGTTATCAGCGCTACTTCAGCATCATCCCTCCCCTGTCTTCCAGAAGGGTTCGTCGGTCTTGCTCGCAGCGGACAGGCCGAAGGAAGCGAGCTGCGACACAGGCAATCAGACCCGACTGGAGGACGCGATAAGGCTTTCTGCCTGGTAATGCAAATCCTGATAACGAATCCAGGAAGTGGGCTGAGGGACTAGGCTTATCTGTCGGACGTACCTTGCTCTGCCCCTACCTCACCAGATCACTCGGGGCCGGAGGTGCAGGCGGACTGGTGGTTGCACGACATTGGCAGGCAGGGAGTCGTATAATAGCGCAGTTCCCCACTCAAAAGAACGTGGTGTTCCTTCGTCTGCTTGGTTGTTCTCTTCTCTCCTACCTATCTCTCAGTGGTCATTCACCATGGACGCCCACGGTAGCGCACCTGCCTACGAAACCTCCAGTTCGAAGGAGAAGCACCTCGAGCCTCAAGGCGGATGGACATCTTCTGATCTCGACCATGGCGCCGAAACCGATCTGCACCGCTCGTTGTCGACGCGGCATTTGACCATGATTGCCCTCGGCTCCTCCATTGGAATGGGACTGTGGCTGGGGAGCGGCACATCTCTGAGCGACGCCGGACCTGCATCGTTGTTTCTGGGGTACATCTTGAGTGGATCGGTCATCTGGGCCGTCAGTCACTCGATTGGCGAGATGGCGGTCATGTATCCTTTGCCTTCGGCCTTCACGCAGTGGACTTCGATCTTCATTGATAAGTCGATGGCTTTTTCCCTCGGCTGGGCCTACTGGTTCTCCTACTGGATTACTATCGCCAACGAACTGCAGGTATGCTTACTGCATGGGTCATACGATCATCACTGACGGCGAGTGGACAGGGAGTCGTGACGGTGCTGAGCTTCTGGACGACCGCTGTGCCTACTGCCGCCTGGATTAGCATTTTCTGGGTGGTTATCGTCTTGATCAACGTTGTGGCAGTCAAATTCTTCGGCGAGGTTGAGGTCGCTGCCTCGACCATCAAGTTCGGCTGGATCTTTGTGGTGATCATCTCGTGTATTGGTACGTCGGTTGCGAGTCGTCATGGTGGTGAATGCATCAGCGGCTGACATCCTTCTAGTGATCTCTGCTGGTGGAGCTCCGGCAGAGGGACCGATCGGCTTTCGGTATTGGAATGAAGACGCCTTCATCAACGGGTTCAAGGGCTTTCTGTCCGTGATGCCGACCTGCATTTTCGCCATGTCCGGCTCGGAAAACGCGGCGTTGGTGGCCGCTGAGACCGATAATCCCCGCAAGGCCGTTCCTCGCGCCGTCGGGTCCATCTGGATCCGCTTGAGTTTATTCTACGTCCTGGGCAGTCTGATGATTACAATTACCGTCTCTCCGATGGACCCCAATCTGTTCGGTGGCAGCGGAGTCAACGCCTCCCCATTTGTTATCGCCTACCGCAACGCGGGTCTAGCCCCGTTGGCGCATATTATGAACGCCGTCATTTTCATTTCTGTGCTGTCCACGGGGAGTATCTCGGGGTACGCTGGCTCCCGCACTCTGATGGGCTTGACACACCTGAACATGGCCCCTAAGGTTAGTCGTCCTTCCCCCACTTCCAATACCTCCTTTGTGCAAGATCAACCACTGACACAACTCATCTGCTTCCTTAGATCTTTGGCAAAGCCGACAAACAAGGCCGTCCCCTCGCCGGTCTCTTCGTCACCCTCCTCATTGGTGGCGGCCTCTCCTACCTCAACGTCTCCAACTCCGGCGCCACCGTCTTCACCTGGTTCTCGAACCTGACCTCCCTCTTCACGTTGTTCGGATGGGGCACGATCTGTCTCTCGAATTTGCGCATGCGCTACGCCTGGAAAGTGCAGGGGCGCTCGGTCGAGGATCTGCCCTGGCGCTCCTGGGCGTATCCGTATGGCGCGATCTGGGGTCTGTTCTGGTGTGTGATTCTGATCATCGCGGAGTTTTATTTGAGTCTGTGGCCGCTGGGCGGCAGTCCCAACGCGAAGGACTTCTTCGCGAATTATGTTTCCGTGGTGGCGATTGTGGTCTTGTATATTGGGGCGCGGTGTTATTATCGGGGGCCGTGGTGGGTGGATGCCCGGACTATTGATTTGGATGCCCAGAGGCGATTTTACGTCGATGCGCATGATGTGGAGACCAGGCCGGAGCGGAAGGGGCCATTGGGGCTGGTGAGGAAGGCGGCGGATATGGTTTTCGATTGATCGAATCGTCGGGGTGGTTGGGGGTTGTGTACCTAGTATTTTAGTACCTAGTATTTACTTCGTGGGGTCTGGGTCTGTTGTAATCATAGAATAAATTGGGGGTTATTGTTGACCCTATATCCAGGAAGTGTTGTGTATTCATCTCTGTGAGGAGGGGGACTCCAAACAGGATCAGCATAGTGTAGAAACCGTGGACTTGAAACCTGGATCTTTCCTGGTCTCTGGTCTTAAGTATGTAATTCGATGCCCTTTTCATGCCTCTATGCCTTCTTTCATGTGTGTATGGCTGTGTCATGACTGGGAAAATCTAATCATCCACACCTTGTGGTAGTCGCATCGATGACATCTCAACAACAAAACTTCATGTATCTTTCAAACATACTTAAATATAATCACTCCTACACAAGCCCCCCCAAAATTGTTAAAGTCGTGGTAGGGAAGACGTTCCTTATAAGGTCATTATGATCATGAAGTTGTTGATTGTCCCAGGATCCCGAGACGGGACGAACTAAACTGAGATCCGCCAAAGGCGGAACAACAGGGCAGAGTCCTCAAAACCACCAGCAGCCATTACAAAAATACTCATCCACCTCCCTCGCAGCCTGCTCTCCATCACAGCCAGGGCCCCCTAACACAGCCCCCACATACCCATCCGGCCTCACAATCACCACCGCTGACTCCCCCGCATCGGCACTGCCTAGCCACCTCCGCGTGCAGCCCCCCTTCTCCCCGCCCGCCTCATCAAGGTAGACCGTCCACCGACTCTTTTGCAAAATATCCGGCAAATCTTCAATCTCGAAGCTCTGCCGCGGTGCGGTCGTTAGCAAAGCAAACGTCACCACCTGCGAGACGGATGTATATCGTCCATGGCTCAGATAGATATCGTCGGGAGCTTGCTTCCGTTCGTTCTGAGCATAGCTCTCCCCCGCTTGCGAGGTCATTCTGCCCACTACACTCCTCTCGCGCAGGATGGCGGCACAGAATGCGGCGAGGAAGTCGTTGTGTTGCACGTCCGGGACGAGAAGATACAGCCGGAATTGGCCGAGGAGGGGAATGTCCAGTTGGACAGAGACAGGGTTCGCATCGATGTATCGTGTCACGAGACTGGAGGGGAGGCAGGCGCCGGGGTGAATGCTGCCTGTCAGCTTGGTGGCTTCGTGGGTGTGTCCGTTGTGCTGCTTTTCCGTGCGTTCCCAGGGATGGGTGAGTACGCTGTCTGGCGGGTACTCCGCACCAAACCCGGCGATAAAGCGGATATGCTCGTCAAAGTTGCGGGCGAGAGCGGCTTCGCCTTGAGCGAAGGCAGCTACGTGGCTGGCGTCGAAGGCGATGAGGTCGTTGGCGATCTTGCGGCGTTCGCGGGAGTAGCTCGATAGGAGGCAATTCGTGGCGAGACCGCGCGCGTGCAGATTGATCTTCCATGCGAGATTCAGGGAGTCATGCATGCTGGTGTTAGCCCCCTGCGCCGCGAGAGCAGAGTGCACATGGCCGGCCTAGATAGATGATTAGTATATGATGTTTGGGGTCCTGCGAGCCGGGAGGAACACGACATACATCCCCGGCAATGAAGATCCGGTGGTCGGGATCGGAGAAATTGCGCGCCACCCGCTGGTTGACGATGTAGTTGCCAAACCATTCTATCGCCCGGGGAATCAGCCTCGATTCCATTGGACGGATGGTGTTGATGTGGATGGGTATACTATACCGATGCTCTTCCACTCGAGCGGAAACGGCGCCATCGCCGCACGCGCCCGAGCCATCACGTACTCCGGGGTCGCCATCGACTTTGGGACTCGTTCCCCGTGGGTCGCGCTCAACTCGACGTATAACCGCGTCATGTTGCGTTCCCGGGGGATCCAGAGGATCGATCCGGCCGTGTGGGAGCGGACGGCGACTTTGCTCCACAGGTCGGGGAAGGTGGTTTCAATTTCCCCTATCGTCGTTTCCATAGTGTATCAGCAGCCCATCATCAACCACTGTGCCAGCATACAACAGAAACAACATACCATCCAGAACACCCCAACTCGCATTCGTCCTCTCCCCCTCCAACTGCGCATCCGGAATAAAATCCCGGACCTTCGACCGCGCCCCATCGCACCCCACCAGATACTTGGTGTACACGATGCGCTCAGCGCCTGTTTTCACGTCCTTGTATATCACTCGCAAATCGCCCGCTGCCTCCCTCTCCACCGACACGAACTCGCTGTTGCGCGACACAGACCCCCCGCGACTTTGGATGTCTTGGATGAACACCTCCTCGAGCATGCCCTGGTGCGCGAGGAGGATGTAGGGGTCTGGGGCGCCGACGAGGTGGTCCGGGTAGTGAATCTTGCGGCCGGTGCGACGGAGGGGGTGTTCGGGGGTGGAGTCCTACCTCCGGTATGTATGGTCAGTCCATCTGTGGACTTACCGTAGAGGATTGAGAGGAGTGGGCGGGTCATACATACCCAGAAGGCGATGTCGTAGACTTTGGCCCCGTGGCGTAGCAGCGGGTCAGCCAGGCGGAGCTGTTTCAGCGTTTCGATGGTCTTGGGCTGCAGACCATCTGCTTTGCCGGTGGAGGTCTGGTCGGGACGGTCGTCGAGGATGAGAGTCGGGGTGCCATAGCGGAGGAGATTGCATCTGTGGTTCGGTTTCAGTTGTTAGTGAAGCTGTAGCGGCAGCGAGTGGGGGAGGGAGCGGGGAAGGCGGGGAAGAGGGGATTATACGCCAGCATTAAGCCAGAGGGACCAGCCCCGACGATCACGACCGTTGTAGATTCAGGAGGAGTCATTGTCTGGGGGTGTGTGTGTATGTGTGTAATGTGCGATTGGGTTAGTAGGATAATTATTGTCAGAGCTGGAAGAAGATATATGTAATCATTGAATATGAAACTACAACTGCTCGGGAGGAAGACCGACCAACCCACCCCCTCCCCCCACCTTTGTACTTCAAAGTTGCGACCGATAAGCACAGCTTTGCAGGCTACTTCTTGTAGCAGCAGAAGTTATAGTTTATATTGTACTACCACTAGTCACTTACCACTTCGTCACTCCTCCATCCACCACAATGTCCCCCCCCGTCATATACCCACTCGCATCACTGGCCAGAAACACGCACGCCCCCATGATATCCTCCGGCTCGGCTATCCGCCCATTCATCGCATCGCCCTTCCACTCTTCGACCAGGTGGGGGAACTGCCCGAGTGAATATTAGCTCGACTCTGTTATCACGCCGTTTCGCACCTACAGCAGCCGTCATTTCCGTGCGCACATAGCCCGGGGAGATCGAGTTGACACGGATACCCTGCGGAGCTGGTCAGCTTTCCAACCATCACAGAAACACAGTAAGTTTAAGCAAATCCTGACATATTCCGCCAACTCCTTTGCAATCGCCGGACACATCGCCCTCACCGCCCCCTTGGAACCACAATACGCGCTGCACAGCTGCGACCGCACGGCGATGTGGCTGGCCATGCTGGCCACCAGCACAATACTCCCCTTGCTCGTCTTATTGGCGATCATCTGTCTGGCCGCGCGTTGGGCCGTCATGTACACGCCCAACACGTTGACGCCGAGCAGGGCGGCGTGGTCTGCGTAGGTGAAGTCGAGGAAGGGCTGGTGGCGGTTGATGCCTGCGCAGGGCACGCAGATGTCCAGCGCGTTGTCGAAGTCGGTTTGGAAGGCTGCGAAGCCGGCGTCGAGGGAGGGTTCGGAGGAGACGTCCACTCTTGTGGTCTAGTTAGAGTAGGTAGTAGATAATATGGAATGAAGAAGAATACTTGTAGTAGGCAGTCCGCACGCCGCACTCACTCGCGATTGCCTCGAAAGCTGGGTCCGGGGGAATCATGTCGAAGATGGCGACGTTCGCGCCGGCTTCGGCCAGACCGCGCGCGAAGGCCAGGCCGCAGCCGCGGGCTCCGCCGGTTACCAGTGCTGTTCGGCCTTGGAGGGAGAACTAACGGAGTACTTCTGGTCAGCAGGATGATTCTCCAAGGAAGGGGGAAGGAAGAGGATTGACTCACGCGAGACATGATGTGGTGTGTTGTATGATTGATGATCGGGTGTTGTTGAATACTACTTACATTAGTAGTACTTCGTAACTGAAGTGTGACGGGTTATAAATAGCGATAAGATACTGTAAGTTGGAGGCAGCGGGGAGCTTAGCTTCACCCCCATTTTTGTCACTGGCAGCTCCCCTCCCCTCCACTTTCAGGATAGCTGAGTATTTCAACTGACAGTACTTAGCTTATTTATCCACTTCCCCAGAGTGCCACCTGATCTCTTCAATTCGATTCACAAGGAACACAAAACAACACCTACAATATGGCCCCTCCCATCCACATCAAACAACCTCAAACCCGCCCCGAACAATGTCGCCTTAACGTATACCCCTTCCTCCCCCCCCAAGAAACCCTTTTCTCCCCCAATCTCTCTGACCACTGGCTAAAACTAAAGCATACAGATAATAATCATCGGCGCTGGCCTTGCCGGCCTCGGTACCGCGATTGCCTGCGCCCTCGCCGGCCACACCGTTCACATCCTCGAAGCCACATCGTCGATCCGCGAAGTCGGCGCCGGCATCCAAGTCCTCCCCAATAGCGCACGAGTCCTCACCCACTGGGGTCTGTTGGAGAAGCTCACCCCACACATGACAGTTCCCCGCCTCTGCAATTTTCGGGGCTGGAAGGGCGAGGTGATTAGCAGTTTGGATTTCCATGCCTCGGAGGCGCAGTACCCCGGGACGTGGTATCGGGATTTTCATCGCGCGGATTTGCAGCGGTGTTTGCTGGAGCGGGCGGAGGAGCTGGGAGTGCTGATGACGTGTGGGGTTCGGGTTGTGGATGTTGTGCCCTCGGTTGATCCTGAGGGTGCGTCTGGGGGGGCAGGAGATACAGCGACGGCGGTCGCAGCGGACGGGCGGGAATGGAGGGGGGATTTGGTGATCAGCGCGGACGGGGTATTCGGGACCCTGAGCGCGAAGATGCTGCAGCGAGACGACCCCCCGGTCAAAACCGGGGACCTGGCGTATCGTCTGCTACTGGATACGAAGAAGATGTTGCAGGATGAGGAGTTGAGGGATTTCGTCGTCAACCCGCAGGTGAATTATTGGTTGGGGCCGGGGAAACATGCTGGTGCGTTGCCTGCCTGCCTGCCTGCCCCCCGGGATTCGTTCTACTTACTTGGGATTGAAGTGAGTTTCTGACAACCACTGGCAGTGAATTACGTCCTCCGTCAAGGCGAACTCTTCAACATGGTCCTCCTCGTCCCCGATGACATCCCTGAAGAATCCCTCGCCACCACCGTCGAAGGCAACGTCGAGGAAATGTGCGGCTTGTTTGAAGGCTGGGACCCCAAGTGAGTCCAGTGCCCATCCCATTCCAACAATTCACTTCAGTGGTGCTAACAAGCACCCCCCGCAGAATCCAAAAACTCCTCAAACTGTGCCAGTCCGTGCAGAAATGGCGGCTGTGTATCCGCTTCGGGGACTGCGAGTGGGTGCACCCCTCCGGATCGTGGATTATGCTCGGCGATGCAGTGCATGCGACACTACCGTACCTGGCTTCAGGGTATGTATCTCGTGGATAGCCGAAGGGAAATGAGATCCCGAGCTAGGTAAATGACATCGACCAGAAGGCTAATCTCAATCAATCAGGGCCGGCATGGCATTCGAAGACGGCGCCGTCCTCGGAGAATGTCTCTCGCGTCTCCCGTCGGATCCAGCGGTGGATAAATCCTCCCCTGCCTTCCTCGAGGCAAAGCGCCATGCGCTGGCGGTTTTCGAAAAGTGCCGCAAGCAACGAACGAAGATGGTGGTGGAGAGAGGGAATGTGCAGCAGTATCTGTATCACTTGGACGACGGGCCGGAGCAGGAGGAGCGAGACCGCAAAATGCGCATGGTGCCGACCCCCGAGGGGGAGGCGCTGGCGTGGAGAGATCCCGGGTTGGCGCCGAAGTTGCTGGGTTATGACCATATTGCTGATGTGAGTGACCTTTGGACTGGCTGACCGGTTGGATGCAGGACTGACACTGGACCAGGTGGATCGGAATTGGAGTTTGGGTGAGAAGGAGGATGTGAGGGAGGCGAGGCTGTAGGAGGAAGGATGAGATCAGACTGTCTTGTCTTGGCAACCTGTATACAGGATAATATATCAAGCATTTTGGATATGTCAGCCACGTGCTGGACGATGAGAAAGAAGTTATACTGGGGTTGGAGTTGGTAGCTCGATACTTTACTCCACGGGTGACGTAGAAGTTCTTACGCTTTATGTCTGGCCCTGATCTTTAGGTACTGGAGATAGTTTCATATGTAAATAGACCATTGACATCTTAGCCTAAAGGCCTCTCTGGTGGTATGGCTTGTAACTTGAAGGAAAGAATTGTGAAAGATCATTGAAAGCAAATGCTTGGACTGATGGTCAAGTAACTGAGGGGTATTCGGTATCGAAACACCCCGGTTAGAACGGTCGGAGAATGCTCATATATTGCAATGCTAGAATAGTTTAAGCTGAATTCGTTCCTCTGACATCTATATTATATGGATCTGGAACCGAAATTGCAAAGTCAACCCTGATATTATTAGATGCAAGTGAACCAAACATATATGATGGTAGGCCATCCATCAAGGAGACCGTCATACCATAACCGGAAACAAAAAAAAACATAGGAGAGCAATGAGTGACATCGATCAGACAAAGGAAATATAGATAAAGAGTGACCACCCCAGTTCTACTTCACAAGTCGTTCATTCATTCCCCGATCCCTTGTGCCTGACGTGCCTGACGCCAGGCTGCGACGGGTCTCTGTTCTCTCCGACGGTCTCATTCTCTGCTTTAGACGGGGAATTTCACTCCCGTCCGATCGGTAATGCGAGGTTGCGACAGCACTCGAGGTAAAGCTCGAGCCTTCGGGTCCTGGTTAAATCGAAGTCGGTCTCGCTTCAAGCTGAAAAGCTTGACCATAGCCCCCATGGCCTGCTCCTCATTCAGCTGGAGCTTGTCCAGCTCTTTATCTCCCACCCCCTCCAAAGACAGATCCTTGACACACGCGGCCACCATCCACCGGGCCAAAGTTTCAACGTCGCGCGCGTTGCTCCAGCAGGGGAACATCGAGAGGATCTGAATGGCACGTGTGAATTCACGGTGGCTCGGCGTGCGAGGGTCGGTCAGATAGAGTCGAGGCCCGGCAATTTTCTGCTCCGTCAGCCGTCGGTCCAGCAGTCGCAGACACTCTCGGGGAGTCGGATTCCGGAAGATGATCTCTTCCTGAAACAATGCTGCCAGGCGAGGTCGATTAGCCAGCATCTGGTCCATCTCTTGGGCTGGTCCAGCCAGAATCACCACGGTCTGATCCAAATACCGGGGGAGTTGGTAGACGAGCTCATCCACCGCATGCTTCGTAGGCCCCTCGACCTCACCCAGACGATGGGCATCTTCGATGAACAGAACCCGACCGCGACTACGGTCGAGTTGGGCCCCCCGGGCGCGAATCGCAGTTGGGTACATGTGCGGGGCGAGCAAGTCGGCGATCGAACAAGGCACCAGTTCACCATGCGACAACATTCCCATTTTGTAGAACAGGGTGCCAAGCTCACGAGCGACGGTTTTCTTGCCTGTGCCTATGAGACGTGTTAGCACTTTGCACAAATCAACCCGTAGGCGGAAACTTACCCGCCGCGCCCTTGAAGACAAAGCCGCAAGGCATTCGCTTGCTCGGGTTCAGGCCCTGCATCCAGGAGATCTTCATCTCATGGTGATACCTCTTCAGGACAGCGATGATATCGTCGGAAACGATAGATTGACGCAGCTCCTCGCGAAAGTCTAAGGCGGGTGTCCCGCCCACACGCTCGGGGTTGAAGTCCCTTCCCTCGAGAATGCGAGGCATGGGCTCGCCCTTCGCGCCGACGCGTGTCCGACGCTCAAAGTGATACTGCGCTGCGGTGAGAAGATGCTCCACCGCGCGCGCGTGATCGAAGTCCTGGCGCATGCGGGCCGTGTCAAGCATGTCCAGTGCGGCCTGGAAGGCGTCAGGAGTGACGTCCAACTCCTGCTCGCGGAGCTTGCTGTGGAAGAGCTCCTCCAAGTGGTCGCGTGTCAGAGGTGCGAATTGAACAAGCTGCGTGTCCATCGCGCGACTCAGACGCGAATGCGACCCTGTCTGGTGCAGGACGTGACTGACCGCATCGTGCGTGCCCACCACGACCGTGCAATGATTGTCCTGCGGTGCCCAGAGAGTCTCCAAGGCACTGGGGTCCATTACAGGGTGATTCTGAGAAGTCTCCTGCCGGTCAGAGTCGACATCGATAACCAGAACGTTACCGCTGTTACTGTCGACAATGTCGCGGATGCTGTCTGCGTCCAGTTGCGAGATGGCTGACCACGGTTTGACCCGGACTAAACGAGTTAGCAGGCTTATTCTTTGCAGCAGGAAATCCCTGACTTACCCTCTCCGTTCGTCAATAGTCCCAGCTCAAGGAGAATTTGGGCGTACAATCGAACCGCAGTGCTTTTTCCAGTGCCTGGTGGCCCGGCGAAGATGCGGTTCACTCTGAGCGGCAGACGACGCTGGTTGCGAATTTCGCGGTGGTAATTCTCCTCGGCTGTGTCGAACACATCAGCGACCGACATGCGCAGGGAATCCTGGCCAACCAGTTTCTGCATGGCCGCCCATGCTTCGCTGTGGTTGCGTGTCTGCTCGGGTCGTGGACCCAGTAGATCATCCTTTGAAAAGAAGAAATAATCCACCTCATCCATGGCGCTGTCCTGCTGATCGGCAAGACAGTGGGCCTGACGCTGCGCGACCGTCTTGACCAGCTCGCGCACGGCATGGGCGTTGGTGAAGCCCGACATGGCGCGCCCGCGCGCCAATCGTCGAGCCGCAGCCTGGACGTACGGACCCTCAAGGCCACCCTCAACCTGCATGCGACCTTGATATTCCAGCACGATGCGCCGGGCAATAAGCTGAGCGAGGTCGTTGCGATCGAAATCATAGAAACGCAGTGTGCTGCAGATGCGTTGCTGCAGGCGCGGATGGTCGCGCAGGAAGGTCAACAGGGGCGTCTCCTCGCCGGAGAAGATCACCACATTGCGACCTGTCTTGCGCTCAACAGCCTGCAGCAGACTTGGAAGAATCTGCTCCATCACTTGGGACGAGCCAGACTCTCCCAAGGTGTGTGGTTGATCGACGATAAGAACACCGGCTGTATGAGCTGACGAATGCGCGTCCACAAGGCGATCGACGATTTGCTTGACGCCGTCGAGTCCCTGGTTGGCTAGGTCTGTGCCCGTCGTCTCGTAGACAGCCGGCGAGTCACAGATGTCGAGCGCATAGAGCATCTTCGCGTAGATCCGCGCCACCGTGGTTTTGCCTGGTCTCGAGTTAGCGACAATGCGTTGCAGTAAATGGGCCACTCAGCTCACCAGTCCCTGGGTTTCCCACGCAGGCCATGTTGTACCACTCGTTCTTCGGGTCGCGACCGTGTCGCCGACAGATCTGCACCCAGGTCTGAACACCGCGCAACTGGCGCTTAACATTCTCGTGACCGACCAGACTATCCAGCTCGTCCAGGGCCTCCTGTCGCGCGGTCTCTCGATCCTGGTGGTCGCGTTCAGCGCGCTCCTCTGCGGTTTGCTGAGGGTGTTCGACCATGACGGGGGTTTCTGGAGGGGAGGGTGGGAGTTGCGTCTGTGTCGGGGTTGTGGTTTGAATCTGAAGCTGTGGTCGCATCTTCGCCGTCTGTGGAGTTTGTGTTTGGGTCTGCGTCGAGACTGATTGCTGGGGCTTCTTCGACCACAGCGAGAAGGGGAAGAAAGGAAATCGTGATGTCGCCGATGGGCGTGTCATTGAGCAGTCCATGCTGCGCAACGGTTTCAACAATGGTGAGAGCAGCGTCAAAACGATCGGAAGCATATGGTCAAGTAAAAGAATTACAAGTTCGGATCATTCAACAGTTAAGTCAGGTGTGTGTAGGAGAATTGATTGTGGATTGTTGGCCGTCCGATCATGGATATTTAACTGTTAGCGACGTTCGCTGGGCAGCGAAAATCGCCGACGTGAAGCCAGGCAAACCATGATGGTTAGCATTGAGTTAGAGACCTATGACAAGGCGACAGGTAGTGAAGTGAGTGGTTGGACCTTTCTCCGTCGAAGGTCAAAGTGAAGCCATAGATTCACCGCCACTTCAGCCCAATATGGAGAGACACTGAGGAAGGCCATTATGGAGCCACCAACGAATATTGAAGATGATTCAATTCGAGAAGCAACAAAAAGGCCCCTTCTCAGGTTTTCTGAAACACGGGGGATGTGAAACGACAAGGCAGGGGACCAGCAAGACAGCAAGGACCATCAGGCGGCCTGTTGGGGAGACGATGAAGTCTGGCGATGCACCAAAACCGCCGGGCCGCATTAGGCGCATTTGCTGACTTGGCTTGGCTGTGCTGGGCCTATTAAAAGTAAAGCAACCAACCATGGAGGAAAACAATCGCGTGGCATAATCTCACGATACTTACCTTAGTACTACCCTAGTAGTAGGTACCTTAGTACCTGATGTGCATCTCTTACCCCTCCCCCTCATTGACAGCACAGATAAAAGCACTGCCCCCGCCTCATCACCGCTCGCTCGCTCTCAACCATGCTGCCTCGGTTTCTACCATGAACAGCACCACAATAGTGGATCATGGGTTACTAGGTCACGGAGTCGGAATGGCTGCCCCGTACCAGTAGCCTCATGGAGAGTGTCATTGGATGGTTCCTGGATTTAACTGGGGAGCCTGACTTCCGCCCCCGCCATCGCTTCGTCTGGCGACTATCGCGGTTGATTCCGTGCTGGGCGACCGTATTCAGGGCGATTCCAATATCCATCGTAGCGCATCTCTGCTGGCTGTCCTTCTATCTAATTCCAGCTCATGTGAATGCTACCTATTACATACTAGGTACTTCAATTACTGATAGCACTTCGGCTGCCTTGACCGCCTTCGCCGCTGTGGTGATACTAGTACCTAACTAGGAAGCTAACTTACTAGCCTCGATAGCCTCAGGTAGCGAGTTTCACCGCCACTCATCACTCCAGGAACCACCGACTTGACCAAGACGACCATTGATCTCATCCACCTCTTACTCAACCATATGAGTGAAGATCATGCCCAGGACAGATTACTCATCTAAACCAAGTACTATTGTGCTTCCTCAAGGTTGATCGAATACTACTAGTACAGTGCTAGAGACACTCTCACCGCCTCGAATCACTCATGGCAATATATACTGCCGCAGTCCAATCACCACCCACGCTCGGCTCTTTGTACGCTAGTAGCGTTAAATCTTAGAGTCTTAGGTATCTTTCGCAGCGTGTGGGCTTGTTTCCCAGTTTGCTTCATTGCTGAAACATTTGCTCACAGTTGAATTGGATATTCGACGAAAGGAAGACGCAAAGGTCGTGTTTTTCACGAGACCCGGTTAATTCTCAGCTAACAGTGTCAGGGAACGTACATTGCATGAGGTAGATACGATGGTGACTGCATGGTTTTCCTTTCACGGGGCTGAGATTTCTCGCTTTTCTCAGATACGCTAGCGTGTGATTACGCGTGTGATTACAAGGCTCTCTGGCGAGCGTTGTGCAGCAAAGCTCTCATACCAAAACATTGTTTATTCCGAAGTATCTTCGTCTATTGCAGTGAGCGACGCAGCAAATGCATTAACTCGCGAGTTCTATCTAGCTAGGCACGAGATGGAGATGCGACGGGATCGTCTACAACTGCAGACGGTGTCCATGGTACTTCCGCGGCTCAGCAGAGAAACTGCTGATATCATCCAGGGTACGTTTAGGAAAGCCATCAAAAGACCGGGCGTAGGTCGCGATGGAGTGGGCCACAAGCTGAATTCACTGGTCAGTATCAATGCTGCCAATAATTAAGAGGAAGAGACGTACCTTGGTGTTGATCTCCCAAGCTGTGAGGTTGACGTTCGAGACGTCATCCCCAATCTGGTGATAGTTAGGGTCGTACCATTCCCCAGCCCTTCCTCCGAACAAAGCCACCTCTTCCTCGGTCTTGACGCCCTCAGCGCCAGTGGCAATACCACCTCCGGGAATGCCGTTGCGGATGAAAGCATCGTAGTCGCTGCGGCCGTCGAAAGGAATGTAAGTCCAGTTGAGGTCGTGTGCCTCGTAGAAATCAGTGTAGAGATCGCGCAGTTCCTCCGATCCGACCGGATTGACGGCGTTGGTGGCATTGTAGACCTGGTAAGCGAAATTGGGCGACCCCAGCATGTCATAGTCACAGAAAAGACGGATTTTCTGGTTCTCCTCGGAAGTCAGCTGGCTCACGTAGTAGTCACTCCCCAGCAGACCTTCCTCCTCACCCGCCCACCAGGCGAGGCGCACGCAGTTGTTGACGGTAAACTGCGTGAGCTTTGTGGCCAACTCCAGCAAAGTCAAACTGCCGGAGCCATCGTCATTGATTCCCGGACCTTCAGCTACACTGTCACTGTGGCCTCCAACCATGACGCAGTTATCTTGATCTCCCTCAATGGTCTGAGCGATGATGTTTGTGGTCATGATGGTCTCCACGATGCCATCGACATAAGCGATGCCATCCACCTTCTCGCCGTTCTTCAGCTGCTCGAGCACAGGCGCCGCATCGCTGTCCGATATGCCAAAGGTGGCCACGTGATCCGGCGTCGGAGTGCCTAGGGTTCCCGAGAGATCCCCCTGTTCATTATTGTACACCACAGCGGCGATCGCACCCGCTTTACCGGCCAAGTCGGATTTGGTCCCGAAAGGACAAGTTCCTCTCGAAATAAATGCAATGGCACCGGAAAGATTGTCTGGATAGTCCGACGCATCGCATCCGAAATTGGAGACTGCCACAATGGGACCGTAGACAGGCTCTCTGTCCTTGGTAGGGGGCGTCAGCCCCATCGGGGTGGCTGAGGAGGGCACTGTATGGCCGAGGACGAGACGTGACTCGAAAACATTTCCGGTGACGGCAGGAAAGGACTGGTTGGTAATGGTATAGTAGTCGTCGAGCTCGCTGAGAGTTGAGTAGATGTAGTCTAAGGTTCCGAGGTGGCCTAACTGCACGGTCAGGAAGTGACTCATAGGAGGATGGGCGACGACAGTACCTTTGCTGCCAATGACTCGAGTCGGGTGTTGATATTCCTCCTCACCGAGCTTCGCAATCTCGTAAAGCTCCTTGGCTCTCTTGAGCAGGTTCTCTGCCTTGACCTGTTCCTGCAGCAGCTCGGAGCTGATGAGCTGCTTGCTCGAAGTGGAGAGCTCCGACTGGGAAGCTTCGGCGTTGAAGAGGGGCAATTGAAGAGCCCCGACCGGCCCAAGAAGAGCGGGAACAACTGAGAGCTTCATGCTGGAGCTCTAACAGATGCGAGATAGGAGGAACGGATCTATTGAAGCGATGATGTGTGATGGAAGAGGAAGATGAGGAGAAAGGAAGCTGGGGAGGTTGGGGGAGCAAACCAGCCGGGGACGGTCAGCTGATAACAGGCGATAAGATAAGCCGCGTGACCTCCCGATCAGGAATCTGAGGACTTACTATATCTGGACTAGCGCATCACCTCAAGAGTAGGCCAGATGACGTCACACACTACATGGCGATCCTGTGCCCCTGACTGGCAGATACGCCGAATATCCGGGGTCTTTATGCATGCCCTTGTCACAGTGCTAAATTGATCCGAAAATAGTTGATTACCGTCGCACATGTATAAGTCATCTCTAACTACTGTTTTCGGTATTTCCGAATAGAAAGTGGGCAGAATTCTCGCTAGGACTAGAACTGATTATCCGAGAAGCTATTAGATAGGCAGAAGTTGTCTTTGAAGGACCAGACTGAGATACGGTATTGAAGGTGAAAGGCAGTAGACCAAATTGGGAGTATAAGTTTATAACTAGACTATCACGAAACAATCAATGTATTTCATTTTCCAATTGAAGATTGTAGGGAGCGATTTCCCCTGATTTTCGTAGTGCCATTTTCGTTACGCCTTCGTCGTGTTTATCTATTGCATCAACCAGCCATCGCTATGTACTCAATCTTTCTGGGATCCTCGAAACTTCAACCGTGTCATCTCGCTATGTGTCGCTGGTAAGAACTTCGACTCCTAGAGCTCAACGCCAAGGGGATGAGGGCAACAGCTTAGAATATACCCAACCAAGGAAGAGGTGGAGCCCAGCCTCAGGCGAAGATTTCCCCATCTTGACCCGCGCGGGGGAAACCAGTTGCCACTACCTCGTGGTCACTCAGACATTCCGCACCACGGGTTTTTCACTCTGCTCGTGGCTCGTCTGCGACTTCACTTGGTGTGGGCAAAGACTCTCGACCAGGGCCTCTCCTTTTCCTTTTCCTTGCTTTGATGCTTGCTTTCTTGGCTCAATGACTATTCCGTTTCCTTCTCCATTATTAAGTACTTGCTGCTTCCTTTTTGTGCTGTGCTATGCTAGGGCAGCTCTTCGCTACTACTTGCTGCGCAAGGATATTCAGGTAATCAACTATGTAGAAAACTCCCTCAATGACTGGGGCTCAAGGGTGAGGAGTAGCCAGCTCCGAGGGCCGCTTCGCCCCATCCAACTCAGCTGGGACCAGCCCACCACCAGATTGAAATGGTTGCGTATAAACCTGCGCCGTCTGGCGGGGATCGGCCGGCAACTCCACCAGTTTCCTTGCGGTCGCGCGCCTCCGTTCAAACAATGCCCATGCGATCGAGGCCAGAGCCACCACCCCCAGCGAGACTCCTACTCCCGCTCCAATCGCGGTATCATGACCAGAAGCGCCACTCGGACACGAGGCGGTCGAGGTGGCCAGGACTGTGGTGGTCGTATTTGACGAGGAGCAGGTCGTCTTCGCCGTTGCATCGAGAGAGGAGACATTCGCCAGCATCGCATACCCCACCACGGCGTGACCAGTCGGGACTTCAAACGAGCTCGCATTATTGGGACAGACGACTTCATCATCACTATTAGCCACCGGCGTGCCACAGCAATATGTCGAAACGCCATCCGTGTATTCGAGGTTGATGATCGAACAGCCCCCCGTGGGATTATTGTCCTCTGTTTGCATACCATACACAAGCACCGGTCAGAGATGCCCCATACAGCTGGGAGAAGAGAATAAATAGCATACGACAATATTGGGAGCAATTGGAGCCCCACTGTGGATCTGTGCAGGCGCCTCGACTCAAAACGTAGGGTTGATGGGAGACGCTTAGACAGAGCCCGTTGGAAAGACAGAGGTCGTTTTGTCCACAGCAGGAAGTGTACTCGTCAGACGAGCAAGGGACGTTGCTACTCCCAGCGTCCTCGCCGGAGGGGTAGTAGCAGGTCCGCGTGTCGTTAGTCATGGCGGGAGAGGGAATTCATGCAACGGGGGTTTCAATACAAAGTAGGTAGTGAAAGCCACGACCACGCGGAAGGAAGAGGCCGGCGTCTCCTTTTTATCATCGTGCGCATCCTGGATCGGCGCATTCTGAGATGGTCGGCGGAGTGACACTTGCGACTTGGGCCCGAATCTAGCGGGAGGATTGGCCCAATGACATGTGCAGAGTCTTGTACTACGCTATAGTAGTGCTATAGTTGAGCTGTGAAGAATTTTCAGTATACGATTCAAAGGATTCAACTAAGAGAGCTAGTACCGCACTAAAGCCTTAAAGCCTGGTCTAATGTCAGCTAACGGCTGTGTTATTCAGGACTACTGCGTAGTACACCGCCTTGATTAATGAGGGGTGGGGCATCCCTCGAGTTCTGACGGGTCAACCCTTGATACTACCATTGGGGGCCAAAATGGTCCTATTTCCCCAGAGTCCCCCATGGCATTCGCATACGAACTATTCTCCCTTCAATTGCACCACATTCCGTCCGCAGCTCAGCCCTATGTTCCTTGTATGCGTCGGAGTCGACTGTCGCTACCGCCTGGTGGGTCTGCTGATTGTAGATGTGAGTACATGGAGACGGAGGCACCATAATCAATATGAAGTATACGGAGTCAACTGGTTGGATTAGTTAGTTAAGTCGAGATATGCTGAGTCAATCCCCCGCGTTTCTTCTCGTTGCTTCGCGAAGCATTGACAGTCCGCTTGAGTCGTAGACCTGGACCGGTCGATTTTATTACCTCTTGATGTTGATGCCACTTCTGCAACCGAGGGGTATTTCATGCGAAAATCGCCATGCTACACCTCGCGGTTACTCTGTTCTACTCTCGTACTCCCTGGAGGTTCAGAGCCCCTGACCTTCCTTGGCCTGTTTCTGTTTCCATATTTCGAAGATGTCCCTCTGTGGTGACAAGGTCATTGAGAAGGGTGTTTCTAGGCAAAGAATAATAATACACGGACGAACGAAACCGACCTCCTATTCCCCACACGATCACTCACCACACCCACCAAACCTCCGCACAAAATCCACTAACTAACTAGTACACCGGCATCTTGTAAGCAGTCAAATTCCAGAGCATCGCGCTGACCGAGCTCGCATTCTCCTCGCAGACCATCGTGCCGTTATCAGTCCAGTACGGGCGCGCAGGCCAGGTACAAAGCTTCTGCACCTCTCCTTCTAGAGCGCCTGACTGCACTGTCGAGTTGATGGTGATCGGCACGACATCCTCCTCGACCCACTGGATCATATGCTCGAAGTTGTCGCGCGGAAAGCCCGCGTTGGGCTGCTCGTCGTTGATCGCGCAGTGGGCGGCGCCCGGAACGAGGTAGAACCGGTACCACTCGTTGAGTTGGGTGTTGCCCTCCTCGAAGGAGAGGGAAGGGTACATGATCTTGCGGACGGATTCGTGGTAATGGATCGATCCCGTCGGGGGCACGCTCGAGTCGGCTTCGCCGTGGTAGTGCAGGAGGCGGCCGCCCTTGGAGTAGAAGGGGGTGAGGTCCGGAAGCGTGGTTTGCAGGCTGTCCATGTAGAGAGTCATGCCCTCGATCATCCAGGCTTTGAGGTCGTCGTTGGTGACCCCGGTCAGGTCCAACGAGCTCACGTTCTGCCAGTGCAGGAACTTGGTGACCCACTCGCCGTTGGAGTTCGGGTTGGTGATCGTCCAGGATTCGGTGGTGCTGTCCCAGACGGTCGTGTCGCCGAAGCCCGCGGTGGGCTGGAAGGGGAAGTAGACCAGGTCCCCGTTCGAGTCTTTCAGCCCGGTCAGGAGGTCCTGGATCACGGCGATGTCCTGGGCGTTGATCGTGCCGTTCTGCGCGGGCGTGGCGGAGGTGGACTGGCGCTTGCGCTTCTTGCCATATCCCAGTCCCAGACTGGAGGTGGAGCCTGCGGCGCAGGAGTAGGTTTGGCCCAGCATGCTGGAGACGTTGAAGTTGAGGAAGCATAGGTCACTGCGCGCGACCACCCCGTCCACCTTGCCGTCCAGGCCGTCGCACGCGTTGATGGTCGCGTTGATGACGGTGTCGAACACGCACGAGGGGGGGTAGTAGCCCATGGTCTGGATCTGCACCGGGGAGGCGATGTGGTTGACCTGCTGCTGGCCGTAGCGCATGGCGGGGGCGCCGGCTACGATTCCATCGTACAGCTCCGGGGCGCGCTGGGCCTGGCTGATCGCCTCGCGGCCGCCTTCCGAGCAGCCCATGAAGTAGCTGTACAGCTTGGTGGTGTTGGTGGTGGAGGTGCCGAGGGAGAAGAAGTTGCTGGTGAATGCCTTGCCGATCTGCGTCATTTCGGCGATGGCCTGGTATCCCCAATTGTAGATGGCGGGCCAGTTCGCCGTACCGTTGCCCAGCAGCACCACGTCGTCGAAGTCCGTGCCGCCCCAGTAGGGGAATCCGCCGTCCGTGTAACCAGTGGCGGCGCCGTAGGCCACGCCGCCCGCCATGTCGGCGCCCCCGGATCCGTTGTTGATGGTGTAGGCGGCACCGCCCGTGGCGAGGAATCGGTTGGCGAAGACGTCAGGGCTCGGCATCCAGTACTGCACCACCACGCGGTCGTCGCCGTTCTGGTGGTTGTAGGCGAACGAGACTTCGCAGAAGTTGATGGTCATGTCTTCCCAAAACGTGGCGCCGGTCACGGAGTAGTTGCGGTAGATGCTCGCCGTGACGGAGCTGGTGTCGATGGTGATGCCAGAGGGGATGTCATCGCTCGAGGTGGGCAGGACGGAGGTCACGTAGTCAGTGGTGCAGAGACTGCTCAGCGAGGAGGCAGTGGCCACGCCGACCAGCGCCGCAGCAATCACGCTGTACATGTTGATCCAGTTCCGTTTTTATCCTTGGGGTGAGGATTGAAGATTATCTGATTGAGTAGTGATGGGTGTTACTTATACCCTTTCCTGTCGGCAGGATAATCCGGTGCACATACCATGGCACTTGATTGACATACGTACCTCACCTCGGGGACTTACGTATACCTTCCCTGGTCTTCTTCTGCTATGGGTAATATTTTATGTCTATCACAATCGAAACCTTGGTCAGACGATGTCCGGTTTCATGGCCTGGTAGAGTCAACGGCATCATGCTCGGTGGTAACAGACTACCCTATCGTACGTTTAAAAGACCGCATGAACTCCGGTGTCTACCCTTGAAGGCTTGGAAGAACTCATCGCGAACGATGTTCCTTTGAACTCAATAGCTCAATCCATCACTCCCCATCTCATCATCTTCTCTCCAGTCATGACAATGGATGATCATTTTGTCAGACCAGGCAGTTTCACCGCTAATTGGAAGCCAATGCCGGCGAACCCGAGGACGAACCCCCACTGATTGGTGGGTCGGAAATTAGCCTCGCAAGGTCGGGGCTGAATTCCTACTTCGCTCGGGTTCTATCGGGATTCTCGGGGCCGAGTGTGTTTCAGTATGGCCGAAACGGGAGCTCCATGCCGACCTTCGGGTCTATGAAACCGCTGCCCCTGCATCAGTTTGTCCAAATCAGGACTAACCATGCCGGTCAAGCTCTGATGGTCTCGTAACGAGTCTGATGTTCCTGCAGCACCATCCCCCCACCCCTTTCTCCTGGTTCTAAAACATCCACTCTAGAAGATCCAGTATGTGCCGCGGCTGTCTTCGGCTGCGCCATACTGCTTTCGCGCGCAAGCCATCTTCTTAGTGTGCCTTCGCGTCTCCCTCCGGTCAGGGCAGGATTGCATACCCGGCTCTGCCCTATGATCATCTTTCTGGTAGCAAAGCTGTAATTCGCACGATGACGGGCAACGCGGATCCTGCCTGAGTAGATGGAGCGGGTGACGTATTGTACGTTGGGCCCGCGGATCTCCCGTTCTGATCCTCGTCCCTAGTTTGAGCCAGTCTCCGCCCTTGACCAGTTTCAGCGATCCAGCCCATGTACCTCTACAAGACTGTATGTAACCCCAACATCCGCCACAATCCACACTATTCTACTGTTGCAGATACTGCACAAAGACTCAAGAATAGTTCCAGTCCAACTACCCAAAGGCAGTCCAGTCAGTCACCTGCAGACGACAGGTGAGCAGAAAATGCATTAATTCTATGAACAACCCACCAGAAATCACTCCCACGCTAAACGATGCCAAATTGTTGAAAAAAGGGGTATCTCGGGTCGTATCTATCGTCACGAATTATTATAAAACAAATGATAAGAGATGTTCCATATTCCCGCATGGTGAATGCGGGGGGAAAGATCCAGTTGAAGGATCAAGGCGGCCTCGGCCTCTGTCTTGGTGTAGACCTCTCTCTCGGCTTTACGCCTCAGCATCGTCTACATTCTTGGCCGGGATATCCTCCGCGGTGACCTGCACCTCGTGGCTATGTTCCAGGCCGGACAGGACGATCCACGTCGGGATCACGCACAACAGGGTCACACCAAAGTTGAGGCCGATGCTGGCGAAATGGTTGACGTTGCCTTCGGTTTGCATACTATATATCTTTTGGTTAGTATTGAGGGGAGGAGAGGGGATTGGGGCAAAGGAAGGGTGGTGGCGAAACTCACGCCCATGCGACAGTCTGTCCCAGCGCTTCAAATCCACGCAGGATTCCGCAGTGGTAGGACAGACTGGAGATGTCGGTGCTGTACTGCCCGACCAACCAGTACAGGAATTGCTGAAAGGCCTGGCCGCCGAATTGCCAGAAGAAGATCAAGGCGTAGGACTTGCCGAACCCGCCGGTGAACCAGTCGAAGGTGGGGGCCTCGGGCGCGGAGTAGAATTGACTCTGCAGCACGCAGGCCCAGATCCAGGTTCCCGTCAAAATCACGATGATGGAGAGGAAGCCGATCTTGGCGCGCGTCTTGATGTGGATGGATTGGCGGTCGAGGAGCCCCGCGATCAGGAAGGAGGAGGCGATGCCGGCGAAGTTGGTGAAAAACGAAGAGAAGGCCCGCGATCGCACGGTGAAGTAGTCGGTCAGCCAGGTGCTGGAGAAGGCGTTGTAGAAGTAGCTGATGAAGAAGGCGGGCAGCAACAGCAGCACGCGACGCGTCCAGATCAGTTTCACCGCCGCCTTGAACTCGGCCCCCCAGCTCGCTTGCTTGTGCACCACCACCAGCGTGCGGTCTTTGCGCTGCACTTTCTCGGCGGGACTGAGGCAGAGGGCGATCGGGAAGCCCAGGCACATGATCACGATAAAGACGATGTACGTGCCCGCGCTGATCGTGCCCTTGGAGGAGGTTTGCGCGTTGAGGCCCAGACTGATGGCGCCACCCACAATGGGACCGGCTGCTTTGGCGGTTTGCCAGATCGCTGGAGAGAGTCAGTATGCGCTGTCCGATGATGGATCGATGAGAGGGTCAGAACATACCCAGGTAGAATGCACGATCCTGGGGGCTGGGATATCCGATGATGATGGCCGCCTCCGCTGCCCAGAAGAAGCCGGCGGAGATCCCACACAGGGCACTGCCAAACAGCATGAACCAGGTGGTGGGAGCATAGTTATTGGTGTACAGCCCAGCCCCGTAGATCGGATATCCAATCGACCCCAGAACCAACCCCCACCGAAGACCAATGCGGTTGTTGATGGCACCCGCCGCCACACAGACAATGGCGAACAGCCCATACACCAGAGCATTCGCCGCTGACACAGCGTAGGGCTCTGCTGCTCCACCCGCGCCAAGGTTGTTCATCGCATCCCACATGCCCGGCGCCGTGAAGGAGACACCACTGGCGATGGCGATCTGGAAGGGGATGGAGCGGTAGAGGGACTTGACCCCGGAAAAGCGAGACACGCGCTCCATAGCGATGGGCCGCTGTTCCTGGGCGTCCCCCTCGTGGTTGGCAGGTACGGAGGCCATTGCTCTGAGACCGACAGACGACAGGTGACAGGGATTTTGACAGAAAACCAAAAGTGTCAAAATAATAGAAGAGTGCAGGGCAGGGCAGACTATAAAAGGACTTTTACCTAACAAGCGGGGTTGAGTCAATTGCGTGCAATTGCGTGATTGGTGATGTGGCCGCTGAATGGAGATGCCAAGCTTGACTGCGTGATCCAGAACACCTGCAGCCCTAACCCTGATACTACTTGGTAGTGATTCACGATGGACGACGGAAGTCGGTCTTTGCCAGCCAGGGAGTCAGTGACAATCTCTACTAGTCTATACCCCGACCGTCACTACTCGGTAGATGATATGAAGATCCCTGTCCCTGTATCTTTCCGACTGTCTATCAATCTCCGAATCATGAAGGGACAAGAGGCGATTGCCCCGCGGTACAACGTGTGGTGGAGTCGAGAATTTTCTGTCCCTACATATTCTGTATCCGCCCACTCACCCACCAATCGGAGCTCACAACCGCCCAGCACATCCCGCTCCGCTGTAGAAGATTTTTCATTGCAGAACTCTTGATCGAGCTTTATCGCACGTGGTGATAACCAACCGACACAGAACATTGAGACAAACCGTACGGAGTAGACAAACCGAACAAACCCCTCAATCGACCACAAACTGCTATGCCCGGGCGTTTTGGGTTGCGTGTAGGTTTTCAGTACCTCGTAGCCGCGTATCTGCTTCAGGTGGGTGTCGTGTAAGCTGATCCTCTCTCGGTTCCCCGCTTCCACCCATCGATGCATACAACCAAACAACCTGGATGAGAATGCAACCGTAACGAGTCAACGGAAATTGCCCATCATCCGTCCCCCCCAGAATGGGAAGACGGCAACCCAGCTGTCCAGGTCGAGGAGCAGCAAATGTCCGCTCGTTGATTTCGAAGCGCTCTTGACAGCGCCACCACCCAGCATATCAGAATATCCTTGAGATGAATCCGCAGGTCCGCTTGGGACTTTGAAGACACGCCTTCCAATAACAACCGGCATGAACTAGGAGACCGCAGAACTGAGGAGTCGCGCGACAGACCTAAACGTCGATTAGGGCTATGCAACGTATGATGCCTTGCGATATTCGGAGAGAGGGGGCGGAGGCACCAGATGAAATTCTCCCTGCTCCAGGGTGTCAGGCATACGACCGTCAATTGTCCACTCCCAGCCCTTTCCAACGGGAAATGCATCATTTACAGCTGAATCGGGTATGGAAATAAGTCGGTGGTGGAGGATGGATGCACCCGATCGCAGCAGTCCAGGTTCGCCGATTTCGGGACTTTCACACGAGCAACATAGACTTGGAGGTTCTATCGTGCTGGTATCGTTGTTTACTTCAAAAGACAATCCCTTCGTCATAGCCTCGACATATTTCCTTGTGAAATCTGAGTATCGAGCTTGTATACCATGATTGGACTCATATCTTAAGAGTAGGTTACGTTGTGATATTATACAGGATCCTCATCTCGAAGCCAAAAATGACCCTCTGGTCGTATGCCTCCTATCCACCAAGCGTTTTGCTGATTTATATCGTTCTATAGGTGAATCCATCTCCCGATGTCTTCATTTACAGCGCATCATGATGAACAATTCTTATTGCATTATTGAGTTAACCTGATGATGATACTACTGAGGCTAACGTACCTTGATTCCGCTCTAAGAATTGCTGTGATCTTCGCTCGCGACTACGGGTAAGAATTTTCGCAGAGGGATGGTTTATCTTACGTGTCTAAGAGAACCTTTTCCATCTATTGGTGGCCGGCCGCATGATGAATGCGCAACCCACTCTGACTCCCACTACAATCTCTGCTCAGGGACAATTTTGGGAACGTCATTTGGGGCGCCAACAACGGGGAGAGGAGGATAGACTAAACTGAGATGGCAGTGGATCCACTGTCCTTCTGCATCGACCATCTGTGCTCTTCCCCATGGCGGGTGCAAATGAGAAGGAGAATCAGGACAGCTAGACCGACGTCGCATGTTGGGGTCGTGGGATTGCAAATCGGCGAGGACATTTGGAGGAATTTCGAGGGCAGGGAAGAGTGCTACACTAATGTATATGGCAATATTTATACGGAGTCTGGGGCTTGTATTCGTGATCTATGCTTCTCAGCTTGAAGGTCAAAGTAATCTTTGCAAGCTCTTCGCCTATCCTCGGCCCGACTCTTATCGACGAAAAACCGCCGGCGAACGCTGTCGATTTGATCAATCGACTGAAAACTCTATCTTCCGCAATGGAATGACTGCGAGAACGACGTCGACATCCAAGGCACCTCCATTTTGACATGCCAGGAGGTACGCAACGTTCTCGCTGGTGTCGCAATGACCGTGCTAATCCAGATTCCGAGCTCCAGAAACCAGGGCTCAGCAAATCATGATGACAGCGTTCGAAGCATGCGCGCGTGGTGTTCGGCTTGTCAAAAAATCACAACGCATGGGTGTGACCCCAGAGCGCTGAGATCGTCTGCGAGCGAGATGAGAGCAAGGCTAATACACTTTTCGAGGTTGTTAGCGGGAGTAAAGGGCAAACACTGCCGCGTCTCCCGAGTTGTGGCTTCTGTGCCCATCCCACTGTCTAACCTGAAGGAGAAATTTGAGATCAGGTTCAATAGCGATGGTGTGAGTAACCAGACTGACCGAGCTCCTGGAAGCCGGGTGGTGGTAGGTCCACCAGGCCATCGATATCGGGGCCTAGACCCGGACTCAAAGGTAAAGGGGGTCTGTCAGACCGCGTGCCCAATTTTTGCTCGAAGACAAGGCTCATTCGCAGGTGGAATTCAACCATGATGCGGTTGACCAGGACCAATCTGCCCAGCGAAGAATGTGCTGGCAGATTTCTGGGGGTGAGATTGGAAGCTGAGGACGTGGGCTGCGATCTACTGCTGCTGGCATCGCGAAGACGCATAATATCTTGCAGGCCTTTAAGGTGCACGGCACGGGATTCGTGCAAGCCCAGACAGTCATCAACCGAAATCATACAGTAGTTCAGAGGCTGTAAAGCAGAGCATCATCGACTCGCTGATCGGCGATTCTCTGGTGGACGGCCTTCAGCAGGTGCTGCCTATGCCATTGGATTGCGTGATGAGCGGTCCCACTGCCTTTCGTCTGGTACATGATGCACAGGCTCAACGCCGTCTGACTATGCAGGACCTCCTTGTAATCGAAAGTCCATGCGAGAAGATCCCTGGCATAGCTGTTGGCTTCATGTTTGCCCAAACCCCACGACCTGCATCTGCTTGACGTGCAGGGGGTGTGCCACTGGTGGCATCACTGAAACCGTGGAACCAATGCTGAAATTGAGTGGCATGGACCGTCTGGTGGGACCGTGAGTGCCTGATGACACCGGAATGTGCAGCCCCTACTGCAGCCACTTATGTATTAACCTTCCGGCGGGCGTTATGGTCTTTTGTGAAAGATGGATTGTAGGAGATAGACATGACCAAGTATGGGATAGGTTCGTATGATTGGTTCTGAGGACAAACTGCCGGGAATCTCGCTTTGCCCCACGGCACTAACCCTAACCCGATCTGCGACTTCCAACAGCGATAAGATACTGTATACAATAACTTACAAGTCATAGCGCGGAAAAGCCGTAGGATACTTTAGCTGATTTCATTGGATTTTCTAGCATTCCTGACGATATTTGAAAAGCAAAAAGTCTCATCACCGGACTGTTCCGAAAATCATATATCGGGTAAAATTACCTGAAATCCGACTCAGGGGCAGATCGAGCTCTTGTTCCCCCCACATGGCTGCGTCTTTTCCCCCAATAGTTCACATATCACTAGTCTATCCTGGGTTTACTCTCGGCTGTTTTCACTTCATGCTTCGGGACTCATACCTCCACTACTATGTGCCGCGCAATGCCATCGTTCACCTCCCAAAGCATAAATATGACATAGGATCGCCCCCAAACTCCCTGACAAGCAGCAGAGCACCCGTCATTCGTTTGGTTACCCTCCGCTGTTTCCGCTCCTTTGTCCTCATTCCTTCCATCGTCTTTCACTCTTTCACCTTTTCCCACGATGCGCTGGATTCGAGCCGACCTCGGGAGTCTGCTGTTCACCAGCTCCATAGTGAACGTGGCCTATGCGACCGTGACATGTGAGGTGGAAAACACGGTGGGCACCTTTCACAATCCCTCTTTCGAGACGGGAGACTTGACCGACTGGACGGCGTTGCTAGCGACTGGAGCAGCGTCCGCGGGATCGGTGGTGTCTGGAGATGCTGCCTCGGGGGAGTATTACTAGTATGGATGCCTGGCGGCTAAATCTTGGGTTGCTCTAAGAAGGAATCGAGGTAACTGACTGACTGGTTACAGCTCCATTGGCGCGACCACCACCTACACCTATCTCAAACAAACCCTGACCGACCTCGACACCACCCAGCCCCTTGCTATCTCCGTCGACTACCGCCTGGTATACACGACTTCTTCAGCCCTCACATCCCCCTGCTACCTGTACTTTGCGAAAAACTCCTGGGCCTATACGATGGCTATTGGCAGTGGAAGAACGAGTCTTTATCCCTCGGCGTATGGCTCCAGTCCAGCCTGGTCGACCTATTCCCAGACTTTCACGCCTTCGAGTTCTAGCCTGGACATCTACCTCGTCTGGGCTTGCCTGGGGACATATGCCAGATATGACTTCGACAATTTCCAGCCGGGGGAGACGACAGTATGTGCCACTTCGACCCCTACTCCAACTGCAGTCAGCAGTTCCACTGCTGTTGCATCTTCCTCAGTGGTCTTGGCAACATCCATTCCAGTGGCTAGCCCTAGCTCTGCAGTGATCAGCAGTTCTTCACAGACAGTTGCCGGCAGCAGTGCAGCTGTGACCTCGTCAGCCGCAGTTCTTCCTGGCAGTTCTCTCGTCTCCAGTATCTCGGTGGTGTCGAGCAGCCCTCGCGCCAACACTCCCAGCCCTTCTATCGCGGCTTCCACCGCTATCGTCGCATCGCCATCTCATAGTTCAGTCTCATCCAGTGTCCCCATCGCCTCCCAATCTGCTTCGATTGTCCCCAGTCTCCTCTCGCGGCCCGCGTCTTCAATCCCTCTTATCCGCCCGTCGTCAACGTTCCTGATCGTTGCTAGTGCGAGCTCTGTCGGGGTGCCTTCGTTTGGCTCACCACCAGCATCAAGCCATGCAGCCAACCCTTCATCCTCGCCATCGAGCTCTTCTACGTACCCCCTGACGGCATCCTCCAACACCCACACCGCCACCGTGACATCACCTATCAGCATGCCCACCGCAGGGTTGACTACGTCTACTGTTCTGACGACTCGCACCTCGACTGTGACGGCGTGTCCCTCAACCGTGACCGACTGCCCGGCGTCGTCTCGCACCACCTATCTCACCACTGAAACGATCGTGGATTATACCACGATCTGTCCGGTGACCGCGACAGAGACCGCGGGGGCCACTGAGACCACCTCCAGTATCTTCAGCACTCGGACCGCCACGATCACCGGATGCCCTGCGAGCCAACCGAACTGTGCGGCTGCGGCTCAAACCACTTTTGTGACGACCGAAACCGTCCTTGTTTCCACCACCGTGTGCCCTGTCACCGCCGCCTTGGCTACTGCGACGTGGGCTCCAATTCTCACCGAGACCACTTCCAGCATCTTCAGCACGCGCACGGCGACTCTAACCAGATGTCCTTCTGACATGTCCCACTGCGCTGCGACCGACCAAACAACATATACCACCACTGAGACCATCCTGGTCTCCACTACGATTTGCCCGATCACAGCTGCCGAAGCCACCGCGACCGCCGCAGCCACTGAAACCACTTCCAGTATCTTCACCACGCGGACCGCCACCGTGACTGTCTGCCCAGCAGCCGTCACTCAGTGTGCAAAGTCCGACCAACACACCACAGTCACGACCGAGACAGTTCTGCTTTCGACTACTGTCTTCCCGATCGCTCCCTCGGCCGCTCCGACTGCACCGCCCACTCGACCACTGACTTCAGCCGCAACGGAGAATGACGACGTTTCCACCATCTACAGCACTACAACCGTCTGGGTGCCCTGTGCAACCGACGCGTGAAAGTCTTAGCTTGAAACGCCTGTTCGTATGAAATGTATAGAATAGAATCTGTGTAATCTAGAAATTCTCCCTCTTTATCCTTAATCTCATTGGTTACCGGAAATATCTTCTCCTAGCGATCGGGGTCCAGATGAGTTGAGGGATTGGTCAGCAAGCGAGAATAGACGGAGTATATTGACCTCAATCATAAGTGATGCTTAATGTTATTGGTGTAGAAAATTCCCACTGAGCGTCTGAGACATAGGGAACGGCTACCCGTTCACGGTGATGTTGTCATCGGTCAATGTAAGACACGGGTTGAAGTGAAAATGTTACGTCTCCTCAAACAACCACTACTTTGCCGGGCAGCAGGTCGCGGCTAGACTGCTCAGCCGGTATTATACAGTCTTGCTGAGCTCCACCTGCAGAGTTATTTCTTCACAGGTACTCAATACTCGCCCATAAGGAGAGTCGGTGGGTCCACAGATTGATATGTTTTTCAGCCCGGTCAAGCTACATTCCTTGGCTCCACAATTTTTGTGTTCTGTCACCCCCACCTGCATCCGCATCCGCATTGGCATCCGCACCCATCACTTACGCTATGAACACGAGGGCGAAAGCTTGATGCCTAGGTCCGAGATAGCGATTATTATGGTTCCCAATCAAGGTGAGACGTTTATTGCTAGAAATAGCCAACAAGACTTGTTGCACAACTATCTTTGTCAAAAGAATGCGTTTCGCAAACAATTATTGGTCATACATTTGACTGGGATGTTTCTTATCTTCGTTCCGGAGCGGCCAATTCCACGCTTCATGCCTTGTCGCAGGTGACCCTCGATGCAGACCCGCAGGACCTGAGATTTTCTAATACACATTGAGTGAGACTTTCTGGGTCCTGATTGAATCGAATGCCCTTTATCAGAAAGGCGAGGTGGGGCTGCAAGTGCAGTGTCAGGATCAACGGAGACAGGTTAGGGGCACGAATATTGCTGGTGAAACCCAAGCACATCCTCCGTGATAACTTTCCAAGGATTTTCACAAGAGCTGAAAATGATTCTGCTTTGAGGTCATTCGATCAATACAATTTTCTGACTGTGAATCGAGTCTCAGTCTGCCTTGCCGATAAGAATGAATAGGTAATCCGAAAGCAGACTCATTATGTGGATGAATCATCATCTACCTCATTAATCATCCCTTGAAGCCCAATGATACTAATTTGTAACCAATTCATAATCACCTTGCCCAGATGATATATGGTCTTCTGGAAAACGACTTTCCTTCAAGTGCTCTGCGAACCATTCAATCACTTTATAAGTCGGGAGTTCCCTCTTCTCTATATTGATTTCTGTCCAAGCCGAATTCCGCATCTCAAACTATTCCAAGTCCTACCCAGAGTCATGACTTCGTTAAAGTTACCACAATTTAAAGGTTCGACCGTGGAGGTCTCAATACTTCATGCGGGGCAAACCACGGTGCCCACAGCCTACGTCTTCGAAACCCCAATCCCAGGGCATGACTTGCTTGATATTCCTTGTTACAGCTTCCTAATAGAGAACAAGAAGAAGAGTCAAAGGGTCCTTTTCGATCTTGGGATTAGAAAGGATTGGAGGGAGAAGCTACCCCCCACTAGTAAGCAAGTTACCACCCGTGGTCAGCCGTGCTGCAAAAGTAAACGTTACCTTGGATACTGACAGTCACGGTGAAAGTCTTGGACCAAATAAAATCTGCCAAAGCAGTGGTGGAGATTGAGCATGATGTTGCGGATCAACTTCGCAAGGCCAACATCCCTTTGCACTCAATCAACAGTATCATCTGGTCCCATCACCATATGGACCATACTGGGGATCCTTCCATATTTCCTCCGTCCACGGAACTACTCGTCGGCCCTGGATTCCAGCTCGACAAAGCGACTACCCCAGGTTATCCTGATAATATGGATGCTGTCGTCACTAATGATGCCTTCATTGGACGCAACTTGGTGGAAGTGGATTTTAGTGGTGCCATAGACCTCGGGGGCTTTCCAGCCGTCGACTTTTTCCAAGATGGCAGCCTGTACCTGCTGAGGTCGAACGGACATAGTAAGTATGTCAACCTTGTGATGACCGAAATTACTTACATTTTCACAATAGCCCATAACCACATCAGCGCACTGGCTCGAACCTCAGAGAACCATTTTATCCTCCTTGCTGGCGATGTCGCTCATCATCCGGGAGAATACCGCCCATCAGACCACCTCCCACTTCCCACAGAGATCACACCATCGCCGCTTGACAGGGCTACTCACACGGTACCCGCCTGTCCCTCGTCCATCTTCGAAGCTATCTCCCCTGCGAGACTCAAAAGCAAGAATGTCAAAAGCACTCCGTTCTATGAGTTGAACGCCGCAATGAATGAAGATTTAGAGAACGCCAAGGTCTCGCTTGAGAGGATGATTCCCTTCGACGGCTCAGAGAACGTCTTCGTAATCATCGCGCATGATGCCAGTCTTCTGGATGTCTTACCTTTCTTCCCCGAAAGTCTCACGGACTGGGAAGTGAAGGGGTACAAGGTCGCCGGGACTTGGCAATTCTTGAAAGACTTTAATGCAGCAATCGGACAATTTGCATAGCCTTGGAAAAGGATTGCTCCGGGTATTATGACAGTCTTGACTTCAGGAGTCTGAATATCAAAATATGTGTCTGATTTCATATGCTAGAAAGTTTAGTATTACGAGAGGAGGGCATAAAGTAACATCCTAATTTGTGGCGACATAAAGTGTTAGTCAATATATCCCTAGTTCGTTTCCACGAGGCCGTCAAGTTGTATCCTTAACCCAAAGGCAACTTAGTGAAGCAAGTAAAGCCATACTAACTTTTATTCAGACAACAGCCTCTCCGGTAAAAATCTCGAATATTGGTGGGCGGTCCAACATCGACGCCTTCTGAGACTGCTTTTGGAGAAAAACCCTTACCGATTCAGCCGCGGTGACTCATCCTCCCAAGTGGGGTGAGCGCAGCAAAAAATCCAGCTGCGGATGCGGATGCGGAGGCCGATGCTTGTGCTGCTCCGTATAGGTTCAACTGTATAAGCAGTAAAGGCAGCCATGGGACCCACCCGGATATATATCAGTACTTTGATTGCTGGCTCCCTACATGACGTAGTGCTCAGAGATCTTGCTTCTCCTGACGCCCTTATCAGCTCCTCTAATGCAAATAATAAAGTCGAAGGCTGGAATGTATGCGGAGAAGCCAGAGCAGATACGGGCGGATCCACTGAAATGGAGGATTCTAATCCGTAAAAGAATAAACCTGGGACCATCTTAACTCCGCCTGGCCTTAATAAATCATGGCGCAGAAAGTGAATCGCTTTCACTTTAAAAAGAATTGGCCTGAGAGATACTCTCTTACTAACCAGCTCAGGCTACCGGTCATGCAAAAATCACTTGCTGTGCCGTTTTGACCCTGTTAGTCACTGTTAATGATTATTGAAATCACGGGAAATACAAAATAAGCCGTATATACGCTGGTGGCATGCGTCCTAAATCCGCTCTGAACATGGCGTTGCAGTTCATCGGAGTTTGCGGGAATAAACAGCGCCCCCGCCCGAACACAAAGAATATATAATTGTAGGAGTAATATTCGGCTGCCGTGAGAATCTTCAAAATATCAGTGGACGAGAGCGAACCAAGTCCCAACTAAATCCGTCCCAATGACAACATACAAAGCTTTGGTGCTTCATGCTCGCGACGAGCCCCTTGTCTTGGAAGATGTGCCCCGTCCCGCTGCCTCAGCGGGTGAGGCCATCGTTCACATCCTGGCCGCTGATATTGTCCCCTACATGAAAGAGGTCCTCACGAACCAGCGCCCATACCCGCTCATCCTTCCAATGACGCCGGGGAATACAGCCATTGGACGCATCCACGAAGTCGGTCCAGACTCTGTGTTTCTCCAGCCAGGGCAACTTGTTTTCTGCGATATCACCATCCGAGCCCGCGACAATCCCTCTGTGTCCATCCTCTACGGCATCCACGGTGGCGGAACTCCTGCAGCGCAAAAGCTCATGCGCGGAGTCTGGCGGAACTCGACGTATGCGGAGTACGCACGGTTCCCCCTGGAGAATCTATACCCTTTGAACGAGGACCGCCTCATGGCAGGGCTTGGATACAGCATCAATGACCTCTGTCTTTTGCCTGTGTGTCTCGTTCCATTCGGCGGTCTGTGCGAGGTTGATGTTCGGCCCGGCGAGCTCGTCATCATCGGCCCCGCCACCGGCCGGTATGGTGGCGCTGCTGTGAGCGTTGCGCTGGCAATGGGCGCCACTGTCATCGCTACTGGGCGGAATCAGGCTGCATTGCAGAATCTAGAGAAGATCCATGAGACGAGGCGGTTGAAGACAGTTCAGCTCACGGGGCACGGTGAGACTGATACCGAGTCGTTTCGCGCCGCAATTGACAAGCCGGATGGAGCAGATGTGTATCTGGATCTCTCACCACCTGCGGCTCAAGGATCCACGCTGATGGCATGCGGGATTCGGGCGTTGCGTGCGTTCGGCAGATGCATTCTTATGGGTGGAAATGCGGGCAATGTCGATTTCCCTTACCTAGAGCTTATGTTCAAGAGTATTCGGATCCAAGGTCGCTTTATGTACGATCGCCAGCATGTGCAACAGCTGATTCAGATGGCAGAGTCTGGGTTGCTGCCGCTTGGCAGAAAGGCCGGTGTGACTCAGACGGAGGTATTTGGGCTTGAGCAAGCTGACGAGGCATTAGAGGCGGCTTCAAAGCTGAGTGGATGGGGAAGTCATGTGGTCCTGAAGCCTTAGACTTCATCTTTGTCCGCAGACATGAAGAGTGGAATTCCCTGGACGCTTGTAAACGTGGCACCCTTTCTAGGTGCTTGCGTACAAGCCCTGGTCTTTGCTATCCCTACGGCCGTACATAATACAGATGGGACAGGATAATAGTGATAGTATCTCTCATTCAAGTGTGGCAGGCCGAAACTCGTCGGAGCTGTGTCACATGGCCTCTAAGCCATGTGTAGTACGACAGAACACTTTGAATACACGATGGACCATTGACTAATGCCATGAAAACGGAACCTTGACGATAGTAGAGCCAGGCGCGTTGGTGGACCCCTTCAGACGCAGCCGCCCCGGTCAAACAAAGCCAGGAGAATAAAAATGGACTTGCCTCTAGCCATACAGAATCACTGGTCTCTCGCAACACCATGGTAAGCTCTTCGAGCAATCTGCATTGGATAGATGTTGTAATCCGACTCCAATCATTGCCGTCAAGTATAGTGAAAAATAAGATTCCGGTCAGATAGACTGCGCGGACGACGGGCGATTGGTGTTCTTTTGCGCGCATCGACACCGCTGAAGTCTTGGCTGAATCTAGTCCGTTCATATAATGAAGACGTTCGGAGCGCCACCGTTCATAAATGGAGGCGATGAACGTACCATGGGGTTGGCTCTGCGACGTTGTGCTGGAAGACCACATGGTATCATATATATCGTGGATAGCGTCGTGTACGATCTTGGGGAGCCGGTCTTCGCCGTATGCTTTATGAACTTCTGTAATAAGCCTGGAGACGTAGTGTATTGGTGGTCGAGGAGGCCAGTCTGTCCAAGCAAGCGAGGAAAGCTCGAGATCCGAATGGTCAAAGACGATGGTGAAGACCAAGGCACTTCTAGAGAATGCAAAGAATTGACCATTAATTTGAATGCACCGAATTCTGGATCTGATGAGGCTTACAAGGTTATCAGGCCGCATAATAGGCCACTCAATCCTAGGTTTCTACGACCCCCCCTGGTAGCCATCATCTGCATCAGCCCGTTAAGGTGGTTCTGGGACTCGTTCATATCGCCCAAAAGGTACTGTGATCGCAGTTCTCACCTATCAGAAACTACACCTATGCACCAGCAGAGACAAACTTACGGAAAAGAAAGCGAGTGGGATAACCCCAGCAATCGCCCCATCCAGCCCCCTATCAACGCCATGCTGTGACTGGGCGATCCGTTGCCGAACAAGATGCAAGGTCTGGGTTTGATGATAAAGGGTAATTGGGTTGTCACAGTCATTTCGGGCAGCGTCCAGGTGTGCGGAAGCTGCGTACAAAGTGGCGTGGAACATGCATGGGTCTATTAAGCTCTCTCGCACGTAGACCGTTCGCATTTTGTATGCGATACTGTTTGAATCGACGGAGATCTTGGACAAGCCAAAGTCTTGCAAAACTATTATTTGATCATTAACCCAGGGTCCTATATAGCTCCGCGTCAATCTAGTATCGTTCATAGAACCCACATTGTTGCAGTAGAAGCGGCATGTACCATCGTCTCTGAATAGGGTAGCTTGCTGGTGGATCGAGCTCCACGGCAAGGGTCAAAAGCAATTGCGATGGGCTTCTAGGATCCTCGGGAGTTGTACGTTCTTTGGCATTGCCATTCTTGTCAACGGGATCATCGTATGAGCACTTGAGCCCAAGTCTAGACAGCAAGGAGGGTCAGATGGCTAAACACGAATATCTTCAAGGAAGCATAAACCTTTTGCAACGTCCACATGCCGGATGATGCTTGTCGCATTTGCGCTTCCCCTCACGACAAATCTTGCAGACCCTCGGTAGACGCTGTGCTACCGAGCGCCAACCGCAGTCGGAATCGCGATCTTGCGCTAGAGAAACCCTGGGCGCCGGAACAGAAGGCGTGCAGATCTCTGGGAGCAACTCGGACATTTTCTATTTTCTGGGTATTTCAAACCGTTAGAAAACTGATTTCCGCAGATTGCGCACGTCGCTCCGCATTATTTATCAGACGTGCGGGTGCGGGTGCGGGCGCGGGGGCCCACTTGTAGTGGAGTTACAGTACAGTACATACTGTAGCTCGGGCTGACACCCTGGCCCGCTGATCTCCGCAGCTCGGGCGGGCCGGAGTTTGCTGTGTCTTCTCCGGTTAATGCCAGTGTGGCTGCTAGATTAGGAGCACGGCTAAAGAGCGTATGGGACAAACTTGAGTCAACCTTGATTACAAGGGCTGTCGAAATGGGACAAGGTAGGTTCTCCCATTTGAGCCGATTATCTAAAGCCGCAACCAAGGAATGATGATCAATCTTGCTGATGCGTATTGGGAACCTATTTTCTTTCCCTACTTTACAACACATCATCCTCCCACTTGCTATCCCGTCCGGCTCGTGATTATTGACAGGTTTTCAGCTGTGCCGAGGGTAGCGGGGGAGCACCGAACCAACTCCGGGAAATTTGTTAACACTCATTCTTGGCTGACTTTCTAGGAACTTATGTCATCCTCGCAGTGTGCCACAGGGCATATACATATATCATTGCCAAAAGTGCTAGCCATATTTGAACCTTTGTCTGACTCGATCACGACTTTTCGTCGCAGTGAAAATGGCTTTCCCCTACCAACGGAGTTCGTTCACCCCGTTCCGCGGTCGTCGAAGCGCTGTATATAGTACGACCGGCATGATAGCATGTTCACAGCCCCTCGCCGCAAGAGCTGGCCAGCAAATCTTATCAGATGGTGGAAATGCAGCAGTGAGTACTGTTGATTGCTTTGCTGGAATGGATCGTTGACGATTGAAGGATGCGGCTATCGCAGTAGGTATGTTGCAGTCCCGGCCGGCCTGACAGAGAGTTTCCATTGATGTGGCTGCTTTTAGCTGCGAGTTTGAATGTGACTGAGCCCGGATCAACCGGTATTGGTGGCGATATGTTCTGTCTTTTCTACGATAGCAAAACGAGGAAAGTGCACGGTTTGAACGGGTCTGGACGTTCTCCGATGAGTCTTACTCTGGACAAGGCTCGAAAACGGTTGGCAATTCCCCGCAACAAGCCCGGGCAAATCCCACTTAATAGTGTTCTGGCAGTCACAACACCGGGGGCAGCGAGTGGGTGGGTGGATACAGTCGAAAGGTTTGGGAGTGGCAATCTTTCCCTGGCGCAGATTCTCAAGCCTGCAATTTCTCTTGCGGATCAGGGATTTCCTGTTTCTGAGATATCGGCACGTTTGGTATTTGCTGCACAAGCCTTTTATTGGCATAGAAGCTGACAGTCTGCAGTGGCAGGAAAATGAGAAATCGCTCAAAGAGGCTTCGCCAAATTATCGCGAACTGCTCAAGGCCAGTCCTGGCCCAGATGACTCCGTTCGTGCTCCTGTAGCAGGCGAAATCACGACCAACCACGGCCTTGCGCAGACCTTTCGCACACTTGCCTTGCAAGGAAAAGATGGGTTCTATCGAGGCCACGTCGCAGATGCTATTGTGGAAGCGGTCAGGGAGCGAGGTGGATATCTCACTCACGACGACTTATCCCATCATGCAGATGTTGGAAGCACGGCAACTGATCCAATTTCTGTTCGATTCGACAACTCGGTGGAGATCTGGGAGCATCCGCCCAACGGCCAGGGACTTGTTGCGCTCATGGCACTCAAGTTACTCGAGGAGCTGGAACGGACCAACAAGATTCCTCCGTTGTCCGGTCTCGGGCATAACTCTGCGGACTACATACACACCCTGGTGGAAGTCTTGCGCATTTCCTTTGCGGACGCATCCTGGTGGATTGGAGATCCTACCTACTCAGCTACTCCAAATCTGCTATCAGATTCCTACATCAAGGAAAGAGCACGTCACTTCAGCTTGTCCACCCCCTCAGGGATTCTCCTTCACGGCAGTCCTGCCTTGAATTCGTGTGATACGGTATATTTCGCCGTCGTTGATAGCAACGGGAACGCTGCGTCCGTTGTGAACAGCAACTACCATGGCTTCGGGACCGGGATAATCCCACGCGGATGCGGCTTCACTCTGCAGAGCCGCGGTGCGAATTTCTCCTTGTCGCCTGATCACCCCAACGTTCTTGCACCGGGTAAGCGGCCCTACCACACGATCATACCCGCGATAGCCACGAATGCAGACGACCGGACGTTACACACTGTGTTTGGCATCATGGGGGGTTTCATGCAGCCACAGGGACATGTGCAGCTGCTCAAGAATATGCTTGTATTTGGCATGAACTCGCAGCAAGCACTTGATGCACCCAGGGTTTGCATTGGGGCGATGGGGCACGAGAAGCTAGCAGGATTGAAGGAAAGGACGGTCTACGTGGAAGAGGGTGTAGATTCCCACATAGTGGACGAGTTGCGCCGCCGCGGCCATATGGTCGAGGTGGTTTGTGAGTGGGATAGGGAGCTTTTTGGACGAGGGCAGATCATACGGGCGGTCCATGGCGAACAGTCGCAACCAGTCTTGGAAGCCGGGAGTGACTTTAGAGCTGACGGGATGGCTGTTCCTGTATGACTCAATCCCACCGCGCCTGGTACAATGCGCAAGTTACGATACAGCTGGGGTTGATAATTTAGACCTTTGACTGCTCTAGACAGAGTCACAGAGTCGATCCACTCGCATACCATCTGAGGTTAGAGTACCATCTGCTGGGCAAATTCACCCCTTTGTATGCGTCGTCCAGCCTGACGCAATGGAACGAGATTGGCATGCAGTGCGCATAAAGAGGTAAATGCAAAGAGAAAAGAGTAGTGGTTGCATAGACGACAGGATGGACAGGTGCGTGTTTGACTAGGCTCATTGAAGATGTCGTGCCGCGTTGAGAACAGCTTTGCAGCACCAGTAGCAGAGGTCGGCGCAGAATATTAAATAAAACTGTTATGCAGTCCACACAGCGGTCCACTGCTAAGCTGCGGTCTCAGACTGATACAAAAGCTCTACTCCTGGCAACAGTGGGATGTTCAATTGCACGGTGGACATTCTGATGCGGGCAATAGAAGACATCGAAATGAAGATTGTCCAAGATTATGCATATTATCCTGGGGATAGGCATGATAAACTCCAACCAGGATCTATTATATCAAGAGGAGGAGGCTGCAATGTCTCAGGGCTGTAGTTCTCTTACACCTATTCCTCAATGCATGAAAATCCTGTCTGTACTCCAACTAGGGACATGATAGATCATAGATCAAATCCAATACCATCCTTAAGCTACCGCCACAAAGAAATTCGTCTCACCCTCCTTCGCAACCACCGTACTCTTCCGCACCAACTCATCCCCCACCAACAAGCGCAATTTCTCCGCGGTGGCCGGACTATCCAACACCAACTGCCCCTGCACGCCATTCTGCTCCCTCGCACTCCGCAGCGCATCCCTCAACGCAAACAACACCGTTGCGCCCAGAAAAAGCGGCGGCTCACCGATCCCCTTACTCGACTGAATCGAGCGCAAATGCTCCCACGACACCCCCTGCAGGAAACTGACATTGAACACCTGGGGAATATCACTGAACCCCGGGATCTTATAATTCCCCGGCCCGCGCGTCGCCAACAGGCCACTCCTCGTCCACAGACTCTCCTCCATCGTGAACAACCCCTGGCCCTGCACAAACGCCCCCTCGATCTGCCCGTAATCGATCGCCGGATTGATCGACCGCCCGACATCCATCTTGATATCCGTGCGCAACACCGTATGATCGCCGGTCAACAGATCCAGCTCGACCTCCGTACACGCCACTCCCTGCGTGAAATAATAGTACATCGGCTTGACTTTCCCCACATCGTACGTCCCCCACTCGTACCCGATGCGCGGCATCTTCCAGAACCCGCTCGCGGTCAGGTTCACCCGGTCGCGGTACGCTGCGTGGGCGAGCTGCGCCATCGAGGCCCCCACCCCCAGACGCTCGCGGTAGGGTTGGAGGCGGGCGTTGAGCTGGTTGCATGCGTCCTGGATGGCCATACCATTCAGGTCACTGCCGGAGGAGGCAGCGGTGGGGGAGGCGTTGGCCGTCTGGTACGACGAGGTATCCTGTGTGAAGATGCTCTCCAAGGGCACCCCCAACGCCTGCGCGGCGACCTGCGCCATCTTCGTGTACAGACCCTGGCCCATCTCCGTGCCGCCGTGGTTGAGCAAGACCGACCCATCGGTGTAGATCTTCACCGAGGCGGCCGCCTGATTCAAATGCAGGGCGGTGGCGAAGGAAATCCCGAACTTGCTTGGAACGAGACAAATCCCCCGTTTCCGCCAGGGATGCGTCGCATTGAACCGCTCCACCTCGCGCCGGCGCTCATCATACCGGGCCTCCACCCGCACCTGCTCCAAGAGCATCGGTACATGCCAATCCTGATCGATCTGTTGCAGAAACGGGGTGCGCTGCCCAACCGCATACAGATTCCGCCGCCGCAACTCATCCACATCGACCCCCAACCCCTCCGCCACCGCATACATCATACTCTCCGTCACAAACATGCTCTGCGGGGCCCCGAACCCGCGAAACGCCGTGTTACTATGCGTGTTCGTCCGACACACCCACCCCCGGATATGCACATTGGGGATCTCGTAACAGTTATCCAGATGCGTGCAGCAGCGATCCATGACGGCGCCGCTCATATCCAACGACCAACCCGCGTTGTTATAGCAGTCGGCCGACAGGGCGAGGAGTTTGCCGGCGGCATCCACGCCGACGCGCCAGCGACACTGCACGGGATGGCGCTGGCCGGTGGTCATCATGTCCTCGTCGCGGGCCAGCATGGCGCGCACCGGCCGCCGGGTCTTTTGGGCGGCGAGCGCCACGAAGCAGGCCAGCGGCACACTGCGCGATTCTTTGCCGCCGAAGGCGCCGCCCATGCGTTTGACACGCGCGTTGATGCGGGAGGCGGGGATGGAAGTGACTTGGGAGACGAAGTCTTGCGTTTCCATCCTATACCCCCGGGCCCCCCAAGGGTTATTATTAGCCCACTGTCATCTCCAGACAGAGAAAGAAGAAGAATAAGGAGGAGGAGGAGGGGGAAACATACGTATTCTGGGTCGACGACCAAACCTCCAACATCTCATCCTCAGCACTCGGCACCGCCATCGCCGCATTCGTCTCGAGATAAAAATGCTCCTGCCCCCCAACCCGCGTCGTCCCCGAGAACACCCGATAACAGGACGCAAACACCCCCTCCAACTCCTTCCCAATCAAACCCTTCCGCAACTCCTTGCCATGCGGAAAGAAACTCCCCGCCTGAATCGCCTCATCAATCGTCAAAATCACCGGCAGATCTGCGTACTCCACTCGGACCGCCTTCGCAGCCGCCTGCGCCTGCAAGGCCGTCTCGGCGTAGACCATCCCAATCGGCTGGCCGTGCGCATGCACCTCGTTGACCGCGAAGAGGGGCTCGTCGTGCACGACCGAGCCCCACAGGTTTTTTCCCTCGGGGATGGAGGTGTGGTCGATGTAGCCCACCGCCAACCCCGGGGCTAGAGCGGGGGTCCAGTCCACCGACAAAAGCTTGGCGTGGGCGCGCTGCGAGAGGACTAACGCGCCGAAGAGCTGGCGGTGCTGCGGGGGCATGTCGTCGAGGTACTCGGCTTCGCCGGTGGCGTGTTTGAGGCCGGAGAGATGCGGGAGGGCTTTGCCGACGACGCGCTGTTCGTAAGGGTTGGTTTCGTCGCGGGCTCCGGTGGAGATGTGGCGGTGGATTTCGGACGTTAGGTCCTCAGGGATAGAGGCAGGAACTTCTCCAGGGACACCCCCAGGGGCAGCAAGGTTAAACGAAGCGCAAACCTCATGCCAGAAGCGCACGAAGAATGACACGGCCAGCGTGCGCCGGTACGTCGCCATGCCCCCGGGCACGCCAAATACCAAATCAAAGTCGGCCAACAACGCATCGACGGCCGCGTCGAGAACGGCCTGGACGCCCCATTTATTCCCTTGGAGAACAGCCGCGGCGCGCGGGGCGAGGACGGTCGTCGGGGCCATGCCGCCGTAGGCGAGGGCGATCTCCTCCACCATATCATCTGGCGTCAAACGCACGCGGAAGGCGGCGGTGACGATGGCGATGTCGTCGTCTTTGCGCTTGGCCTGTTTGTAGGATTGCGTGAATTCGCGGGCGGTGCTTGGGGCCAGGGGGATGCGGATTTCTGTGATCAGGCTGGCTTTTGGCAGGGCGGTGCGACGGTAGCCCAGGAAGAGGGTCTGCATGGGGTTGGTCTGCTGCGACTCCAGCGTGCGGGTGACGATGGTGGCGTTCACCGCGAGGAGCAGCGGGTTCATGTCGGAGATGGGCGACGCGGTGGCGATGTTGCCGGCCAGCGAGGCGGCGTTGCGGATCTGGCGGCCGGCGAAGTAGCGGAGCACCTTGGTCATGGCGGACAGGGGCGAGCCAGAGCGGCCGAGGGCGGGGGCGAGCCGCTGGCATTCTTCCTCGATGTCGGTGAGGGAGGCGTTGCCGCCGATGACGAGCTGTTTGATGCCACGGTCTTCAATGAGGTGGATCTGAGCGAGCTCTTCGATGTCCCCGATGAAAACGGAGACGTCCACCGCCAGGTTCCTGAAGCGCACGTCGACCTGCACCTCGGAGGCCCCGCCGACCAGCGTCGCCGAGGGACACTGCGCAAGGATTGCGAGGGTCTGTTCGATCGTGACGGGGCGGAGCCAGACGCGCTGTTCGTCGGCGTAGTACAGCAGCTGGGGAACGAACCGCGCCAGCGCGGGGGGGTATATCAGCTCGGTGTGGGGGAGATATGGGATGAAGTCGAACTGGGGGATGGGCTTTTCATCGGGGGTCGTCAATGCGGAGCTTTCTCCTTCAACGCCAGAGCCAGACGAACCCGACGAACCAGCCCGGCCTGAAGAGGCCCTCTCCGAGTCCGAGCAAGGAGACCCAGACCCATCCCGACAACACCCCCCGGCCCTCCCGCACGACCCGGACAGAAGCGGTAGCTCAACAGGAGCATCATCATCTTCACCACTCTCCCCCCTCCCCAGCAAACGATCTCCAGAACTATCCCCAGAAAGCACACCCACCCTCCCCTTCAAATCCTCCCGCACAAACGTCTTCGCCGCCTGCAGAATCGGCTTATACCCGGTACACCGACACAGGTTGCCATCGAGATGGCCCTTCATCTCGATATCGTCTTCGGAGAGGGTGAAGGTCTGGGTGCGGGGGTCGTAGGCGTTACGGATGAGGGCGTAGAGGGACATGACGATACCGGGGGTGCAAAAGCCGCATCTACCCAGCTTAGCATTTCCCAAAGGGGTAGTTTGGGGGGGGGGGGGGATATACTGACTGCGATCCATGCAATTTCGCCATGCGCTCCTGCAGAGGATGCGGGTGGTCGATAGTACCGAGGCCTTCAATGGTGATGACGTGTTTTCCTACCACTGCACCCTTGAATATTAGTATGTGGTAGGGAATGCATCACACACAGAGTCATGATGTCTATTCCCCAGCAATCTGTGATCTCAGCAGTGATAGATACCCCTCCCTAGCACTACCACCACCATCTTCTCCCCCACAATCCCACGTAAGCCCCCCTTCCCTATCCCCTATCCAACAGAAAAAGTACTCACCCCCAACAAGCGGATACAAACAAGCGTTCACGGCACGATGCACCATCCGTCTCGTGCGATGATGTCGAAACTGCAGAACGACGGTGCAGGCCCCGCAGCCGCCCTCGCCACAGCCGAGTTTCGTGCCTTTCAACCCATCCTGCGCGCGGATAAAGTCCAGCAGCGTCCATTGCGGGTGAGGGCTGTGCAGGGAGATCGGGGTGCCATTCAAGTAGAAGGTCAGGAGGGAGGTGGCATGTTCGGTGGCGAGGTAGTCGTGGAGAGGATTGTTGGGATTCATCTTCGGGTACTAAGTTATTGGCATTCCCTGGGGTATCAGGCATACAATCAAAATCAGAATAAGTAAATAGTGAATACAGGTCGACAGTACGACTGTGAAAAAGGGTATACTGTTCACAGCAAAGATGGATTAAATCAAGGTATACAATTGCCACAAACAGTGGAATGAAGAGGAGTAGATTCCATGGAGGCTGGAGCTGAGCTGGAGCTGAGCTGGAGATGAGTTGGAGATGAGTTGAGTTGCGGGGGAAAAGCAAAAGACACACACACACACACGTGACGCCTGAGTCCCAATCAACGTCCACCAAATACGAAGCAGGAATGTATGATGCCCAAAGACGTGCAGTGAATTTGATAGCTGCATTCCATGCCACTGGCAGGAGTTATGTTACAGGTTACCTCATCATGCATAACCCCCGCTCGCTACTTCAAAGGGTGGGAGAACGGATGGAAGCCAGGGGTGCAAGAGTGGGGGAGCAATGGATCAGTACAGTAACAGCTGGTGATTGATAGCTGATCTGTACGGGGTAGTAGTAGGATAGGGCTAATTGAGAAGCGCAGCGTCAGAGCAGATAGTCGATCACTTCACTTGATAGCCAGGTCCGATAACTAGGTACAGATAGCTTCATAGACAAGAGTCCGGACTTCCACTGCAAGAGGCTACGACCCCTCCAACCCCATCAGCACCTTCATCGCCTCATGCACCACCGTCCATCGAATTGTGGCCAATTGCTGCGCCATCGCCCGCACCAGCCCGCGCATCTCATACACGTATCTCGGGGCCTCCAGGATCCTCTCCTCCCCAGTCAATCGGACCAACAAACTCGGCAGATCCAGACTCAACCGTCCATCCCGAATGCCCCCCACCCCACCCCCATGCACTGCCCAACACACCAAGGTCCCTAAATACAAACACCAGGGGAAATGAAATGCATCCATCGCCTCCCCCGCCCCGTGGTGCCTCGCCGCCACCGCCTCACGAATCATCCACGCCGCCTGCTTGGCCGCCTGCAACGCACTCTCCGACCGCACCCATCCGGCCAACCCCCGACTCGACCGCTCACGATCCGTCTGGGTGACACTCCGCCCCAGAATCCCGGTGGCGCCTGCGCCGATCTGCAGATCGAGGACTTCCACCTGCAGCGCCAGCTGGGCGGCACGATACAGCACCAGCGCCGCTGCACCCTTCAACCCCTCCCGCTCCCTCTCCCTCGCCTCGACCCCGGCATGCCCCTCCCCCAAGCTAACCGCCAAAGCATCCGCATCGAAATCCGCCTTCCAACGCTCATACGACCGGCCCATCCGCCGCTTCCAACTTCCCACCCGCTCTGGATCCACCCCCTGCAAGGTCGTCTGATCCCTGCGCTTCAAATCCGCACACACAGACATGAGCCCATGCAAGACGACCAGCCTCGCCAGTGGATTCAACCGGACGCGGGGCCCCGGCGCGGGGGAGATGTACCCTTTGAGGACAGCCAGGAACCCCGTCTCGGCATCCTCCTCCAGCCCCGCAGACCGGGTGCCCCACCGCCCCCACTCCTCCGCCGTGCCCGCCTCCCACAGCGCGGAGGCACACGGCAACGACGACCGGATCTCGAAGGCGGACATACACAAACTCTGCGAGAAGAGGACCGCGTGCTGCACGTCCCACATGAAGCAGTGCATCGCGAGACGTTTGCGTTGTTCGCGGTCCATGGCTTGGTGCCATCGTTCGGTTAATCCATCCCGCGGATCCCCCCATCCAGTGGGATCCGTCCCCGGGGGGGTGTGGATAGTCAGACAGGTACTGCGGCGAATGAGTTTGATTAGCACACAATGAAACAACTGCGCGCGCTCTCGCTGCTTCGGTCCCGCCCGCATCTTCCCGAAGCAGTCGATGAGCAACATCGCCTGCAGCACCCACAGCGGGGGCTGCGGGGAAAACGCCGCGTGGCAGAACAGCTGGCCCCGCAGGGAATCATGGATGCCGACGGCCAGTTGGTGGGCCGAGCGGGAGCTGTACGTCGCCCCCATGGAGAGGATCGCCCCCAGGAGGATCGGGTCGACGGTGTCGGGCGTGAAGGTGGGGGCGTGGATGAGGGGGTAGGTGATGTTGAAGCGTGTGAAGAAGAGGTGGCTGTAGGTTTGCAGCGCCGATAACGAGAGTAAGGGGGAGTCGAGGGGGGTGGGTTGGCCGTCGAGGCCGGAGGGGGGGTTGCGCGCGATCAGTGCCAGGAAACCTTGGCGGGATGCCTCTGTCAGGGTTGGGGGGTGCGGTGGGTGGTTGGTGCTGGTGCTGGTGGTGCTGGGGTCGAGTTCGCAGAGCCAGTCAAGGTGCTCGGGGGTGCGCTCGACGAACGAGGCGGCTTGGAGCAGGACCGATGGGTTGGGATTGGGGTCGGGGTCTTCGGTCCATAGCAGGTCGGGTTCGAGGGGGAGGTCGAGAGAGGAGAAGGCGTCGTCGAGAGTGGCGACGTCGAACAGCCAGTTGTAGTTGTGCGTCGCGGCGAAAGGCATATTGAAATCGGTCGCTGCCATCGAGGATTTGAGTTAGCAGTTAGCATTGCGCGGCTCCGTCCCCAGACCCAGACGCACGCACCAGTGTCGAGATTGAAGAAATCCTCAATGCCCCCATCCCCCAAGCGCCAGGACCCATCCGCCGCATCGAACTGCCCCGGTATGGGCTCCACGTACGGCTCGAACGGCCCATTGGGGAGCAGCGGAGCCAGCAGGGGATCGGGATCCTCTAGCGACAGGGTCGTAGGATCGCTCGTCGAGCGCGGCGGCGAGACCGGCGCCCCGGGAATCGGCTCTGCGTCCTGTGAGCTGGTGACAGACTGCGCGCACGAGGCCAGTGAGGTCTCGCGGGAGCCAGATGCAGACGCGTCCTGGTGGTGGCCGGGAGGCGCCCCTCGCAGCGGTCGCTTCGGGGGTCGCACGACGATACTCCCATTGTCCGCTCGACGCGTCCGTTTGCGCGTCTCCAACACCCCCAGTCCCGGACCCCCCGCCTCCTCATCGCGTTTGGCATGACGCAGAAGATGACGACTGAGGAGATCGGGCCGGTGGAAGTGCACGGAGCATCGCTCGCAGACGTAGCCCTGGCGGGCCTGCTCGTGGTTCAGCGCATGGCGACGCAGGTGTTCGGCTCGCGTGAAACTCTTGCCGCAGGAGGGCCAGTCGCAGACGTGGGAGGACTTCATGAAGGGGGGGTTTCATTACTCATGAGACAAAAAGTGATTCCAAGATAGAAGCATCCCCTCCCCTGCCCCCAACTTTGGGATTGATTAAATACTGCAGTGCAGTAGTGATGGTGGATGTGCATGCATTGATATCAAAGCGGGGGAAAGAGGAGGGAGGGCCGGACGGGACGGGAGGGGGTGACGCTCCACTGGCAACTCCCCAAATCCCAGCCAACCGGAAGGATCTCCCGCTTATCAGCAACTCCAATGTATTGTATTGTAGTGTATTGTATTGTACTGCGTACGTCCTTATCATCTTGATACCAGGTAGTTTAGCGACTAAATTAACTACCTAGTATAGTAATGACTAGGTAGGTAACTAACTACTAGTACCTTAATCACCAGGCGACTTTATCTAACTAGGTACTCCGTAAGTTATCTACTAACTACTGACTAACTACCAACTCCTCTCCTACAAAAAATAACGCCATTCTGGACTCTGCTCCCCCTCGGCCAAATACCGAGTCGCCACGGCGTCTGCGTTCCGTCGCACTCCCTGGCGTCGGTCACGTCGCCGATTTTCCACCCGGAAGTACACGCTCAACCCGGTGATCACCACGATGGCCACCCCGTTACAGCAGCAGGTGGCCACCAGCGTGGGAAGATATCTATACTCATGACGATGGTTAATCACGAATCCTTGCTCTGAGCAATCCGCAGGACCTACTTGGGGGCGTATTCCGTCCGAAACGTCGCCGCGCTAAGCACGCCGGCCAGATTTCCCAGTCCCACCAAGAACCCCGTGTTGGCGGCGCGGGAGCTTTCGTGCACGTTATTATTGTTGTGCCAGGCATGCACCAGACACGAGGGGATGTACGCCCCGGCTGCCAGGAGGAAGCAGGCGAAGTAGGCGACGCCTTTGTGGGCCAGCACGTCGATCGTCGCCAGGATGACCATGCCGATCAGGGACAACACCAGCGCGAAGACGGTGTGGAAGCCGCGCTCGCGCCAGTAGTCAGACGACCAGGCCACGCAGAGGAGCACCACGGCGCCGACGAGGTTCGGGGCAACCGTCCACAGGTTCGTCTTGACGGTCGAGTAGCCGAGACGTCCGACGATCTGGCTCATTAGCATAGCACCATCCCCCGGGACTTCATGGCGGTGGTCGTACCAGTGGGAAGAAGTTCATGGCGGTTGCGTACGCAACCGGATACGTGAAGGAGATCACCCCCCAGACCAGAAACTTCCAGTCGCTCCACATCTGAAAGGCCGTCGGGACATCCAGCCCCGTCGCCACCGCGGCCGAGGTGTCGCGCAGGGCCCGCGCGCTTGCTGCGGCGCGTTCTCGCTCCGACAGGAACCAGGCGGTTTGCGGCCCGTCCGGCAGACAGAAGAAGGCGACAATCCCCATCAGAAAGGTCATGCTTCCTTCCAGAATGAACAGCCACTGCCAGCCCTTGACGGCGGGGTCGTGGATCTGAAACACTCCGAAGGAGATGAGGCCACTAAAGGCGGAGGCGAGGACGGCGAAACATTGAACGATGGCCAGACGAAAGCCCATCTCGCCGCGCGTGTAGAACAGCGTCAAGTAGAAGGTGGCCCCGGCGAAGAAGCCGGCCTCGAACACCCTGACCGATCAGCCGGAGCTCGATTGGTGTCGGGACAGCCACTTACCCCAGGATCATCCGCACCGCGACCATGCTGCCGAAGTTGTGTACAGCGCACTGGCATAGCGCGAGAATCCCCCAAACGACCGTCACTGTCGAGTCAGCTGGGCTCACTCGTTGTTGTCGGCGAGAGACCTACTGAATGAGAGCGTCATGCGCCCGGAGTAACGCTGCAGCAGGAGGTTCCAGGGCAGATCGCACAGCCCGAAGGGGATGTAGAAGAGGAGGACGAGCAGCGAGTAGTCATTGCCCTTCAGATGAATATCCCCGTCGAGTCCGTCGGTCTTAGCGTTGGCCAGATTGCTCTGCTGCTGTCAGACACGCCTCCAGTGCTTGAATATCTGTGGGAGCTAACCCTATCCATGCAGTCGAAGAAATACATCTATCAACTGGAAGTCAGTTCCTGCAACAACCTAGCTGAGAGGGGGATACTCACCAGACACAGCAAAGGCAGCACAAACAAGTCCACCTTTCGCACCACCGCTTTCTCCGCTTCATGATCGATGTAGACATCGTTCTCGTCGGTCTTCATCTCGGACGCTGCAGGCGACACTGCTTTCTCGGCCTGGGAGACGGACGTCATGATGGACAGAGTTGTCTGCCCCCTACCTTAGCCATACTGACGGGGACGAGAGGATATATCCCTTAGGTAGTGGAATCCCTTGCGTCTCTGCGGTGTAACCCCCAGCCAGGTTGCCAATCAGGACTACCTTATCCACGATCCAGTTGTTCCCCGCGTGCAGGTTTATCAGTCTTATCGTGAAGTCCGGCCTGCCTGCCCCATCTTCGGTCCCCCACTCTTGATGCTCCATAGGCCCCATGTCGGCCTTCATTCCGAGGAACATCCCCCGAGAATGACCCCTCAATGGAGCGATAAAGCCTCCGATAAAGGAATATAATTCAGCTGCACGATGGCAACCCCTCACTCTCTACACAGTCACCCCAGCAGCTCAGTCAGCAAGATGTCACCCTCCGCGCCTCCCGTTCTCGATTTCTCCGTCTTCTACGGAAGCGACACCGCGGCCAAAGCCGACTTGGTCGATCGGATCCGCGAATGCTGCTTGTACAATGGCTTCTTTCAGATCACTGGCCACCGCGTGCCGCGCGAACTGCAGCAGCGGGTGATGGCATGCGCGAAGCGATTCTTCAATCTCCCGCTGGACGAGAAGGTGATGATTGACAAGAGTAGCCCACCCCAATATCATCCACCCCCTATCACTATCATCCTCCCTCCCCCTCAACCGCCCCCCAGCTGATCATTCTGGTCAAAAGGAAACAACACCTGGAACCGCGGCTACGAACTCCTGCGCTCGCAAATGCTCGAGGTTGGCACCGGCCCCGAACTCAAAGAAGGGTTGTACATCGGCGAGGAAATCCCCGAAGACCACCCGTATTTCATCGCCAAGAAGCTCAACAGCGGGCCCAACCAGTGGCCGGCCACGATTGCCTCCCCGGACGAGTTCCAGCAGACCTCGATGGAATACTACCACGCGGTGTTCGACCTCGCCAAAGACGTGCTCGGCGCGCTGGCGCTGACCCTTGACGTGGCGGAGGACTACTTCACCCCGTTAACGGCCGGCGCGGTCGCCACGATGCGATACCTGCACTACCCGGCCCAGCCCAAGGACGCGGACGAGAAAGTCAACCGTGGGATCGGCGCGCACACCGATTTCGGGTGCATCACCTTGCTGCTGCAGGATGAGGTGGATGGATTGCAGGTGCTGGATGCGCCGAGTGGGGAGTGGCTGGACGTGCGTTTGTAACACCGCAAGGTCTGATGGGAAAATAAAACTCACTGACAACCAACGGGGAAAAAAAAACAGGTTGAACCCGTCCCCGGCGCCTACGTCGTCAACCTCGGCAACCTGTTCATGCGCATGGCCAACGACCGCTACAAATCCAACATCCACCGCGTGATCAATCGATCCGGCAAGGAGCGCTACAGCATCCCCTTCTTCTTCAGTGGCAACCCGGATTATTTGTGCCAGTGTCTGCCGAATTGCCGGCAGCCCGGTGAGGCGCCCCGGTATCCGCCCATCACTGTCGAGGAGATGGTGACGGCCTCGTACAAGGAGAGCTACGGCCGGGCGGAGAAGTATAAGCAGGAGATGAAGAGGATGGAGCGGAGGGCGCCGACGGCGGTGACGGTGGGAGCGTAGTTCGTTTGGTTGTCTATCTGGGGGAATTAATTACGTCGAGCATGCGGCATCAATGTACATCTTGCCACTTACCTTTACCTTTGCAATACCAAGATTGTGGTCGATGCAATCAACGGTTACTCCTCGCCCAATGCGAGCTGATCCTGCAATATAAGCCCTGCTATAGCTGCGACAGAAGTGGAGGGTTATCAAAAAGAAAACCCCCACCCTCGATTGTATCGATAACACCCGTCTAGCCCTGCGTAGTGCGGAGGTGATCCATGCCCACGGAACCCTAATTGAAGATCTATTTGAGATCATACTGCCAGTCCCTATCCCTATGAAGCTGTTGCATCAACGGGGGCTCTCAAACTCAGTCGAACAACATGGCCAGCACACAGACGCACCACCAGACCAACCCCACCTCGCCCAAAGACACCATGGAGATCCTCAAAGTCCCCCCGGAGAACGCCCGACAGAGCCTCGAACAAGACACCAAAGGCATAATCGTTGACGACCCAGCCATCCAGCAATTCTATGGCTCATCAACCACCGAAGCCTACCGGCTCAAGTCCGAGCTGATCGGTCGCTGCTTGGAGGAAATCGGCATGGGGCCGTAGGTGTTTTTCCTTCTTGTGCGATGACCACGCCAACGCTGACGTCCGCAGATTCCAGTGGAAACTGTTCGTGGTGACTGGATTCGGATGGATCGTGGATAACGTGAGTCCCCTTTGCGTATTTTGACATGCAATCCCCATATGCCTGTCCGGCCTCTCCAGTGTTCCCCCCTAAATGATCGTAGTTCGCCTCCCAAGGCATCAGCGCGGTGCAGCCGCCCATCAAGCTCGAATTCCCAGGGATCGTGCAGGTCAGCTACAGCTCGGTGGCGTACTACCTCGGCCTGATCCTGGGGGCCTCGTTCTGGGGGATTTCCAGCGATCTGATCGGCCGACGGCCTGCGTTCAATTGCACGCTGCTCATCGCGGGGATCTTCCTGTGTGGTGCCGCCGGGACGACGGGGTTCGTGGGGTTCAGTGCGATGTGGGCGATGGTCGGGACGGCGGCGGGGGGGAATGTGCCGGTGGATTCGATGATCTTTCTGGAGTTTGTGCCTGGCAGGTGAGTCTCTTGTCGCCGGTGTGGCACCGCTATTGGGGATGGGAAGCTAAACCGGGCGGGCAGTCATCAATGGCTCCTGACCGCACTCTCCGCATGGTGGAATCTGGGCCAACTGATCGTTTCGCTAGTGGCGTGGGTGTTTCTGGCGAATTTCAGCTGTGCAACGGATGCCACGCCGGAGACCTGTCATCGACAGGATAATATGGGATGGTAAGCTGGGAGGTGACGGTGTTGTTTGTGCTGGGAGAGACGTGAGAGAGAGGAAAACCAAGCTAACCAACCATCCAGGCGCTACACACTCATCACCCTCGGCGGCCTCTCCCTCGCCTTCACCTGCATCCGCTCCCTCGTCTTCACCCTCCCCGAGACCCCCCGGTATCTCCTCTCGAAAGGCCGCGATCAGGCCGCCGTCGACGCAGTGAATTACGTCGCCCGTCAGAACGGCCAGCCGCCGCCGTTGACGCTGGCAATGCTGCAGGAGATCGACGCGCAACTCGGCACGACCACCGCCCCGACGGCATTATCCACCACCGAGATCCTGCGCGAGAACATGAAGGACTTTACGGGGTCGCACTTCCGGGCGCTGTTCGCGACGCGGCTCCTCGCCAGACATACGCTGATCGTGTGGGGGATATGGTTGACAATTGGTGCGGCCCATCAAATGAATACCTTACCGGAAACGAGAAGTCCTCCACTCACTCAGTTACAACACTAACACTAAAAAGGCATCGCATATCCACTTTACTTCAACTTCCTCCCCTCGTATCTCGCGACGAAGTTCTCCTCCTCGTCCTCGCTGAGCACGACGTATCGGAACTACTGCATCGAGTCGGCGGTGGGGGTGGTGGGCCCGTTGTCTGCAGCCTACTTGGTGACAACCTTCTTTGGAAGACGGTGGATGATGGGGTTGTCGTCGGTCGTGACGGGGGTGTTTCTATTTGCTTATGTGGGTGTGAAAGATACGACCTCCTCGTTGGCGTTTGCGTGTGTGACGGGGATGTTGGGGAATTTCGGTAAGCTCTTTGCCCTGAGATAGATCCGACAGACACCCACCCACCCACCCACCCACCCACAGCAGCCGCGAGTACCCCAATATTCCCATCCATGCTAACAACAAGACTGATGATAGAATATGCAATCATGTACGCCTTCACCCCCGAATCCTTCCCCGCCCCCCACCGCGGCACAGGCACCGGCACGGCAGCCTCGCTGCTGCGGTTCGGGGGACTTTGTGCGAGCCTGATCGCCTCGCAAACCGGGTTCACCCCCGCCCCGATCTATGCGTCGGCCGCGCTATGGGTGGTGGTTGGGGTGGTTTGTTTTGGGTTGCCTTTTGAGACCCATGGACATCAGAGTATATGATTGGGTATATGGGTGGGTATATATGGGGGTATGAGAATCTGGGGATATGGAGTATATCTGTGGGAGAGTTGGGTTTGGGAATATATCTGGTGGTAAGGGTGAGTTGTGTCACGGTCCAGAATATATACCGGTGGTAAGGGTAGGGGGCAGAGAGTCTTTCGGGATGATTTGTGCAGTGGAGATCATTTCTTAGGGGCTGGCGTTGCTACAATTATGTTCTTTCTCAGCTATTCAACATTCATTCTGTCAGAAGATATACGGTGCTTACTCCCATCAAATGCTTTACTGCTGAGAAAGTAGTACTGAGGTTACTCGCTAACTAGTATACCATATAGCAATCAATCAACCGCAGATCCCGAATGAACTACGATTTTATCTGAACTTAACTCTCGGTCGGACGGACATGAACTGAATGGCAAGCTTGCTTTCACTCAATTACGGAGGGTTCACACCGGTCTTAATGACTGTTTCCATTCGTATACAGAGCAGACAGTAGCATCCAAGTAAGTACTACAGTAGGGTAACCACGGAGGTAAAATTGTACTTCAGAGGTAACTACCAGTGGCTACTGTACAATCAACTCAATCAACTCAATCAACTCAATCAACACCTACCACCTGACCAACCCTACAGTACGTACCAGACCCATGAACCCATCAAAAACACCCACTAACCCAGCTTCCAACCCACTGCAAGTGTAAAATGTGCAGAATCGAAAAAAAAATCGATCGTGCCCCCCACCCCACATCCAACCCAATCCGGAATTCCCACTGTCGATCGCGCACAACCCAGCCTGTTCCTTGCGTGGTGATCGCGATCGACCTCACGTTAAGCACCGCTGCAACACTAAGGCGCTTTGACTCCTTATGGCCTCCAGTGTGTGTCCACTTGGGGTGGTGTCGATCGGAGCTTATCTGATCTACTAGTACTCACTACACTTGGTCACTTACACAGGGGATGGATAGGGTAGGTATATGGGGTGACTTTTCCCACTAACATGTAGCATACGTGGTTGACGTGTGGACAAAGTAAACATTAGTCTTTTCTATGTTACTTAGTAGTCGTCATGAATGATCGGCGGATGCGCTACACATCTCAAGTGTTGGTGACAATCATAAAAGCCAGTTTTTGGCCGTCGGGTAACGCGGCCCAATAATCGACTGGGCCGGTGCGTGTGAGGCGAGTTGACTCGCGAAGCGGATGGGTTGACTTCTTTGGCATCTGCGATATTCCCGAGTCAAGTCCCGAAATTCGGATCGAAGTCCAGTGGCGTCGCTACAAATGGCCAGCCACTCTGGATGCGCTGCTGCAACAATAACCATCCATCACACGGCAATTGAACGGCAGTTGCAGTTGTATGTGGTTCTGCCTTCACCAATCACCGATCACGGAGATCGAGTCCTGGATGGAGGTGGCGATGGGAGAACCTGAGTTCAACCCCACCACCGGTCGGTCCCTCCCAGGCTGGCGGCATCACAAACCACCTGGCAGCAGTCTTATAGCACCTAGACACTGCAGCTATCTAAACAGTCGTCACATGAACCTCCCGCTTCACACTAATCTGTGGCTGCTTCGGCAAAATAGGCGCCTGATCCCCTGCAAAATACCCATCATTACCCGCCTCGACGGTGAAAAAGGTGCTGCCGTACAAACGATCTTCCAACGGGATGGGCCGGGAGTCCTCCTCCCGCGGGGTCGACTGCAGCGGCATCGATTTGCTGCGCTGGCCCCCGCGCGATGAACTCGGCCACGTGTGCTGGTAGGTCGAGGGCCGGAACTGGCGCAGTAGCGGACGCAGAGTCGCCATGCTACCTGCAAAAATCCCCAGCCCGGTTTCGATGTTGCTGAAAATCGCGATGTTGACCGTCTCGTAGAGCCAGTCCTCGTTGCGGAGGGTGGGAATGAATGGGATGCGGGCGATGACTGCGACGGAGGCACTGAATGATATTAGCATTAGGCTGCGTCGGAAGGGGCCATGAAGGAGATGTACACGCAGGCCATTCCAAGCAGACTGGCGACCGCGATTTTCACGTCGCGGTGCATCTTCAATTTCCGCACCAGAAGGATCGGGAGGACGGCGATGGTCATGTCGAATAGAGCTGAGGTAGCACTGAAGGCATACAGCGAGTCCATCACGATGTTGATGTTGATGCACGAGCCCTTGCCTTGCTCCACGGTGCTCAACCGGAGCCAGAAGTATGCGATCGGATGACACTGCACGAGGAGGAGAATAAAGAAAGCGAGACCGGCGGTGACGACGAACGCGAGAACAACGAAAATAACAATCCGATGGATGCGATCGATCGTAATTCGCAAAATGAAGATAGCGACGGATATCTTGCAGAGGATCGAACCAACAGCATAGCCAATGTCGCAATAGAACCAGTACTAGACAGGTCAGCCCGGTCAGTCCTAGTCAGCCAGACTTTTTGCCAGTGCAAGACGTCCTGCCTACCTCCATAGCAGTCGTTCGCTGGTGGTTGGTCAAATCCACCAAATGCTTCCCCGTCCCCCAGAGGCTGCCCCCGATCATCGCGCCAGAAAAGAAGATGTAGAACAAATAGGCCAGGACCATAATCCCATCGTCCCAGCCAAACGCTTTGACAATCCGCAGACGCACGTAGCACCGCAGCATGGTGGTGACGCTTGCCAGGGCCAGGAAGACCGCGGCAACCGCCCGCACGGCTAAGCTGCGATCCTCGGCCATAGTGTGAGCAAGGTAGTAGAGATGCCAGAATCCCGGCCCTGGCGCTGGGCTGGGAGTGCCATTTCTTATTGTTCCAGCATCCGAACGCCCCGAATGACGTCCCTCGGTGCAGAGAGCAGAAAAGTGCCTGGCTTCCGCGTCGAGACGCCATTAAACCATGGATATTGGGTGTTACAGACCCTCCCTGGTCACCAGTAAAACAATCCTGAGCCCGAGTCTGAGATCCACTGTTGACCGGCCGGTACAGGCCCTATGACCGATGATTGGTCTGCTGGTGAAGGACGGACTGATTCAAGATTGACTATCGATCGGAAATTTAGGATGGGGTGGAGCACCGATGGAGTAATGGAGTAGTTGTACGGAGTACTGTACTAGGTGTAAGCCCGAGCGCCCGGCACAAAAAAAAAATCCCTCCATTAGCGCAGTCGGAAAGCCGCGGCCCAGGCTCGCCGACGTGGATGGGACCATGGAATGCCTCGCTTGACTCGGTTGACTCGCGGGTCGCTACCACATCCCTGCGGATCGTGTTTCGGATCGTTCCTGGACGGCAGGATTGGGTAGATTGCCAGAAATATCTACCAGGCCATCCATCATCTCGGCTAACGGGAGTAGGCAATAATTGGCGTCCACCTGGGGAAATTACCGCTACCAGCTGAAAAGCACGGATCTCTCATGTAACACTTAGAGAAATTGGTGGAGATGAGAACACGAGGAGTCCGATCTAGTCGTCCCTGTTTCCACTAGTCCACTATTATATTCCCGGTTCATCGGATGGAGTCACCTGTGGCTAGTCGCCCTCATTGACACACATTCATCTTAGCGACCGAAGGGTCGTGGTCAGAACTCTGGTCCGCACTTGACATCCATGTGTTCACGTGGACGTGTTCCACCTGGGCCCCCTTGGCCAGGGCCGCGCTGATATACATATGAATCCAACTGCTCGCTGTTCTGAACGTAGAGGTAGGTGTATCGCTCCGTCGCCGCAAGGCCCGCGGTCTCATCGAGCTCCTGCAAGCCAACCCCCGAGAACACACTCATTGGCTCCACACATGAATACTCATTAAAATCGCCCGCGACAATAATCCTAGCGTCGGCTACCTCCGCGAAGAGCGTTGTCACAAAGTCCTGGGCAATGGGCGCAACGGATTAGTGTCGACTAGCGTCGGGGGGAACGTGTCAATTCCACCGAGACTTACCGCAATCACCTTAGTCTGCGAAGCTCGCTTCGCCTCCCCACCATTGACAGGTGGTCGGAGGTCGCCTTCCAGACCAGAGCTGCCGTACTTGGAGGTCAAGTGCACGTTGACCGTGTAGAAGGTGTTCCTGCCATCCGCCCTCTCCCACTGCGCCACCAGGGGCTTGCGACTCGCGTCCCACGCCTCGTTCATGGGATCAATCAACCCCGGATTGTAGCTCAACGCGCCTCCTGATCCAATAGTCGTGGCTACGGTGCTGTTGCCTGGGTTCGCGTTGCGCAGGGCCACAGTGGCCGGGTTGAACAAGTACACGTTTCTAATATTGCCACCACTTTCACCGCCGTTGGTGCCGTCGATCGGATCGATGTCAAGAAAGTCATACTGGACTCCGCCCTGCTCAACGATGGAGCTGATCAAGGTTGAGAGCGTCACATAGGCCGAGAACACTAAGAAGGCACCTATCAGACCTCGTTCACTTGGAAAAATGAAACGCTCATACCGCCGTCATTCAAAGAACCCGAGTTATCCTGAATCTCCTGCAAGAACATGATATCCGGGCTCTGCAACTCATTCGCAATGTGACCCGCGACGGCAGGGAGTGTCGTTGAATCCGGCCCGAGGTTATCCACATTGAACTGTCCGAAAGTAAGTAAGCACTTCTGGTTCGATACCAACGACGTCTTGGGTACTGCAGTCGTCTTCGACGCCGACACCGACAACGCGGTCGTGGGCAAGAGGGCGTAGTAGCCGTATGCCTGGGTGACAATGCCCGTGATATCCGCCAGTGTATCACTCAACTTGACATCGGTCGGGTTTTCACTTCCGTCTAGGGGCGAGCCAACCAGGAGCGCCTCGGGATTAGAGTCTACCACGAAATCAATACTGGGGCACGTCCTCAGGGGTTAGAGCAAGCTAGCTACCAACCATTTGCAGTCATTGTCAAGCCTCCTCGAGCATTGCTCCCGCTGACCGTCCAGTCACCGACGACCCAAGTGTCGCCGTAGGAGTTGGCCTTGGAGATGGCTGTCAGACCCGACCGGCTAACCAGTCCTCGCTGAGACTCTGCCAAAAGTCCATGCCATATGCGGTCGTGTTCAATATCGGGTTGACCGTCGAAACTTGGCTGCTGTTACCGGGCAGACTGAACGCATCCCCTTTGTCGAGGTATGTGAATTGCTCGGTCGGGGGACTGATTCCATTCTTGCCTATCACGATAGGAGTCACGGTGTTGTCAATGGAAACCACCTCGATGTCGGTCGCCGACTCGATCTCGGCGGAGTAGACATAGCTGGACGAGGACCGGTACTCTGTGACCTTGCCACTCAGGGTGATAATGTCTCCCACGGCGACACTTTTGGCCGCGCTGCTGCCATACACGTAGATGGAGTTGGAGGTCTTGTCATCCGGATCAGGGCTGGTGGAACGCAGGCAGAATCCAGAGGAGCCTTTGGCCGTCACCAGTCCCTGAGACCCGTGAACTGGCTTCCAGCATATGAGGAAATGTATCGGTCGCCGGTGATTTCGTTGATGGTGACTGCGAGCGCCGCCTGCAGGAGCAGCGCAGTCGTGTAAAGCGAGGAACTCCGCATCATGTTACCGAGCTATCTTATGAGCGATGGTGTTGTTCGAATGTGCATCCGACCAGAGTCATTCTCGCGGTATAAATGGTTTCCAGCCAGCGACTCTCATGGTACGGTACAATGCAAGAAAGAAAGAGACTGCTGCAAATGAGAAGTGAGGCGTTGGACCAGTGAGGGGGGGTGATAACACCCACGTCGGGAGAGATACTGCAGCCAAGCAAGGCAGCACTCGGCACGATGTTACCTCACTCGGACCGCCGGGCTTGTTTGTTTAAGAATTCTATTGAGATCGCGGTATAGCACACCCTGATATACCTCCATGATATCCATTCCAATTATTCAACTCCTGCACGGTACCTTATCTACACCTTGGCACTCCTCCTCTCTGCATAAGAATCATTTCGCTAAAATCACACCCATTCTCTAATCTAGGCTTCTGACCCAGTCGTGCGCCCGCGTTTCTGCAGGGTTACTACTAGCTCCAATCCATCATGCAGGTACTATAGACAATCAAACTCATGCAGTCTGATGACTCTGCACCTGAGAACATCCGGCAGCGCCGCTCCACATGTCTCACGGGCTCGAGAAGACTTTCTCGCGTCTAGTTGCGGCCAACATCCTGCTTCAAGGAGACGATGCGGTTCAATACAACACGGTCTTCCGTAGAATCCGAATCAACAGCCTAACGCCTGATTAGTGGATGAAATGAATACGAAGGTGGCATCGAACTCACGAAATAAGCAACGCGCATGCCCTGGAATCGGACACTCTCCGGTCCACTCTTGCCCTTCTCCTTCTCACCGGCCGCCTCCGGCCAGGGAGCTCTCCGACGGACCTCATCGAAGCCCGCCTCAATCAGAGCATCCTTATAGATAGTCTCGCTGTTAGGGTTAATATCATTCAGGAAACCGCCCTCAGCAGCACCGGGGTCCTCCGACTTGAAGAGAGGGTCGTGAATCCGGACCTCCACCTTGCGCGAGTTATCAGGGACCCACTGGATGTAGGTCTTAGGCTTGCCGCCCTCCTTATCCCAAACCGCCCGGATCTCGGTGACCTTTCCATCGGCATCCTTGGTGAAGGTGGTGGCCTTGACGGGGTAGGGTGCCCGCCAGAGACCGACGCTCTTGCCCGGGGCCAGACGGAAGTAGCCCTTGGCATCCTCCTCGCGGAAATCAGACCGATCAATGTAGATCGTTTTGGTCAGGCGGATCTCATGAGTACCCATGGCAGGGTTCTTCGGGGAGAAGGGAATGTCGCAGTTGAGCTGGCCATCCTCGACCGTCTCAAAGTCCTCAATGACCACTGCAACAGGGTCAATGACAAGCATCAATCGGGGCACACGGCTCTCCAGGTATGTCCGAACAGTCTGCTCGAAACGCGAAATCTTGATAAGACTCAGAGCAGTGGTGACACCGAGCTCATTAATGAAGGAGAGAATCGCTTCAGGGGGCACACCACGGCGGCGCAGAGCGATCAAGGTGTACAGGCGGGGATCGTCCCAACCACGGACATAGCCATCATCCACCAGCTTCTTCAGCTTGCGCTTCGACATGACAGTGCCACTGACATTCAAGCGACCATATTCACGCTGCATGGGCTCGTACACGCCCAGGGTGCTGTTGAGCCACTCGTAGGAAGTGCGGGAAAGCTGGAACTCGGTCGTGCAGAGACTGTGCGTGATGTTCTCGAAGCTATCACACAAACAGTGGGCCTAACACAGTGGTTAGCAAGCTTTATCACCATCGCTACCTGCGGCACGTACAAAATCGTAGGTGGGGTAGATGCACCACTCGTTCTTGGTGCGGAAGTGCTCCTGCTTGAGAATACGGTATGCGGCCAGATCCCACATCTGAGGGTTGGGGTCCTCGATGTCCTGGAGCATGCGGAGAAAAGCCGTCTGGGGCTCGTATTTGCCAGCCTTCATGTCCCGGAACTTCTGGAGGTTCGTCTCGACATCCTGCTCGGCGTGCTTGCACCGGTATCTCGGGCCGTGATTCTCTCCTCCGCGCTGAAGCTTGATCTCAGTGTCACTGCAGTGGCAGACGTACGCTCTGCCCATCTGGATCAACCTCTCGGCCTGGTCGTAGAGCTTCTGGAAATTGTCACTCGAGTGGGTGATAGCAGCGGGCTTAAAGCCTGTAGATCGACTCCGTCAGCACATAATCTCCTTCAGCGGCGGGCCCCCCCCTACCTAGCCACTGGATGATCTCCTCAATCGCCACAAAGTATTTCTCCTCCTCGGCCTCGGGGTTGGTGTCATCGAATCTAACCATTAGTCGCGTGGCTCACTCGAGTCGGGACAGCGAAGGAATACCTAAGAATCTTCGCACATGTTAGCATTGGCCCCTTTCAAGAGTTGAATCAGAGCCTACCGTCTTTCCACCATAGTGTCTAGCGAACCCAAAGTTCACAGCGATCGCCTTCGCATGGCCCAGATGCAAGTATCCATTGGGCTCCGGGGGGAAGCGCGTCAACGGCACCACGGGCCGCTCCTTATAGACGGCAGCCAAGAAGCCCTGCTTGAACATGGCATCCGGGTCGATCTGCTCCTCCTCGGGCTTGGGGGTGGCCGCAGGCTTGGGGGTGGGCGCGGCCTGCTTGGGAGCAGCGGCCGCGTTGGCCGCCTTCGCCGCCTTTTTGGCACGCTTCTGCAACCGCTTCTTAAGCTCGCCCTTGGAGACCATCTCACCGGTCTCCTCATCGAGCTGAAGCTTGGCCGTCGCTTCAACGACAGCGTCCGTCATGATGGGCGATTGGGCAGTGAATCGAGAATAGCGGGGGATTGATCGCGTGGTGACGGTACTGAACGACAAAGGAATGGACTTATCGGCGGGGTGGAGGGGAAACTTTCCGGTGCGTGCTTATGTCATCCGCTAGACGGTCACGTGGCAGAGCGATAAGCGCCCAATTCTTCTTATCAGTCTAGTTAGCGACCTGATCAAGTGACAACAATTCTCAGTCTTTGCTAGACTATTGCTAGACTATTGCTAGACTAGTGATCAGAACAAATAGTACAATGTTGTGGCTGCTTTTAGAATACACCCATCCACAGCTATTTGCTTGTTAATCCATTCTTAGGGCAATTTCTCTGATATCGCCCTAAGCACTGCCACTACTAGTATGACTCACCCATGCTACTATATGTATTCAAGCTGAGGTTGTACTGAGTTGCCCGAGGTTACTGACTCAGGATTTCCATAGACTCAAATAGCATCCCAATACACCGAGCTTAGTTAAGACTCATCCCATAAAAGAAACCACGAATGACTCATTGAGATCGCAATCATCAAAGCTAAAGTATGTAGGCATGGGTATCTAATCGTATGTCCAAATCATCATTATACACAGACATAACGTATCTCTATCTTGGCGACACACTATAACGAGCCTTGCGAATAGCACAGTTTCCTAAACGTTTGAGTTCGGCCACAAAGTCTGCCACCATCGTGAAATGTGCCGCTTCGTTGCTGGTCAGACGTTTCGGGCGGAATCCCTTGATGAGATCAGGGACAGAGCCGAGAAGTTTGAGATCTTCCTCTACGCGCGGGTCTAGTGGGAAGAGCAGAATATTGCAAAAGATCGTCAGGATAGCCGACATGGGATAGAAGGTGATCATCCTGGTTATGATTAGCTTTGGAAATTGACTTCAAACATGTGAACCGCACAAGCACACAAACGACTCACCAAAACGCCTCTGGGAATATTGAAGTAATGGTGGGACGGAGGAACAACAAGGTGGACCGACTTGCTTCCACCGCAAGAAGCATGCTGGAGTTGATACCCTCCATTACTCCAGCATCAGAATTGGCCCAAGACTGACAGCGACCCGCCGCTCGATGGATTGTCACCATTAGATAGTGATATTCGAAACGGGAGACTATTGCTTGCATGCGAAGAAAGGGATTCTCGTGACTCTGGAAAGAGTGTCCCAGGGATGGACGAAATTTGGGCGGAATGTCCAAGCGCCAACGCTCGAGCTCGTCGTCGAGCTCGCGAATGTCTTGCAAAAGCTGCGCATCGGATTTCAGCAATGACTTGGAGGAATACAATGCCCGATAAACTTTGGATTTGATGACAGTCATACGCAAGTCTGCCGGAGAGTGAGGAATGCCGATATCGTCAAACATCGATCTATCAGCGCCCTCATCTTCACGATATTGCATTTGCATGTAGCCGACAGGAAGGGAGAGATTGCAGTGTTCATCGTCGATGATTGGCGGTTGACCGGACCGTAGACAGATTTCCTTGTCATGCGTGTAGCAGAGCCAAAACAAATTTCGCAGCTGTTTATGATACCGCCAAACTCGATCATCGATATCGAGCGGCGAGGGCGGAGCTGGTCGCTCATTGGGTAAAAGCTGAGCCCCCAAGGAAAACATAACCCGGCAACTCATGGCATGACACTGATTGGCAGCTTGAAGTTGACCGGAGAAGACGCGGTTCATTGTCTGGCGAAATTAGTGCCTTGTTTACCTCAATCAGTCGAATACAAGACTGACCAGCATTAGCATAGTTTGGAAGGTCGACAAGCTGACGTCATCCATGAGTTGAGGCAAAAGGTTCTGTGCCTTGACCGCATACACGTCCGTATCCAGCGCAGGAAGGTTGTCTTGAGGTCGCAGAATCATCGACATAAGTGCCAGGAATGCCATAACGCACGCTTTGGCACTGGTTATTTCCACCGTCGGGGGATCTTGGTATGGGGCATAGGCGAGGTCAACCGTCTCCTTGAACAGAAGGGAGTCGATAAGGGGGAAGATGAATCGGATGAAAGAGGAGAAGAACCGCCGGACATACTGATCAACGACAGATCGGTCCGGAAGATCGAGGATGCCTGCATAGCCATGCAGTGTATTCGAGAAGGAGCTGGCTAGCTGTGGTGTCGATTGTTGAGGTTGAGAGGGCTGAAGGCTGTTGAACCTCTTGTCCTCACCGGTGCGAGACTGCACCCACTCCTGACCGTCAACCGAGAAGCTTGGGATACCATTGTACGCATTCAGATCGCCCACATAGTGGCCAGCGAAATGGATCTTGCCGAAGCACAGACCAGGGCTTAAACGTGGCATGAACTCGCCGGGCGGAGGACCATTGGTCGATGACCGTTGGGGACTGAAGGAAGCAACCGGATCGGCTGGCCAGGACCCATGCGAGATCAGCGCTGTACAGTTGCGTTGATGCTCATTGGTCGGCATAGATCGCACCAGAAGCTGTTCCAGCTTCATTACCTTATCCTCAAGGTCCTCCCCGGGTGACGGCTGCTGCCGGGGCGGGCTGCTGGACGTTAGACGAAGCTGGTGAGTGAGTGATCCACATGGCGCGATACATACAGAGTCACTGCGGTGGGCTCATTGGTGGCTCTCTTGCGTTTACTACCCCCAATGGGCCTATTGAAAGTGCAATCCAGGTTATGGTGGCGGCACCAATTACATGGGATGGGGGCTTCACACTGGATCTGAAGAGCGGTCAGCTAGGGAACCAGAGAAATGCAAGGAGGGTCAATCCCTACTTTTCGCCGGTGACACGAGTCACAAGCCCGGGCCGTGCGGCGCAGGGGAGGTGCCGAGGAGGGACGCTCACCACCATCCGAGGATGGGGTGGAGGCGGAAACCTGCATGAATAAGGTCTCAAGGGTCTGTCTAGAACAGAAGGAGACCAATTAACATCGACGGAGAAGGTCCGGAGCCATCACAAGCTCGGGAATAAGGGGGGTGCAGGGCATAGCCAGGATTGATGGCCGGAAGATTGAGTGGGATGCGGTCTCTGTGAGAGCGTGAGAGGTCGGCAGCAGAAACAGGCCCGCCAGCGGCCCGCTGACTCATGTCACTGACTCAGCAAATTTGGCAATCTTGGAATTGACGGCTCACCGACTGCATTTTATGACCAATCACCAACAACTCCGAGCATCCACTGCCGAGGCGGAGACTTTTCCATACTCAATATGGAAATTAGACCCGTCAAAGAATAGCGGAAGTTAAGCTAAATCTGGCATTTGTGGCTGTTCGTTCCAGGGGCATTATGTTCATTGCGGTGTGGATTTTGTGAGCGTTGTGATCAGCTAAAACCTGGACTTGAGGGAGCTGGGGTCCCTCTACGGAGTAAGGCTCTTATAAGTCGTGCCACGGGGTGATTCAAGAAGGCTCTCTCGTGCAGACTGGGTTCAATAAAGCAGAGAGTCAGTGAGCTGGAAAACCAAACCACTGGTTGACTTGTGGATGTTTCTGATGGGCTTGAAGGTGAGATCGTATAATGCAAGAACGATGCAGCGGGAGAGAGAGGGAAGGAGAGGGGAGGAAAGAGGTCTCGGGAAGGTTCATTCATGCGACCATGGTGAAGTGAATGGCTCACCTCTAAATTGATCTTCACAACTGTGAATTCACAGAATCGAGTGCTACCATCCATTCAATTCAGGGCATATCCTTGGCGAACTCCTCACCTACATTATCCTTGGATTTCCAACAACACGACCTCACAGCCATCGCTCATCACGACAATAACAAGCCAAGGTACCCGAAGCATGGCAGTAATCTAAAGCCAGAGCTAACTTACCTCTTTCGTATCTGAAGAGAAACCAATGCAAGATGGCTAGCCGCCCAACATTTGAAGTACTCGACTGCAGTGTCGACGAAGAAGAAGAAAGCTACTTCCGCCTCCTGGTCGATAGCAAGCAGATCAAATACCTCACTATCAGTCCTGGCACCTTCAAGAACGCTGAGATGTGCTTTGACCCGACCCTGAAGACCGTGCTCCCTAGATTGCCCGCTGGCAATTGGAACGATGGAACTGTAACTAGGGACGAAGACGGGAGACCCACTTTTACACGAATCAACCTGACTGAATTCGATGGTGTCGAGAATACCTGGCATGAAACTTTCGTCGAGTGGGGAGAAATGGAGCTAGAAAAGAATCTACACATTACAACTTACGAAGTAAAGTGTCCGCGGTTCGAAGATATTGTGGTTGCCAAATTTGAGAGCTGGCACTGGTACATGTATTCCATGGAGAACGAAACTAAAGTCTATCAATGGTTGGACGGCCACGGTATCGGGCCCCGATTCCTCGGTCACTTGACTGAACATGGTCGTGTCATTGGTTTCTTAATTGAACGAATATCCAATGCGCGACCTGCTGGAACGGAGGATGTCGAGCCCTGCAGGGAGGCATTGTCTCAGTTGCATGCTCTGGGCCTCTTGCACGGAGACATAAACCGACACAACTTTCTTATCCGCGATGGAAAAGCTACTTTGATTGACTTCTCTACCACCCGCAAGTGTGATGATGAAGATATGTTTCGAGAGGAGATGGAGGCTCTGCCCGATTGTCTCGCAGATACATGGAATAATGGAGGTAAAGTTGAATTGGAGCCCTTCCATGGGACATATGGAGAGATGACGGATCCAGACCGTTTGTAAGCGTCTGTTGCCTACGATGGGGGTAGTAGTCACCGTTGACTGCTTTACCTTTGTACGAGTATCTCTTATCCGATCTCACATAGGTCAACACTAACTACACGGTACACCTCACACTGATTCCACCGTGACGTTTACCACAACTTTGTTAACCCAGCGAATACTCATAGACAGTCATCATCCTATCTACAAAAGATCCAGCACCTTCCCAATTTCAGACCTAATTCAGATACTCATCCTGCCACCTCACCCGCTGCACAAACCCCAACACCTCCCTCAGCTTCCGATTCGACACCGGCGCCTCCCTCCCTATCAACTCCCTCGTCACCGGCACACCAGGACAGACCCGTGCCAAAAATGCCTCCGTCGACGACTCAAAATTCGTCATCTCATCATTCACCGCGTTGAACACCTGAAACCCCAACCCATCCACCATCAACCCCCTCTCCACCATCAACCCGAGATCCCTTGCATCCGTATACGCCCAACCATGCACCTTCCACTCCCCCGGCCGCTCCACATACCCTGTAAATCTCTCCTGAAACTCCTCCGGACTCACCATCGCCCCGAATCGATACACATAGACATCCGTCTCGGGATACCGTTTCGCAAACCCCGCCGCCGTCTGCTCCCCACACACCTTCGAGATCGCATACACGTCCATCGGCTGCGCCGGCACGGACTCATCGACCGGGAAGGCGGGGTAATCAACATCGCCCTCCGCGAACGCAACGCCGTAGACGCAGATCGACGAGGCCAGCAAAATCTTGCGAATACCCATCTGACAGGCCGCTTCGAGCACGTTGTAAAAGGCGAGTACATTGCCGCGGTAGGTTTCGTTGTCGGGGACGATCATGTTGCGCGCGTACCCGGCGAGGTGGATCACGGCCGTTGGGACTTGGTGTAGCGGGTCGCGGAAGGGCTCCGTCAGCGCGAAGTGCGAGTGCATGGCGCTGTGCACTTGGCCAGTGTCGGTGAGGTCGACGCGGAGGGTGTGGACGCGAGCGGCGAGGGGGGCGGGGAGGGGGTGCAGGTCGAGGTTGAGGATGGAGTAGTTCTGGTGGAGGAGGTGGGCGATGATGAATTGGCCGGCTTTGCCGGAGCCGCCGGTTACGATGATGCGTTTGGACATGGTGGTGCTATTGTGTTGGAGATGCTGAGGTCTGACACAGTGCGTTGTGGTGTTTTACTTGATGGGAGGGAGGGAGGAGAGATTGCGGGGTTGCGGGGGTTGCCGAATTTGGTGGTATGTTTACCTACTATTATACATATGGCAGAGACGATGAAGATACTAGAGACTATCGAGTCAGAGAACTCGAGTTAGCATTTTAGACGTTCTATCGCAGACTAGACATTGTATAACCACACTTATGCTACAGCGATGCTTTGTTCTGAATCGAGCTGCCCTCATTCATTCCCTGTAGTTGAGATCCGCGCCAATTCACCCCGCATACCCCTCACATGATTACACCAAGTATTCCGTAAGGTAAGCCCCCGACCCGCGTCTACTTGGCCAACTTCGCTCCTCCATCCACCCCTCCACTTCACTCTTTTCCTCATCATTCGCAATAAACAATCCCCCATCGCAAGCCACCACTACGATAACCAAAAATGACGAAACCCACCAACCGCCCGCGCATAGCCTGCTTCCACGGCGGCGGCTCCCGCGCCTCCGTCTACGAAGTCCAATGCGCCCACCTCGCCAAACTCCTCGAACCGGACTTCGAACTCATCTTCTTCGACGGGCCGTTCTTCCGCGACGCCGGGCCGGGCGTCCTCCCGGCCTTCCGCGGCTACGAGCCCTTCCGCTCGTGGTTCACAGCGGACAGCTCCGGCGCCGAGCTCCCCGACGGCAGCGGCTACGACATGACGGGTCGGGACGGCGTCGAGCGGATCTGGAAGCTGATGCAGGAAAAAGACAAGCTCAGTCCCGGAGGTCCGTGGGTGGGAGTGATGGGGTTCAGTCAGGGGACGAGACCCGCGGGCGGGTTGTTGCTGGACCAGCAGCGGAGGATTGCCAGTGGGGAGTTTGGAAGTGAGGCAGAAATTCCTACCGGGCTGAGATTGAAGTTCGGAGTGATGTGTATGGGGGCGGGAGCGCCGATGATGGCGGAGAGTGCACATCGTAGGTTACTTACTGTCTTACCTGTCTTACCTGTCTTGGGGGTTTATGGGGGTGCGGGTGCAAATGCTGCGTGCTGTGTGAATGCTAATGCTGTGTCTGTGTGTGTGTGTGTGCTGTTTAGGGGCCGAGTCTGACGCCGAGTTGGTGTCCATTCCGACGATACATGTGCACGGATTGAAGGATCCGGTTTTGCCGCTGAGTCGGCATCAGTTGGCCTCGTACTATGATCCTAAACGGAGCGAGCTGTTCGAGGTGGATTATCATCATGCGATGCCGTGGGTCAAGCACGAGGTGGAGCACCTGGCGCGGCTGATCAGGACGGCGTATAGGGAGAATAGCTGAGGGGGGGGGATACGGAGCTCTCTAGGTAGAGCGTTGGCAAGCACACGGACAAGGCCCGTTCGTTCCTTTTGGGAGTTCATGATCATCACGACATCTAAGTATGTGTAGGTAGTCAATAGACTTTTGCTCCTTTCTCGTTTCCTCTCCCGGACCACCAACTCAGCGACTCGTCTTACTGTCCTCAACAATAGTAGGACAAATCCCCTCATCCGCAACACCCTTCAAATCGTCCTCCCCCATCTCCCCATCCCACCCATGCGCCACCAAATACGCCCGGAACTTCTCATCGCGGACCCGCAAGTCCTCCCCGGAGATATCATCCACAAAGAAGTACGTCACCACCACGCCCACCACACCGCAAATGGCTGCAATAATGAATGTCCACTTCTTGCCCAGGTGATTCTCGATGGGCGTAAACACCTGCGTCCCTATCGCACCGCCCGCCTTACCAAAGGCTGCCGAAATGCCATAGCACGTCCCGCGCACACCCGTCGCGTACATCTCCGACGAGAGCAAACCCAGCATATTGCCGGGGCCAAAATTGCCCGAGCTCTGCATCAACCCATAAAAGATCACGAACAAGGGAATGATCTTGGTGATTTTGTCGTACGCACAGCCGATGATCAGGCCGAATACCAGGTACCCAGTAAACCCGATCATCATAATGTTCTTGCGTCCCACGCGGTTGCACAGAATGGCGCCGAGGAAGACACCGGGCAGGGCGATCACGCCCAACAGGAGCTGCCATTCGGCGGTCTTCATGACGGAGCTGTCCTTGATGACGGAGGAGATGATGGTTCCGGAGAATACGCCGTTGGGGAATGTGACGAAGTCTAAGGTGGAGCAGATTGTTAGAGGGGAGGGTTGTTGAGCGATTGTAGGGGGCATCGAGGACGACGGGAACACACCGTACAAGAACCAGGCTCCGCAGGTTCCAATGAGAGACTTCCAGTAGTATTTGACCACGAGGGTATAAGGGACGTGCTTCTTGATGGCCCCGCGGCGGTAGAGGGCCGAGTTCATCATTCGGAACCGGAAGTAGAAGACGGACAGCGGCCAGATACAGCCAATCCCAAAACAGACGCGCCAGACAGTGCTGTAGTGGGATTGGTGGCAGGCAGAGAGGACAATCAGGAAGATCGCGACCGCGAAGGGCCCGCCGAACGACAGCGGGAAGTTGGTCACCATGATGAAGGCGGGGCCGCGTTGCTTGAGGGTCAGGTCGTTGGCCGCTTCGGAGGCTGATGTCGAGGAAGCGGGATATTCTCCGCCGGTGCCTGTTGGGGTCAGTCAGTACGCTTATCGTGAAATTTGTATGTGGTACACACCGAAGCCAACGATGCCACGCGCTACCGTCATCATCCAGAACATCCCGTCGATGGTATATCCATTGGAGGCGGTCGCGAGAATCCCACCCACGACTATCATCGCGGTGGTAAAAACAAGAGCGGCCTTGCGGCCGAGGTAATCACAGGTAAGTCTGGTTGGTATGAGAGTCAGCGTGGAAGACTATGGACGGTTGTCGCTCGTACCCAATAACAATCTGGCCGATGACTTCGCCCACCAAGAGAGCGTTGGAAACTCGAGTCTTGACGGCCGACGTGTACTGCTCCTTGTATTGACTGGCAAGAAGTACGTTGACCATTGTCCTGGCGAACGTCAGGAACGCGTTATGACCTAGCGGGAGCTTGTGCCTACATCAAATTGTTCTGGTATCCATCGCTGATCAGGGCGAAGCCACTGGCAATCTGAATCATGTTAGCATCGAGGGTAGGGTTGACAAGGAATCTTTGGTACTGACAATAGTGATCAAATCCGAAAGAGTGCGACGCTTTGTCTGAGCTTCAGCGGAAGCACTCTCTCCGTCATGGGAGTCGGCCTGAACGACGGTCTGAAGATCCGCCTTAAGCGCAAATGAGGGAGCTTCGCTCTCGGCCATCTTGGCTCAGTGGCTGCAACCAAGAAGCGTGCGACAGGCAGTTCTCGTTGGAAAGGGTGTCTTCAAGAAGAGATAAAGCAATCGCAAGCCCGAGAGCGCGGGCCGCCCTCGTGCTTTATATGCAGATTGGGAGAAGGTGGCACAGACTAGTACTAGGTGGCGGCATGTTGATAGATCTGACTTTGAGCCCGGAGCGATAATTTTAATTCTCCAGTCAATCTACTAGTCCTGTGCTATCGCCCAGTCAGTATATTGCTTCATGCCTTGTCTGCAGCCACCAGCAAGCGACTAACCTGGAAATAGATAGGGTCGACCAGCGTTAGGATTAAACCAATCAAAGGCATGTTTCGGCCTGTTCCCACCCGCGGCTGACCATCCAATCACATGACATACTGTTTGCACGTTCGCTCCTTCTGGCGCGCACGTGTTGCTTATCGATGCTCTCATCACTTGCATCGGTGGCTGTTGATGCTTTTTCACTCCATTGTGTATCCGCACGACCAAAGCTTCCAGGTTCCTAGCTTGTGCTTAGTGGACCCGGGAGACTTACCTATTGGCGTGCAGTGAACCAAGAGTACGCCCACGTGAATCAAGCCGCGCCAACAACGCCTACTCATAAGGCTGACCCGGAGTCTTCGCGCATTGGCCACGCAATGACCGAGTCGTCCGATCCAGCTGGGAAAGTGCTCGGACGATGAAACACTGATGTTCCTCGATGTTCCTAACTCGGCATGAAACTTTACTCACGCGGTCTCGTCCACACTATGTCGTTACTCGTGGTGCAAGCCTCATACCAAAGCCCCCTCCGGACCATACATATGGGTTGTTACAACCGTGAGCGTGGACCCCGATGAGGTCGATGCCATGCTTTCAACTGCCAAGCCGGTATCTCAGCCGGGCTCATAATCTGCCGTCGGGTCCAATGACCTATCGTCTGCGCCAGTACGTTCGCTCGCAAAGGAAGACGAATGAAATCATTGTATCCTGTCGCTCGATCGAAACCTAGGTTGGTTCCGACGTTCGACGCTGTGAGTCCGATGAGGGGAATGGCCTGCAGCTGAGGATCATTGCAGAAGGGGGGCTGCGTGCGGATGATGCGCACTAATTCGTAGCCACTCATTTCGGGTAGGGAAGTCTATGCGATCATCATCAGTTGGTGAGTGGATCGTAGTAATTCCAACACACCGGAAAGACTGGCTATATACCTTGACGAGTATAATATGGGGCAGGACAGGAGTCGTGGCCAAGTGGTCAAGGGCTGCAGTGCCAGAGGTAATGGAAACCATCTCACAGCCTAGCTTTCGACCCAGGTTCCGAGCTAGCGCCTGACTGACATGACTAGAGGATCGTTGTCAGCCATGTCTACCAACAGTAAATGAGGGTCTTCACTTGTTGTCAACGAGTAATAACTGCATTCCCAGTGTAGTCTTTTGGCGCGTCAACGAGATTCGTTGCTGTCTGAAGTCGGCTGTCTGAAGTCAAAGTGAACGGATCCTGAGGTGTATTCGATTAGATCATTAATGCTGCTGGGGCTGTGTCGGGTCCGTGCACTGCATTGTATCAGATCAGGTGCTGGCCTTGGCGTGGTGGAGGATAATTACAGTGATGGTTGGTATGGATAGCAGGCGTTGTATAGTGGGTAAGAGGCACTGCACTTCTGTTTGACTGTTGGTCAAACGCCGTCGCCGACCTCCAAAGTAGCCCACACAAGCATTTCATTCTTCCGGTGAACTGAGGCCTCTGGTAAAGGTCGGCTTTCTACTCGTTCTGTCATCCAGTTTCATCTTTTCGAATCTTAGCAAGGCTTCCTGTTCATTCTGACCAAAAGACATCGGAGGTACTCGCTGGCTTTAGATCCTCTTCTGTCTTAAGCTCAGTGACGGACTGGCACTGGTCTTTGCAGCAGGAACAATGAGTGATTCCTCATATCAGTTACTAAGCCATACGGTTCTGTTAGCAATCTGAGACGCATGCCACCGATGAAAAACGCATCACGTCAGCAGCTGTATCCATCTAAAGCTTCAAGGCTAGTAGAAGCCCGACCTCCAGACAACACAGCCGACGCCATGTCTCTCAACCTGTGGCAGCATCAGTTTTGGTACGTGCTAGGCGTGTTTTTGAAAGATCATGCAGCTGACCAAATTTTGAACAGTACACCAGGATCAGCTCAAAAGCCTCTCGCACTGACATGACCATCATTCAAATCGCAAATAACCTCTTGTTGTCGTCCTTGAAAACCATCACAATCAGAGCTTCTGGTCAGGTGATAATTAAACAGAGACCCGGAAATTTCGAACTCTGGATTCATCGCCAAGGCATCAGGCTCTGTCAAGTGCGCCGATCCTGGAGACTACAATGCCAATCTTACGCCCCCTCAGAGCACGACCGCCGAATTCAGGATGAACCTATTCTTACAGCACGGCCCTACAACAGCAAGTCTTGAAATACTCCTCGGATGTGGATTTACTACAACGTATCAAAGCACCGTAGTATTTGTTGGTGGGACCGCTGGAAGTAGCTAGAGCTCGCTACAATTCTCAGTCGGAAAGTCTGTCAGTAGATCTTCCAGTAAAGGTTTGCCCACTTAGCTTTCCATTCAGCATTCCAAGCTCTACTCACATTCCAAGCTCCGCTCACATTCCAGCTCCACTCTTCCAATCCAACGCTACAAGCTTGTGTTGCTTCTCTCAGTCGACCAACCGACTATTCTGCTTTCCGGTCCATTGCTAAGATTCTACCTGTCAAGATCGATCCTCGTTATACGCGGCTGTCGGGCGCATAAATCCCCCAAGAATAAACTCTATTAGCAATCGCAAGACCGACTGACGGACGGAAACCCACGGATGGCAACGAGGTCAACACCTGCTTACTATCATGCGACTGCATCCAGTGGTGGGATGTGATTAAACAATGGCAGACCTTCCAAGAGGTCAATGCGAGCTGCATACAGTGCAATAGCAAGGCCATCCGGTGGTATGGTTTCCATCTGCTTGTGGAAAGCCCATCTGGTGCTGTGATGCCTAAGGTATTAACAATGCTAAATTTAGAAGCGCCTTCCCTACGTCAAGGGGGGCCCGGAACCAGGTGGCTTTATTGACGGACGGCAATAATGCGCCCTGCGGTCCTAATTCTGCCTCTCAACCTTAACGAAACTTCGGGACAGCGGCTTCAAACATTCGCAGTTGCTACCACTTATCCCTAGGCAGATGGATCCCTTGCTTCGAAACCAGACGTATTGTTTGAGTACCCATTAATGGTCCCTTGGTACCGATACCGATTTGACAGGTCATTTCTACTTCACCCATCCAGATCTAGCAAGGAAACTCTCATCTAGGCATGGTGTCTGTCCCAATGAGTAGCCTCGACTACATATCGAGTGTCTGGCAAGGTCACATCGCATCTTGATCTTCGAACCTCTGTCAGAAGACAAATCGAGGACGCTGCCGAGGTTGGACAGATCTGTTCAAAGGCAGGCTAGCTGCAGTGCGCCACCCAAAACATTTTTACCCCTTCAATATTGTGTAACCACAAGATCAGGATGACAACTAAATTGAGTGCCATCATGCCCTCCTCCAGGCCAGGCAGTCACCCATCTCCGAGACCATCATCGGCAGCTTCTGGGTAGTAGGTTTGGAGGCCACAGAATGCTTTTTGGGGACTGGATGGGTTTCGGTCAAGACTCGTATTACCTGCGCCGCCTTGGTAGGTATACGAGCTTCCGCATTCAGAACCTCACTTCCCATTATAGCAGCACCCATTACTGGTAGGGGGTCTTACGATGAGCACAGCAAGCTCAAGATATATAAAAAAGGCCAGCCGACCCCTCCATCACCAGTATCATCACAACCTCTTCAAAGCACTTCCACCTCATTGACTATCTACTCATCAACCTACTCATCCCCCTCCATCAAGATGACCAAGATCCTCGCCATCCTCGGCGCCCTCGCCACCGTCGCTCTGGCCGCTCCATCTCCCGCAGCGGACATCGTTCCTCGCGCCTGCACCACCATCCTCCCCACCTCCATCGACATCCTCGACAGCGCCCACCCCAACACCGCGAACGTCGGCTCGCACTTCAGCCTCCAACGCTCCGGCTCCCCAGTGACCAACAACAAGATCTCCGCCTTCACCTTTACCAACATCCCCGCCGGCGCCACCGGCTGCACCCTCCAGGTCAACGTGCCCGCGCTAGCCAAGGCCAACCAGATCGCCTCGGGCTCCAACCAGGCGGAATTCTGGACGACCAACGCCTGGACTGCCGCCAACGCGCCGACTTGGAACCACCCGCCGACTCGCGACCAGATGGTTTCCACCTTCCAGTTCCCGACGGGGGTGACCACGACCCCGACGCAGCAGAACTTGGCGTCGAATACCTGCTCCAGCACGATGAGCTTCTTGGCGCTGTTGAGCGATTGGCAGGGTGCGGCGGGACAGGTGGATTTCACTCAGGGGGCGAACCTGGGGTTTAAGTTGATTTTCAATTGTTGAGTGGACTTTTTTGACAGGAAGGATGGGTTAAATTGTTGGGCTGGGAGGATGGACTAGGACTAGTGAGGGTGAGAGGAAGTATGGGTTTCGGGTTTGTTGTTCGGTGAGGCTGGTTTACATGCCGCTGTCTAGAGTGGTCTGCGCTGCTAATGGCAACATATTAATTGAGTTGTTTTAGTTGCTGAATCACGCGATATTCACGAGTATGAGCCGTTCAGCTCTATGCTGCCTTAGATATCGAGGGCTAAGGACCCAGAGAAGGGCAGATGGGCGGGAAAGTTCGTTTAGTATAGAACATTTCCATGTTTGAAGAACATCAAACCAACCACTAGAACCCATAGTTAAGACCCTTGGGAACTGAACTCGGATAGTCCGGTAAAGGAAAGTCAAGCTGGACGTACAGTATACTAATTATAGCCGCACAACAAAGAAACCACAGCTTCCGGCTGATCCCGTCTGCAATCCTCGCCTCTTCCTGCTCTTGGCGCTTGGCAATTGCTTCCCCATCGCACGCTTGAGCAACGAAATGCTAGAACTAATTAACACAGTCATGATATCCATCGCTGATACAGACACACTCCATCGCGACGAGGAGCGACAGGATGAAACCCAGAGACAAAAGTCAACCTGACCACGACAGCGCCAAGAAGGCCGCGAGGCTGGCAAATCCTTCCCCTGCTTGGCGGCATTACGGGATTCCGTCCCCCGGTCCCCGTGAAGGATTGTCGCTAATGCGAGGGATTGTGCGGGGTCGGGAGTGAGACGCTTGTTGTGACCGGTACAGTATTACCGATGTGTTCGCTGTTGACTGCGTTCGAGTGTTCTCCTGCTCCTGGCACAAGAAGCGAGGGGTGGGGTTCGTGTTTGGGTTCTGCTGACGCGGGGTTTTTATTAGAACCAGTGTTGACGAAGAGTCATGGTATGTGACTTACCGGTTCCCAAGCTATACGTCTCCCGCAAGCATAGCTATCTATCAGCTCCAAAGCCCCACTCTCCACAAGTATAGCTAGTGTATCATCTCCCACACCGAATCACGCCTCACACATGCGGAATGAAGTTCGTCCACTCCACCGTCTGAAACGAGCTAACTGGCAGCCTTCGCAGACTGATGAACGCCTCGATGATGATATACAGCCTCGCCGGGACCAAGCAGCCACTAATCATGGTAGAGATGATATCGAGGACCCAGGGCTTCCAGCCGGGCGGTCGCTCCGTCGGCTGGATCCAGATATACGTCAGCGAGCGATGGCCCTTGAACCCCAGCGCGGTCAGGGCCACGCGCACCGTGGTCGCAAGCGGCAGGCCCGACGCCAGGGTCAGAGCACCAATCCGCCACAACAGCCGCTCCGTCGGGGTCGGGAACAGGTGGTTCCACCCGAGGAGGTGGATGGCGGGATGGATCATCGCCTGCACGGTCACCAAGACCCAGGTCTGGCGGCTCATGTCGGTCACGGGGATCTTGTCGTCGGGCATGCGCTGCAGGGGACCTTCTTCCTCGCGCCCGAATTTTTCTAAGGTTGGGCGTCGGTGCCACCGCTGCAGCGGCTTCTCGACGAAATCGAGCGGGGTGTCCTGGAATTCGTCGACGGGGGTGCTCCCCGCGCCGCCTTGGGCCAGGATGGCATGAACGCTGCCGTACTTCAGATCGAGGTAGGTGGGGACGCTGACGTTCTGGGGCTTGTGCATCCAGAAGTAATAGCTCATCATGGTCGACAGGACGAATCCGAGCGAGAAGAGCTCGAGCGGGCTCACGGCCAGCCCCTGGATCACGCGGGCGATGGACTGAACCGCCAACCAGAGGGTTTGGACCAAGGCGACGCATTTCGCGAAGGTGTCGGCCTTGCTCTTGTCCCAGATCTCCTCTTCGGTGATGGTCGGACACTCGATGTAGTCCGCCTCGACTAGGTATTGCAGCGCGGCGGAGGTGATCGGGAAGGGGCGGTAGTCGATCGAGCGCAGCACGAAGCCGCCGCTGTTGGCGTAGAAGGCGTGCTTCAACGTCCAGTGCTTGTATCCAAGCCGGTGCATCTGGCGCACCGCCTGCTGGGCCGCCTCCCACTGCATGGCGGAGAAGTACACCAGCAGGTCCGGGGCCAAGATGGCCAACATTCCCCAGCGGATCTTCCGGCACATGTTCGCCAGGAAGCTGTCGTTCGGGCCGGGGATGTTCAAGTGCAGGACCGTCCACAGCGCGGTGGAGAGCACCAAGCCGCAGCCCCAGAGGATGTCAATGCTCCCTCGGACATTGGGGGCATCCACCCAGCCCGCCGTTTCAGTCCCATTGGCGACCATGATCAGCAACCAGTCGCTGACTTTTAGGGGGGTGGGAAAGATATGTCTACAACGAGCGCAAACGAGCAAGAAATCAGCAGGAAAGCGCATATGCATCAGTGAAGTGAATGACTCTCGGGCGACCAGCGGTTTTAATCATTTTTTGTCTCCCCTGCTGCGATGTACATCCCCTCACATGGAGCAGAGACTAAGCGACAGCGCGGACTCAAACTCGGCTTGGCGTTCATGCATGAAGAACTCCGAAAACAGACAAGTGCGGTGGATGGTGAAATAGACGATCAGAAGGAGGCATTCATTGATTTGGCGCGATGTCTTCCCGCGGCACACTCGATTGGCCAGACAAGTCTTGACCCTGGTGGTCACTATATTTTCTCCCGCCTGAATGGCTGAAACCCGTGCTGATTATTACACGAGGTGATTTAGTTACTGTATGGACAGACTACCTTACTATCAGCTGAAATATCGATTTAAACCCCTCCCTTCACATGGCATGCTGACAGGAGCCATGCAGAATGCGACCCTCGCAGAAAGTGCCAACCGAGGTGGTCAGCAAGCAGACAAAAAGTGGAGCTCCAAAGGCTGGCTAGATGGCTAGAAGGCTAGATAATGGACCTTGCACGGGGATAATACGGCTGGATCAATTAAGCTGCTGGCAAAGCATCCCGGGGACCCTGACTAACTACCTTACTAGTAAGTAACTATTCCTCTGAGACACTACACAGTCAGTAATCAACCAAGTGGAGCACGGCAACTCTGAGGATAAGCCCCGGGATGGCTTGTCCCCAACGGGAAAGGATGGACTTGCCGGCGCTTTAGGGTCATTTAGCTCTCTTTAGCCCACTTTCGGCGCTGCTCGCTGTCTACTGTTCCTTTCGCGCATTGGTGAGATGCTCTTGGGGGCCAAATTGCGTCTCCACCGGTCGGAGGTGTTGCTTCAAGTGTCCTCATTGATTGCAGTTTGGGATTTACAAGAAGTCTGCTGCCGGCCTTATCAGGTTAACTACCTATACTCAGATCAGTATTCCAGCTGCAATAGACGCTGCAATAGAGGTGCATACTAGGAGTATTCAGTATTCATCACGGTATGACTGACGACAATTGCACAGCCCGCATGCCATCGGCCTAAGATGGCAATGACTATCACATCTGGTCCGCCACGAGAATGAGCCGTTCAAGGGATATCCCTGTCACGACCGATTAGTGAGCCTCTCGAGTTAACTCCCCTCCCTACCTATCGCAGTTAATCTATGTGGTTTAAGACACTGCGCTCTCCATAATCCCGTCGACGACTTCATGACAATGCTGACAGCCTGACATGGATGGCATGCTGGAGACTACTAAGTTCTACAAAATTCCCCCTTGCTTGGCGTGCTTGACCCGTCTATGACCGAAGTCAAAGGCCTTGTAATGCAAACCGGGATTCAAGGTCGGACCTGTCACCAGCTTGCGTAGGAGTGAGCCTGCAGGTGTCGGGCCAAAAAAGCCTGAACACCGGTCCGTACCTGTAGGCTAACTATCAGCCTAGTTATAACAACGGCGTATAATAGGGGCGGGCCCCCAGTCACGGTGCCATGCGGTGGTCGCTGGGCACGTGGCGTGCAGGTCCCCCGGCCTGTCTGTGCCACTGCCACAAGAGTCGCGCTCTACATAGTTTACAGGTCGCACAGCTGGTGGGGGCGAAATTGATGGTGGCATGTTTCCCTCGCAATGGGTTTACATTGATCGTGGATCTCTTTCTGAGGGTGGTCTCGGGAGCTGGAGATAGAAGGCGCAGTCGATAGGTGCGGATGGCCTGTGTCTATTGTGTTGCAAGTCGGTTATGATGAGCTCTGGACTGATTTCTGGGAGGGGTGAAATTGAACGGCACTGCCACCCCTCTGCGCCATCGGAGGTCCTTGTTCACTCGACCCGGACGAAGGTCAAGCAGCTGCGTAGCTGTTCATGGAGGGGTATTGATGAAGTCAAATCACGTTGTATGGGTAAAATCCATGGAAAAACAGAATCACATTGCTAAAGTATCATCAAATTGCCAACAAAGAAACATGAGTCACTATACCTAAATCTCATGCAATGAAAAAGGGTATGACAACGCTAAATACAGAAACGAAAGGCTTCTGTACAGGCTTCAGCCCACCTCCGTGGTCGCGCGGGTCGTGCAGACTTCTAGGTGCATCGAGTGTCACTCTTCCGCAAGTTGAAGCCGGAATCACATTGTTAGTGTCCAGATTGGGATCAGCAATGTCATTGACCGGATCTTAATCTCAGTCGACAAGACTGTTATGACAAAACGAATTTCGGTAGGAGTCTCAGACCACTCAGTGGGTTGTGCAGGCTTGACATCAGAACAAAGTGTGCGAGAACAATGCCTGAGGAAACAAAGCGAGGTAACAAAGTTCGAGAAAACAAGGTCATCTGCGAAGAGTGTCAGCCCACTCGGCGCTTGCGCAGGCTTCTTGGGCTTATCGACAGCGTCACTACTTTCTTCTTCGTTTGGTAGTCAGGGTCGGCGTCAGGATCGTCATGGTATTCATATCGACATTCGTATTCGTCGCGTGAGGCTGGAGAAGTTTCACTCTTCTGGTTCGAGTCAGCGTTTACTTCGCCGTCTATCTCGACAACTTCTAACCCTGAACAAGCTTCACTGCTCTGGTCAGAGTCCGCTTCCGAGTCCTCATCCCCGTCGCTTGATATGGAGAAGGTATCACTGCTCTGCTCACTGGCAGAACCCGACTCCCCACTCGACCCAACCTCCCCGTTATACCCAGTCTTCAGCTTTAGCTTCACCACCAACTCACCTGGTATCCGAAACCAATCCGCCTCACGCAAAAAGCCCGGCAACTGCTCCTGCTTCACCTTATACCCTGGATGCAGCAACAACCGCCAACAACGCCTTCCATCCTTCAAAACCTCCTGATCCATACCATACACCCCCTTGATACGGCAGACCCAAGCCGCGATAGCAAGCCCCGTCGCCTCCAAAACCGCCCAGCCCGCGAGATCCGGCTCCACTGCCCGTCCGAGGAACCGACGGGGCACCACTTTGTACAGCACCGCGGGATTGAGAATGCGTTTGTCCGGGCTGAGCTGTTCGACCGGCAATGTGCAGATGCGGACCAGTTGGGACACGGTCAGGTTGCGTTCGACAACGCACCGCAGTGCCTTGTACCAGGCCTCGTCCTGGCGGAGCTCATCGAGCAGGGTGAGATATTCTTGTTGATGGTTCTGGAGGGCGGCGAGCTTGGCGCGCTTGTCTGTGAATGGTTCCATGGGATGATGATGTGATATGGATTGGCGGGAGGTGATGCCGGGCGCCGGTGATGTTGACCCCTCAGGGGAGAGTATACGAGTGTTTTATAGCTGATGGTTGGTCTGTGAACAATGGAGGGGCGGGTTGAGGGTTTGTGGTGGGTGCGATGATGGAGAGAATCTCCATCTTAGGTTGAGGTTGGGGCGTTATGGTGCATTTGGGTGTTACTGGAAATCTCCTGCAGACTCGGGCATACAGTGAATGGTTTTCCTTTGATAGAGGAACTGCGGCTTGGATGGGTGGTCGAGGGAGGCTCGGTGCGGCCCTGGCACAATATCGTCTCTCGTATGTCTGTCGATTTGATTCACTGCTAGTATTGGTTACGGGAGATGGCTTCTATCTGATGGCTTCTTGACAGAGCGTGGCTACCTAGCCACTGTGTGACCTGCGAATATCCCGGGATGCATCCTCAGGAGCCGACTCGATAAAGGTTCCAATGACATGGCCAGGGGCTTTATACCGTAGACCTGTTGTTCTCGATGTTGCTGGTTCTTCTGATTATCTCCACTATACGGATTGTGCGTTGCTCTCTGATCATACCACGTGGTCAGGAGTCCACTTCGTTCTATACTTCTTTCTATTAGAAGAGTCCTCTGATGCGGCGCAGTCTCTGGTCTTTTTCTCTAGGCTATACAGTCAGGTCTGTTCTTGCTGGTGTAAAAGAAGACTGATTAATTGAATGATAACGAGCTGAGGTCTAGTTTGAAAAGACCACGCTTTTCTTGTCTTGTTTTGATTTCGTTATCATCTTACTACGGCTGGATCGGTTTGGTCATAGACACAGAAGAAGACGCGAATCAAAAACTGTCAACATTGCGGTGAGGGTCGATCGATCAAAAGGATGCAGTCTGGAGAAACATTGAGCGAGTACTAGGCAACACCACCAGCTATACTACTCCATACTTATTCTTTATAGAGCTAGGTCCCTCGAAAGTGTGTCAACAAATCGTCTTGGTGGCGCAATTGGTTAGCGCGTACGACTGTTAATCGTGAGGTTGAGAGTTCGATCCTCTCCTAGGACGAGTTTATCTTTTTCTTCATCATTTTGTTCTACCACACCTGCCTTGTCAATAATGCATACGGCGTACATACGGAGTAACCTGACATCTAAATATAGTAAAACATCTAGACTTTTACTTGGATTGCACAACCTCAAATTGAGTTTCCAGCATGATGTTGTTTTCTCCCCGAAGCAAAGCTTGTCTTTTTCCGAACGAGTGGGTCTTAATCCCCGCCGTAACACCTACGTCATTTCCCCAGTATCCCATTTTCCCCAGCATCCATTCCATCCATTCCGTCCATCCATCCATCCCTCCATCCCTCCACTGTAACTCTCATCCCAGCTACCCTGCGCACTCACAATCGCATTGAAAGTCTATCTATCCCCCCGATCACCGCACGTGTCTTCCTCCCCAGGAAAGAAGGGAAAGAACCGGAATGTCCTTCCAAGACCTAGGAACCTCCTTCCTAGGCGCCTTCCAAGCCTGCGTCTCCGTTCTGTTGACCCTCTTCTACGGCGTCGTCGCCCGCTACGCCGGCCTCGTCAGCGAGACCTCCATCAAGGATGTCTCGGGCTTGGGAATAAAGCTGTTTTTCCCCGCACTGATGGTCGTGAATCTGGGGTCGAATCTACATGCGGAGAGCTTTTTAAATTATTTGCCGATTTTAGGTGCGTGTTACTTAGCCCTTATGCCTTGCTTTTCATCCAAGGGGGGGAAGGGGAAGCTGGGGTTCGGTTGGGGGGTTGCTCTGTTGATGGGGTGGTGTCCGGTTCATAGGGATACTTTCCAGTCAATCCCTCCTTTTAAACCAAGGCTCCGCTAATTTCAGCAGTCTGGAGCACAATTGTCGTCTTCGTCTCTCTAGCCATCGGCAAACTCGGGGAGCGCGTCCTGCGTCTCCCGGCTTGGGTGACAGCCGCCTGCGCGTTCAACAACACCACCGCGCTGCCCTTGCTGCTGATCCAGTCGCTGGAGAGCACGGGGAGTCTGAAACGGCTGCTCGCGGAGGGAGATAGTGTCTCCGACGCGGTGGACCGGTCGCAGAGCTACCTGCTGATCTGCGCGGTCATCAGTAATCTGTTGACGTATGTGGTGGGGCCGAAGTTGTTGCAGCAGGCGGATAATGATGGTGATGATGATGATGATGCTTCGGGCGCGGAGGGGGGTGAGCAGGATGAGCAGAGTGGTAGGGAAGGGGAAGGGGAACGTGACGACGAACAAACCCCCCTCCTCCCCGCTTCAGTTCGCGAGAGAGGCGCCCAGCTCCAACGGAAGTCCCGCGCCGCGTGCGCCCCGCTCCTCCGCCTCATCCCGGACAAAGTGAAGGAGGAAGCGCTCTCGTTCGACACCCCGGTCGTGTGGAACATGCTGCTCGGGCTATTCCTGGGCGGGCTGCTGGGGCTCACGCCGCCGCTGCACCGGGCCTTCTTCAACAAGAACGAGGACGGGGGCATCTTCAACGCGTGGCTAGTCCTGAGTATCAAGAACATCGGCAAACTGTTCACGACCCTGCAGTTGTTCATCGTGGGGAGCAAGCTGGGCGTCAGCTTCCAGAATATCCAGCGCAGCGCGAAAAGCGGGCATGTGCCGTGGCGCGCGGTCGTGTTTGTGTTTGCCGTGCGGTTTGTGCTGTGGCCTGCGTATGTTCCTCCCTTATTGTGTTGAGTGGTGGGTTGGGGTGGGATGCTAACGAGTGAATGGGATTATAGTATCAGCATCTCACTAGTCTACCTCTTCGCCTCGAAGACATCCCTCCTCGGCGACGACCCCATCCTCTGGTTCAGTATGATGCTGATGCCCACGGGTCCTCCCTCGTTGGTCATTTCCGGGCTGGCTGAGCTGGCTAATGTGTCTGAGGAGGAGAAGTTGACTGTTGTCAAAGCGTTGACGGTATGTTTTTCATCTCTGCATTCGTTTTCTCTTTATTTTCGCTTGCTTCTCGTGTGCGGGATGTTTGCTGACGATGCTGGTGTTGGAATGCGCTGCAGAGCCAGTATTGTCTTTCCCCGTTCACTTCTTTCACAGTCGCGGGGGCGTTGCATGTTTCGGAGAAAGTTTTTGTGCGGTCGGCGAAGTAGATCTTGGTTGGTGGGTAGAGTAGAGGAGAGTTTAGGGTATGTGTCGGGGAGTTCGATTCTGGCCGTGGTCCGTGGGAGTGAATCTGGCGATGGGAGGTGGTAGAGTGTGGAGATATACTACAGGCTATGACTGGTAGACGGGCGGCGCATAATACTTATCAGTATATAGGCCAGTGGCTGGTGATAGACCGGATCTATAGTTGGATATGCGCATGTTATCAGTAAATACGATTGTCGCACATACAACAGGATACAGTCCTAGTAAGGCGAAATCAGTATACCACACATACCAGAGGCATAATCAGCCTATCCCACAAACCAGCGGAACAATCGAACCACTAAGAAATCTACTGATCAAACAAGACCCCCGGCTGGACATCCCCCCAAAAGACAAGATCCCCATCCCCAAGCAACCCCACATCACTGACCCCAAACCCAAACTACTCCCCTGCACTTCCGCTGCAGCACCCCGCAACCCATTAGGACTAGGCATAGACACTCCCTCGCCCAGTACGGTGATCGCAGCGCACCTTGTCCTTCCGACAAGGCTCGCATGAGGCGGGTTTGCCATTGCGTCGTTGAATGGCTCGATTTGCCCCGGTCATGGCGTTGATAGAGATAGCACGTTCGCGTTTGTTCTTGGACGCACGTCATCATCAACTCTGGATGCAATCAAGATCTCTCCTTCTCGGGACTTGCTCCATATCTCTCAGCTCCATTGTAGCAATAATCACGTCTTGAAGCATACGCGTGATGTTGTTATGGTTGTTTGCTGTCCAGCTTATCGCGATTCCTCGATTGGTCTGCCATCGGCTTGTCTCGGCGTTCGGTGTTCGGCTTTTGGAGTGATGCCCGAGGCCTCTATTTCGCTGCCTGTAGCGTCCTGATGTATCAAGCTTTGGTTGGCAGCTCAAGGACCCTGCGGAAAACAGTGCAGCAGTATTATAATGACTACGGCATGCGCTGTCAACTGTCTTAAAAAGTTTGAGATCCCAACACTGGCAATCATCTTCTGCTCTTGGTCACATTTCAGGGATTGTACCATCTCCGTGACGATGGTGAGCAGCGCCAAATCGTCCAAGATTCAGTATGACCTTCCGGGTAACTACTCAACTGAAAAGACAAGGTTTCTCATAAGGATGTCGCTCACTTTTCATCTTTGGACCTGGCATAAATGCATGAGACTGGCCGGCTCTTCCCCGGGAACCAGGTCGGTCACACTACTCGGGAATAAGAGTCAATCCCCGGGTCGAGACCAATTCTCCTCCTACTTGTGTCACCCATGATCGGCCAACCTGGCGGTGGCTTGACCCTCACCCAGCTTCAGCAGAACCTCAAGTCATTACGAGCCTCTGCACGAGCGCCGAGGGCTCCCTTGAGCGGGGCCACCGGGAAATGATGAGGGGCTTCGGCGTCTCGGTGTCTGCTCTGAAGCGGGTGAGATGATCGTCTCGATGTATAAAAGCCGATATCTGACAGCCGGAGCGACGCTGTCCCTCCCATCTCCTCTGGCCAGCAGCATCAGAACATCCGCACCGTTCCAAGCTATATTCTTCACACCATGACGCTCTCCGGAAGCTGCCTCTGCGGCAATATCACCTACACCGCCGAGAGTGCGTGCACCCATCCCGAGCTAGACCGGTGCTAATCTCCCGCAGCGGACGAGTACATCACAGCGCTCTGCCACTGCACCGACTGTCAGAAGGTGCGCCCATTCGAAAAGAGAAGTGGGCTACGCTTCTGAGCAGACTATACTGACCGCATGCAGTGGACTGGTGGCGGGTTCACCTCCAACGCGGTCGTTTCCCGCAGCAGTTTCAAGATCACCAAGGGTACGTGCAACAAGGCCACTTCAATCCTACGCCATGGATGCTGAAACGTACAGGAACCCCCTCCTCGTACGACGTGACCGGGGCCAGCGGCAAGATCAACAAGCATTTTTTCTGTCCGACCTGCGGATCCAGTCTCTACACCGAGCTCGAGGTCATGGCCGATAAGACGGTGATTAAAGCGGGGACGCTGGATAATGGGGACGCCAGTCTAGGGGGGAAGATAGATGTCGAGTTCTATGTTAAGGATCGGCCTTTGTATCTGGCTCCTGTTGAAGGGGCTAAGCAGGACCCGCGCTTTCATTAGCGGGGACTGTCAATTAAGGGGACTTTTTATTGTGCTATTGAGGTGTCGAGATTATCCCAATCATTGTTCATAGTCTGTCCTTGACGGTTAACTGTAGAGGTTGTCTGTGTTGGCATACCGTCACGATGAGGGCTAAGTTAACAAGTGATGGTTCCGTCCCGCTTCTTCAACGCAGCATCTATCCTCTTGAACGCCAACTCCAGGTATTCTATCGGGTGCGTGAACACAATCCGGAACCACCCATCCCGCTCCGAACCAAACAGCGCTCCACTGGCGAGGAACACCTTCGCCTGCACCAACCGCTGCATCACCCTGTCGCCCACCGCACCTCCCGCCTCTTCGGGGTGTAGTTCCACAAACCGCTTCCCCAGGTTCACCCACAGGAAGAACGCAGCGTTGCAGCCAGGCGCATATTCGATCCCCAAGTCCTGCAGACGACGCGCTGCGTATGCATACATCTGGGCCAGCTTCGCTTGGTTCGCGACGATGTACTTATCCGTGAACTCGACATCCTCGAGCAGCCGTGCCGCCAGGTGGTCGGCCGTCCCGGAGGTGTACGAGTAGAGGGAGATAGCGCCTAGCGCGGTGTGCACATCGCGATTGCACTGCGAGATGATCACGCCCATCCGGAGTCCGTTGGCGCCAAAGTCCTTGCTCAGGCCCCAGAGCACATGCACGAGGGTCGGGTCGATGATGCCAGCCAGGTCGATCGAGAGCGCGGACTCGAACGCCACAGGCGCGGGAAGTTCATCGACGGTGTTCTCCCACACGGACAGCGCGTAGATCTCGTCGCTGACAAAATGCACCCCATACTTCTGGCAGAGTTTCATCAGCGCCACCAGCACGGGCCGCGGATAGCACCGGCCGAGCGGGTTGTGCGGGTGGCAGAGCATCAGCGCCTTGACCTTCCGGCCGGTTTCGCGCTGAAACTGCAACAGGGCCTGCTCGTACTTGTCGACGGCCCCGAGGCTGAATGGGTCGCAGTCGTCGAAGGCGACCTGCACCACGCACGCCCCGAACCGCAGCGAGAGGTCGGGCACGAACGTCCCGTAGAACGGACGGCCCAGGAGGATCCCCTCCCCGGGGTCGGTGAAGGTCCAGGAGATGTGCTCGATGGCCGGGGAGACGCCGTTCGTGACGATCAGCTGGTCGTCCTGCACGGGCACGGCCGGGTGGAAGTTCCGGTTGAGGAAGCCGGCCATTGCGCGGCGGAGTCGTACGGATCCGCTACCACCGTCATTGTAGGTGAGGTATTTGGCGGGGAGCTCCACGCTGCGGTTGAGGTGTTCTAGCAGCGTCTCGTGCATCAGCGGGTTCTCGGCCACTCCGACGTTGACGTAGCCGTTCGGGTTGGTCGTCGCGCCCCAGGGGTCTTTCAACACGTCCCAGATGAGGTTGTTGCCGGCTGTGCGGATCACATCCTGCGCTCGTTGGGAAACCTTTGCGGGGCGAGGTGGTGTTGAAGCCATGGTGTGTCTGGATGGAGAGTTGGTGTTGGCGAAGCAGGTAGGTGAAGTGTGAGCCCGCCGATGGAGATCATATGTGATGCCATGGCAGGGCGATGACGCTCGTGAGCACTGCTGGCAAGGACCCGTGCGGCCAATCGGATGCTTATCAAGCCAGTCGGATGATGAGGAGGAGGTTCGTGTCAAAGTCCCTTCGTGTCGAGCCGAACTGAAATTAGGTAGACCTGTCACATCGTATCGTGAAAGCGTTCGTCAGGCGCAGACTGGCAGGCTCGGTAAGACGCGGGACCAGAGTTGGAGATTTGGAGCAGCGCTGGAAACTGGGAAGGTTATGCCAAGACTGGCGATTGTGGGGTTCTTTGGAGACGGTGGATCGGAAGGCGAAGCATTGTTGGTGGACAGGTTGGTGAAGCGGTTGAAAGGGGAGTTTGATAGAATTGTTGATGAAAAGGGTTGAGATATTGGAGACGGTGGTGATATCTACTTGCGATGGAACTTAGTGCATGGGGGATGAAGGAGCGGCGTTTGAACTAAGGAAGAGGAATCATCTAGATTGGCTGAAGAAAAGGCCGGCTCATCTTAGCTTGGCTGCTGCGATGATGTCAGGAGAAACGTAGAATATAAAATTCAAAAATCGAATCGTAATCAACAATCGGGGCAATGGCGCATCTGGGAGCGCGTCAGACTGAAGTTCCAACTTCGGCCGCAGGACTCTGTCCAGTAATCTGAAGGTGGCCGGTTCAAGCCCGGCTTGCCCCATTTCACTTTTTTTTCTTCTTTTGTCTCTTCAGTTTTCGATTCTCCACTGATATTAACATTGTTTTTCTTTTCTTTTTCTTTTTTTTTTTTTATGTCTGTTGCCTGGCTTAATAATAACGCCATCTTTATACCATGTATCATATCCTCTTTCCTCTGCAGGTTCAAATTAGACAGTAGTGCGGTCGGGTTTGTCCATGACCTCCCATGCCCTCAGTCCATAAGGATATCTATATTACCTCACCCCAAGCCGTACAAGTTATGGACTCCGAAACGAAGAGTAAAGAACTTATGCATGATGATAGATTGAAGATGAAAAAGTTAGATGAAATACGAATTATAGTTTATTGACAATGATACACTATTCTGATAATGACATGCGAGGCGCCTGAGGTGTCTACTAATACGTACTGACCTTTGTTTCCGTAGGTCCGTGTGGGCGATTTCCTAATCGGTAGCTGCCGTCAATCCCCACCAGCTTCTTCCATCCAAGGCTGGCTCACTCACAGCCACTGCAGCTTCTACTCAATCCTCCCCAGCTCAGAATCGTTTATAACTTGATCCATCTTGCTTCCCATGACTCCACAATCTCCCGCGCCTCGTCTACCAGTCCCAGATCGAGCAAGAGCTGGATCGTGCCTCTAAAAGCCGAATCTACCGCCGATGATAGCCACGCGTGTGTATAAGCTGTGTGCTCTCCGATGAAGACTGTCTTGGCTTCAGTCCGATATATTGCAGGTAAGAATCTCTCTTGTTGGTTGCCGAGCGGTGATGCCCAGGCTCCTCCCTGAAACTCATCGTCTTCCCAGCACAGGCGTTCATGAAGTCCTACCACGCTGAGAGTTAGTAGACTTTTAAAGCAGATCAGGACGGAACACAAACCGGTGAATTCCTCATCCGCAACCTTCCCATGAAGGTGAACCATCCCTCGCTGTGCTAAGGCGACATGATCTACCTCTCCTAATGCAGACATTGTTCGGGCCAAGTTGCCAGTCGTGAAGGTGGCCAGCACCACTGCCGGACCAGTGCTATTCACTTGATACGGGGGATAGCACATGTCACCAGCGCCGGGGTACCCTACGCTGGCGCAGCCTCTGTATTGTGGGTCGTTCCCTTCCTCCCAAAAACGCGTCCGGTAGTGCAAAGCAACCTTACAGGCTTGTGTGAAATGCAGTTCATGAATGGCTCTATCCAAAAGCTCGGAATAGTTTGGCAACTCCCAAGCCCGAACCATACTGAATGGAGCAGCGACGACAGCATAGTCGTACTCTTCGGCGACAAAGTCATGGTGATGTGGGTCGTTGCGCCACAGCAGAGAGATTTTGTTTGTCGATTCGTTGTAATCTAGTCCGTGAATGCGACGGTTCAGCGTGATTTTGCCGGCAATATGGGGCGCAAATGCCCTCGGGAGCGATTCGAATCCTTTGTCAAGGGTTTGCCAGGAGGAAGCAGAGAAATACTTGTTCCAATACAAGCTTTCCCAGATAGGCGTGTCGTCGTTGTCGGCGATGTAGTTTATCATCTGGTTCTGCGGGCTAATCAGCTGGCGCAGGTATGCGCCTTCTGACCAGTGTGGACTGCCAGCAGACAATGCACTTTTATGTGCTCGATACATCCTCTCCGCTAAGAACTCGGTATACTTCTGCTGCTCGTCGACATCAAGGTCTTTGAGCGTAGGGCTCGGTTCTTCTTCACCAGGCATGAGTTCGAAAGGAAGAAACTCCATCTGCAATTCTGGGTGGTGGTCTGCGTTGAGTCGATTGAGCTTGGCGATAAGACTGATCACCAGCCGATGGTCCTCGAACGGCAGGACCTCGGTTGTACCGGTGTACCTGATTTTGCTGGGCAGCCGCATGGGACCCATATCGAAATACTGATAATCCTCGGGCGAGGTGGCATTGAGGTATGCGGTTCGGATGCGTCCCCCCGAGCGCCGTGATGCCTCATGGATATGCCAGTTGTGGACCCCGACCGAGCTCAGCAAGTGACTGGTCAAAAGTCCCGCAATCCCTGCGCCCACAATACCGATACTGGAGTTCTTCGCTGCAACGCTGTCTACTACCGCCCTGGCGTGGGGTTGCGATCGCATGTATTCGACTCCGTCGAACCAGATCACAGAATCTTTGTCGAACTGAGATTCTTCTTGAGGGTTATGGGACGCTTGATCGAGGGAGATAGGAGGCGACCGGCCGACCATCGCGCAACCGTGAAAGGCAAGTAGACACTGTGATTCCTGTGCATTCTCGGGTACGATCCATACGAGGCGATCCGGATGCGCCCCTGCTTGCACGTCAAAGCTGCCTACCCTGTGGGTCGCATCGGCCGCCTCTTCGAGATTGCAGTCTCCATAGATGATATGGAGCTTGCCTGCGAAGCTATCCTGCGCGAAACCGAGCTCAATGTTTTGGACCGACCCAGCTTCAACAAGATAAGGCCCGAGAAACTGAACTAAACTCGCTTCCGAGTCGCTCTGATGTGCGTTCGCCTTCACCTTTGCTCGCCCGAGAGGAATCTGCAAACCTTGGACCAGATCGAGGCCCGATGTGAGAAGGAGTACCCATGAGCTGAACTTCATATTGCGAGACAAACCAACGATTTAGATAGTGCCGAGCTACTAGAAGTTTCGCCCAATTGTGTACTCCAATCCAGCCTGATCGCCCGGAGCCTTTATGTGTATGTTGTATTAGGTTTCTTTAGTTACTGCAGCCATTCACAACGTCATTTCGCCGAACAAATACATTCCGAGCAGCCAGTGAAGGCTGCTTGTGGAAGATTTTATCCTCATTCGCATCAAGTTTCATACTCTGTGCTACTCGACGAGTGGTGGGGGCGATCACTCGCACGGAAATCTTAACTCTATTCTGTCGACGATGCATAGAAATGTGGCGATCGCCGCCCTCTTGCCTCAATTGGTGATCTCAGCATGGTTTTAATCATGCACTAGGTTTTGGCAACACCGGTTTGAGGCAATAATTAGCCCTTGGAGGTTTTTTTTTTTTTTGGCAGCCCAGGCACTGTACGTTTTGCATGCTTGCTGTTCGGCACTACGTTTTACTAGATCTGGACAGTCGTGCATAAGAACGGATTTGTATAGAACGTGACCATGCGGTACTATCGAGCCCTGGGGCGTCATTAACACTACACTGCGTCTAATCCCCAAGAATTGTATTTCTTATCCCCAATAATTGTATTGCCGATCTTCTCGGCTAGCATGTCTGTATGAGGTCAGTACCAACGCAGGGTAGCCTCGAATATGGTTTGACTTACAGACTGTACTTGTGGGATGGCCAGGAGGCAGGATAGGGAATGCACTTGCGTCAACTACGCGCAGTCGTTGGACGCCGTGAACCCGTGCTTCGCTATCGACGACCGCCATCGCATCCTCCCGAGCGCCCATCTTGCATGTACATGAAGCATGCCACACCGTGATCAAAGAGCTGCGAATGACATCAAGGATCTGCTCATCGGTCGTCACATTCGTTCCTGGATAGTACTCCGGACCCGTAGTGATGTTCTGCAAAGGATCACTGGCCCAAATGTCTCTGGTTCGTTTGAAGAGAGCCAATGCCACCTCGATATCGGTCTGGGTTGTTAGCCAATTCGGATTAACAACTGGAAGATCTGCGGTGGAGTTAGATACGAGGGTGACATTTCCTCGAGATGTTGGTGCCACGAGAGCACCGATTATGGACGCGAACTGTCGTCCATCTCGGGGCTGGTCTTCTGCGGGGTTGCTGTAATTTCCAACATGCGCATCGAATGCAATATACTGGAGAGAATCAGTGAATGGTGATGCTGAAGGATGACAGAGCAGATCATACCTCAACCTGCGGCCAATCAGCTGGGAACCTGCTCAATTCTTCCTGAGTTGCGGCGGAAAAGTTGTCTTGATAAGCAGACGGGAGATTTTCCCAGCCAAGAAGGTTAGGAGCATAAGCCAGTGGCCCATCGTGGGAACTTTGATACCTCAAACTCTGCGCAGTCAAGTAGGGTGGATCAATGAAGAGCTTGGTCAAGGTATCGACTGCCACTGGATAGGATGGCCCGAAAAAGATATGATCCCACATGTTCTGACCGACACCGGGGAGGTCGACAAGCAGGGGAATGTCCAGATCCGCCAGATGGCCGCGAGGCCCGATGCCGGACACCATAAGAAGTTGGGGCGAGTTGAAGGCTCCAGCGGACACAATGACTTCCTTGGCTGCGGATGCAGTCCACAGCTTCCCATCCGTCTCGACCTCCACACCCTGCGCGTTACGCTGCTCATCGAACAGAATACGCCGCGCCAGAGATCGAGTGCAGACAGTCAATGATCTCTCATCAGAAACACCTAGAAGAAAGTCCGAGCTGCTACGGCGCTCGTCAATAGGGGAAATCTCCGAAGCAGACCATTGCGTTCCCATCAGGCTGCCGCTAACAAAGTCATTGGTCTCATCAATGCCGGATGCCTCTAGGCCTAGTTTCGCCCAGGTGGCGAACGATGTTCTTTCGTTGCTGTATGAGATCTGGATTGAGCCCTCGACGGGGCTCTCGGATGCGAACGCACTGGCATTCCAGTGAATCGACGTATTCTGCAGACCTTTGACCGTACTGGGTGGTGTAAAGTGGAACGTTCTTTTGAAGAAAGGCAGGATCTCATCCCATTCATAACTCGGGTCCTGGGCAGCTTCCGCCCAAGCGTGATACGTTGACTTCGTTCCGCTGCCACATTGGTCAATATTATGCATAGGCGTGGTGTTGTACGCCACTTACCGCTGATAGATCATGGCGTTCATCGCAGATCTACCAATACATCAGCTTAGTCTTTTTGCGAAGAGAGACATCCGCTTACGAGCCACCGAGACACTTCCCCCGTGCATAATGTAACTCGCGGTTGTTAGCCCCGGCTTGGGGAGTGGTGATCACGCCCCAGTCCACGCGGGGATCAATTGTGTCAGGGCTTCCTCCGGTCAGGGCACCGAACATGGAGGGGATGGTGAGGTTCGCGTTCTCGAGCTCGTAAATCCCGCCCGCCTCGACAATCAAGACACTGTGGCCAGCCTGGGACAGGCGAGCGCCCATCACATTTCCCGCCGTGCCGCCTCCTACGACGACATAATCATAGACTCCATCCTCACCGCAGTCAGCTGCGACCGGGTTGGCCAGTGACAGCAGTAGGGGGGCAAACGCAGCCACTGAAAGCAGCATCTTCCTTAAACCAGAAAACGTAGAAATTTAGGTACAGTCCAAATGACCAACTGCCTTGAAGAAGTCGTTGACCATTAGCCCCCTCACCTCGAATTTATACTCTTTCCTCTCAGCCGCATATGGTCGCTCATCTGGGACCAGTCACATTTCACAGCGGGTCTCTGGCCCTGCAATAATTCTGCACGGTGACTACCTCCGTTGAACAATGCCTTGACTGGAGTTGGTTATCCCTTGCTTGGTTTGGCTGTTGCTGTCGCAACGCGGTACTTCAACATGTCACCTGAAACGAATTTCCGTCCATGCCTAATAAATAGGCTGTCAGCCGTGTCTATGTAGTCATCAGCAGACGAACAACAACTATTGACTGACGTAAGCTGCGAGGAAACTTGGAACTGTCGCCGTGGAATTAAAATCCAAATTATATTGACTAGGTACCTGAGTTACCTTCTTTGCGAAGGGGCTTTGATTCGCGGTGCTTTGCAGGATCCCTCTTAACCAGTCATACAATTTACTTGACACTGATAGAAAGAATCTAGCACAGAACACTCAGCGAGGGAATACATGCAGCCAAGCCCACAATCCCACGCATAGAAGCAATATAACACTCTTCCCCCCCACCCCCCAAGACCAAATCCAACCGAAGACAGAAGCACAATACTCCACCACCACCACACAAATACCCGAAACCCCCTCCCCGCCAAATCAATCCTGATCCTTCTGCCTCCCCGAAAGCATCGAAAACGCAACCACCGAGAAGAAAAGCGACAGGAGACCTGGATATAGTCAGCAACGGACTGTACTGCACCTGAAAAATCCGGAGTATGGAGGACGCAGTATTTCTCTTCTCCTGTGCAGTGATAAAGGAAGGGGTTAGGCTCACCAAAAATAAAATTCAAATTTCCATACCCAACGCGCTCAACCAACAAACCCGAGACAATCGGGCCGAGAAACATGCCGATCGTCCAGCCCATCCACGCGATGGACTGCGCGCGGGAGTGGCCGCCGTTGGGGCCGAAGATGCCGGGGTGTTTCGCCTCTAGGTCGTTGATTGTGACTATCCAAAATCCCCGATACAGAAATTAGCTTTGCCGTAAGCATAGGGTAACAACAGCAACAAAAACCAAAGAAGTTACTTTCAAGGGGAAGGGAACTAGGGGGGCAGGCAGGCAGGTAGGCAACTTACGCGTCGCCTCTAAAAATCCCACCCCATTAAGCGGCGAAAAGAAACACCCGATTACGACCACTGCCACAACATACAGCACCATCCCCGTCTGGGTGTCTCCACTCGCCCATGGGAACCGTGCGTCTCCTGGCACCCCCAGGGCCCAGAGGGCTGGGACCAGACACAGAAATCCCACGCCGGTCGGCAGCCGCGTGCCGACGCGGTCCTTCAGCCACCCGCATGCGGGCGTCAACAGGATCCCGGGGACTTGGAGCCCCACGAACAGCAATCCCGCCGGAGCACTGCCCCAGCCGAAGACGTCGCGGATGTGCAGGGGCAAGGTGGTGTCGAAGCTGGCGATGAGCATGGCGCAGAAGACGTAGGAGGTGATGGCGGCGGTGAAGCGCGGTTGGCGGAAGAGGTAGCTGTAGTATGCCAGCCCGGACTTTTCGGGAGTTCCTGCGGTTGCTGTCGCGCCGTTCGGGTCTGGGTCCGGGGTTGCTCGTTGGTGGCGCCAGGAGTCAGTGGAGATGGTGCGGGAGAGTAAAGGGGCGCGTTCAGGGTCGGTTGTGGAGGAGGGGGCTTTGTGCGGAGCTGTTGCAGTTGGTCAAGGGTGTGAAGCTGGAATAGAGGAAGAAGCGGTAAAGCACTGACTTGGTTGCTGGGGTGGGCGCTCAATCATTAGCAGGCGCAGGCTTGCATCGACCGATAGTACGACGAAGGCGCTGCTCCATGCGGCCCAGTAGCCCCCATTCTCTAGGATGATCCCCGACAGCACAGGACCCATGGAGGTCCCGACGGCAACGGTTACAGACAGCACGCTCATGACCCTGCCGAAATGGCTGGCTGGGAAGGTCCGGCCGATCACGGCCAGGCCGCCAATCCACATGCAGTTGTCGGCGATGGCTTGAAGGAACCGCGCGATGAAGATGATATATACTGTTGTCGTTAGCTGGTTGGACCGATATGGCGGAGAAAGAGGGGGCCGTACGATTACGCGCAAGTGAGATGCTGATGGTACAACCCGTTGCTAAGACCACAGAGAACAGGAGAAACGCCCTCTTAGCTCTCCAACGGTCTGCCAGAATACCAATGAGCGGGCTAGACACGGCGGACGTGAGTGCCGTGTCTGCCAGCACGAGAAACGTCACCTCCTGTGTCTTGTTCCTGTCAAGACCAATCCGGTCTTCCAGCATGTAAGGAAGCAGCGGGATGATGAAACTCCAGAGGAACATGCCTGTTGTAGTGGTAAGCAATCAATTCTGGCTGCCAGATGGCCTGCAGTGCCGTTCACGCAGGAACTCACTCCGCATGATCCCTAAGGATACCGTGGCCAAGATGAAAGTTTCGGAGCTTCTCCAGCGGTAGCCCCATGGTGTCGTCTGAGGTTTATGGTCGGCCATGATTCTAAACAGCGGGTGAAACTGATCTGTGAGAATGCCATCCTGAGGGTCGTCCTAATTTATAGCACTATTGTGCCATCCATGAGCTGGTATCACAGATATGTTGATAGAGGTGGTCTCTATTATTGATAGAATACCGACAACAACCCTTGTGCGACAGGAAGACAGTTTGTGGTGGGCAACATCAAGGAACGTCGTGACGATCGAGATTATTGTGAACTAAATGGGCGAGATGCAGGAGTCTCGAGCCCGACCTGCTGGTGCTGACAGGCCATACCGCAACTGCCAAACACCTCACGACAGGGTACATGGGGCTGATCGGATAATCCCTTCTATGTAATGCACGGAGGAGACCAAGGGTGTTTCCCGGCAAGTGTGTTTCACACCTGCGCCACCATACTGCTTCAAGTGGCGTGCAGAGGTGGAAGTGATTACAATGAACAGCCTGCCGAGCGACGGTTGAGCGCCCGGGATGGAATGTCGAGCGTTGCATCGACTGAGCGCTTCATAGTGCGCCTTCGCGTTCTCGAAAGAAGGACAAGTTTGACGTCATGAAGAACCTGGCGGCTGATATACATAGAATAGGTGCAAAAACCTGCGTCGAAGGCACATATACGGAGATAGTGCAAGATCAGGATGAAAGCTCTTTGTCATCACGCAGGTCGTAGTTAGCCTCTCGGTTGGGCTGCCCCTACATTCCTCACCTTGGCGCTCGGCACTGCAGCACCAATCATGCGCCTTGTCAACCCCATTCGAAAACCTTCATCGCGTCATCTGGCATTGTGATGTCATATCATGGAGCGAAGATATTCTCCGGGTACCAAATCCAGCGTTGCGCGCAGTATAAATGTGCAGTTGAATATACCAAGCAGTCAGTCGAGTCAGTACCTGGTCCAGAATCCAGCTCAACCTGAAGATATCTCGAGCATCTCAAGCATCTCAACATGGTCCTCTCATTATATCCAGAGCCCGTCAATCCAAATGCTCTTGTAGAGCCTTGTCCGCATCTGACATATCTCCGCCACTGCCTCAACCTGGCCAAGCTGTCACCGCCGCGCCCCAATCTCTTCCGAGCCGGGGCAGTGCTGGTCTCACGCAAACTCGTCCGGGGTACCAACAACGAGCTTTACAACGACGACCGGCTTCTCTCATCAGGGTACACGATGGAACTGGCGAAGACTCCGCACGCCGAGCAGGCTTGCCTCTCCAACTATGCCGCTGTCCACGGGATGTCGGAGGACCAAGTCGGAGAGGTTCTGCCCTCAGAACCCGATCGCACTTTGGTCATGTATATGAGTTTTGAGCCATGCGCGAAAGACGAGCACAATACTCTTCCCTGTGTGCAGAGAATCATTGACACGCGAACGGGTGGCCGCAAAGGCATCGAGAAGGTTTATTTCGGGTCGTTATCGCCTTCCACCCCGGGCAGGTCATCGGCACGTCAGATGCTCGAAGAGGCCGGCATCGAGTGGCAATTAGTCGAAGGTTTGGAGCAAGACGTTCTGTCGATTGCCAGAGAAGGGTATGTGGGTAAATAAGAAGGCTGTGGTTGATGGTTGATGCAACTACTTACTGTGTATTGTCGAAGTCCCTGGGGGATGGGTTCATTTTATTGTTTGTGATGTTTGTATGATGGAGGATGTAATGAGTTCGTCCACCACATGATAAAGCTTAGTCACTCGCTGGGGTAAATGCACTCCCGGTCACGGAACAGATATTCCTCACATGTGCTCATACCTCTCTTGCTGCATCTATCTGTTTAAAACAAGCTCGAAACCAATTCAAGGCTTAAAGCACTCATAGAATCAAGCCAGAAGGACGCATACGGCACATGAGCTCGCATCACACCGTTTGAACTTCTTCACGCTAACTGTAACTGCGGAGACTTTCACCTTTTGGGCAGAAGATCGACCACTGTCCCTGTTCTTCAGTTTCGCTCTCCACAGCAGTCCCCACAAGCTTAAACACTTTAGGCTGCAATTCTGGGTTGCATATTGCCCAGATGACGACGCCTCTTACCTCCGTCTTCTAACCCGGCTCTATCTCTATACGTGCTTCGTATGATCGCACTTGCCGGCTCCTCACTACCGGGCCTGACGCGGCTTTCCAATCTTCATCCGGCTTGGAAAGGCCTCAATGGTTGCTTAATCACCACGTTCCTGAGATTAAGGTAGCACTAGGTGGAAACACATGGTGGACCGGGTTACGACGCTCGAGGCGGGTGGTCAAAAAGCTTGAACGTTGGTGAAGAAGTGCGGCCTACTATAAAATGTCGCAGTATCCCGCAGAGCAATCGAGTTCTCGTCCTCAAAACACACCTTCCGTTCGTTCTTTATACTTAGTCCTTCCTTCGCCATGGCCAAGTATGTCACCTTGGCTATCTCCGCTGCGGCCCTAGCTAGGGCCGCCAGTCTGGAAGACATTTGTACCCCGGCCTACGCCAAAGCAGCGGTCCCCTCGACCGGTTTGGTACAGGGAATTGTCACCAACCCCTCCAGCATCACCGCAGCTCCCGTCTACAATGCATCCACCGCCGGATCTAACTACTATCCTGCCGGTACCTACGACTACTGCAACATCACGATGACCTACTCTCACGCGGGCAAGGATGATGAAGTTCTACTGCAGTTCTGGATGCCCACCCCTGGGGACTTCAAGAACCGCTGGGTCTCGACTGGTGGCTTCGGATTTGCCATCAATGTCGCTACCAACGTCGCCGCTGGTCTGCCCTACGGTGCCGTCGCCGGCCGCACCGATGGAGGATTCGGCAGCTTCGACACCCAATTCTCCTCTGTCTACCCCCTCGTCAACGGCACCGCCAACTACGATGCCCTCTACATGTTCGGCTACCAGGCCCACCACGAGATGTCCTCCATCGGCAAGGCTTTCACCAAGAACTTCTACAACATGACCGATAAGCTCTACGCCTACTACCAGGGCTGCTCCGAGGGTGGTCGCGAGGGATGGAGTCAGGTCCAGCGCTTCCCCGAGGAATGGAGCGGTGCCGTGATCGGCGCCCCGGCCATCCGCTACGGCCAGCAACAAGTCAACCACCTCGTGCCCCAGGTCGTTGAGCAGACTCTCGGCTACTACCCCCCCAACTGCGAGCTCTCTGAGATCGTCTCCCTCATCATCGACGGATGCGATGCTCTGGACGGACGCAAAGATGGTGTCATCGGACGCAGTGATCTCTGCAAGTTGCATTTCGACCTCACCTCGACCGTCGGCAAGCCCTACTCGTGCGCTGCCAGCACCAGCATGGGCGTCACGACCCCCGCCCAGAACGGCACTATCACCGCCGAGGGCGTGCGCGTGGCGCAGACGATCCTGGACGGACTGAAGGACTCGGAGGGCCGCCAGGCGTACTTCTGGTACCAGATCGGCTCCGACTTCACCGACGCGGAGACCAGCTATGACTCCACCACCAAGACATACGGCATCGACGTCTCCGAGCTGGGTGGCGAGTGGGTCACCCACGGCCTGCAGCTGCTGGACCTCGACAATTTGTCCAACCTCGACAACGTGACCTACGACGTGCTCCGCGACTGGATGCTGGAGGGTCTGCAGCGCTACGAGGATGTTCTGCAGACGACCTGGCCGGACCTGTCGCGCTTCCAGGCCGCCGGTGGCAAGGTTCTGCACTACCACGGCGAGTCGGACAACTCGGTCCCCGCCGCCTCGTCGATCCGCTACTTCGAGTCGGTGCGCAACACCATGTTCTCCAACGCCACCTACAGCTACGAGGAGTCCATCAAGGCGATCAACGAGTTCTACCGCCTGTACTTGGTGCCCGGCGCCTCCCACTGCAACACCAACTCCCTGCAGCCCAACGGTCCCTACCCGCAGGACTCGCTGAACGACCTCATGAAGTGGGTCGAGCAGGGCATCGACCCGGTCACCCTCAACGGTACTGTTCTGTCGGGTGACTACGCTGGCGAGCACCAGGATATCTGCTCGTGGCCCCTACGTCCCCTGTGGAAGAACAACGGCACCACCATGGAGTGTGTCGAGGATAAGGCGGCGATCCAGACTTTCCTGTACGAGCTGGACGCCTACAACATCACCATCTACTAGGCCAGCCAACTGTTGTTTATATGGCGGTTCGGTTGAACGAGGTGGTGGAGCTACTGTACAAATAGTTCGATTCGCTGATCTGCAAAGATCCTGTATTTAGACTGGTTGCATTCTTTTGGTGATGTGCCAGAGATCCTCTATCACTGGTTGTTAGAGTGATCTTACTGTATTCATTGCTCAGCATAGATCCTGGAACTAGTTAGACTATAATTCAACCAGTGTTCAGCCACTCAACGGACAATCAACTAAGCCCCAACATTTGCTCCACCTGAATCTCCTTGTATTATGAAATGATGAATGGATGATGGTGATCAGCCCGAGAAATGCCTTTGATATCGAGCGCTACTGGCTGGGCATGAAGCGTAGGCACGATGTGTTTTCCTAGAAAATTATGATACTACCCTGCGTAAGTCACTCGCCGGTACGTGCGCTGGTGTGTAGTATAGGCAAATCATAAAATATAGAAGAGATACCGCTGTGTCCAGTCAACCTAGGAACCAGCTCGACAGATCGTCCTCACTGCTCAATTGAAACAGGGCAGCAAAAATTGAAGCCACGATGTATGTGCTTTGTACTTAAAGTTATTGTGAGGACTTTTATGGCTTGAATTGGAAAGTACTGACGGAGGAAGGAGGGAGGGGGGTGCCTTCCTTGTTTCTTCTTCTTCTTCTTCTTCTTCTTCTTCTTCTTCTTCTTCTTCTTCTTCTTCTTCTTCTTCTTCTTCTTCTTCTTCTTCTTCTTCTTTTTCTTTCTTCTTTCCACCCACATGCGGCTGTCATTCTTTCGTGAAAAGGGATAGCTTTATCCATCGAGTTCAAGATTCTGCTCCTCTAGGCTTCATTATTCCATTGGTTATTTTTATAGCTTCAGTACCCAAGACCCCACCAAACCCCCACTAGAGCTCCACTACACTCGCAAAAACGAAACATTCCAAAACCAGCACAACACTCGCGAGAGCCATTCATTCATTATGAAGCAAGCAACCAACCAAAACCCCTACTCCCTCGCCGTTATATCCTCCACCGCTACCGCTTCGGGCTCCTTCTCCTCCTTCTCCCACCCCAGCGCGGGCAAATCATCCCCAAACAACTGATCCATCTGCTCGAGCGTCTTCCCCTTGGTCTCGGGAAAGAAGAAAAGATAACAGCCCATGGCGATCACATTAAACACAAAAAACACATAAAAATACCTAAATCCGATATTCGTCAACGCGGTGGGGGAGAACTGCGCGAACACCAGATTCACCGTCCAGTTCGTGAAGGTCGTGATGCTGTTCCCCTGGTTGCGGATAGCGACGGGGAAGATCTCCGCGGGGTAGACCCAGCTGATGATCCCCGGGGCGGTGTAGAAGAAACTGAAGACGAAGTTCATGGCGACCATCGCGCGGAGTTGGTTGGTGTTGTTCTCGTCCCAGTGCTGCGACATGGCGGCGTTGCACACCAGCGCGCCCGCCATGCCGGCGGCGGAGATGATAAGGGGGCGGATGCGGCCGACGCGCTCGAGGGCCCAGAGGCCGATGGTCGCGTAGACGATGGAGAGCGCTCCGGAGATGCCGACGATCATCAAGGTGGTGCGCGTGTCGAAGCCCAGGCTGGCGTAAATGCGGGTCGCGTAGTAGTTGATGACGTTGATGCCGGACAGGGGCCCGAAGGCTTGCACGCCACACCCTAACATCAGGCGGCGGCGCCACGAGGGGTTGGTGAGAATCGCCGACCAGGTGATCTGATGGTGCGCACGTTCGGCTTCAATCGTCTCGCGGATCTCCTGGTACTCGGCTTCGATGTAGCTCGTCTTCTCGGGCGTGCCGTCGCCGTGCAGTTTGTGGAGGGTCGCCAGAGCTTCTTCGTGGCGGTCTTGCTCCATAAGCCACCGCGGGGATTCTTGGAGGAACCAGACACCCGCCATGAGGACGAGGCCGGGGAGGCATTGGAAGGCGAGGGGGAAGCGCCCTGAAGGAGGATCGGGGTTAGTTTGGGGTCATGCGAAAGGGAAGTGGTGGATGACGCGTACATTGAAAAGCAGTATTGTTGAACGAACACCCATAGCCCAGCCACTGCGCCACCAGATACCCCCAGCTCAACATCCACTGCAGCAGCCCGGACATCATCCCGCGGGTCTGAGCCTCAGCCATTTCACCCGCGTACATGGGCACGGTGGCCGTCAGCATGCCGACGGCGACGCCGGCGATGAATCGACCGATGATGAGCATGGTCATGTCGACCGCCCCGGCCTGCAGCGCACATCCGACCACCGAAATGCATGCTCCGGCGAATACGGACAGCTTCCGGCCTAGCCGGTCACCAGTGAAAATGTTGATGATAGTGCCGAGAATGGCGCCGCCCTGGAAGGCGGAGACCACGCCTCCCGTGACGGTGTCACTGGGGTTGGAGAAGTACTTGATGAACTCGGTCTGAGCGATCGTCGAGGTGACGATACCGCTATCATAGCCGAAGAGGAAGCCTGTTGACAGCAGACTGCGTTAAGGGATGTTATCAAACCGGGTGGGACAGAGACATACTCACCCCCGATGGCCAGGAAGACGGCGGACAACAAGGTTGAGATTTTAGGCATGGTGCTCGATACGCAGAAGACGTCGATCTCTGGAAACCCTCGAGCAGAGGCAGAGTCTTCGTCTTATAAGAAGCGAAGCTGGCCGCGCGAGGCCAAGTGGCGGGTGACTCTTAGCTTGCCGCTCATCATGCACGAAGCTTTGTCTCGCGTGGGGAACCGGGAACCTGGACCATATCCGGGACAAAATCTGGGGTGGTCATGATCAGTTCTCTGTCCCCTCATGGGCGGATCCAAGCAGCGAAGCCGACCAGAATAGCCGAAGAAAAAACGATGGGGTACTCCCCAGCCCCGATTCAGGCCGATTTCGGGCCCCTCTGACCCGAGACCGGGTCACGCCCCATGGGGGAGAGTGGATTTTTGGGTGGAGGTGTCAAGTGTGGCACGGGGGATTTAATCGTTTTACCCCAATGGGTCTGGATTCTGGCAGCTTCAACGCTGCAGTACTGTTAGTGCTTGCGAGTCGTGCCAAGGTGGGGCACAGGCGGAGTGGGCCCTAAAAGGAAGCCAAAGGCATTGGTGCAGACGCTAACCCTGACGAGAATCGGAAATTCCGAGAAATCGTGCCTGTTCGCGAGCCTCGCCTGTCCACGGCATGGCCCTCGCCTCCATTTTTCGTATGAGTGGGTGTAGAAGTGGGGATCAGAAAAGCACTGGAAACCGTTCTCCGAATTACTGCCCGTGCGCTGCCCAATACCTGTCCTATGCAAGTTGCTAAGTTCCCGTTGTCTTGAAAGCTCTTTTGCTAGGCCATTAGCTACGACTGACCTTCACAGTGCCCCACACTAGACACGCAGACTGACTTCCAGTTCAAAGCACTCGGGACCGATCAGACCGAGATACGAGCCCACTGCATCTGGACCGTCTACTCCGCCGACATTCGCGGCCCCCGCGGGAATCAGACCAATGCCGTGGTAGTGCAAACAGATTAACTCCTCTCCAACTAGTCTAACCTCTATGTACAAGTGTATCGTTGAATCAGAGCTGCACGAAGACCGAATACGCGCCGTGAGTTAGCTGCACGTCATCTCCATCCACAGCCTGCTTCGCTTCGCCCGCGCGAAGATATGCCGAGTGTCTTGCATTCTTGGGCAATTTGACGATAGCCGTCGTACCGAACGGCACCCGCAGATGGAGCGTCACCGCCGCTTGTGCATTGCGCGCAAACTCAATACTAATCAACCCGTACGGGCTGTCCACGCTACCCTGAACGTGGTCGAATTCCGCTTCATACGGGGGGTCTACCACGAAGGTCCGATACGCCAGTCCGATCGGCTTCAGCCCCAACACGACAGCGTAGAACCACTCATAGATCGTCCCCAACATGTCGTGGCATTTACTGCGACACGCATCTTGCCAGAACTCGAGCAGGGTGGTTTCGCCACGCCGCAGGAACCGCATGTATGAGGGATGTTCCTCCTGACGAGCCATCTGCAGCACCAGATCGGGCCGCTTGGCATCTGCCAGGGTGTTGAACAGGAACCGCAGCCCGATCTCGCCGGACCGCATGCGCCCGTCCGCGACATCGTCCATGAACGCGGCCATGACATCGTCACGATGCTCTGGAGGCACCATCCCGAACTGCAGAGCCATCGCTTGCGCGACAGCGTCCCGGTCGCGTTCCGGGTAGTTATCCAACGATGTGTAGTATGCCTTTAGGCGGGACGGGTCGTCAGTCACCAGCAGGTGGCGATTGTACGCAGCGTAAATACGTGCTGCCCATTCCTTGAATTCGTCGGCCTTCCGCGTTTCGCCTAGCTCCCGCGCCATCATTTCCACGCACTGCAGACAGCGGTAGTAGATGGCCGTCTCGATGTTGGCCTGGTTGTTGCCGTGGGCAATGCCGCGTCCCCAGTCGCCGAGGCCGTGCTCGATCAACCCACCTCTTCGCTCCTTGGTGCGCATGTATTCCATGTAACGCACGGCGGCAGGAAATACCTTGGCAATGACGTGCGTGGAGCCGTAGTATTGCCGGAGGATCTCGGGGAGGAAACACAAGGCACAGCCCCAGGTGATGGTATCGTGAAGTGGTCCGCACATGTAGCGAATCTCGGGAGCCATCGTAGGGACTAATCCGCTGGGTTCCTGGGCGTCGAGGATGTCGTCGAGAATCTTGGTGTAGAGCGACTCCATGTCGCGGATATACTGGGTCGCAGGGGCCAGCAAATGGGTGACCTCCAGCCAGCCGAATTTCTCAATCTGCGGACAGTCGGTGTGGTAACTGAACAGATTGCTGTTGAAGGTCCAGTAACATGCATTCAGCAAGGCGTTCACGTCCTCCTTATCGGTCTTCATCGTCCCCAGCCGTCTGGCGGCCGACGAGATGTGGCGGCCGACGACAGATAGGATCTTGGGGCGGCCGTCCTTCCCGTCTAAGGACACACCTTCTACTTGGATATAACGCGCGCTGGTGAAGCTGAAGTCCGGCTCCCACACCTCGGGGGAGCCCGTACCGGCCAGATATATGCGGGAGAATACGCCCGTCTCGAACTCTTTGAAAAGGGGATCCGGCATCAGCACAGTGCCATCCTCGTTAATTGTCTCGCTGTACCGGACAATGACCTCCGATCCCGCAGCCCCTTCCACAACGACTTTGACCATGGTGGACGCATTTTGGCCCAAGTCGTAGCAGACGACGCCCGGGCGGGGACTATGCGTTTTGACCGGCGCGAAGGTCTCATGCAGAACAACGGGAGGTTGAGTTTGGTAGAATATGTGACCGCGGGGACCGGTGAGGGGTTTAGCTGGGGCCCAGTGGGCATCATCGAATCCAGGTGCATCCCAGCCGGTCGGATACAGGCGACGATCGTGGGTCTCGGAGGCATAGATGTTGGCAAGCAGAGTGGCGCTCTTGCTCACGCGCCACGTGGGATCAGAAATCAGGGTAGTGTGCTCGCCGTCCTCGTAGAACAGGTGGAGCTCACTGAAGAAGCACAGCTCATTACCGTAACGAACATAGGTGTTATCCTCGTACATGGGCCAGAAAAAGCGATCGTCGCCCTTGTCGCCCGCGTAGAAGCCGTTGCCCACGTGAGCGCCCAGCACATTCTGGCCCTGTTGCAAGTGGGCAGTCACGTCGTACGAGGTGAATTGTACACGACGGTGGTAGTTGGTCCAGCCGGGGTCGAGGCGGTGGTTGGAGGCCGGTCGACCGTTGACGCTCATATTGAAATGGCCCAGTCCGGATGCAAAGAGGATGGCGCGCACTGGCGACCGAGCGAGATCGAAGGACTTGCGCAGGTAAATGGGTTTGTCTCCTCCGTCACCCACCCACACAGCCTTCCAGCGGTTGGGCTCATCCTCGAACCACGTGCGGAAGATGAGCGCGGTGTGAGGCATATATGTTTGGTTCATGCTGTAGGGAGGCAGCAGATGTGAGCGGGGATACGCTGTGAAGAAGTGGTTGACAGCGCTGTGGAAGGGTTGGTTAGACTGATCCCAGACGGTCACCCGCCAGTAGTAGCTGCATGTCGACCGAAAGCCGTTGTCAGGCTTGCAGATGATGTTTCGCTGCGCGTTGCTCTCGACGTAGTCTGAGTCCCAGGCCAGACTGGAGGGATTGGCATTGTCATCGCGAAGACTGGACTCATCGGTGGTCAATACCACGCGGTAGGCTTTCTGAGAGGCATTCGGCTGCAATGACTCGATGACCCAGTAGAAGCGGACCTCATCGACATCGATGCCGAGGGTCTCTTCGAAGCCATGAATCCCAGCTCTGGTGATTTGCATGGTGTGTGAAATGGGTGTGATTCTGCGAAAGGCCGGCGATCGGCCTCAGCTGGGACACAATCTCATTTTGTCTGCTTGTCAGCACCAAAGAGGCAAGCATTTCCAGCTACCCCTCCATCGCCCCTCCATTGCCCCTCCATTGCCCCATCATCGAAGTGGGACGATGATGGAGTCCGTGTAAAACAAGTGGAGGAATTCTCGCGTGAATTGACCCCGAAGGAATGACCCCGAAGGACGTGAGACCAGGCTAGTCCACTTCGGGACTTTGGCATTTTTAGTTCCAGATTGCTTAGTCAGTCAGTCACGGGTCCCTCAACTGCCGCTTTTTGCTTCCGAGAGGTCTTCCCCCACGTTCCCTCTTCCCCACGGGGAATCCTGGTCTGTCCTCGTGCTCGCTTGCATGGGGTTCGAAACTAATGACAGGTTGGTACGTGACATTGTTTCCGCCCAACTCAGTCCTGCGATGGGTTTCGTCGAATAAGATAATCATAACAAGCCCAGTCGGACTTTCCGGTACATACGGGACATCCGTTCACTGTCGATTCACCGCCAGCCATACCACGGGTTAGCATCCGAGGAAAAGTTTGACGGAATCCCTCGTCTGACTTGGCAACTTTCTAGTTTCTTGACGACCGGTCCTCTTAGTCACTATGGAAATTCCAGGAAACTCTACGCAACGTTGGCAGGGACCTCGGATTGTGGACTGGCGGGCTTGGGCCCATCCTCGCATTATAAAATGAGCTCCTATCCGGTTCAACAAGAGGTATCCAACAGGAACAGGAATCCTCACTTACAATCAAAAAATCCTCTCAGGCAGCATTGGCTTTCGTCATGGGGAAGTTCGGACTTGCTCTCGGGGCTCTGGCCCTGCAAACAGCGATGGGAGCGCCTACCGGCCCCGGTAAGAACTCCAGTTACGTCGACTGGAGACATTTCAAAGCCCAAGGCGTCAATATGGGCGGCTGGCTAGTGCAAGAACAAACCATCAACAGCGCTTGGTGGGGGGAATATGCTGGAGGAGCGTCGGATGAATGGGGCTTCTGCGAGAACCTGGGCGCACAATGCGGACCAGTCTTTGAAGAACATTACGCCACTTGGCTCACCACGGCCGATGTCGACAAGCTCGCCCATGTCGGAATCACCGCCCTGCGCATCCCGACTACCTACGCTGCCTGGATTCACTACCCAGGGTCCCAGCTCTATTCCGGCAATCAGACCCAGTACCTGTCGAAGATTGCCAATTATGCTATTGAACAATATGGCATGCATATCATCCTCGATATCCATGGACTGCCGGGAGGCACCAATGGCTTGACTATTGGGGAGGCGACTGGACACTGGGGTTGGTGGTACAACCAGACCAATTTCGACTACTCTCTGCAAGCAGTCGACGCCGCAATCGACTTTATCCAGAATTCGGGCCACCCTGAGTCTTACAGTTTCGAACCCGCCAACGAAGTCATCGACAACCGGAATTTCTCGGTCTTTGGGACTCCAGCCGCGCTCTCGGACAAGGGAGCGGCCTGGCTTCTGAAATATTACCAGGCCGTGGTCGAGCACGTCGCGGCAGTCAACCCCAACATCCCGGTCATGCTGCAGGACAGCTTCAAGGGGGAGCGCTTCTGGTCCGGCAACTTCTCTGCCGATGCCAACATTGTTTTCGACAGTCACAACTATTGGTTTGACGACACGGACGCCACCTCCGCTACCTTGGCGGAAGACCTTTGCACCCGCGCCAAGTCCATCGCGGGTGACGGCAAGTTCCCTGTCTTTGCCGGCGAGTGGGCCATCCAGGCGGGCTCCAACAACACCTTTGCCCTGCGCGAGCGCAACTTGAATACCGGTCTCCATGCCTTTTACCAGCACACCCAAGGCTCCGCTTACTGGACGGCCAAGTTCTATGGGAACGGAACGGTGAGTGGACAGGGGAATCAGACGGATTATTGGAATTTCGAGGGGTTCATTGATCTGGGCTATGTGCACCTGGATGATACGAGCTACCAGTGCTAGGTTGGTCTCTCCGCTTTGGTGTAAATATTTTTGTTGTATATGTCTAGGATACCTCGAGGCAGTTTCAAGCTGGGCGTTGTCGAATTGGGAGATGTCGCCGGGGTGAGGGGGGGTAATTTAACGACTTATGAGTATTCCATTTTATCATTCACATACCTTTTCAGTAGATTTCCAACATGGATTCGAGGCATTGCGTTCCTTTTTCATATCCCTGAGGTCGTTGCTCATGGATGTGGGATCATGATGTGCCGGTGAATTTCATGAAGCTCCCGGTCGCAGTGGTTCTTGCCATTTACACAAGGAAGTTAGAAAGTGAGTCAGGGGGTGATCTGCTTGTGGAAGATGCAGCGATTAGTGATCAATCACGATGATGGATCCAGTTTCAATAGTGCTTCTTGGCTACTGGGGATAGCATAAAAATGGAGGCTTTATCCGGTTTTGTGCGGTGGACTACGTCAGCCCAGACATAAAATGCATAAATTCTCCATAAATGCCGTACATAAGAGCATAAGCTGCATGCGAACAGCAAAGATCAGCCTGACTCGTTCAATCCTCTTAATCATAAATTTTCGAAGCTGCAGATCGAGGTGGATTTCCGAGAACAGACTTTCTTTCGCCACGTTTTTTGTCTGGACTCTAACATCTGCTCCCCCTCCGGACCCCTTTCTTACCTCTATCCCCGACCGATAACTTCACCTCTTCCACTCACTCAGCATTCCTTCTCTCTTCTATGTTTGCAGTAGTGTCATATGCTACGGTCGCTCGTTAAACCCGCACAGTGCCATTGATTCCATCGATGACGACATTCGCCTTGTCCCTGAATAGACACCACCATTTGGGATACTATGGGCGAGACTAACGAGCCTCCAAGGGACGATGGAAAAACCATTAACGCCCTTCAGGAACGTGTCCTGAGTGGAGGCAAGAAGCGGTTGCCGCCCTTTCTCGATCATTTCAACGCGCGCGACTTGAAGATCCTCTTCCGCTGCTGGGTCGCAGCCTGGGTGGCTTGTCTGTTGTTTGTGATCAGTCCATCGCTGTCGAGCCTCGGACAAGCCACCTTCTTCGCATGGTATGATTCTCCCTTTGACCTATGATAAAATGCTGACTGAGTGCGCAGTCTGGTGTCGTTGATTCTACCGCCCAGTAGTGTAATTTTCATCCACCTATTAGGTGCGATTTCCCTCTACCTGGGCGTATGCTTAGCCTGGGCATGGGGGGTCATCACGATGAAGGCAGCCTACGCGGCCAGGCCATCTGCAGACACGCAGGCGCAGTTGTTGGCCCTGGAGCAGACAGCCGCACAGCAGGCCAATGCGACCGGGCAATCCGTCGCCAGCTTGGCCCAGATTCTGGTCTATGAAGGGCACATGCTGGATGCGCGAGTGACAGCTGTCACCTACTGTCTGATTTGTACTTTCATTTATTTCATGGTATGGCCCTTGCCCTAGCAGTTTCGTCAGGATAATTATAACTGGAGAGCAGGCACGGCTGCGAGCGAGTAATCCCAAAGCGACCTTCACCGCGATCTTCGGCACCATCATCTCCGACTTGTTTCTCATTTACATCCCACTTCTTCCCTCGTTCAACGGCACTCTCCCTCTCACCCTTGCCAAACCGGCGGGCGTCGGCATCGGCCTGGGCTTTGCCTGTTCAGTCTTGTTCTTCCCGCAATCCACGTCGCGTGTCATTCTCAACGGCATGGAGGAGATCATCGAGCTGCTTACCCATCCGCTGGCTTTCACCATGGAGACTCTTGGCAAACGCGACCCAGACTTGGATATGGCTCTATTGCGCCAAACCCAGATTCGAATCATCGGCGAATATCGAAAGGCCGAGCCGGCCTTGGCCTTCTTACCGTTGGATTTCTCGATTGGTTGTTGGGGAGCGCAGCACGTTGGAGCTCTCAAAGAACCCATCCGCCAAGCCATCGGAGCTACCCTCTCTTTGCTTGAATTTCACATGAACCGTCTCTCCGGCAAGGCTCGCGCGAAGGAAGTCTTGCTCAAATACGTGGATCAGATCGAAGCGAAGGACGAGAAGGTCAAAGGGTCACGTGAAGTCGGACGCCATCAGCTCCAAGAGATGGCACGTATGCTGGATGGACTGCGCAATTCCGACACCGAGCCCATTCCGGAAGAGACCTTGCAGGCCTTTGTCAGCACGGCATCCAAGGCCATTGAAGCATGTGTGGTTGCACTCCACGCTGCGAAAGATTGCATTCATATGGTAAACAGCCGCCCGTGGTACCGCCGCCCATCGCCCGAGAGCCGTGACGAGTTGTGCCAACGAAGCCGCAAGGCCCTCGATAACCTCCGCATGGTGCGACAAACTTTTATTACTAACACAACGGAAACGCTTGTCGGCTGGTATGGGCCGCTGATGGACGGAACACCGCGTGAGGACAGCGACCGTCACGCGAAGAATTTTAGCGGAATCGTAGTCGGCTTGGTCTTTGAGGAACACATGGGTAATGCGATGGATAAAACCGAGGTCCTGTTGGACCAAGTGCTGAATATCTTCCACAGCGCGCAGCGGACGCGGGTGTGGTGGCCGTTGAGCCTCAAGGCCTTTGGGTCCTGGGTGTCGGGCAAGGGCAATAAGGCCCCGACGATGACACAGGTCTCGGACGAGGACCCGGAGGAACAGCCCGACGCGACCCAGTCGGTGCAAGAAAGACTCCGGCTGAGTCGCGGATATCGCGTCAAGCGTCGTAGCGCAATCGGCCGTGCCATCCTGGGCATATATCACTGGTTCACGTGCAACGAAGGGCTCTACGCGATGCGCATGGTCGTGGTCACCATTGCCATTGGCATCGTCTCGGCTCTGCCCAGTACAGCCGGTTTCTTCTATCGGGAAAAAGGACTCTGGGCGTTGATCATGGCGCAAACCGGTCTCATGCCATACATGGCCGACTTTATCTTCTCGGTGATTGCACGTGTTGTCGGCACCATCGTCGGAGGCCTTTTGGGCCTGCTGGCATGGTACATCGGCTCCGGCAACGGACCAGGCAGTCCTTACGGACTGGCGGCTGTTATGGCCGTGATGCTGGTGATTTTCCTCTGGTGCCGGCTGTACTCCCCTCCCAGTCTCCTCCAAGGCAGCATCATGGGATGTGCCACCTTTCTGCTTGTAGTTGCATACAGTTTCGACGACACGTGAGTCCCAACCCCCCTTCCCCAACCATTCACTGCACAGCAACAATTAACCCCCCCCTCAACAGCCACGTCCCGACCTACGGCAACCCCGGCGTAGGATACACCGTCTTCTGGCGCCGTCTGCTGCTCGTCCTGATCGGCATTGGCGCGGGCACCATCGTGCAGCTCTTTCCCCACCCCCCCTCCGCCGCCAAGCACATCAGCAAGACCCTCTCCACTTCCATCCGCGCCATCTCCGACCAATACGCCCTTCTCTTGTCGTGCTGGGCCCAGGGCCAGAAAGACGGCCGCCTCCTCGCCGAGCCCATCGCGCTGCAAATGGCCCAATCCCTCGTCCTCCTCGACGGCCCCATCCAGCTACTCCGCTACGAATTCTCCAGCTCCCGCTTCGACAGCGCCAGCATGGACCAAGTGAAACTCCTCTGCCATGCCCTCAATCGGAACCTCGGCCGCTTACTCGCCCTCTCCGCCTCCTTGCCGCAGGAGTACCAAGACCGGCTCGCGCGGATGACCGGGCTGCTGGATCACCGCTGCATTGGTGAGGTCATGGCCGTGCTGAGCGTGTGCGAGCAAGCCCTCAAAACCGGTGATGCGCCGCCCGAGCTCCTGCCGACCCCGCTGCTGCAGCGGAGTATGGAGTACTGGCACGCCCATGCGATGGATACGCTGCTTTCGGCGGAGATGCTGCGCGATGAGCACTATCGGAGATACTGTGTGGGAGTGAGTGCGTATGTTAAGTTTTTGGGGACGGTGGATGAGTTGGTGTTGGTGGTTAAGGGGGTGTTGGGTGAGTCGCATTTGGTTTCGTGGGAGCAGCAGGAGGTGTAATGTGTATGATAGAGGGGGGGGGGAAAGGTGGCTTTGCACATTTGCACATTTGATGGGATTATGTTATATAGCGTGGAAATAGTAATTTAGACATCTTTGTTTTCCCTCTGGTCCCTTGCTGCTCGAAAAACCGGAATCTCGGGCGAGACACCGGGAGGTGTCTGCGATCGGACAAGCAGAATGATTCAGTTCATTGTAGGCGGACGCAGAACATCGGAACCTGTGAGAATTAGGTTACTGATTGGGTCTCCTACGAGTCGTTCTACAAGCAATGTTCCTCGGAGCAGACTGGAGTGTAATTTAGAGAGTAAGGTGTGATTGCCTGACAAAGTCGAGAGCATATGGTGCACGAATAATTGTGATAGATGTCTCTTCGAAGATGAGAATCTGTCGCATCCCCCGCATCACTTCCAGATCCCGAATCCGGGGAAAAGGGAAGCATGTGCACAAGACTCCTACCGGTACACTCCCGGGGGCCACGCAATGGCAATTTGCCCTCTTTGGCTATTACCTCCGAGGGATCAGACCCCGCATTGATCCCCGACCCCTCGGAGCTGATAGCCCAAACCTGAAGGGGGTGAGAATGTCAGTCGAGTCCACCGTCACGGGTACGAAGTACTCGAACTTTCGGAGCCGATCCCTACCCAGCCCTGGGGGCTTGTCTCCGACGGCGAGATTTTAAGCGAACCGGAGCGCTTCTCGCCCACCCTCCGGCGTGCACGGCCTCGAAGTCAAGCATTTCTCCCTGGGATGGCAATATTGCATTAGGTTCAGGTGAATTGGTTAAGCTTTGATCAGCTCTCGGGTGGTTGGTGATTGGTCTGCATTGGAGTCTTTGGTCGATTCATGGTCCAGAGTAGTATACGGAGTAGTAGGATCAAGCATGTCGGGACCACTGGACGTGTCAGGACATGACTCGATGAAAGGGAAAGCGAGCTTTGAGATGGATGCGTGACATCATCTGCGTCTGAGCTGTACTCGCTGCCTCGCTTATTCACGGTGGAATTATACCTAGCCTGTCAATTGTATAGAAATGTCCAAGGCAGGTTATGGTCAGAGTGGGACCGGTCGTTACTTGGGATCCTATTAAGCTTAGTCTCCACATTTGGACTGTGATCCGGGAAGAGGCTGGAGATTTGTTGCGGGTCAGTTTCGAGCGCGGGTGTCAGCAACGGTGAAATTGACTGCCGTGGGATTCAATCATTGCTGTAAGTTGGGTGGGAGAAAGAATGCGACAGGGATTCATATTTTCTGACTGTGCCTCGTGATGCATGTCTGGATGGGATGAGGAGTTGCCTCAGGCTGGAAGGGGAACTCGGAGCTACTTCCATGTGACCGAGGCTATGCTATCCTCCCGATGCATCCTCGCTGCAACCAACGCATCCTGGCAAAAACACCAGAACTTACAGGGCAGGACGAAGGCCAACGACAAAACAAGCTTCCCCACTTGAGGAACGGGCGAATCTTGTCCAAGCCATGCCACCAAACTCGCTTCCTTGATTAATGCTGACCACCACAACGGCTACATCCTGGTCGGGCTCGGATGCAGTATCCAGTCGCCTCGGCCGCATGCGGCGCCATGCGTAGCATGCAGTGCTTCCTTCTCAGCTACCGCGGTTTCCTTTGCTCACTGGGATAGGTGCGATAATCCTTGCCAAGGAGCAGCCACAATCTGTCGCCTCATTCTTCCACCAGCCAAAGCGAGGAAGCAATTTCGCCAGCTCGCCATCTGGTTACCGCCAACCCGATGCTGGGATAATAATTCTGCCGTCCCGGTCACCTGACCAGCCTGAGATCTGCGGGGGGAAAAAGAATGGATGCCATGGGAAACTCTGGGGTTGAGATCAGATCCTCTCGTTTCGTCCCGAGTCAACGGAGTAAAGCTCAGATATCCTGTCCTGCATTGGGCAATTGGGTCGCAAACCACGTTTCATGGATTGATTCAAGCAAAGGTTCACCAACGTGATCAACTTTTTCTCTTTCCCCCGCAGAAGAGCCGAGTTGGACCGACCAAGCTTATCCAGTTTGGTCCTGGGGCCCCGCGTCGCGGTCTGGGATTTACCCACCGGAAATGGAGAAAACCCCGTGGGGTCCAAGACACTGAAGTTCACCAGCACACACACCCACACACACACACACCGCAATCCAATCTCACGCGTAAGCCCTCGCATCAGTCCATCCAATTTATTTGACTTCCCCTCACCCCCGCGACTACTGCTACTGGTCCTTGAAAACGCCACCAATCCTTTACTAGTTATCAAAGGCCAACGCCACAGCCAGTCCCGTTCCAATCGGACCCTGTTGTCTCGGCCCCTTGCCCTGCTTTGGGCAACGCTCCCCCTGTCTCATTGCGTTGCTGTCTCGGGAAATCTGGCAAAACCCCGGCGGGCAAACATGCTGCACGCGAATGCAACATCGGCCTTCCGGTGCCTGCAGGACGCCACAAACTATAAGAAGCTATGAGATCCTCGACTTATCCGCTCTTTTTCCGGCTTGGCTTTGCATTTATCCCCTGTGTTTGGCACTGTGACCTTTTCCGCAATTCATGATGGCCGACCTTGAGAAGTCAAAGGATGAGCTCCAAGGGGAGCAGGTTGACATCGACCATGTCGAGCTCAAACCGAACTCCGATCTCATGAGAGAGGCCTTCGATGGTGAGAATCGGGAGCATGAATTGGGTGTGTGGGAGGCCGCCAAGCTGCATCCATGGGCGTGCTTGTGGGCGTTCACCATGTGCTTCACTATTGTGAGTGATGATCTTGATCTGGACTTTTTCGGCCAATGCTAACATCAACTAGGTCATGGAGAGGTGAGTTGCCTTGCGTCTATGGCTAGACGAGTATTAACCCGATCACAGTTTCGACATGTTCCTCAATAGCAGTTTCGTCGCTCTCGACTACTTCAAGGAGACATACGGTGTTGCTGTGGTGGGGTCGACTGAGAAGGCCATCCCGACACGGTGGCAGAGTGCCCTTTTCCAGGCCGGTCAATGTGGTGCCTTTGTCGGCGTCTTTCTGGCAGGTCCGATCACGAACCGTGTGGGTTATCGTTGGACCACCATAATCGGTCTGATCCTGATGAACGCGACCATCTTCATCTCCTTCTTCGTGAGTAGTCCGGTTTGCCTCTAGGGAGCGCGCCCGCCTAACGCATTCCTAGGCCAAATCGCTCGCTGTCCTGACTGTGGGTCAAGCGTTGGAAGGTGTTCCCTGGGGATTCTTCATCGCCAACTCCCCCGCCTATGCCAGTGAGGTTGTTCCTCTCTCCCTCCGAGGTGCCTGTACCGCGACTCTGCAGATGTCCTGGTCTATTGGATCGATCGTTGTTTCGGGTGTCACCTACGCCTACAGCAAGCAGCAAAGTGACTGGGCCTGGCGAGCGCCCCTAGCCCTGCAGTGGCTCTTTCCTGTCAGTATATCCTCAATTTTTCGCTGACGCGAGCTAATCCTTGCACAGACTCCGCTCCTGATCCTCATCTTCCTCGCTCCCGAGTCACCTTGGTGGTTGATCCGTCGCGGACGCAGGGAGGAGGCTCTCCGGTCGATCAAGCGCCTCGGCAAGGAGAACGAAGACGAAGCCCACCAGGCGCTGGCCATGATGGAACGAACGGTCAAGATCGAGCGGGAGCAGGGCGGCAACCCGACCCTTCTTGACCTCCTCAAGGGGACGGATCTCCGACGTACCACTATCACGTGTTTGGTCTATGCGTCGCAGAACTTCGCGGGTAACCTGATTGCCAACCAGGCGACCTTTTTCTTCGAGCGTGAGTAGGCCATCAACTGTGGTTTAAGATGGGCCGACTAACCCCCCTGCGCAGAGGCCGGCTTCTCGTCCGATCGTGCGTTCCAGCTCGGCCTGGTCAACTCCTGTCTCCAGTTCGTCGCCAACGGGCTGTCGTGGTTCGTATCCACCTACTTCGGCCGTCGCACCGTCTACCTCTGGGGCACCGCGACGAACATCGTCCTGCTCATGATCCTGGGCGTCGTCGCCTCGATCGAACAGAATAACTCCACCAACATTGCCCAGGCCTCGCTGGCGATCCTCATCTCCTTCATCTTCGCCGGCACCCTCGGCCCGATCTCCTACACCATCATCTCCGAGACCTCGTCCATCCGCCTCCGCGCGCTGAGCACCGCGGTGGGGCGCGCCGCCTACTACGTTGCGGAGATCCCGATGATCTACCTCGCCTCGAAGATGCTGAACACGACCGGGTGGAATCTGGCGGGCAAGTGCGGCTACGTCTGGGGCGGTACCGCCTGTGTGTGCTGGATCATGGCCTACTTCTTCCTGCCGGAGATGAAGCACCGCTCGTACCGTGAGACTGATATCCTGTTCAACCGGAAGACGCCGGCCCGGAAGTTCAAGTCGACTGTGATTGCGGTCGATGAGAATGAGTAAGCGGTTGCACGCCCGATGTGCTTGTGCTTGTGAATGTTTGAATGTTATTTTGTGTTTGGGTGATACCAGTGATGTGCTAGTGATTAATCGATGACGGATTGAATTCCATCCGCAGTGAGGTTCATTGTAATGTAGAGCTGATGTCGTAGCGATACATACATTTAGATGATCTTTTTCTTTTGTACGTATGCTTCTAGACAAGCAACTCACCGGGTGATATCAGCACAAAGACTTGACTACTGTAACGTACAAGTATGATTGTCTTATGAAGAGCAGAGAACTGATACCTAGTGTCTGGGGTTTAAGAGTGATTGTTAACCACTAGTCTGAACGCCCTCGCTGAGATATACATGGCACAGGGAGTAGAGAAGGAAGCGGAGGAGCTGACCATACCTGAAGTTTTCGCACCAGTGCATGGTAGTGTAGTCGACCAAGTATGTCACAAACCCGATCACGCACTCCATTTTTCTGCTGTGATTGTTGATTATACTGGAGAGTATCATACATAGTAGCCAATTAATCCATCTTCTAACTACTTTACTTACTTTACCTACACAAAATAAGAATCGCTCCTCATTGACATTCCAATCGACTCAAGTATAGGCGTAACAATACCGCCCCGACCGCGTATCCATCACCTCTCCCACCCTCCGCGGGCTATCCAACACCCCAAAATCCATCACCGTATGCAAGGTCACCCACGGGGCGTCCGGGGGGTTATAGATCACCGCGGTGCCATTCAGCGCATCCCACCGCTGTGGGAAATCGGCTTCCTGCCACAGCGTCCACACGCGGTCCACCATGCCATGATGCAGAAAGAAGGTCGGATCATGCGGACTGGCAAAGACATCCAGCATCGCCCCGCCGACGGTGGCATGGCCGCCGCCATGCGACCCGATGCGCGTCGCGTCGCCGGGGTCCATGACGCTCAGGAAGGCATCCATGTCCGGGGCATGGAGCATCCGATCGATGCGCTGCTGGTTGTTGAGGGTCTGCAGGGCCTCCGGACGGAAGTTCCGGTTCAGACAGCGCGGGTTGTAGTGCCAGGGGTCTGGGGGAAGGGGGCCGTAGGATTTGACCCAGTCGCGCGTAAACGGGCCCAGGTGGATCGTCCAGTTCGCGAAGGGGCCGGCGGTAACGCATCCCCCGCCGTGGCCCGGGGGGAGGCAGCCGTCGAGGTTGGCGGGGCAGAGGGGGGGGTGTTCGGCGGTCGAGGCGTTGGAGACGCCGTTGCCGGAGAGGGAGGTGGCGCTGTTGTCGAAGAGGGGGCTGGTCCAGAGGTCGTCCATGTACAGGGCCCAGTTCCAGTATCTGTTGGTGGGTTGGGTTTTGGTCAGTTGCCTTTTCCTGTCATGCCCAGCAAGGATGGACATACGGCTGAACCCCGGTGTAGCCGCATTCTTGGCGCAGCGCTTGTTCCCACAGCCAAGTGAAATGGCGATGCCATGGAAGCAATAGTCCGTTGTTATGGATTCGGAGAGTGTTGTTAATGTGCGTCCTGTCTCGGTGTTGAGTGGGGTGGTGGTCGGGGGGGTGGGGGGGGCTTCAGGGTGGGCACATCCTCACGTCACAAAGTCATCCAGCCGATCCCGCACGCCGGGGAATTGATGGTTGGGGAGTCGCGAAGGGCGACTGCGCATGCACCAGAGAGCGTCGATATAGTCGGTTCGCTCGGAGGGACTCAATTCCTGCCTGTGCGCAATCAGAGTTGCGTTCTCTCGTCTCTCGGAGTGAGGGTGTGATACCATTCGCGGCGAACCTGCGTCGCATTGGGGTGACACCGCGGCGGAGACGCCGCCAAAGCAACGGCGGCTGCCAACAGGAGGGTATGGAAGAGACGCATCGTGGACCGAAATCCCCAGCCACGGAGTCATCGAGTGAAGAAAGCCTGCGTGAATACTACGGCAAATGTGCAGCTTTTTATACTTACCCACTGTCCCAGCATCCTGTCCTTCTTGACTTTGGACCCTGCATACGTGAGTGCAGCTTGGAGAACGGCCTCATGTCAACTGCCTCCACAGTGACATCCCAGCGACAGCCCATCCACAACAGGAAAAAAAGCAATTATCGACTATTGGCAATTATTTCATTAAGTGGTGTATGGTGCATATGATACATCAGATCGATCCCTCCCACTCCCGCTGACTTAGTAGCATTCAATACTGTCGATGAAGGGGATCGGGTCGGAGGTGGTGTGTACACCGGGCGCAAGCAGTGTCATTCGTCCGGTACAGGCGATTGCGCTGGCACAGTTAGCGAGGTCTCGAGTTTCTGCCTAACAAACAACAACAACAACAACAACTTACGTGAACAGGCGACACTGTCGTGACAAGAAGACGGTGCTGACCTCCCTGCATCGAGTCAATGATGGTCCTCAGGTCCTGTCCCGGAGACCTACTCTTCTGCGAACTTCCAGCACTCATTCAACGGCACCTGCATCGACTTGCTCCCGTCCGGAGTCTCGTATCCGACCTGTCTCGGGTCAGTATTCGAGAAAAGCATGGAACTGGTCTGCAAGCTCACTGTGGTGAATTCTGAGGCGCTTCTTGGCGTAGCGAAATCCATTGCGCGGCCCACCGCCGCGAGGACCAGCACACTTAGAGACAGGGATTCGATGGCAAACATGCTGGATGATAAGGACAGTCTCGTCGGATCGGATTTGGATATGTGTGTTGGACTATCGCGGGCGCGCGCCATCGGACACGTAGTATTTAAGCCGTTCGGGGCGGCAGCCCTTTGTTGTGGTCGCTCGCGCAGCGCATCCCTTGCGTTAGGGTGCACATTCCAGGCGCGACCCTGGATCACGGTGATGAGGATTGAAGGTCATCGAAATGGCTGTGGAGATGAATCGTGGTAGAGCCTGGAGGATTTGGATGCGATCCATCGGGCTGGTGGAGTCAGCTTGCAGTCGGATCAACCCTTGAACAAGGCAGCTCGAGCTCGGGGTTCAACCCTCCAGGGAGTTGATTCGGGATATGCCGAGGTTTTGCAAAGGGACAACATACGGAAGAAATATTATCCTTCAGCATGGTAAGATCTAGCTTATAAACTGTGCATGTAGCTCCTTGCTTGCATACGGACTGTTTTGCTCTTCTTCACTGCATGGCTTCATTCTGCACATCACGATGCAAATTGTGCACTGAAAAGCGCAGCACTGGGCATGTCGGAGGCCACCGGAACTGAGTCATCTGCAGATAATTATCCGACCTCATCCAAACTTCTAAGCTTCCGACAAGCCAGCCACACGCCATGGCAGGCACAGAGAGTTTCGCCCCTCGAAATCGCCCTTGACTTCAGCATCACGTGCACTACCCCTCACTGCATCTCACTCGACCCCCCAAAAAGGCCACTCGGGAGTCTGGCTCGGGAGTTGCGCCTTCAGATCCTCGGCGGATGGGGTCTGGCCTCGGTTGAGTCGCCAGACGGTATTATAAAACACTCTGACAGCCCCCGGTACGCCGTGACCGGCAATGTCCGCTGCCTCTTATCTACCGCCGATCCACCGACTGCCTGGTCTGCTGGGCAATCAGGATGGCCTTCCGTGGCCCGGGGATCCACGCTGCGTCTAGTGGGGACACTGGACGTAATCCAGCCCGTTCTGGAGGTCCTGAGCTCGGCTACTTCTGTTCCTCCCCGGAAAATCCGCTGCGGGTCCGAGTCTCGTGGATTCTCCCCGTGGGGGAAGGGGCGGGGCGAGGGTCTGGGGTTTGACCCTCTCTCTCTCTCTCTTGGGCGTCTCTTTATCTTCGCTTCCCGGTCACTGTCGACAACACTGAGCAACACCCATACTCATCATGCCATCGATCGAAATGTCTACCTCCTCACCAGAAGATCTGTCCGGCAAAGCCCACTCCGACTACGTCGAGACGACTGAGAAAACCGCCTACATCTCCGATGCCGTCGACGCACTGGCCGAACCGCACAAGGCGTATCTCATCGAACGCCATGGCACGCTGGATCTCGATCCGTTGCCTAGCATGGACCCCGCGGATCCGTACAACTGGCCCGCCTTCAAGGTATGCGAGCGTGAATCTGTCCTGGTGTGGGTGGGTGTGATGATAATAACCGCATGCGGTAGAAAACAATGAACCTAGTCCTGGTGGCCTTCCACGCCTGCATGGGCACCTTCACAGCCGCCGCCATCATCCCTGCGTACGAGTCGATCTCCGAGGATCTCGGGGTGAGCATCCAGCGCGTCAGCTATCTCACCTCCCTGCAAATCGCCATCCTGGGCGGCGCCCCGCTGCTGTGGAAGCCGCTTTCCAACCGGTTCGGCCGCCGTCCGATCTTTTTGTTATCGCTGGTGCTCAGTTGCGTGTGCAACATCGGCTGCGCGCGCAGCCCGGACTACGCCTCGATGGCGGCGTGCCGCGCGCTGGTCTCGTTCTTCATCTCGCCGGCGATGGCGATCGGCAGCGCGGTCGTGACGGAGATGTTCTTCCGCCATCAGCGCGCGCGGTACATGGGGATCTGGGCGGTGATGGTGACGCTGGGGGTGCCGATCGGGCCATTCATTTTCGGATTCGTGACGGAGCGCGTGGGATATCGCTGGATTTACTGGGTATTGGCTATCGTGAGTTGCCCCCCCCCCCTTTGCGGAGTACTTGTTCTTCCCACCGGTATTAATATCCTCGGGATCCCTCTCAAGACCAACGCAGTCGAATTCCTCCTCTACCTCCCCTTCGGCCCCGAAACCCGCTACATCGGCACCGACCACGCCGCCAGCCAAACCACAACCTTCCACCGCGAATACCTCAGCTTCTTCACGCGCATCGATCCGACCCCCCTCTCCCTGTCTGAGTTCCTGCACCCCCTCACCCTATTCACCAACATCCCCGTCCTGATCGCCGCCGTCGCCTACGCCATGATCTTCCTATTCGGGAGCGTCATGAACTCGGTCGAAGTGCCGCAACTCCTGCAGACCAAATTCGGTCTCACCGCGCAACAACTCGGCCTCCAATTCCTGGGGCTGATCATCGGCTCCCTGCTCGGCGAACAACTCGGCGGCATCGTGTCCGATAAATGGATGGCCCTCCGCGCCCGTCGCACGGGCCACCAGCCGCCCCCGGAGTACAGGCTGTGGCTCAGCTACCTCGGGTACGTGGTGACCATGGCCGGCATGGTCGTGTTTCTGGTGTGTACGGCGCAGGCCACCGAGGGGAAGTGGAGTGTGGCGCCGGTGGTGGGGACGGCGATTGCCGCGTGCGGGAATCAGGTCGTGACCACCGTGTTGATCACCTATGCGGTGGATACGTATCCGGCGGATGCGGGGAGTGTCGGGGTTTTTATCAACTTTGTGCGGTCTACGTGGGGGTTTATTGGGCCGTTCTGGTTTACGGATCTGTTTGAGAATGTCGGGGTTGCGGACAGTTCGGCGGTCGTGGTGGTGATGATTGTGGTGGGGAGTGTGGTGCCGACGGTGGCGGTGCATTGGTTTGGGGCGAGGTGGTATAAGAGGGAGTAACTGGTTGAGGATGTGTCTGGTGTAAGGGAGAGGGGATGGGATGGGTGGGTTGCTTGCTATCTGCAGTTGTCTGGGGGTATAGAGTGGGATTGTATATAGACGGAATCATGCTGATGTTATTGCAGTTGAGGTTTATGTAGCTTGTTTGGTTGACATGGTACACTCTGATTTCTCGATATAAGTTAATGTCACCGGTCCCGGCAGAATGACAATGTTATGCATAATATGCAGGTGCTGCGATAGCCTAGAGGATAACACAGTTCATGCCAAAGCGCTATCTACGGATTTAATTAATATTGTAATGGAGAATAGATTCACTTAAGGTAATAGCTCGCATTCTTATAAGAGTCAAGATATTGAGGATATGAACGAAGTGAGTGAGGTAAGACAGCAAGGACGGGGTAATCTTAAGAAGTAGCCCTCATCTAGAAGCTTTGTACATTGGGTAATGAAAGTATACTATTCTCTAGCTGCGAATCCTGTAGTCTGGACAAATTAAAAATAGAATCGTTAGATTTTCATTGCAAGTATCAGATGGCTGATCAAGGACAATACGGAGCGGGAACTGCCGCTCACGAGCAAAAGCTGGACACAAAAAGGTCGTGCCCGGGATCGAACCGGGATTACAGGAATCAGAATCCTGGGTGCTAACCATTACACTACACAACCGCTGCTGTGATGAGCGCCACTTAATAAGAAAATATATAACAAAAACAAATCATGTGTCGTCTCTTCGTGGACTCTGCTGTACAGACTGTGGTTCATGGTTATCACCATATATGATACATATGCGTTGAGCTTCTCCTTATGCAGGTGTTGCAATATTTGGGGAAGATAATCCCCGCTATCTCCATCTACAGTGGAGCAACTGCGGTTATCGTGAACAATGGCGTAAACTCATGCAATATATAATAGAACACCCCCCACATGGAAGGAAGGAATACGTACAGCACGACTACTAAGGGGGAGACATATTGCTCCAGAGACCCAATATAAGACCCAGACAAGAAATCAAGGTCAAAATCTCGAAGCTAGACGGCCACAACCGTAAAAAGAGTTTGTTTGGCCAGGAACCGACCGGGCCACAAAGTACTGCCCCACCCCACGGGTGATACTGTAACTGGTGTTGAAATGGAGCGCGGGATTTCTGGCGAACCCGTTCGACTGCAACTTGTCCGTGCACTACCCAGACGTTGGATCTAAGTGTACTTGTCCCTAGGATGCCTTGTTTGCGAGGGAGGGTTGCACCATTTTTTAGTCTGAGCTGTAACTTCAATGAGGGAGGCTAAGTGAGGTATCACACTTGTGACAGGCATGTCACGCACCATGGACTGGCTATTCTGACACGCAGTATCTCAGAGAAAAGAGGTCCAGGTGGGGGCAATGTTCGACAAGATACCGATAACGATGGTCAACCTTGGCGAGGAGCCCGAAAATGTATGGGTTGAAACTTACAGGGGATCCAGTATGGTCGCTCCCTCGGGGCTGATTATCAATCTCCAGATTCTTTAGCAGAATAGACAACATAATGGGATTGCGAGCATGCATGGGTGAGTCTCCTGCAGGATGCATAGGAACCCGCTCACCGTGTCGCTGATATGGTTTATTATGATACACGGGAGTGGTCTGCGTTCGTGCTCGTTGCCCTGGAAAGACGGCAGAGTGAGCAATATCATGCTAGCAGGGCCTGGTGCAGCGAGTAGTTTGAATGCATGAAACTGACAAGACTCCAACTTGCTGCCTAATCAAGGCCCATCACTTGTTTCTCTGTAACTCGACTTACCTGGGATTACCAGCGGCAAAGTCCGTCCCCTGTCGGCGCCAAACATGCATGTACCTGTATCTCGTGTCTCAGGGAAGACAAACTCTTTCCCTTTCAGGTCTAGGAGCTGTGGGGGTGAAGCTACGTACGACGAGCACCATTTACTATCATCGCAAGCTGCATGACAGCTAAAGCAAACTGCAGCAAGGCAACCAAGTCTACACTCTGCCCCGCCGAACAGTTTCGCCATCCCCGCAGGCAGCCAACCTCTCGGACGAAGGAGGGATCTCGCGGCTTGTAGGGTTGCCGATTGGCCTGTATATTGCTTAGGGTAGTTTAGAGGGTACACGAGCTTCAGTACTAATATGACTGGTATGTAGTCCACTTGCCAGATGTGAGAAGACTGTCTTTCTGCATGTGAAGAGCAGCTTAATTTACAGGCAGTCCTTTCATATGGAGACACAATCAGACCATGATAGATCGCGCGCGAGCTTTTTTTGCAGGCTGAACTTTTACTGAATATATACTGACAAGTCAATCAGCAGCACCGACTACAGGTTGTGTAGTGTAGTGGTTATCACTTTGGATTTTGACCTGACCTGCCTTTGGGCTAGGAAATATTCCAATAACCCCGGTTCGAACCCGGGCACGACCTTCCTTTTTGCCTGCCGAGCTTCGCCTCGGCCCCATCATTCGCACAGTTACTACATCTTCTTATCTCCAATCACTCGAGGTGAAATCATATTCCAAATATCAATGCATACCATCATCTCTAGTCACCTGTATCTACGGGATTATGAGCATACCATACCACCAATGCCAACCGTACCCTCTAATGCCCCCCTCATATCCCCTCGGGCTTCTCCGCGCCAAGCCCATACCGCCAAGACTGACCGAAGGGAAGAAGCCAACCAAGCCAAATAAACATCGTCAGCCCTGAAATGTCCGCCGAGTCAGAATCATTTCGCCAATAAATGCTATATAGAAGTCAGAATAATCTAGAAATTCTAACCTCCTTTAACTCTTATATAGTACTGTTGGAATAACATAGACTGTAACTGTTCAATAGAAAAGAATATACAAGAAGAGGAGAAGAGGATTGCGATAGGATGACATGTGCATTCGGAACAGATGTTCAACGAACCAGCGTCGAAGGAGAAGCGAAGATAGCTACCCGCAGGTATAGTGTCACAATTGTATAGGAAACAGACCAAAAGGTTAAAGAAAGTGAGGGGAAGGTAAAAGAAGATAGAGAATAATAGAAGTTCTAGATTCAAATAATCAAGGGAATTAACAGGAGAGTCCCAAGGTCAAGGGTGGAAGCAAGTCTTTTATATCTAATTTGTGGATGAGTAAGGAGTGGACAAGAAAGGTCTAAGGAAAAGCAACGCCCGCGGTTGCGATTTGATCAGAGCAAGAATCACCTGACATCGCGTTGATTCTTCAGGCTATCTGGACAATACTCTCGCAGATAAGTGACTAACTTACCTGCTAGACTTGCGAACAGGCTAAGAAATCTCAGATATACCATGTGGTTGATACAGTATACTCTCCATAGAAATTTCATGAATCCAAAATCTATTACGGCATCAATTCATAGCAACAGGAAGAGTTACTGTGGTGGACGGTCAGAATGTTCAGTACGGTGGGGGCATGGCAGTTTGATCTTAAGGCAGTGAGGTTCAACATTAATTCCACTGCCTGCTCATGAAGTCCCCGTCGGGAAGTCTTGATTTGCCCAAGCGCATCAATATATGGCAGAATATACAGTACAGGAATCTGCTAACTTTCTGCCACGCCCCCCACTGTACTCACAAGCCCAACCAGGCCCACCATACCCCACCACAAGTATATCCACAAAACTGTGGAAACAAAGTCTTATCGACAACATAAGCTCCACCAGATCTTTTCCCATCTTCCATCTATCTTCATATAACCTTATATAAGTACCAGTTGCAATGCAATGAGGGCATGGATCCCTTTTAGTTGTCTTGCCGAGGTGTTGGGTTCTCTGGATGATACCGCAACTGTTGCAGCCATAAAGTTCCCTCATCCTTCCAGGAGAATCAGCCCTATGGCGGCACATATGCTCGATGGTCTCAACAAGCTTCTGACACATGCTTCTCCTCTATCGATATATATTACTCTTGTGACGATAGTAGCTGGCGAGACAGCTAACTTGTACTCTCTTGTCTGTGCTTGCCCACTCACAATCACTGCTATCTCTTCCTGTCATGTCATCGACCACGAGTTTGACGGCGTTGCAGCCACGGCGCCAGGCCCAGAGTTCTCCACATATAACAGCAGCCCACATCCAACAAACGTATAACCGTTGGCACGCTTTCAGATTACAATGTAAAAGCCACCGTCCGCCCGGAGCAACTACCAGAAAAGCGTGCATCCACTGCATGCAGTGTATGTCTACGACCCACCGCAGCGGTTTGGCCGGCGCCGACAAAGGCGGACCTCAGACCGAGGCTGGCCCCCTCATTCAAGCCCGAAATCCCGAGGCCCCCGATAGACGACTGGCTCGGCATCGATCGACGATGGGGACCCGCTGAAACAAGAGTGAGAGAGAAGGCAGCAGCAGCCAGCAGCCTTGGCCCCTCGTCTGCTGAGATCCCTCACACGGCCGGAAGCCGGAGTGCCATCGCAAGTCCCGTGACAGAATTGGAATACGTCTCGTCGTCGCATTTCCCGGGCCCTTGAGGCGGCCAATGGAGCAGTAATCTCCTGTGTGCAATCCAGTCCAACTCCATGGAGTTGAATGTTAGCAAGACTTTTAACGTGCGCGTCTTAATCACAACACCTGACTGGCGCGTCTCTGAACACATCACACAGATTCGTACTGGGGCGAGACAAGCCCGGCGATGACCTCCGCTGGATATACTTCACACTCGGATCTACTTTCCGGTCCGATCAACCTTGACATCACTGTCTCCAATTAATTACTCGCCATTAAAGGCACCAGAATTCCAGTCGACCCCTCTTTGACTGCCGCAGACGTGAGGTGTACCACCGACGACTAGGTGCTCGATTTCGTGCAGCTGCAGGCCAGTGTGAGCCAGATGAACCAAGAACTAGCGGCAGTGACCCGAGAGCCCAGTCGCGTATGAGGGTTCCGAAGAGCCGGTAGGATATGCGCTGCCGATCCCGGTCTCCCAGTTCGAGGACCACCTGTAGATACAATCTAAAGGCACGCGAGCAGACATTAAACGTGCTGCACCGCATCAACTCGCAGTTTGCGCTGGGGTTGCGCAAGGTGCGTCCGCTCTCACGGACGCACGGGTTGGACGTTCAAGTAGATGTGGACCACGTGAGCCAGGAACATGCATTCGAGTAGGCGGAAGTGACGACTTGGAGTGCGCGCAACGGCGCTACCTGGGGTGCCGGCCGCGGACCCTAGGCATAGCTTCCTTGCCTTTTCGTGCTAACAACCCATCCCTCATCCGCTACACAGCTTCGATGCCCTTATCTCCATTTGGGACAGCATTCGTGTTCAGCCGTGCTCGAATTCAGCCGGTCTTCTGCCCAGCGAGCATGTCTCTGCGTCCAATGGTGTCTCCAACCCGTTGCTCGGCGTGTCACTTGGGTCTTTCCCTCCCTCTTCTTCATCCGTACGGTCGTTGCAGGCCATGTTGAACGTGCAACTTATCAACACCGTCCTCACGAAGTCAAGTCGTCCACTCAGCGAATGCTGACGGGTCAGGATTACCTTCCACGCTCCTCCTCTTCCTCGACCTTTCTACAATCTCCTCCGTGGCATCAACGGCACTTTGTCCATCAAACATTCACCCACCTCAGTAACCGGGGACTCAGGTCACCATTCAATGACACTTCCATGTTTGTTGATCACGCACACTCCCGTTCCGACCATACGGTTTCTCTGGTCAGAAAAGGCCACTTCACCAATAATCATGCAGACGGTCCCTAAGGTGCAAGCTTGCTGTACTGTACTGTAATGTAAAGGATAGATTGATTAGATAGACGAGATCAGCTGATAATTCTCAGATGCCATTTTTCTGCTGTCTGCGACCGCCCCATGAGGCCACACATCCTAAAGAAGCACAACGTCATTCTTCGATAAATTGGGAAGAATCAGATCGGATTCTGCAGACGGGAAGTCATGTGATACTACCCTGCCAAGCCATCTAGAAGACCCCGGGCCGCCACAAGGAATGGGCTGCGATGTGTCATTGCCGTTATGCATCCAAAATGAACAGCGGATGGTCTACCTCTTGCATGGGACAATGGCATCGATATAGGGCTGTGGTGAAGTGCAGAACACATGGACTAAGCAATGAAGCATGATGTCAGTCTGTTGTGAAGAAACTGAGATGGATGGATGGATCATGCCACGGAAGAAGAATCCACCAGGAACGAAAACTCTGCGGCTTTTCCCGAATTTCCCGAAGCCAGCCAGGTGGAAACTCGGGAAACGCAGCACTTTTCCGCCACAGAATAATTGGCCCTGAAACCGACCCAGTCGCCGATTGTAGTTAAAAGGTACCGTGTCCACCAATCACCAGCTCGGAATAGCTATAGATCGGCCCGCCGCGGGGGCGTAGGCTGTAGTGATTCTTTCCGCCGGTTTTGTGTCGGTTGTCGATCCCGCGGGCAAATTCGACTCAGAAATCTTTTGTGTCACACCTCCAAGAACTGCGTGCGAATTATGCTCATCACGACTGCTGCTGCTTGCTGTCATTCATGAAGCTTGTTCTTCTCTGCTGAGCTTGTCCCCCCTAGATAATCGCAAGTCTTATCATCTGACCTGTGACCGGTCTAGCTCACCATGAGCTCCCCGGCCAATGGACTTTTAGACGGCAATGCCAGCCCCTCCGGCAAGAATTATGACTGCGAGAAGTCCACCAAACCGTCATTGTCCGGCAAAAACGCTTGGCTCGGCGAGGGCAAGCTGCCCGAGGCGATGGACGATGGGGAGCAGCAGATCATTGAGGCCGGCGAGGCCAAGTACCACCGTCTGGGGTGGAAGGGTCTCACTATCATGCTGATTGTGGAGGCGATCGGATTAGGCTCGCTGTCGATTCCCTCCGCGTTCGCAACGCTCGGCATGGTCGCCGGCGTTATCTGCTGCGTCGGCATCGGCCTGATTGCCATCTACACCTCCTACGTGATTGGACAGGTCAAGCTGGCCTTCCCGGCTGTTCGGCATTATGGCGATGCGGGGGCCCTGCTGATGGGCCCCTGGGGCAACGAGCTATTCACCTTCATGTTGATCTTGCAGCTGATATTTTTGACGGGCTCGAACTGCCTGACCGGCACTATCGCCCTGCAGCACATCACCGGCAGCGGCATCTGCTCTATCATCTTCAGCGTCGTCTCGGCTATCATCCTGCTGCTGCTGTCCATCCCGTCCTCCTTCGCGGACATGGCCTGGCTCGGGTACCTGGACTTTGTGTCGATTGTCGCCGCTATTGGCATCACCATCATTGCGACAGGCGTCCGGGGTACGAACTCGGTTGGCGGCCTCGGCGCCGTCACCTGGTCGGCCTGGCCGCAGGGAGACCCGAGTTTCTCGGACGGGTTCATCGCCATCAGCAACATCGTGTTCGCGTACACCTTCGCCAGCTGCCTGTTCTCGTTCATGGACGAGATGCACACGCCGCGGGACTTCACCAAGTCGATCTGGTCGCTGGGCATCCTGCAGATTGTGATCTACACGGTTACCGGCGCGACCATTTACGCTTTTGTCGGGCTGGACGTGCAGTCGCCTGCGCTACTGTCGGCGGGAGCGCTGGTCAGCAAGATCGCCTTTGGCATCGCCTTGCCGGTCATCTTCATCTCCGGGGCGATTTGCACCATCGTTGCGGGCCGTCTGATTCACGGCCGCATCTACGCCAACAGCGTGACCAAGTACATCAACACGACCAAGGGCTGGGTCACCTGGCTGATATTAATCACCATCTTGACCATCCTGTCGTGGGTCATCGCTGAGGCAATCCCGTTCTTCGATGATCTCCTGTCCATCGCGTCCGCGCTGTTCACCTCGGGTTTCTCGTTCTACCTGCCCCCGATCCTGTGGTACGTGCTCATCCGCGAAGGGCCGTGGTACTCGCGCGAGAACCTGTTGACCAGCCTCGTCAACTTTTTCGTCTTCATTTTCGGGCTGATCGTGCTTGTCGGGGGCATGTACTCCAGTGTTCAGGATATTGTAAGTATTTTGCTGGTCTGGCTTGTCTGGTGTATAACCGTACTAACGAGCACGACAGATCAATAATTACCGCGCAGGTGACGTCCGCTCTCCGTTCACTTGCGGAAGTGTGAGCTAGATGGGCACCTTGTTCATTTTTGTTTTGGTTGCATTTGCATAGGACGACTTGATTAATGGCATTTAAAAGAATTGACTGATGGTACTGAAAGACCTGCATGAAAAGTTACCGAGCGAACGAATTGATGCTCGGATGTGGCATAAGCATGATCAAATATTGGATTGCTTCGTTTGTTGTATTAATATCATGAGGAAACGGCAACGCGTGATGCATTCATTCTTGCTTGCATTGGAGTACAGCGGAGGGATAGTGTTGTACATAATTTGACGTCGACGGTGGATGTATATATATGCGCTTGATGTCAATGACAGACTCTAATTCGAATGAGTGATGGTGTTTCATGGGAAGATGACGCTGGATGGGTGATGTTGACACGGGATCATGTGATCACCTACCACTCGGGCCACCGCTTTAGGCTAGCCGACACACATCAGCGCCGGCACATCACCTGATTCTGTAGTTACGATCAACGACCTTAGTCATTGAGATTTATGCACACATTCCGAGATCGGTGTCTCGGCCTCCGAGGTGCGGGCGAGTTTGTCCGCTCACCCGCAGATAAGTCGATAAGCGCATTCTATTCTACGTCAATGGGCATGCCCCGCCAGCTCGCTTTGCATCATATATAAGTCTATCCTGTCCCCCTCTGAGCGTTGGATCTGTGAAGCCAGACGAGAAACCACCATGGCACCTACTGTTCATTCGCTAACGCCGCCCTCCGGCTCCGACATCGACTTCGGAGCCGTCATCAACAACGTCGACCTCGAGAACCTGACCGGTACAATCCACCCCCACCTTTCCCAAGTGACAAACGCTTGTGCTAACTCCCTCCAGACGACGACTTCCACACCATCCACGACGCACTATACAAGCACCTCGTCGTCGTCGTCAAAAACCAGCACCACCTCACCCCACGCGCCCAATACGAGCTGACGCGACGCTTCGACCCCACCGCCTCCTCCTACGGCCATGGCAAAACAATCGACGCAAAGCGCTCGATCCTACACCCCGACCTGAAGACAGTCCCCCACCAGCCACAAGTCCAAGTTATCGGCCACGGCCACATTGACAGCTACGAGGGCCTGACCGACATTCAGCTGAAGCACCCGCATCACCGCACCTTCCATCGAGACCCGATCCCCGAGGCCGAAGACCACGACTTCACGCGCTTCTACCGCTGGCACATCGACGCCGCGCTGTACGACCTGCACCCGCCGCGGGTGACCACGCTGCTGGCCGTGCGGGTGCCGCGTGGCCGCCGCCAGACGCTGCGTTACGACGACGGGTCCGATGAGACGCTCGATGTGCCGCTGGGTACGACTGCGTTTGTCAGCGGTGAGCGCATGTACAACCTACTCTCTGAGGAGGATAAGGAGTTTGTGCGCACGAGTCGGGTGGAATATGCGCCGCATCCGTATGTACTCACCCAGGCAAACATAAACCCAAACCCCAACACAACCCCTCCCATTCCCCACCGATCGTTATCTCCAACTAACTGCTACGCTAAATGACAGATACATCTGGATGTCCCCCGCCCGCGCCCTCCCCACAGGCCTAGGTCTCTACTCCGAAGACCGCGAGCTCCCCACCGCCTCCCTCCCGGCTATCGACCAGACCAAAATCCAGATCCTGCCTATGGTGTGGAAGAACCCGGTCACCGGTGCCCCGGCCGTGCAGATCCACCCCTCCGCTATGCGTAAGATTCATCTGAAAGATGGCACCGTCATCGACGATTTGAAGGAAGTCCGGAATATAGTGTACCGGTTGCAGCGGCCGGCCATTAGTCCCCAGTATGTGTATCCGCATGATTGGGAGGAGGGAGACCTCGTCTTGTTTCATAATCGGGGGGTGCTGCATTCGGTGGTCGGAGCCTTTGGGGAGGGGGAGGTCCGGTTGTTTAGACAGTGTAATTTGGCAGCGGGGGAGGCGCCGGTTGGGATGGAGTGAAAGGGGTATTCGAAGGGTAAGGAGTTGTATAGATAGATAATTGGGAGTTTACGGTAGATAATAATGATTGATGATCTTGTTTAGGTGCTGGTGGTATGTTTTACGATTCGAGTTGGAATTTGAAAGTCGCAATAAGCATGAGACATGACAGTCGTAAAAATCGTGCGACAAGAATGTTGCAATAGGCGTGAGACAAATTCTAGAATCACTGGAATGCGTGTCATGCCGGACCTTCCGGAACTCTATACCGAGACAACTAGAATCCAAGAAAGCTCCTGTTTCACCACAAACTTCCGCAACTCTATACTGAAACACGCAAACTCATTCACACATGGGAAGTATCTTCCAGAATCTTACCATCTGGATTTTGCAGTGGGTCGACCATGCCGCCCCGACGTTTCATGAGGCCAGATCGAGTTGACAATAAGGCAAACTGCATGGCACGGATCGGAAGAAGATATGGGCTGCGTTCTCTTTCCACTGCCAGGGTTGGGATAGGATGTGCTACGGAGTAGCATCAAAAAAGGAATGTCCCGAGGGAGGTTCGAACTCCCGGCCTTGGGATCGCCCAGAAGTGATCTTCCGAGTCATACTGAGATATGAGACCCACGTGATAACCAACTACACCATCGAGACAACTTGTTAAAGAGCAGCTTACAGAATCAATACATGAGGTCAAATGATGATCACTACGCAACTCAACCCCTTTCCCACTCAAAAACAACTCTCATGTTCGCCACCGGCCTTTAGCAAAGATCGCCGCAGACGAATCCTAGATGTTGGGCATTCACCTAGAGCCCTGAAAAAAAGAACCTTGACATTTATATACTTTGCCTTTTTTTCTTCTTCTTTTTTGTTTTTTTTGCAAGCATCAATTGAAGGATCGTCCGGTGTTGTTTGGCTTCAACTCATGCTTACTGGGCTACCGTGACTGGCTCTAACGGGCAAACTTGCACCCGCTTACACTCTCCGGGCCGCTGCGATTTTTTGTAGCGGCTGAGATGGCCCACCTACTACTGTAGCCCTAGCAAAAGCGGCGAGGTGAGCATCTGTTTGATGTAGCGCCCGGGCTTCAAGGTGTTCTAGATATCCGCTAATCAAGTTCTGGATTATTTTGTTGTCTATCAGAGCACACTGACATGCTGGAGCTATCCAGTGATTCTAAATCTCTCCGTGAGGTCAAGTAAGGTTCTACAAAATTTAGTAAGTGTTGCTCCGTGCGGGCTAAACTATAAATATAACAACGACCAAGAGAAATATGATTACTCTGCACGCAAGGAAGATACTAAAATCAGAACAATGCATAGTATTGCAGAAAGAATTTGACGTTGAAGATTCTATTTTCTAAGAATTCATCTCCAGATTCTTCTCCAGACTTAGTCATAGGACTATCTCCAGTCCAGCATTGTTGCTTCCATTTTAGCAATTCTGAGCGAAGATAGTCCCTCGACACCAATCCGCGCTTTCAAGTGCGTGAGCTCGAAGTCAGGATCTCTGCACATGTTGCCAAGATTGCCTCTCGCCTTGGCTCCATCGTGGCGGCCATTCTTCCTGTGGTTATCCGGTCGCTGTTCGACGAAGCTGGCGTGGACCTTTCCGCTGACATTCAGGGAGAGGTTTAGTGGACTCCTGGCATTGAAATTCATAGTATTGTTAGCTATACGTTTGAGACAGTATGTGACAACTCCCCGATAGTTCATCCTCACGAGGTTGACTCTGCTGCAGAATTCCTTCCCCAAAGACCATCCCCTGCCAGATATAATTCCCGGGCTGCTCTCGTCGGATGGCCCTAATCCCAACAAGTATCGTCAAATCGAGGGAGAGTCGCTTCTGCAAAGGGCTAGTACTGCGTTGGAGATCGTGAGAAGAGGCACGGTGAGCGGAGAGAGACTCATGTGGAAAATATGGACGGCCGAGGAATATCCGGAGTTTCCCTGAGGTAGAGCGCAGGAGAAGACAATCTCAACTTCACTTGACCGTGCAGACAAAATAGCCGATTGGTAAGGTTGGTGAAATTTGGATATACGGTGTATTGCAACAGATGACATTTGTGGGAAGCAGTGAATCGGGTGTCTTTCAGCTCCCCGCAATTAGCAGAGAATGTTCAAATAAATGGCCTTAAAATGAAATAGAAACTGTGACTTTGCTGACGCTTCTACTAAACTCAGGCGATAGTTATGATTTGAGACACTTGTCAGGTGATTCAAGTTTGTTGGTGTTGACAGTGAATAATATCATCGTGCGGTCTTCACTCACTTCATTTTTCCCTTTCCACCGTAACACATCGATCCCCTCTGATTTCTCTCCTCTTTTCCACCGCATATCTCTCCCACCAGACTCCCACTCCTTCATCTCCAACTTCAACTTTTCATCATCGATCTTCCATTCTCCGAATATCCTGAGGTCTTCTCATCCTGTTGTGAAGCTCTTAACTACCTCAAGAAGCCCTTCACTTTCCTCTCACACATATGCCTCTTCTCATACTCTAAAGCACCAGAATGCACTACTGCTGCTACCACGTCACTGTTGAGAATGGCGAGAAGTTGCTCGCCTTTCTCGATAATTCCCTGCGTCCTAACACAGACAGACCTCTTGCGTTACATGAGGCTTACACTCTCCTTACCGAAATTGACCAACTAGAGCAGGAGATACGAGAACGACAGTGGATAGATGCCAATCTAGAAGCTCACGAGCATTTCCATTCCGAAGATGACCCAGATGATTCTGACACTGACGAAAGCACGGATGTCACTAGTCTCGATAAAGGGTGCAACGGCGGGTGCTACGACGGAAACACCAAACAGGTAGCGACCGACGGCGTGCATATCGATGAAAAGCCGATGGAAATTAGTAAAGGAAGTCCCAAAGACACTGAATCGAGAGAGGAACCTGGAATCACCGGTCTTGAACTCGCAAATGATGACAAAGAACACACCCTTGAGCAGAATAAGGCCCAGCCAGTTGAGAGTGCTGAGAATCAGACGGAGGGGAGAGACGCCGATACACACTCTAAGGCAGGCTCTAAGTCCGAGGAAAGCATCCCCAAATTGGTTTCAGCTGATGACGACCATGACTCCACTGGGCTCGTCAAGCACAAGCGCTTTGAGAAGGAACCATGCTCCGAATGTTCCACTCTCAACAAGCTTGAACCCCATCGCCTGGGTCTGCGCAAGCTTGCGATGAAACTCTCGCGTCCCTCGATCCGACCTCTCACAATATTTGACCTGCCGAATGACTTGCTCCTTCAGATATTCGAGTACTTCCGGGACTTTCGAGTGAACAAACGCGAGATAATCTGGTGGGCTCCCAGCATGCCTCCCTGGCTAGGCCCGACTCTAGATCCCACCGATAACCAGCAATATCGCAAGACAATCCCGAGCGTCCGCCTTGTCTGCCGTTTGTTCAATGAGCTAGCCTCGCCACTATTGTGCTCAATTTTGTTGGTTCAACTAGATCAGCAGTCGATCGACAGAGCCGATCAACTGTCGAAGTGTCCACACATTGCGCAGGGAATTCGCGGCATCAAAGTCGGTCTCGCCTTTCGAATTAAGGACCACGAGTCCGATATCAAAGCATTTGCGGCACACAGCCAGAACATGCTGGAAGGCGAACTCAACCACTGGATTCACCGTCTGGAGACTGCACCAACTCCAGGTATCGTCCGCACCAAGTATGGAGAGCAAGCGGTTCCCTTGAATGCAGGCGAGGTCATTCGTGATAATTATCGGCACATCTTACACGCTATGAAGCCTGACCTGCCATTCCTGAGACCCGAACCGCGGGCAGTCATAGAGGATGAGACCAATATTGACATCATCCTGGTTCAACAGCTTCGAGACCGCTTCGAGCAAGGCCACCGAGAGTATATCAGGAAGTACGCGGAACAGGTTGAGCTTGTCAAGTCTGGGTCATTTAGCCGCAGCGTGGCCGCATGCTTCGCCCGACTGCCACGTGCAGATTCTCTGGGATTTTGCGACTCGACCGAAGCAACAGAACCGTGGCGATTCACTCTCCTCGACCGAGCCTTTCTGGTTGAAGCTCTATCGCATCCACTCGAATGGGAAGGTATCCAGATGCTGGCCGATAATCCCATGGTGCCTGGTAGACTCCTGTTCGAACTGCCGCTCGAAATCCGAAAGGCGGGCAAAGCTCTTCGCAATCTGCACGTCAGCTGCTTCCCGTGTGAGGAAATGACCTCCATGATGCCGGCATCAGATCGGAACAGTCTTGAACGCGATAAGAAGTTGTGGTCTGCGATGCGCAAGATCTTCAAAGGCCTTCGCTCGGTGAGCTATGATCAACCTTTTAATCACGCCCAACATTTCTTCGAAACTGCACCCGTCAGCAAAGCGGTTCTTCACCTCAAGAAATACCTCAAAGCCATGTTCTCAGGTCCAGACCTTGAACGTGTTTTCGTCTTTCTGAACGTGTACGGGGATTGGCAGCCCGAGAATGACCACGGCATTCTCAACCTCACTCCACTTGTCAGCGGATTGCAGTGGAAGCACATCAAAACTTTCCAACTGACCTGCGCGATCTTGACAGAGTCTGAGCTCCTGAAGTGGTGCGCCACACTTGGCCCCAGACTGGAGAACCTGTTCCTCGCAGGCATTCAGCTCATCTGGGGTAGCTGGGCGCCAGTCCTCGATGCTCTGCGTGAGAAGGTAGCTGAAGCCAAGGCGCACCATTCAATGATGCCTCACGTTCACATGGATGATCTCCAGGGAGCAGAAATGGACAAGGATGAATTTGTGGAGGTGCGGGCATATCGCTACGTGTGCGGCTTTGCGGCAGCCGAGAACCCATGCAGAGTAGAAAGATAAACGACACTCGCCGTGCCCACGACTCCGCTTGTAGGAGCTCTGGCTCACTTGAACGGAAGTGTATCATGCTGCTCTTGAAGAAGCGAAAAGTGGCGTAGGGTGATAGGCGTCGAATCGTTCCCCATGTTTGAGTACTAATCTTTCGGCTAAGTTTCCATTTGTCTACTCTATCATGCTCTGATTTATCAAATCTTTCCTGATTTAATCGCGGTTTAAAGATTGTTTCCAGCCTGCGTCGTGCTAAAGATTGCCTGCTGTACCTTAGTCTACAAGCACTAAAATGTCATCCATCTCCTCTACTAGTCGTAGTTACCGCGTAATACGTTTGACCTGAACTGGTCGCGACGAACCAACCCAGCCATCATAAGTATCCATAATCGTCCGCTGAATAATGCCACTGACAATATACCTCAAGTTCCAGGTTCATCAAAAATATCCTTGCCTTGGCGATTGGTGAAGCGAATCCCAGTGTCGGTTTGGGCCGACAGCACGGTGAAGCCGACCTTGACCAGCGCCCATACAGCATCGTTTTTCCCAGATACTTTCGCCAGGGGCCCGCACTGCGAGACAATCATATCCATTGTGGTCGTTATGTCCTTGCTATAGTACCAGCCACTTGATTCTCGTCAAGCGGACACAAGGCTCGTGCCGCCGCAGTGGGGAGATGGGGAGGGGTGTGTAGTGGAGAAGCACCGCGGAGACAGCTTTAAGCTCACCGCCCTGAGTCCCGCTAAGCTCCATCCGCATGGGGCATCAGCCACCAACCAACTCAAGCACCATCATCCGTTCTATACATTTTTCCCTTCGTGCTATCAGTTTTGACTCAGATACTCTTCATTTCTAGAGTTCTTGGCACTCTTTTTGCGGGTGGCTGGAATGTTCCAGAGACCCTCCTTTGGTTCACCGCCCACTCGGATCTTACACATATCCTCCTAGCACGATGCGACCGGCATAAATAAACAACTGCATCTCCGACTAACGAAACTCCTGCCGCCGACTCAGCAAGATACGCAACGTCCAGAGACTGTGATCTTACACCGACCGAAGAAGCTAATCGCAGATGGCAAGCCTACATTATCTCTGAAACATGCACAAAATCCCCATCTTCCAATATGAATCCCAGGTCTTTATCCACCGGCACCAGCAAAAGAACAAAAGCCACCGAAACACGAAAATCCCGCAATTCTAGACGCTACTTAAGATTCTCTCACTGTTGTCCATGCCCCGTGTACTCTCCTCGCAAATGCAACTGATGCTCTTCCCGCACCCCCGACTCCAGACCAGCCTGATTCTTCGCGAACACATGATCTGCCGGGAGCAACCACCCCGGATGGAAGATATTAAATACCCCGACCGCGATTACCATCATCACCCCATCGAGACCCACGAAGTACGACTCATGAGTGATCAGATATCCACTCCAGCCCTGCGCCAGCTCGATCGTCCGGTAGATGCTCCGAATGTAGATGCACACGACGGAGAGCACCATCGCACCGAGTAGGTAGGCCAGCGGGTCGTGGAGGAGCGCCTGCGAGTATCCGAGGCGTATCGAGCGGCGGAGGAAGTCCACTGCACAGAAGACAAAGATCGTGATGGAGGCAAGCTGGAAGACGATACCCGCGACCATGGTGTTGGTGCCGGGAGCGGTGTTGCCGTTCACCTCGTCGGATTCGGAGGATGCTAAACCACCGCCTGCGGCTTGAATGACGAGCGAGATGACGTCGCATGTGCAGAAGATCCAGAGGTAGAGTTTCGGGGAGAGGATGGAGGAGCTGCGCCCGAAGAGTTGGATATACCGGCCGAGGAGGACGTAGATGGCGGCGGTGAAGAAGGTTGGTGCTTTGCCGTTGTTAGGGTGACGGGTATGTGTCAAGAAAGGCTAATGCTTACCGATGATTAGGGTCGAGATTTGGAGCATGAATGCGGTCGAGTTGTAGGGACATTTGGCGGCCCAGGTGCGTCCAGCCCAGCCTAAAAGTTCCACTGGGTGATATTAGCTCGGTGTTGAATTGCTCAGAAGATGGCGATCATACCCAGACATCCGATGCTGAAGAGGCTGCACCACCAGGTTCGTTTCCAGCAGAACTGAACGATATGAACGATCATTGACAATCCAAAGAGCACACAGAAGGCTATCCCAGCGCCTTCGGAGGGAATGTACCCGTATGAGGTACTAACACCCTCCACGTAGGCTTTACAGCCCATGTAAAGTTCATTATCATCGAGAGATGACATGAGGAAGAAGCAGAAGGGCTTTATTTGAAAAAGAGATTAATGAAGAATAATGATGGTGAAGTAGCAGAGGGATATCTGATCTCGATTGCTGGTCCGAAAATCCAACAAACCGACTGCTTATATACCAGACATGTACCGCGAAAAAGCAACAGAACCAGGCTACGAAGTAAACTTGACGGATGAACCAACCACAAAGCCGCATCATACACAGCCATCGGGCGTATCTCAAGGGACAACAAAGTTTTAGGCTACGAGAATAACAACATACACACGGACGGCTTTTGGACTGATCGCCAACGCTCGGATCATCAAATCTTCGCTCCACAGCCGCACGCCAAGCGATAAAACGGGGTAAATCCGGCGCTGATTGAGCGGCCCGTAAATGGTCAATGTGGCTTGCATCTTTGGCTTCCGTGGGGGTTTCTGATTGGCTTCATCGTCAATTCCAGCCACGTGGGGGCCGTGCGGCGCCAGCAAACATGGCCGTGGATTTCGGATGCTACCTCGGAGAATTAATTCACAAGTATATGTAGGAACGATAAGTCTTCAGAGAACTTGGTCTTTAGGCCAATATTTCACTCCTTTATAAATAGTGTCTTGTTTCACTATCCCACTCTTTCCCACCGCTCCTCCCAAGGTCCGTCGACACCATGCGGCTTGAGTCGAAAAAGCACAGGGTATGATTGACCGCGCGCCTCTCGGTTACTCGTCAGTGAGACATCGTACACTCGGTGATGTTCCAGCGGGAACCTCTGTGCGATAGGCAGATGGGCGAGCTCCGTCTCCTCCAATTCCAGGACTCGCCTTAAGACCGCGACATGCAGTCCTTTATCCCACATGCCCTCCCGAGCGGGATACCTCGACAGAACATCCAGAATCCTGCGCCGCAGAACTGGGTGTCGACACCGCTGGACTGACCAGTAAAAGACTGGTATTACGTCTGCGTCGAGATAGAACTGCTCTGCGGCCAAGTCGGACCCGTCAGCACAAAGCTCGACCAGTTTCTCCCCAGCGCATGCTATAGCCGTGAAGTTTGGGTAGTATTGGTCCATTTGCATTTCGTCCAGGGATGTGCATGTGCTTAGCCAGGTGATCGCGGTGTTGTACTGGCACTGCATGGATAACGGGCCTCGTGGATCTAGCACCCCGCTAGTCTTAGCTGGCAGTTCTAGCAATACCTCAAAAGCTTGGAACCACGCATAGCACTCCTCCAGCAGTGCCGTCTGATGTTGTAATTGTTCTGGCAAAAATGGCTGCGGTGAGTCTGACCAAACATGGCGCTGTGCTGAGCGGACAAAGAGCAAGCATCGAGTGATGAGGTTGGTCAGGTAGTCTCGCGCTTCGCCAATGTGTTTGAACACAGGCTGACTTTTTGATGTGAAGACAGATGAGCTGCCTAAGACTGCGTCGAGCAATGCTAGCGGTCGACCAAAGTACGACATCTGATTATTCTGCCGACAAAAGAATTGCAACAGGTCTCTGTCAAGGCTCCCCTGAGCAGCAGTGTGCCCCGAGAGAATGCGCAATCCGCCCCCTACATGATTCATAGCTTGCCGGTTGTTTCCCTGCAGCATTTCCAGACAGATAAATAAAAGACACTGAATCAGCATCAAGTCGACCTCCATCCCCTTCGGATCCCCCATCTGCTGAAGAAACCTTTGGATAGCTTTATTGTACTGCTGCAGCGCGAATCCATCGTCCAGAGTCGCGGTATTGTTAGCAGGCTCGAGTCGACCCTGCAACTGCCGCTGATGCAACGCGCCCACGGCAGCAACGGCGTGCCTGACAGCAGAGTTGCGGTGACTCAACTGGGGCAGGAATCGATTCCAAAACTCCGACGGGAAGAAGCCCGACATAGCCGACGCGGTCTGCGTGCAGAAGAATTGCACGTACTGCCGCTCCTCCCGCGTACCCGGGACAAGTACAATCTTCCGATCGGGACCTGGACTCCAGTCATCATGCCGAGGTACAGACTGGACGATCGCCTGGTGCAGTTGGCGTTGCGAGGCGTCGGTGTAGCCGTCGCAAGTGCGTCCAGAGCGGGTGCACTGGCTGCATGCGGGCTTTTCTTCCCCACATTTGATGTGGCGAATCCTGTCATGAGTCAGGGGTGTTTTGGTCTATGTGGGCGGGTTTATGTGCGCATACTTGCAGGTTATGCATCCGTTGCGGGACTTTGGTCTGCTGGTTCTCTTTCGGCGAATTGATGATGTTGATGTTTCCGATGAGGAGGATGATGACATGGTGCTTTGAGCAGTCAGGGGTCAACGGCTACAGAAATAATTATAAAGTCGTCATGAAGGACGAGGCTGACAGTTGACATCGAATTCTCGCGCTAGGCCCCGCCCAGGATTACCTCACGTGATTTCTCTGCAGCAGTCTAAGTGCAAGCCACGTTATCCGCTATATTGCCACGGTGCTATAAGTGGATCTGATATAGCGACACTCACCAGAGCCAGAGTCAGTCAGCGAGACGCTGTCAGCTAGCGATCGCGCTTTCAAACGCAGTATCTTTTTCCAAGGCCCCCAAAATAGAGTAATATCCAGTTTGATTTTCGATCTCCTAGTATAGCCCAGCGAAGAACATCACACCCAGCCGAGCAGAACCACCGCTGCAATCAAAACCACATCCAATCAGAAGAACTATAGCTATAGCAATAAGTCCCCTCACAGAAGAACTTAAGAGACGGCTGCAGACCCTCGCACTAGCACCCACTCCGCCCCCAGAAAGACACAAACGCAGGCAATCACAATTCAAGACCTACATCGTCCTCCACCGACCATGCTGAATGAGTGACTAGTTAGCACACAGCACACACGTCTTCAATCTCATAATACAGACAAACTCTCGGATTGATCACACCACCGCCGCTTGTACCCCGTCACACACCCATCCCCATAGTCCCGACAACAGGATTCGGAGATCTCCCTACACAAGACATCCCAGTTCTTATACCGTGTCGACGCAATGAAGAGCTAGCCATCAGAGTCTGTGTTCCCGGGGTTGGATTTGCTCGAACCACAGAATGGGGAGCTGCCCCACCACTTGCAATTGGTGAAGCTGGCCATTTGGCATTTTGAGAACGCGCCGATTGTGAAAAGCATGAGGGCTAGGGCTGGGAGGGTGAGAAGATGCATGGTGTTGAGGGGATGTGATGTGAAGTACAATGAGTCATCGGGATTGGGCAAGTATAAGGTATGATGTATGAGCAGCCGTACGGAGTAAAAGCTCACATCAATCGCTCGTTCTTGTTATCGAGCCGTGGCTGCCACGTCAATGTTATGCAGCCACTTCGAGAATGTCCCTTGGCGTTCTGGTCTGTGACAGACGTACTATGTTGTTTTTGCCATTTGCTCCCTACATTGCCCCCAATTGAATATAACATTAAGAGTTTGTCATGATAATGATGGATCACTTAACTTATGCGCTCGGTGGGAGCGGTTAGAGATTCCGTGAGCCTTACAGCCCTTTTGCTTTTTCTCTACTACTCCTCTCGCTGATCTGCGTTGCATTAGATTCCTCTCGAGTACAAACTACATATCTACAATAAGAACGCTAAAAAATAAGACTACGTACTGCAAGGTGTTACCCCGCACCACAATCTTTATCAGCAGAAAGGCCGACCGGGCAGTGGGCACTACGAAAGTGTACACTGTAGCGGCCGCGAAGGCCGGGCGCGCCGGGCCTCGGGAAGATCCGAGCGGGGACTTAGGGCTACCGGTCCTGAGCCCTGATATGTATCTTTGGCCGGTGATGCAACCGCATCTCATTCAGGCTCCATCATTTCTCCTCTAGCACTGGTTGACTGATGGTAGAACGAAATCTTGACGTTCTCTTCTGTGAGCGCCTCTGGAGCTCTCTTCATGGTACTTTCAGGTTATTCACCAATGTCAACTCTGAATTTATCGCACATTTAGAATCTTCTCTGCTCGGGCGGAAACCATGTCATCCTGTTAATGTGACAGAGCTGGTTGGTATCACTCTCTTTCCGCTCCTCTTTTACATTCACCCGAATGCGCCCCTCAGGCAACTCCAACCGAGACTTCGAAGATTCACAGTAGATGCCGAACCAGTTGCTGATAGCCCAGGACAAGCTCAATGCCAGCTCTAGGTAGGCTGATCAAGGCGTGGGCCCTCCTACAGTGGTAGCATGTACGATGTGAAGCGTACGGTGTGATTGGCCCGTCCTGTCATCGTGGATATCGGCAAATCTCTTGTAAGCGGACACCTTGTCTCATCTGACTCTGCCCCCTTTCCCTCTCCGAGCTGTGAAGCACGGGAGCATCGTGTGAGGAATTTCCAGCTCAATTTCCGTAGTCCCGCGCTACAGTGAACAGCGAGCGGCAGATCTGTCACTCGGTGGGCTAGACTGTAAATGTAAGACGGAAGAGCAGCTCATTTGCGGCTTCATGATCCTGAGATCACGAGCGGTCTCAGTACAGCGCCCAAAACCGTCAAGAATAAACGAGGAAGGCAATTACATGCCCACGGTAATTGAAACCCCGAGACTAGCTCTACAGCTAACTCCAGCTAAGCAGCGGTCGCGTCGGAAGGATGATTCGTCAAAGTAATCCTTTTCGATCTGTTGATGAGGTCCCCAAACGGTCGTCACGCTTTCGCATACCTTCGATTTCCAGCCATTTGATTTCTTCCGATGCAATTCCAGCTTGTATAGTTCGGTAATAGGCAAAACACAGGGGAGTTGGCCTAAGGCAGCACTGCCGGCCGAGCACGCAGGTACGGTTTTGGCGTATGCTTACACATTTCAAATAGGTAGTCATCAAAGAATGTGCTAGGTGTACCGAGTGATAGCACGGGGAGCTTCGGAGACATCGCGGAGGCAGGAGAGAATCTCCGTTCGTTATGATGTACATGGCCTCAATAGTCTGTAGCTGCAGAGCTGCCATCAAATGTGGCCTGATTATCAACCACCAGGACGAAAATCGCAGTCGTCGAAGCTGGCTAGCACAACTAGACAACTATTACTAGGCGGACCTCTTCCGTGCGACGATTCACAGCTTCAAGAATTAATGGATCTCGCGCAGTCCTTGCAGATCCCCGGTTTCGGTAGACTAGACTTGTATCATCGAGCCAGTCCAGAGTATAACCACCTTCGAAATCCACGAGCCAAGCATCCCGACGATCGCCATCAATCACGACATTTTGTGGCTTCACATCTCCCCAACAAAGCCCGTCTCGATGGGGAGTATGAACCGCATCGGACATCTGGTCATACCACTTCTGGCGCTCCTTGACAAGAATCTCATCGTGATGATCGGAATTGATGATGGGAAAAAGACAAAGAGGGGACGCGTTGTAGGTCATGAGTATACCGGGATACTTGGTATCGACGCCAATCACCCTTCTAGCTTTGGCACCCGAGAGGAGATCCCCCATGTGTTGCACTCCCCCATCTTCTTCAGCACGGAAACCTCCCGTTAAAAGTAATCAGTAATTCTGACGATATCGTAAGCATAAGTCCTTCCATCGATGTCCACTTCATAGGTTTTATGCCGAGCGATCTCGCGAAAATGCTGACATCAGACAATTTGGAAGCCGGAATCCCAAGCAGCTCGTCATTCATCAAATCCCAGTCAATCTCTGGCTGAGGCATGCTCGAGGGGATAGAACAGGGTTCGCATGTGGCTTCATCGTTATCCTGAGGGATCAAGCGAAAGCTCAGCAATGATTGTGTTAAGAACGTCTCCAGGTCGTCTTCACGTACGTCTCGCCTCGTAGTGAAAAGGGGCATACAGAGCGGTCCCAGCAGATCTGCAAGTTCTCGCCTGCGCTGGCGTACGTAGCAATCAATGCATCGATGAGCAGTTGTCTGCTTGTCACCGGGGTTAATCGACTGCAGGGGGTTGCAAAGAGGACGAGGTCTTCCGACAGCCTCACCGTGAAGCAAAGGTACGCCGATTGCAGAACGCCCTTGCTGGCCACATGGCCCAGTCCGCTCAAAATGACTCGAATGTCGGAGTTCTCTGGGCGAAGGTCTTCATCGCACGTGATACCCATGTCCACATGGAAAGACTCTACAAGTCGATTAGTGCAACTGAAGGTGGTTGAATTGCAATCGCACAACAAGTGGCAGACCATGCTCGCTCCGTTTGCTTCGGTGACAGGTTCTCTGTCGCCCAGCCGAACAAAGCTTTGCTGCCCTTTTACTGCCTTCACCCTTTTTCTCTTTCAACCCTATCAGAATGCTTTTGCCTTTCCTTTCTTTTCACACACACTCTCTCTCCCTCTTTTTTTTTTCTGTTTTCTCCTTCTCTATTCTTCTCTTTTTTTCTTTCAGGCCTCTGAAAGAAGTTCGTCTGTCCGTGCCTATGCCATCAACCTCTCTTGGACATTTTGTGCTCTTTTTAGTCTGTCTTTTGATGTAAGTTTATTTCCAGATGACTAGTGAAGCACTGCGGCATTGAAAACGTTTCTACCAGCTGCTCGAAGTTTTCTCTTGGAGTGGAGCTCTTATTCCCCCTTTGCATCATGTCCAAAAGTACTCCGTAATGAAACATCAATTGATGCCCAGATCTTGAATTAAATCACGCCCTGGTTTTCCCACCCGGAGAAAAAAACGACACAACCGAGCAACTCTGCTATTAGCCACTCTACGAGATGTGGTCATCCCTAGCAGATTAGGGCTCGACCATACGACCGTGTAGTGCCGACTGCCGTCCTTGACTAGCGGAACTGCTGGATATAGGACGGTAATCCAGATCACCAATTTATGCAGGCCCTACTCTCAGAAGCTACAAACTACAGGTTCACACTTCATACTCACCGGTCGCCGGGGATGATTCTGAGGTGCTCAATGTGGTTCGCAATGTCTGAAGGTCATAGCACGAGCTAGGAATGAGGCATGCAGAAAGTTTGTGGGGGATGAGGGGGGCTGTGTTCGGGTTTGGCAAGCGCATGTCTCACAACTAAGTCTATCCACTTGGACTCACTGGGCACAGCGTGACCTTTCAGAGTTTAGCTAAAAGCCTAGATCCACAGGGCTAAACGACGAAAGGCAGTCGTTCGAAAAGTCCGACCCATAGCAGCAGGAGAGCAGGAATTGCTGCGGGTAAAATGGCATTCTTGCGGGGCCCTCCGCAAGGGTTGTCATTTGATCCTCCTGCAGCGTACGTCACCACACTGTTCGTACCGGAGGGACTTCAGATAAGATACTCAGAGTTCTGGTAAGGAAGGGCCATTATAATCGACACCTTATACTTCATCATACCACGCGATTGCTTCCATTGATAGCAAATTTGTTATCCCCGCGGTGTAGTGAGCTTCGTCCTAGGGTTTACTCTTGCGGGCCGCGGCTCCATGCAAACTCTGTAGAAGCAGGGGTACAGAGTACAGTACATATTCACTGTAAAAGGAAAAGATACTACGCAAAGAAACAAGCTTATTGTTTCTCCAGCGACTACAACTACAACAACAAATCCTAAACCTTTCGACTTCAATTTAGAAGTAGCTGAGAGCAGAGCGAGAAGTAAGTGGTCGGAACATGAATCCAGTATCGCGCCTTGCGCTCAGTGCTTCCCCTTACATTCGCCCCGACACCCTTCTCTACTTATACATCCGCGCGAGGTGTAGGAACCGCCCCCTTGCAATGCAGCGAACGACACAGTAGCAGGTTTGTGATATGACATAAACCTGATTTGGAAACGAGCTGCAGCCCGTGCCTTGGGGACGACACGAACAATCCCGGTCGTTCACATAGAAATCCTCTCACGGGGGCCTTGAAACTTGGCCTCCAAACTCCCACCACGGTGAATGTCTCTCTTCAGTATAAATACATCGACGGGACCCGAGGCGCGTCATTCTGGAAATGAGCCCTATAATTGACATCCAAAATCCCGAAACATCAGCGACCTCGCATCAAATTAGTTTCTCCGAGATGGGGGTACCGTCTCGACCCCATTCCACGACCGGAGTCAAGCGCTCGAGGCCGCACAACCTAAATGTCCTCCAGCGGCGCTACCACGCGGAATTCTACGAGACCGTCGCGAAAGTCATGGCCCTGCGCGCCAGCTACCTGCAGGAGCGCATCCTCTTCGTCAAAGGGAGCGAGATGGTGGCAATCCTGAAAGGTCTGGGCGCAAGAGACGAAGACTTCCCGCTCATCCAGCGGATCAGCGACAGCACAGGGCCGGACCCAACCTTCGAATACAGGACGGTGACGGCCGCACGCTACTGCCTCGACTCGGAGACGCGGTGTATCCAGCGCCTGGAGAAACGGTCACCGTTGAGCGCGCGGGCCGCCGATGAGCATTACAAACGCTACGACCCGGGCCCCCAGCGGGAATTTGACGAAGCGTCGATGGAGGTGCAGGGGAACACGGTCGTCCAGGCGCTGATGCTGTTCAAGGCGCTGGTGGTCCACAAGGTGGCGGTTTTCCCGCGCGAGAAACTGGACTACGCGTCGCATCAGTGGGTGTGTAGTGTGTTCAACGTGCGGATCATGACCGACGATCGCCAGGGGGTCCAGGGCGAGCCAGCGACCGGCGGCGTGCAGTCCGATGGGTCGGATCACACCATGACTGTGCTCCTGGGGTCGTCGAATATGCGCTCCGACAGCGCGGTCACCTACTTGCATGACAACTTGGAGACGACGGGGGCACCCTTGTGGGAGACGAATCCGGCCCTGATCCGAGGGCGGGTGCAGCATCGCAACTTTCTCGACACCCTCGTCTTTGCGGACCACCATTACAAAAGATGTGTCACGCAGCTCAACGCCTCTGATCCCTCGGAGCGGGCGTGGCGTGACATGCTGGTCGTTTTCACCCGAAGACCAAAACTGGATGAGCACGGCGTGGGTCACACGGAGACGCAGACACTGCACGCAACATGTCCGTTGCAAATTCCCATCTGGCTGCCTTGATCAGATGCTTAACACGGTTGCCTTCAATCCTCAAACACCGCGTCCGTCAGAGCCCGATTTACGTTTTGCATTTTGATATCCCCTGCAGCCCTCGCACCAGTACTCACTTACCTTTTTGATGCCCTTCCTAGACCAACTACCAGACGATATGTCGCTTTAGCTCACTTCATTGCGAAGACTTCCCCATGAGCTTAAGGGGTAGTACACCTCAAGCTGCACGCCTTGCATAAGCCTTGCTCACAGAGGTATACACCGCCACATGCCTCCAAACCCGCAACCCCTTTTTCTTCTGCTGCATCAAGCAAGGCGAAAATTCTGGGCCGGGTTGCATGGAGACACTGCGTCGAGCAACATGATTGAGAAAGCAGAGAGAATGAGAGTCAGCCGATGTCATGTCTTTTACCCATGAGGTGCTGTAGTGTCACCACCTTGATGAACACTCTTTCTCTCATGACAGTTGTTATCTACTTCCTATCATTCGCGCTTCTTCCGAGATTTTTTGCAAGGAATAATCAGTTATCATGGCGTCTGACATGAAGTCCTTCCCGCGTTTTCAGCGTATGTGACATGCATTTTGTTTACGCAATCCCGTCCTTTTGGACCACCCCCTACTGTGACTGCCGAGAGTTCACCTCTATTGTGGTTCATGTGCCCCTTAGTCATGACTTTTGCAGAAAGATGGTGTTTATTTTTTTCGAACCTTATCAGTCAAACAGATAATCTAATAATCACAGATGACAATCCTGTTAGTGGAGCAGATAGTGGACTTTATGTATTCACGGCAATTGCTTGCATAAGGCCTGTTCAGACCGGCAAGCCGATGTGATGTTTGCTGGAGTCGATGCTACTGCATCAGTCCTTATATTCGATGACCTAAGGGGAGCTAAGAAGATGTGAATCAGGTTTTATGCAACAGTCGCCAGTATATTCTCCAGCGCTTGCCCTACGCAACTCGTGATCCATATCTCCATATATCCTTCCATATAATTCCTCTCTATTGTCATATCGCGGTCGAATTTAGGATAGTGTTTCCGGGACCCGGGAAGTAGGCAAAGCTTATCTTGACACACACACCTCAAGCTTTCAGATTTAGCCGTTAGCGCCGAAATCGAACGCAATCCGGATTCTAGAACAATTGACACTGAGTTTCGCAGAAACTTTGTCAGCCGCCATATGCATTGCTGTGTGGCCCTGGACGTCCGGCTGCTCGATGCGGGCTCCCTTCTCTAACAGAGCCGTGACAAATTCCACGGGGACTCGAGACAGGTTCAATTGAGAATAGAGCCCCGCATGCTCCCAGCTGTGTTGACTTCCAGCTCCTCTAAGCTCAGCAGATAGTTGCCTACTTCCATCTGAAGCTCGTATTAGCCGAAGAGATCCTGATGGGCCGCTTAGTGAAAGGGTGTCCCGACCTCCGGACCGACTAGGTTGATATCCGCGCTGGGAGCAACGAGCACTTTTACCCTTTCGAGAGTCGAGGCCCAACTGGCATAGTGCAGCGGACCACCGCGCAATGAACCTACGACATTCAACTGGGCCTTGCGTGAAATGAGGTATTTGACCACGGGGATATTTACCAGGGCGCTTGACCTGCTCCCGCACAACGGCAGGATCGCATCGACCAGACATCCGGGAAAATTGTGACCCTCGGAGATGCCCAGTGGCTGTCCTACGTCCCATATTGGAATGATTATACCCTCAGTCAGCTGTCTTCCGACGGGTTTACTCTGAAGAACGAACGAAGCGAGACTGTTCATGGGTCAAGATGATAGGCGGAAGTAGACCTCCCGGCGCCGTGTATTTGGGCTCAGCAGATCGAGGTGGCATGAGTATTGGCATGACCAACTTCTGGGAACAGTATCCCACTCAAATAGACCTAAGAATTTAGCTACAGACGAGGCATTTGCGACAATATGCTATGCTCGCCCCTCGCCGAGCCGCTGAACACCCGTCCATACCACGACGGACTCAGACTGGATACCTACAAGGAGCAACCTAAAGCCCTCAAAACGACATACGAAGACTGCGAGCCCGACTTTGGCATTGCAAACGGGATCGGTCGAACGACAGTCTTCTATATTTGGCTGCACGGTAACGGAACACCATCCGATAGCGAGCTAAGCGCCTTTCCAGCCCTAGTCCACGACCTCCTCAATTGATAGCAACTCCAGAAACCATCTACAATCCCGGAGAGTGAAGAGGCGTCCTGGATTGCGACGAACGAGGCAGCACGATACGGTGTCTCAGCGATTTTCAATCTCGCGAATATTCGTCAGTATCTTGACTAAATCCAACCTAAAACTCGCCCAGACTGTGCTTAGCAGTCTGCAGTACCCGCACGATGAGTTTAATAGCCAACTCGAGGTTGCATCTCAAGAAGCAATCAGCCCAGCCTAAACACGGTGTTCATTTTCTCCCACACAACTTCAGTCATCATGCGCCTTGACCCGCGCAAACATAGATCCCAGAATGGTCAAGAACATAAATATGATCACGAACACAATCCCGACTATTCCACAGCACTGTAACTGACTCTTTCTACGCTCTCGTCGGGCGATAATCCGCTCGCAGGCATCGCAGTGCTCGTGGGGGGTGGTAATCACCGAGGTGACAAGGGGGATAGCGGCGGTAGGATCAGTTTCTCCGTGCTGGTGGGAGCGAGAGGGCTGCGATTCCACGTCATCCTGGTCCGCTTGTGCGACTGCAGAGTACTATCTGAGGTTAGTGATGTCAGACCGCCCGCGCGGGGAAGGGTGCATACTTCTTCGTAGGGCGGGGCTGCCTCGTAGGGTTGCTTGGGTGCCATTTGGTTGCGCTGAAGAATTGTGAAAGAAGTTGGAGCCGGACTATGTGAGCAAAACTCAGGTACTTTTGAGAGACAGTTCTGTGCAACAATATCTATCTTTTCAAGTACGAACAGTGCTGCCTGGGAGGAATGGAGGGTGAGATTGCACAGCCTCCTCGGGCTGACAAGGCTACGTCAGAGTCTTAGCAGGAAATTTTATAGGTGGCTTGTGCCTTTTTCGGGAAATGTCAGGCTTTCCCACCAATAAACTCGTTCTGTGCTTCGCTGTTTGTTCGAACCAACATTGTCGACTCGACTCATCCTGGCACATTATCACGTGATGCAGTCACTCACGAGGCTCGCTGGATATGTATGCCTGAGGCGATACCGATCCTTATCCTCAAAATGAGTACGTACCAACCTCGAAGAGCTGGGCTCGGATGAAATTCGAGCTAGATTCCAAAGATAGAAAGCGACAGCGAGTGACAACCTCCGAAGCGATGTTGAGAAAATGACCCTAAGCCACACTCCAGCCATATCGTTCTCCGGTTGAATAGTACCGGCCGGTATCGGCACGCTCCAGACACCGTACCTTCTCATGGAAAGAACCAGGGTTGGGTAGATCACATGCGACAAGTGACCAGGTAGACTGTGCGACTCGTGAAGTACAAATGGCCGTATATGATGAGGACATGCTGAGCACCTGGTCTTGCCTTAGCCGAGTGATATTAGGTTGGCATTTTATCGCCACTGCGCGAAGACTACCGTTAGGGCATGAGAGGCCAACTCTTCCGGCAGCATGGAGTAGTGCAACCGCGTATGCCTTTTCTTTCCAGCAACAATACTATATAATTACTCTTAAATCAAAAACCAGTACATACGACCACAGGGTGTGGAAAATAGGGCTTCCCGTCCGCTCAGCCGTACTCAAGCCACACGCCGGGAGGTTAGTAGTTGGGTGGGTGACCACCAGCGAATCCCTTCTGTTGTATGTTTTTGCTCAGCACTCATCTCGTTCATTAATATCTTTACGTATTTGTCTTGAAGTAACCGCCTGAATCCCAATGGCAAAGCATTGTTGCTGGGAGTTATAATGGCCGTTCAGCGGTTGCAGGATCCAAGTAGGATCTTCGACGATATCCAATGGCCAGTAACTCAGACCAGAATATCAGCCCTACACAGTACCCTCAATACATCTCCCCAAGATGATCTAAACGACGCAATAATACAGCTCAACTGATAGGCCGCGTTCATTCCATGCGGACGACCGAGTGGAGCAGTTTTCAGCCCAAGTGGGTCTTGCACATGCAAACCGGACGAGAAAATTCCTTATCTTCGGGCCTCAGGGGGTTTGACTCGTCTGAGTTCCTGCCTGTGTTGCTTCCTGCTGCTGCTGGGACCAGATATTGAACTCGAACTGAAACTACATGCCAAACCATATGCAGCAACGAATTGTACCTCATCAAGCGGCATTTCTACACAACACACCTTCTCCAATAATCATAACGCACCTATCGCACCGAAGACATCTTTATAACCCATAAAAGCACAAGCAACTCCAATATCACCACCTCAAAACTCGCTCACCACCAAAACCAACTCAAACAGAACCCCACAATGCCCACGCTCCAACCCAGCGAAGCCAAACCCCCTATACCCCCCCTCCCGAAAACCCTCCTCCCCCTCCCGCACCGAATCTACTGCTTCCTCTGGCTCTGGGCCACCAAACTCCTCGTGACGCTCCACACGACGATCACGAACCTGCTGCACCCACCCCCGCGCAGCACCATGCCAACCCTAACCGTCCGCCTCCCGTCCCGCCCAACCCTGGAAGCCCGCATCTTCTACCCGCCCAACTACACCGGGACCAACCCCCGGGGCCTCCTCCCGACCTACATTGACCTGCACGGCGGGGGCTTTGCGGTGCACACCGCGCGCCTCGACGACGCGTTTTGCTCCCAGTGGAGCAAACTCACGGGGATGTTGGTGATCAGTCTGGATTACCGCAAGATCCCCCTCCACCCCTTCCCGACGGCGGTGTATGATGTGGAGGCGCAGATCCTCGATCTGTTGGGTGCAGCCCAGGCTCAAAGCGCGAGGGAAGCCAGCATCAGCAGCAGTGGCAGCCACCACCACCAGATCCAGCAGCACCAGGGGCAGCACAACGCACCACAACCACCACCCCTCCTCCCCATCGACTCCACCCGCCTCACCATTGGCGGCTTCAGCGCCGGCGCCAACCTCGCCCTCGCCGTCACGCAACTGCCGGCCCTGCGACGGAAATTCCGCGCGGCGATTTGCTACTACCCCATTGTGGATTTCAGTCATTCCCCGCCGGATAAGATGCACGCCCGTCCGTACCGGGACTACTGGCACGATAACCTGGGGGACGCGGGGTGGTGGATTGACTGGGGGTATGTGCACCCCGGGCAGGATCGACGGGATCCGTTGCTGAGTCCGTGGTATGCCGCCGCACAGGATCTGCCGGAGAGGGTGTATATGGTGGCGGCGGAGTATGATTTGCTGCGGCTGGAGGCGCAGGAGATGATCCATCGGTTGGCGGGGCTGGAGGACCGGGAGGATAAGGAGGAGGGGTTCGAAAAAGATGGGTACAAGTGGACTTTAGCCAAGGGGTGTCGACATGGGTTTACCCATGGGTTCTCTAGAGGGCGGAGATCGAGGAGGGTGGAGGTGAGGGAGGAGATTTGGAAAGAGGCGAGGGATTGGTTAAGAAGAGGGGGGGTTTTGGAGTGAGTGAGTGGGTGGGTGGGTTTGTTGGTCACGGATTCAAGAAGATATTTCGAGGAGAGGACTGTATAGACGAGATCGAGCAGCTTGCGCGTACAGAAACAGAATTTCCTCAGTTGACAGACTTAGGCAAACGAACTAACAGCAGCAACTAAAGACTACAACCTCGCCTTCCTCCCCGCCCTCTTCACGCGTGCACCGGCCCACTCCATAAAAACACCCACCACCCCCTCAATCTGCGCCTTCGTATTATCCGCATGCACCGTGAGCCGGACTCGGCCCAACTGCTTCGGCACGATTGGATAATGCACGGCATCAACCCAGTACCCGTTGCCCCGGATATGATCTGCCAGCTCGTTTTCCTCGCCGGGCGGGGTGATCAGCGCGAAAATCGGCGTCTCGAACGATGTCGAACCCCAGTCCTCCGCGCCGGGGATACGGATCACTCCTTTGTCCCGGACTGCCGCCCACTGCTCATGCTGCGTGACCATGTGCTGGAAGTAGCGCGTGTTCTCCTGGAGTCGACGGCGTCGCTGATGTCGTCAGCACACGATCCGAACAAACCAGGCAGAAAAAGACATACCTTCTCGCCCTCCTCGCTGGCTGCTAACTCGTACCCTGCCCGCACAGCCGCGACTGTGATAAAAGATGGCGCGGTGGAGAAGACGATGTTGCGAGCATAGTTGATCATGGAAATGCGGATTGTCTCTGAGGCAAGCACAACAGCTACCACCAAACTCAGTCAAATCCGTCGAGAGCCGTACATCACGGAAGACTTACCACCAGTCGAGCCCAATCCCTTCCCGCAAGTATGGACCCGGATCCCAATCTCCTTTTCCAAGCCATAATGACACACGAGCCCGGACCCATCCGGTCCGATCAACCCGTTCGAGTGCGCCTCGTCCATCGAGTACACCACGTTGCCCCGCGGGAACACCGCACGCGAAATGTGCAGCATCTCACGGATAGGCACCACATCGCCGTCCATGCTATAGAACGACTCCACAGCGACAAAAACCACGCTCTGGCCGTCTTTGACCCCAGCGTGGTGGTTGCGAAGGTCTTCGAGCACGCGTTGAAAGTCCTGCAGGTCGTTGTGCGCGAACGAGCGCGTCTTGGCACGGCCGCGCCGCATGCCATCATGGATGCTGGCGTGGATATATTCGTCGTGCACAACCACGTCGTCGGGACGCGGCACGGTCGACCACAGGGCAACATTCGCGTCGAAGCCCGAATTGAAGAAGAGGCCCGCCTCCGCCTCGTGGAAGCGGGCGAGATCCCGCTCGATGTCGTTGAGGTAGTGCGTCGTCCCTTCGAAAATCCGCGTCGAAGTGCTGCCCACGACGAAGTTCGGATGAGAAGCCAGCTGCTTCAGGAAGCCCTTGGTCAGCGCCCGCGAGGTCGAGATGGAGAGGGTGTCGTTGGATCCGAAATCGATCAGTTGATTGACCATCCCGGGCGCCGGGGGCTGCATGAGGCGCTGCTGGCGCTCACGCTGCTCCAGCTGGGTTTGGAGCTTGCGGTGCAGAATTTTCTCGCCGGACATGTTGACCTCTCTAATCTCTGAGAGGACTTGTAGGTTATGCACGAATTGGGCTCTGTCGACTGTTCGAGGGACCAGAAAGACGTTTGAGTACATTTATATAAGTTTCTGGCGTCGGCGGCTGGGCACCTCGCCATCGTCTGGCAGTGACGAGCCATGTAATCTTCGAAAGTGTCCGGTTGAATTCCATGTCGGATGTACACTTCCTTGACAATTTCTCCAAGTCATCCAAACTTTGTGAGCAGAACTAGAACAGAGCCCGGTGGCGATGATCGACGGTGAGTGCGTCAATATAAGGTTGGCACGCTGTCAACAAGTTGCAGAAGACGAAAACCCGCGAATCACGTCGAGTAGTGTCCACGCTCGTCTTCAAGGTTCTTCACACCTTGAAAACCGGCATTTGACTGTTGGATGACATCAAGTCACACGAGACCGTCGTTGCCGTGCCCCTTACTGATGGCAAGGAGCTGTTGCCCCTTCCCCTGTTTGCGTTAGTGCGCGTTCATGTATGCCAAAAGTACCAATCCGTGTCATGTGAGCAAGTTTCATACTCTCGAGCTTCTTCGATGCAAGGCTGCTAGTGCAGGGATGCTCATTCACCGGATATATCGACCGTAGACCCTCTCAGCAGGCCACCTGCAATGCAGCGTCACTTCTCCCTACCGCCATCGCTATTTGTGGAAAACCAACTATACAAGCCCGACAGGCTGGTTTGGCATTCCATCCAGAAGCGTCTTCGGTGCATTGAGCCATCCAGTCAGGTATGCCCTGCAGCTGAAAAAGCAGGGTGTCAGATGTCGCCATGTATAGAGTTGCAAACAAAGTTCATGCTCCTGAATGATTCCGGTAGACAATGACGTTCCATATCACCTACTATGGCTGTCAAGTTACGAGTGGTCGGTACCTGAGGACTTGGTTGTCCACAGCGCAAGTTCATCTTAGGCAGCCATACGTCATTCGCTCGGGAAAGCGCTGCGTCAACCTGAACAGAGTCAAAGAGAGCGATTTTTGATCACAATACATCAGGCAGGATGAAGCATATAAAGCCGTCCTACAGTCGGGATCAAGAAACACAATCAACAGAGAAGTACAGAGAAGAAACAATATACAGCCTAAGCATTTGCAACGTTATTACAACCATCCTTTTCAATCTCATCAATCATACCTAGTATATCACAACTTTACTGAATCGAGCAACGCAATCATGGAGAGAATCATTTACAACCACGCTCAGGAAAATCCGGATGCTGTCGCCGTCGAAGATGAACAAGTCTCTTTGACCTACGCTGAGCTGTTGGGGGAAGCAAGTCATCTGGCGTATGAGCTGGGAGACTTGGATCCAGACGAGCCTGTCGGTATCGTGCTGGGCCCTGGGATTAATCAGGTAGTTGCTCAGCTGGCGGTTCGCTTGGCTGGCGGGACCTGCGTCCCGCTGGAGCCCTCAATCCCAGAGCAGCGCATCAAGGACCTGCTGGAGGAAATCGAGGTCAGAACTATCCTGCTAGACGAAGATTCGTCAGTGAATTGGCCAGACCGAAAGGTGATCCGTTTCCCACCCGTCACCGGTGGGAAAACACTCGATGAAAAGCTTCCCAAGGGTTTCAAGGACCCATCCGAGCGAAGTCACATTCTCTTCACGTCCGGATCCACGGGGAAGCCCAAACCAGTCCAGATTCGAGCCGAGGCCATCCTGCATCTTGCCAACAAGACACCAACAACCCCCTTGCGTAAGAGTGACCGCGTTGCCGAATTTAACAACCCGGGATTTGACTTGAGCTTGTATGAGATTTGGGTTACTCTCATTTCGGGAGCCACGGTGTGTGCTATTCCGCGAGACAGTGCCATCAGCTCGGGGACGTTGGCCGATATGATCTCAAAGCACAGGCTGACGGTTATGATCATCACAACCGCGCTGTTTACTATCACAAGCACTCAAGACCCGACAGCATTCTCTTCTATTCGGCATGTCATCACGGCAGGGGATGTGGCAAATGCGCAAGCCATGAGAGACGTGTTGCAGAAGGGTGCACCCGAGCATCTTTGGAATGCTTACGGGCCAACCGAATGTGCAACCCTGGCTACCATGCAGGAGGTCACACTTGAAGAAGCAAGCAGAGACCGCATCGGCATTGGCAAGGCGGTGGGGGATTTGGAGCTCGTTTTGCTTGACGAAGATCAGCAGCCCGTGCATGAGAGTGGCATGCAAGGAGAGATCCATCTTGGCGGCCCACAATTGACGCCCGGATACTTGAACCGACCAGAGCATAACGAAGAGCGATTCGTCAGCCTGGACAGAAAGGACTTGGGCCTCGGAGAAGGCACAGTGCGTCTCTACAAAACAGGCGACTTAGCTGAGTGGCGTGAAAACGCTGATTGCTTGGATTTTATTGGTCGAGCCGATTCTCAAGTCAAGCATGAAGGTTTCAGAGTTGAGCTGGGCGAAATTGAACGTGCACTCATGTCTCACGACGCAGTCCAGTCTGCAGTTCTCATTCATCAACCCCCAATCACAGACGGAGAAGGTCATGCTCTGGTCGCTTTTGTGTCGGCTAAGAATGTTGACCAGAAATCACTCCTTGAATACGCTCGCGAGCACCTTCCCCATTACATGGTACCGAACGGCATCGAATTCTTGAAAGATTTTCCACTGACGCCCAATGGTAAAGTGGACCGTAAGGCTCTGACCGAGCAGCGACTCGATGCCTTGAGAAAGAAGCAGAAGGAATCCAAGACAGACGAGGCAACGGACAAAAGTAAAAGGTCCCATGACAAGGCGGAGACGCTCCGGAGTCTCTGGAAAAATCTATTGCACCTCTCCGAAGGGATTCATGATGATGATGACTTTTTCTCCCTGGGCGCCAGCTCACTTCAAGCTGCGTCACTCATTGGCCAGATCCGGCAACAGTTTGAGGTTCGGGTTTCGATGCAAGACCTTCACGGTCACTCTCGATTTGACCAGATGCTGGACTTGATCCAGCCCAGCGAGCGTCGACACAACAGACCACGTGATGACACCAGGGTGTGGAAGCAGGATGTGTTTCTAGTTGATGAGATTGACATGGTGCCTGAGTGGGAAGCCAAAGACGAGGGGCGTGTATTCATCACCGGTGCGACTGGCTTTGTGGGCGCTCACCTTCTCTCGAAATTGCTGCAGCGACCGGGCGTCAAACAGATCGCATGCCTCGCACGTAGCAAGAAGGATATGAGCGCCTGGGCCCGTGTTCAGCAAGCACTCGAGCGATATGACGTCTGGCCTGACAAGCTTGAATACACGCAGAAAATCCTCGTGCTTGAAGGTGATCTCACCGATTGGCATTTGGGACTTGGACAGGAGAAGTTCACGTGGCTTTCAAACTGGGCGTCGGTGGTCTTTCACCTCGGAGCCAAGGTTAACTTTTGCGAGTCGTATCGAGAGCACCGCACAACGAACGTCGTTGGTACAAGAAATGTACTCCACCTTGCGGCCACAGGGCGTCGTAAGGGTTTTCACTATGTTTCCAGCATTGATGTCTGGGGCCCAACCGGAAACATTTTAGGGACAGAGGAGATCTACGAGGACGATCCCCTGCAGCCACATATTCAAGGCCTCCGGTATGATCTGGGCTATGCGCAGAGTCAGTGGACCGCCGAAGCGATGGTGCGCCGGATGAGAGACCGTGGCCTGCCGGTGACGATATACCGCCCGGGATTCGTCATTGGCCACAGCCAGACAGGGGCAATGAATCCAGATGATTTTGTTAGCAGATTGTTAGTGGCGTCCATCAAGCTTGGTGCATTCCCCCGAGTGGTCGATCAACGTTTGGAGTACGTGACAGTGGATTATGTCATTGACGCAATGATGGCCATTGCGACTCGGAACGAGAATCTCGGCCGTTCGTATAGCCTATTATCGCCGGATGTTAGCAAATCCGTTACGGTGGAACAAACCTGCGACGTCCTCAACGAGGCAGGCTATCCTCTCGAGCTGCTCGAATTCAGTGACTGGGTTCAGAAGGTAACCGACAACGATCCAGATGGGTTGCTGACGCCGTTGATGCCTTTGTTCCAAGAACAGGTACTGGGACAGTTGACCCGATGGGAGGCGAGCCAGTACAGCCCGATCTATCGGTGTGACAACGCACTCGAAGCGCTGCATGATCATCCCGAGATTGAATATCGTCCCTTGGACGCAGCTTTATTCAAGAAGTTTGTCGCCTTTTGGGATCGTAAGGGATACCATCACGTTTGATCTGATATGATTCAAAGCGCTGGAGAGAGTGGTGAACAGTGGCAGTGGAGATAATGCAGCTATGAGTTTAAAGTCTTATTGATCCAGGGATATCATTATGCGTCCTGTTATGTATGAACCTAAGCCTTTTAACGGGTCGCAAAGATTGTTTAACTCGAGAGTAGAACGCACCCTCTCCTCCGGTTCGTAGTAATGAAATGCTCGGCTACAACTTCGTGACTGTACACAACATTTGCATCTGTGGAAGACTCTTCGCGATATGTGTGTTCGCGAGATCGATGTTAAGCCCCATGGAGCTTTGTCTCGCAGGACATGCGAGCTGCCATTCCCGAAGGTGTTGCCCCGATGTTTCTGATGAGTCGGATGGTTTGGAGACTTTACGATGTTTGGTTTGTTACACTTGGCACCAACGACCCGGATAGTGCGGTCGAATTAATGACAAGGCTAGTGTCATCGTCATGACAGAGACTGAATCAGGCTGCAAAGGGCCGGTCGCTATTGCACACTCAGACATGCGCCCATCCATTGGCAACCAGGACCTGCATTTCATTGATCAAGCAGAAATCACCCTTTTCTCGCTGCTGGGGTTGATTTCCTTGCCACTTCGCAATCCGGCCACGGACGACCTGCAGTTTGAAGTAGGATGAAGTCGTCCAGCGTCGGATGCGGTTCTCCCAAAGTGCCATAGCGATGTTTTGCAAGGACAACCACGCGCGGGCCGGATGCACGGCAGCATACGCCTCGGGTTTATATCCGACGCGGACCTGGGGATTGAGGTATACACCATGAGTTTGCGACAAAGGGTTGTCAGCGTGAATTAAGCAGCATTCCGAGCCTTCGAGGTGGGAAAGCGCAAGAGAGTCGGGAATGGCGCGGAACCGCAGTGGCGGAGATGATAAAAATGGCGCGGCCGGCATCGCCACTATAAGTGTTAGTAGGGAATGACAATAGGAAGGATCAGATGCCTACCCATCCCGTTCCAGCAGCTTTTGACGGGGACCGGCTCCATGTTGATTAGAGCTCTGCGAGAAGCGCCAGAGCGAAAGTATGGCCAGGTTTGCATGATGTGTTCGTCGCCCTGTGAGTCACGCAATGCGAACGTGTCATAGTATAGAGGAGGCTTCGAAAAGTCAAGGGAGCAGACAGCCCCATAAACACCATCGTTGGTATTTAGCAGAACCGCAACATCGTCAACCTAAGGAACTAGCTGATCAGCCACACATTCGTCCATTTCAACCAATATCGGAGTCAGTCATACCGTGAAGACGACATCGTTCAAGAAGAGCACTTTATCAAAGGTGACTCCCTGTCTGGCAAGGTCTACCAGCGGTTGCAGGGTCCAATTGCGGAGTCGAGCCAAGTATGGAATGCGGCGGAGCTCTTTCCGTCCACGCGGAGTGTTGATCCAGCCCTCGTGCCCGGGTGGAGCGGAGATCTCATCCTGGTGTGTCGTGTCGGACAGAGTGATATTGCGTCGTACGCCCAGTCGATCTAATCTCGTGTCCAGTTCGTGCAGAGCTCCCTTGCTGTCATCCCAGCTCCCACTCTCCAGAACGCTCACAAAGACATTGTCGGGGCCGAGAGTCCGCACCAGGTCAACGACGGCGTCGTTCCAATTGCTCCGTAAGATGCGTTCGTTATTCCAATGGGTGCTAGCGATGAACACACGGTCGGATGGCTGCGAAGGAGGAGGGCGGTTGTCGACAAGGGCGATACGGTGGTGGATCGAGAGGACTTGGAGTATTGTCCAGATCACTAGACCGAGGCCCACGAGGAGCCCGACGCGTCGGCGGAACCCATATCGGCGGCGGGGAGCCCAGCGGGGACCGGACTTGGGAGAGGCGAGAGGGAGGATCATGGGGACATTCTTTTAGCGAGAACAAGTGATTCGGAATATTATCAGAGAGTGATAATTGAGGAATGCGTCATTGGAGACTTCCCATCTGTACCAACTGCGCTATGCCGCTATGCTCATGAATCTGGCATCGTGGCTGAGGATGTTGGGAAAGGGCGGAAGGAGTCCACAGTGGATAAAAGTTCAAAAATAGCAATCAGGGGAGACCGCCATTCACACTAGTCCCAATCTGGATGGCCCAGATACTGACGGAGCCGTGTTAGAGCCTGATATATTAGGCACACGGCAGTAATCAAGAGAGTTGGTCTGGTCTTGCCATACAAGCGCCATACCTGAGAGCAAATTCCAACTTCAATGACCAACTTCATTATCCCATAAGATGCTTATATTCCCAAACTACAAGAATGAAATGAGATTGTCTCCTAATTTGCAAAGCGCTAGCTTTACAACTCCATGAGGGCCTGATCGTGGGTGACGGCGGGACGATTGATTACTTCGGGAGGCAATTTCTGGATCCTGATTGGCCACCCCAATGACAGTTGGAATATAATGACAGCGGGCGTGGAGTAATATGACTTCTAATGGATACCTAGTAATCAACATCCATGTAACTTCCAAATTGATTTCAGTAACTAGCCGGCAATCATTACCTGATAAAGTAGGGAAATTAGGAATCGACTTCCCCCTACAGCCCCTCATATAAATTCATATAGTAGATGGTCTATTTAGCTTATCTACTGGATCTAAGAACACCTACCACCATCTGAATCCCAGTGACTCTTTCCCAAACTGGAAGTCCCATGTAGCTGCCCAAAGGGGTTAGTGCGCTTTGCATCGCCTTTGGCTGAGGGAGGCACCCGCAGACAAGGCACTCGTATTACTTATGATTATGTATCCCTGCCATGACATATCTTCGACACCAGCTCGCAACAAACATGTAAAAAAACAGACTGAATACACTGACCATAGTCAAGACTAGATCAGAAGAAAACTAATCATTCATGAACTATATGTCAATTGCTGCATGTTAGTGACGCATGTACAATATAATGATGAATGTCAAATACACAGTCGCTGACCAAGCATGGATCATAACTAAGGTGAACACCGAGCAGCGATTAGATGACGTCATCATCTTGAATTCTAGAAGCTGACCAACCGTCTACAACAAAGATCACCTCGAGACATGTCTCCCGACCACAACAGCCACCTCGTAAGGCTCGTACAGAAGCCGATTGCGACTCGTGGACCAGAATGGGAGTGGGCTCAGTAGATCCAATCCTTTTCTGGAATCACACGGAACTACTGCACCACGGCCGAGGAAATAAGGCGGATCACTAATCATTCTCGGATCCTTTCTATAGTTCAAAGAATGTCGAGGTTCGCCATTTGTCAGCGCAAGAGAGTGAATATGCATGTATATCAGGTCCAGTGCGCCGACATAGTACTCGCTCTAGATGGATTCACTCAGGTCGTCTACAGATCATATCTCGAATTGAAACAATGGCTCTTGTTCTGATCACGGGTGCTACCGGCTTCATCGGGTCCCAGGTAGTTTTCGACGTGTTGAAAGCCGGCTATCGCGTGAGGTTGGTTGTGCGTCGTGCTGAGCAAGCGACCAAGCTCGAGCGGGTTTATAGCCGATTTCCAGAACGGTTGGAATTTGTTGTTGTTCCTGATCTAACGGTAGATGGATGCTTCGACAAGCCATTGCAGGGAGTAGACTACGCGTTGCACCTGGCCTCTCCATTACCCGGCGCGGGAGAAGACCTTTTGACTCCGGCTGTTCAAGGAACTGTCTCGATTCTGCATTCTGCACTCAAGGTGCCAAGTATCAAGAAAATCGTGGTGACTGCCTCGGCCTTGTCAATCATGCCGCTCGGGGGCGCAGCCGATGGCTCGGTCATTAAGGGTATGGTTTCACCTCTATTGTTACTGCGAGCACTAGTGATACTAACATCTCATCTGGCAGAAACAACCGATATCCAAGATGTCGACCCAGCGCAGGTGGCTTCGTTGAACCCATTCGACCAATACCAGGCCAGCAAGATAGCGTCTTACAAGGCAACGCTAGACTTTGTACGTGACCATCATCCGACATTTGACGTGGTTACTCTGCATCCCGTCTTTGTTTTCGGGTACAATCAGGCACAGGAATCAGCCGACCAGCTGGGCGGCACTTGTGGCATGCTGTATCAAGCAATCACGGCGGGAAAGCTGTTTTCGGATCAGTACCGGGGGGTCCATGTTGAGGACGTGTCTGCTGCGCATGTAAAGGCTCTGGACAGCTCCATAAAGGGGTTGCAATCTTATCTGCTGGCTGCACCACCAAGACCGTGGTCAGATGTGAAGACTTTCGTCCGTCAGCGGTATCCCAATCTGCCTGTCAAGCTCGAGACGCAGGAGACGACAGGCTATGTTCTTGATACGAGCAAGGCTGAGAGAGAGCTGGGGTTGACCTTCAAAGGAATGGAGGACCAGGTGAGCGACGTGATTGACCAGCAGCTAGCGTTCAAATGAGCAGGTGGTTGGTGCATATTTGGCAGGTCTCTACGAGTCACGGAAACAGATTTCAGATTGCGAGGAGATGTCGGGACGAATGATTTTATGTATGTTTGAGAGATGATCATGATGTGTGCAACACAAATAACTTATATTGAAATCGAATTTGTCAGCATTTTACATTATCGGTGCAGTGCGGGGCAAACAACGATTCTCTCAGCCAAGGGGCATTGACATGCCGAGAACATGAGAACAAATTGTCAGTATACAAGACCACATATTGGGTGAGGGTGATTGACTGGCAAATCCAAAATCGAGAGACAGCCTGGTGGCAATTGCCAGGAAGAAGATTGGTTTGACATGAACCCCGCTAAAATCACGGTCGGCCATTTCCCGCCTCCTCTGTCTCCACGTAGTTTTCCACATCTACAGTATTTGGACTAGCCCTTTCGATTCATGCTTCTCCTGTAGTCGGCACATATCGGACAAACTCTTGGCACATCAATCTAACTCATTTGTTAGCAACACGAATTGCTCCAACCGACCAATGCGCATTCTTGGGACACCCACGCGAATGCCGATCTCCTGCATCTAAAAGGCAGGGATCTCCAGGGACAACGGCCGGACTCTCCACTTTCCATTCCCGTGGGCATCACCAATGTGCCCATTGGTGTCAGTGCCCTCTATCAACCAGATTGACAGCTTCCACTCAGCCGGTTTGGGCCTGCTCCGGCCATGCGATGCGAGTGAATATGATAAATTAATGCAACATGCAGGTGAAATGAGGTCATCTCGTCCATGCATCCCAGGCAGGCACGTGGGAACATCATGGGAAACTGCCACAATCCCCCTCCCCCATTCCAGATGGATCTATCTGGAGCAAGTATAAATAGCAGGACGGATTCCTCTATCTTGAGTCTTACTGCCATTGTCACGAGCATCAATCAGTCACCATGCATCCCAGTGCTCTTGTCGGTCTTCTGGCCTTCGCGGCAGCTGCCTCAGCCCTACCTGGTGCTTCCTCCCGACACGCCCACTCAAAATCTTCGGTTAGCAACCTCAAGGACAAGATCAAGAATGTCGTGGTGCTGGTGATGGAGAACCGCTCCGTCGACAACCTTCTGGGTGGCCAGACGATCAAGGGTCTCGAGAACCCCATCAACAACGGGCCCTTCTGCAACCCGTACAATGTGAGCAACCCGGCGGAGGGCACCGTCTGCAGCGCCGCCCAGGACTACGACTCCGTCACCGATGATCCCGACCACGCGGTGTACGGCAATAACATCGAGTTCTATGGCACGTTCACGCCGGACAACAAGGCGATTGAGTCGGGCGCGTTGACACCCAGCCAGAATGGCTTCGTGCACGAACAACTGCGCCTCTACGGCGCCCAAGCCAACCGTACTCTGCTCGCCACCCAGGTCATGAACTACTATACCGAGGAGCAAGTGCCGGTTCTCACTCAGCTGGTGCAGAACTACGTTGTCTTCAACCACTGGCACTCGGACATTCCTGGAGTGAGTTCTACATCAGATTCGCAGATGCAGATGCAGCAGACTGACCGACTTGCAGCCCACAGATCCCAACCGTGCAGCCCTGACTTCAGGAACCTCCTACGGGCACGGCAGCAACGATGATGCCTTCTCCGTACACGGTTTCCCTCAGCAATCCATCTTCCAGCAGCTGAGCGAGACCAATCACACCTGGATCAACTATTACGACACCGAGGGTGGCACGGGTCCGGACTCCGAGTTCTACGACTGGACATACACAGCCAACCGCACCAGCCAGGTCCAGCCCTTGGAGCAGTTCTACACGGATGCAGCGGCGGGCAAGCTTGCCGAGTTCACCTACCTAAACCCATCCTGCTGCGGCGTGGGCACCAACTCGATGCACCCCAGCGGACTCATCTCGGACGGCGAGAAGCTAATCAAGGACGTGTACGAGGCTCTGCGCAACGGGCCGCAGTGGTCGGACACGCTGTTCATCCTCAGCTTCGACGAGACCGGTGGCTTCCATGACCATGTGCCTCCTCCCTTGGCCCCTCGGCCGGACAACCTGACCTACACGGCCACCACGCCCAGCGGCGAAAACTACACCTTCACCTTTAACCGTCTGGGAGGCCGCATCCCGACGCTATTGATTTCCCCGTGGGTTGGCAAGGGGTACGTCGAGCAGAGGGGCACGGATGTAGAGGGCAAGACGGTGTCGTACTCCGCGTCGTCGATCCTGCGCACGCTCGGCTATCTCTGGGACTTTGAGCCCTTCACCCCGCGTGTCGAATACTCTGCGTCATTCGACCATCTCATCCAGTCGAAGGCTCGCAACGACACTCCTGCCACGCTGCCGGAGCCCATTGCATTCCGCAAGTAGCGTAGCACGGGCGCGCAGGGCAAACGTACAGTAAGAGAACAGGAAAGAATACCACTGCATGACCAAGACTTGCACATAGATAGAGACGTTACTAGTATATAAGAGCTCCATGCGTTCACATCAAACCCAAACCCCAACGCACTCCACTAACCAGCATACCCATTTTCAACCTAAAGCGCCGCCTTCCCCCCCTCCCCCTCCCCCTTCTCCTTAACATAAGCCCCCTCATACTCCACCGCTCGGTTCTCCCTCACCCAGAGCTTCTCCTCCTCACTCCTCCATGGCGGCGGGATCATCCCATCAATCTTCCAAAGCCGCCGCTCCGTCTCCTCAACATGATATTCCAGCCCGAAGCCCCGTTCCAGGACATGCTTATTCAACACCTGATCCAGCCGGGCCGTCGTCCGCCGGTACGCGTCGTCGTTGTCCGGCGAGTGGATGGCGATGTGCGTGATAACCACCCTCACAAAGGGCTTTGTTGACGTGGTGGTGGCTTGCCCGCCCACGAAGACGTCTTCCGGGCTGAGCTCGTGGAATTGCACGACCACGTAGAAGGCGGGGAGGCCGATGGAGGTGTAGAATTTGGTGATGTCGGTTACGAAAGTGGATTTGGTAGTGGAGGTGAAGGTGCCAGGGGGGGAGTAGATTTGCCAGAGGGGCATTTTGTTAGGTTTCCTATTTTGTGCTTTTGTGTAGGTGGTTGGTAGGATGAGGTGAGGATGGGTGGGTGTAGTTTGGAAGGTAGGTAGTATTGAGTAGGTTGTTGGTAGGGCTGGTGTAGTTCTGGGAGTGAGGATTAGTGGTAGGTCGTCTACATATGTGGGATGGTGTCTTTTATGCCGCTGCTGACGGTATACAATTGCGAGTTGAGCGGATTGTCAATTGAGGGCATCTGATATGTAAGATTAGTGATCTGCGCCGATCACGGCGGGGTGGTGATTGGTGCGGGATTCTATGATTAGTGAACCGTGGTCTGTGTCACCCGCAACTATACGGAATGATTAGTGAACTGAGTCAGGAGTCTGTGTATACCATACCTGTAACTGTGTCTACGCCGTAGCACTGCAAGACGGTGTATAAAGTCGTGAATAGCTAGCACACCCATTAACCCCAATCCCAGAATCAATCGCCATATCACATTTCAAACATGGCCCCTCTCGTCTTCATCACCGGCGCAACCGGCTTCATCGGCTCGCAAGTCGTCCTCTCGACTCTCCGCGCGGGCTACCGGGTGCGGCTGTCCATCCGTAGTGATGCCCAGGAAACGGCCCTGCGCGCCCGCTACCCGGACTTTGCGCACATGATCGAAACCTGCATCATCCCCGACATCACCCCGCGCGAAGCCTTCCTCCCCGCCCTCGCCGACGTGGACCACATCTTCCACCTCGCCTCACCGATGCCCGGCCGCGGCTCCGATCTGCAAGCCGACTACATCGACCCAGCCGTCAAGGGCACCGAGTCAATCCTCTACTCCGCCCTATCTTTCCCCCAGATCCAGAAAGTAGTCATCATGTCCTCTGTGCTAGCATTGACCCCGCTCACGGCTTTAAGCCAGAAGGAGGTCTACGTAACCGGTAAACCCCTTCACCCCCCACAACCCACCGTCAGCCAGGCAGATACTAAGTAATGATTGAAGACAACACCAACGAGCATATCCCCCTGGACCTCCCCAACCCCCTCCCCGCGGGCTTCTCCGGCCACGGCCTGAAATACAGCGCCTCGAAGATCGCCGCCCACCAAGCCACCCGCGCCTTCCTGGCCACCCACTCCCCGCCCTTCACCCTCATCACATTCCACCCGACCTTCGTCCTTGGGGAGAGCCTCATCCAGACCAACCCGGAGGAGATCAGCGGGATGAACGCCCTCTTCTGGCAGAGCGTGCTGTCCGAGACACCCGGGATGGCGAATGCGTGGGTTGACGTGCGCGACGTGGCGGAGGCGCACGTGCGGGCACTGCAGCGCGAGGATCTCGTGTCCGGCACGGAGTTTCTGCTGTCGGGGCCGACGCCGGGGTCGTGGAAGCGGGTGGCAGAGGTGATCCAGAGCCGGTTTCCCGAGGTGGGGTGTCGATTGCAGGGCCCGTTGGAGGAGGAAGCTGGATGGAGGGTGGATACGAGGATGGCGGAGAGGGTGCTGGGGATGCGGTGGAGGGGGCAGGATGAGATTGTGGAGGCGGTGGTGCGGCAGCAGTTGCGGTTGAGGGGGAAGATCTAGTTAGGAGGCTTCGAGTCGCTCTTAGCGTGTGTACTTGACGGAGCTCTGGACTGCGAACGATCATTTCGGCGATTGTGCTTTTCCAGGAGTTTGTGACACTTCGCAATTGCGTAGACAGACAGGCCACGTGCTGACAGCCCCCAAATTAATCCTTGCTCGTTTGGACTCAGCCCATCATGCCATTGTATAGTATTTTTCCGCCTCAGATCTTGCATCATAGTATCTATCGCTTTAGCCTCTTTCCATGGAATTTTTTTTTCTGTGTGATTTTTCTACGGCTGAGGCACTGTAGTTAATGTGTGCTTGACTCCCTGAGATTTTTGGAGTTTGAAAAGTGGTAGATTGATTGACTCCAAGTGCGGAAGACGCGTTTTGTGGTGTTCGGCCCGCAAACTTTTTGCCAAGAACTCGGGAAGTGTACCGTACTATATGCATTGGGGTGTGAACGTGCGTTTAAATGAGAAAATATACGGAGTGATGGTTATGTAAATAATAGAAGAAGAAGAAGCAACGCTATTACATATATGTGCACTCATATTTGCTCTCCGTCTAGCTCGAGTGTTGTAGTATATTTCCGAATCATTCCTTCTCCGAATTCCCCCTCAAATGTCTCTCTCGCATTGCACCACCAGTAGTACGGCAGGAAACTGTTACCTCGATTAGTGTCAATATGAATTTCACCTCAATGCTTCATACATGAGTCTAGCTTGGTCGCCCCGCTGTAGAAGGAGGAACATCGCGGCTCGAGTCGTAATTCGATGTTGAATTATACTCAGTTTTGACCGGTCGGGGATGCGCAGACGCAACATCTTGGTCGCGGGCACGAGACCCCTTCTTGAGGAGGAAAGAAAGCGCGAGACACATGCTGCAAGAGGTGGTCTGGGTAGCGGTTGTGGCAGATAACAGAACGAATAAATAGATCAGCCTGTTGATTTTGTAAGAGGGTGTCGCTGTGGTGATAGTAGACTCTGTATGCTCAGTGAAGCTGCAGTGAAAAAGAAAAAAGGTGAACAGTTTAGACTCCATCCTCGTGTCTGGCAAGACTTATATATCCTAATTTTCATATCGTGCACATACCCAGCTGAGCGGACTGTTTTCACTGATTTACTCATGTTGTCTCCTGAATGCTATCCAAATGCGGTAATCAAGGCGATCGCGGGGAGACCCTCTCAGCCCTGGGGCCGCGTTGTCAGCCTCATAGCAGATAGTGGATCCGTGCTAGACTTGAGGAGCTCAGGCCGTCAAAGCTTGCACACACAGGGTTAGTCCCATGGATTGACAGGGAGTTTTTAGGCAGACTATCTTCAAGTTCCATGTCGAGGCGCAGCGATTACGCCGCGCCCTTGCGTACTTCTGCTGTCAGCGGGCGGGCCCAACCCGCGCTTACCCGTTCTGGTAACCTCATCGGTGACCGGACTTCGACTACGGGATCGACGGCCACGTGGAATCAAAATTGGGATCTTACGAGTTGGAAATTCTTATCGTTAAGCTTGGCGAGAACGCGACTGGCAAAGCGTAAAGGCGCTGGTTGAGTAAAAATAACCAGTCGCAGCAAGAAGCTTCTCCTGGAACGATTCCTACTGCGAGCCGCAATATCTGTCCATCTATTCGGGCGACTAATGAACTAGATTGCTGCGGAAATCGAGCGAGGTTCCCTTTCTCCTCCTTTCCCTTCATAGTTGTCCTCCATTTGATCTGTCCCATGGGTTATATCTTCCTTTTCATGGCATGCTACCCACGAGTTCCGTACCCGGCAATGAGCGGGCTGAATGAACAAATAATAGGATGGACTCGAGTAGGCAACTTTGCCTGTTATCGCCGTGCTTCTGGATTCTGCTGATTCTGCGAATCTGCCCACATACGGCGACACGCCCCTTCACATCGCAATCAACAACAATTATTCGGATATTGCTCGCTTCCTGATCTCACGCGGCTTTGATGTCAATCAGAAGGGCTGTGAGTCGTACGGCGCTGTTTGCTTACCTCCCCTGCACCTAGCCGGCATGGCAAACTCTCCAGAATTAATAGACCTTCTGCTCGACGCGGGAGCGGATGCCTTCCAAGACGACGTGTCGGCTGATGGATTTTGCTGCACGCATTTAGGACAGCTTGGTGAGGACGGAAGACCGCATACAGCCTTCATGACTGCGGCCTATTGGGGCTGCGAGGCCGCCGTGCAACGCTTCATTGACTGGCTGTAGCCTGTGGGCCTTATCGCCGCAGGGGAGTGACCGGAAGCAGTGATTGCCGCCTCGCTTTTTCGTCACCCGAAGACCCTCGCCTGTCTTCTCCGTCAATATCCGGCTCCGGGAGTCCGGCAGGATGTCTTGGATCGAGCTCTCGCCGACACAGCCCTGGATTAAGCATACGACACCTACCACGGGATGGAGTCTCGTCTACCGGAGGTGTCGTGGCAGGATGGCATCTAAGTCTTTTGCTTCTTACTGGATAAGGGCGCTCGTCCAAATTCGTTTCCTCAAATGTCGATTTATCGGTTCGGCAACGAAAATCCGCCCGAGCCGATCATCCTGCCAACAATTGACACATCTATGGGCATGGACATGATCCAGAGGCTCCTGGACCATGGGGTAGAGATCCCTGATTGCCCCGCCGCCAGTGGCGAGGGAGGAAAAGGAATGAGCCTCTTCGCTCGGGCAGTACGCAACGGCCATCCAGACATTGTTCGTTTCTTCTGGGACCGTGGAGGCGTGGATATCAATGAACAGATTACGCCTGCATGGAAGTGGTCGGGTGGGACCCCGCTACATATCGCTGCTGGGAATGGACGTCTGGAGACGGTTCAATTTCTCTTAAACCATGGTGCCGACCCTCTAGCGACTGACCTGAGCGGCTGGTTGCCGCTGCACTGGGCCTGTGAAGGTCGCCATTTCGAGGTAATCGAGCTGCTCTGGCCTCTAAGCGAAACAATTTCGAGCGACCTAGCAAATTACCGCACCACAGATGGAACGACTGCGTTCCACCTCGCTAACTGATGGCAAAGTAGTGTCTATAAAGAGGAGGCTGAAATCGAAGTAATCAGTCTGCGTCTGTTGCACCTCTTCAAGCAGAAGGGTGCCGACCTAAGTACCCTCGATCGGAGCGGACGGAGCCTCCTCCATCATACTCTGCCGCGTAACCAAGAGAAGCACCGATGGCTCTGTCGCCTCATAGAAGAAGGAGCGCAGCTCCGACCCAATGCGCATGGACAGACAGAACTCCACCTTGCCGTTTCCTTCATCCACCGTTACCGGGCTTGCGTCGACTTTCTGCTCGCCATGGGGCTGGGTAGGATATCAACGCACAAGATAATAAAGACCGCACTCCCCTTTACATGTACGCTGAGACCCATTACCACAACCCCGCCAGTCAACTCGGAGGCCACATACGGGGCGAGCATATCGAACTTTTGCTCCGGGCAGGGGCTGATCCGGACATCCGAGCGGCATCTGGCCAGTCGGCTAGGGAGTTGGCTACATCAAAGGGCTGTAAGAAGACATCCGCTCTTAACAGCAGCGGTTTGTGGCTGTGCGGGCTTACATATCAGCAGACAGAGATTTCGGCCTATTTAAGTAGATCAACGCAACTTCAATCAAAGGGAACCTGCCGGAACCAACTTGGAAGTAACATTACTGTCATCACGTTACTGTCATTGCGGTAGCTGCCAATCAGAATCTAGAAATTGCCTGCCGAAGCAATCAGTCATCGTCCGTCACCCGCGATCAGGTCCTCATAGAGTTGCGAAGCGCTAGCTTTGCAAATAATTGAGTTCAATACGATTGAGGCACGAGGGATGTGGCTCAGATGTCGGCATTGGAAACATTGCATTCTATATAGCTGAAAAAAGAATCTAAGTGTGACCGGGATTTAGTGCATAACATTCATAAAACAAAGGAGTGTACAAATCAAAGCCCAGCACGAATGCTATCCATCAGAGCCAACGTCTCGTCACATTGACGCCCTCGAAACATTCCTCGTCTGCACTCCAACCAGTACCATCGACAGCACAGTGAAAGCTTCCGGTAAGAACACCAAAACCACCCGCACCGCCAGACTGCCAGTGCTGGAACTAAGGTCCTTACGCTGCGTGCACACCGCGATTAACTGATATATAGCCCGGATGCCCGCGAATAACAGTGCCAGGAACGACCCCTGAAGAAGCTGTGTACCAGTAGATTAGCAGAGCATTCTGCTAGACCTGAAGAGATACATACCGTGGTACCAGCATAATACAAGAAAGCATCCTTCCGTCGCTGCGACGGCAGCAGCAGGATACCCGCCCAGATCACCTCCCAGCCCCACACCAAGACCATTAGTCCGGTGCCCACCTTCCAGTGACTGAGGCTATCCGGCTTAGGGTGGCCTTCATAGATGTTCAGGGCGCCCACGATAGCAAGCGCCAGCGCGGTTGCCATCAATGCTGTGACTAGAGCAACAACCGCCCAGCCGAGCCACTGTCGTCCGGGAATCCGGTATGAGCGCCTGTCACAAGGAGTCATCAGCTCTGGCGTTGGTTGATAAGCTAGATGTGCTACTCACGCTTCATGGAGGAGGCCATCGATTGCGAGAATGAGCGGCGAGATGCCCACACCCACGATGATGTTCGCAGCGAGACTCTTCTCATCGTGCACTCCCATTGCTCCGCCCACTACGCGGGCGATGCAAAAAATAATGAGATAGTACCACGCTAGGAGTCCCCCCCTGCGACGCGTCCAGATAATGTAGAAGACCAAGGGGAGGAGCAATAAATAGAAAACTAGGTCTGCTGCAAAGACGGCATTCATTGTGGCTGCTAGCGGTAAAGGCAGTGTATACGTGTCGAAAGTTCACCCAGTTGATTCAACCAGAGGAGATAAAGATATTCGGGCCTGTCAAAAGATGCTATTCCACTTCAGCGGCTGGCTGCTTTTATCAATGAGAACACTCCATCTCAAGACAGCCCGCTGAGTTTTCTCAGCCCTACTAATTCCCATCTCGGGTATACATTGCGGGATGCAAGTCTAACGAGTGGCTGAGGTTCCTGTTTTCCACATGGACCCAGAAGCTTGATCAGCCAAAATTCGGGCCACGGAGAAAGTGTGAATCACAACCACATCCATCAGGCTTATGCCAGGGAAGAACCACTATCATGAGCAGAACAAAGCATCAGACGTAAGCGGAGGCCAGCTCGGTAGCGGCCTAAGCGGAGTCGGGGAGACCGATCAGTGTAGCAGACACAAAGAGTAGAGTCAGTCAGTCGCGAGGCTGAGTCAAGCGGTCGATTGGGTGTCCAGGACAGGCTTAGCGCTTATCGTGTTGGCAACCACATACTAGTCCCAATGCGGAAACCAATTCGACATTTCCCAATCTGGAAGAGTTAGACAGCCCGCGTTAATCATCTCGGCTGCGTCTCCTACGGGGCTGTCACTAGCTCTCCTTCTCTCATTTTCCCCCTCCCATTTATTCCTCAATCCTCCAGGCATCTCCTTGCATCCCTTCTACAATTTGAAACATCTTCTCCGGCGCTCATCGTGCGGATTGCCGACATAGGAAAGCGCTTCGGGCTTGGCTCCGCTGTCATGGTCTATCGTGGGAAACCCAGCCCAGCCTGTTCCCGGTGCCGAGCCCGCCGACTCAAGGTATACCCAATCCTCTCACCCCCGCCCCCCCCCCCCCAAGACCACCAAAGCTGATTTTGTTGCAGTGCGACCAGAAACGCCCCTCGTGTTCCTCGTGCGTCAGAGCCAAGCAAATCTGCACATATCGCGATCTAGCCGCGTTTAGCTTCCATGACCAAACCGCTGAAGTGGTTGAGAAAGTCCGGCGCCGCCCCAAACAACCTTCTGAAAATGCCGACGCATCTTGCTCCGCAGTATCGCCCGACCAGGCATCGACTGCTGGCGAGAATGCCTCGACAGCCACGAATCATAAAACAAACGCGTGGGCACTGCAGTCTTTCTCTGCGCCGGCAGTCGATCAAGGCGTTGCCTACGTTCTCACCTACCATGTTGGGGCTCATCGTTCAGTAAATGGACACCTGTCATTCTTGCCTTTGTTATTACAGCAAGAGTCGAGTCCTGGTCTTATGGCCTCTATCAATGCTATGGGACTAGCAGCACTGGGTAACATCCACGGCAGCCCCCAACTCACCCAGGAGGCGCGCCAGCAATATACGATCGCATTATCAGAGACAAGTTCAGCGCTGCAAGACACAAACTCAGCACAATTAGATTCCACGCTGGCTTCCGTTCTTATCCTGGGACTGTATGAGGTGAGTGCGGAGGCCAGTATATGAGAGCAGAGGCACCCCTTGCTAATAATAATTGCTTTAGATTATAACTTGCCAAAGCCGCTCCCTCATGGTGCGGTGGTTAAACCATATTGAGGGTGCGATGGCCCTAGTAAAGTTACGTGGACCCGAGCAGCTGAAGCGCCCAGTCGGACTTGACTTATTCATGCAATTGCGCGGCCAATACGTAAGTTCTTGAACATGTGGACGGCAATGAGAGCAAAGACTTTGATCGGGACCACTAATCAAATTTGCAGGCCTTGAGTAACCTCTATCGTAAAAAGCCCGCGCCTGCTTGGCTGATGGCCTTATCAGAAGAGACAGCTGGTATCCGAGGTCCTCAGCAGTCGTCAGCGGAGTCGTTCTTCAAGTATTTGACCATGGTCGGCGATCTGTGCGCACAGGTTGGCCAAAAGGCAAAGAAGACTCCTGAAGAGATCATAAGGGAGGCACTACAATTAGACGCAATGCTAGCTGCATGGGCTTTGACAGTCGATCGACGCTGGCGGTACAAGGTGGTCGACGCAACCAATGACGATCTACCCGCTGATCAACATATATACGGCGATTATTACCACGAGTACTCCGAGATTGGCATCGCCGTGATCTGGAACACCTACCGAATGACGCGCATTGTTGTTCATGAAATCATCGCTGCTGTCTGCGAGCGACTATGGAGGCGATCAAAGGGCGAGAATAGTGAGCACTGGGCAGCCATTCGCCAGAGCGCTGCTATTACCCGTCAACTATCGGAGGAAGTCTGTGCCAGTGTTCCTTACTTCTTTGGGTCAGCACGCTCTAATCAAAGGCTGGTCGAAGCATCGGGCCTGATTCGCTTACACTGGGCGCTGTTCGTAGCGTCAGACTGTGTCGGAAGCACACCACGTATGAAGCTTTGGATAATGAATCGCCTAGATGAAATTGGTCGGAGAACGGGTATCAAACAGGCTCTGGCAATGATGGAGTACTTGCTCGGGGGCCTATCTCTCAACTGGCTCAAGCAAGAGTTGCAGGTTATTGAAAACCTGGAAGATGAAGGCCCAGGCACGATTCCATCGGAACCTAGAATGCTGACGAACGTTAGCGACATGAGGAGATACCAATCAATGATGAAGAAATGATTGGCAGGAGTAGCGAGATGTGCACAATGTTTCTTTCCCTGCAGACCAGCAGCGATCAATAATTCTCTGCTCTTTGTCTAGATTGAGCCTGATCAATTGTATGACATCCATGCGGTAGCTTCGACATCATCTTGTGGATACATGTCATTGCTTGAGGACCTCGTCCCCATTCCTGAACATAAATGTCAATGCAACAGAGCATGCTTATCAGTGCTTATCTGATGTTGCCGTGGACAAAAGTTGATAAGGCGACTAGTCCTCTGGTTGGAGGAGACCAGCCGTGCGGGGAACTTGCCCATCTTCCCCGCTCTTATTTATAACGCTGCTTCTCCCAGTGACTCGACTGCACACACCACAGCAATGGACCCGCATAAGAATGACTATCACCTACTGGAGGAGCACCCAAAGCCGCTGCATCATCGACGATGGCTGCGTGCTGTGACGGCTTTTCTACTTTGTGTAATAGGAATTTATTCCTTCTCTCGGGTATGATTGGAGACGACATTCCGCATCCTCGATTTGACCGACAAGCAGGACCTTTTCGCACGCGCGACGTCACACAAAATTCCCCCAAATGCCACCCCACTCGACGAATTTGAGCAATGCTCAATTGCAAATTTCCGCGAAACAGGTTATCCCTTTCTCGACACCGCCATTCCCATCGCCGTGGAAGACTTTGAAGACCGCCGCGACCGCCTGGCGCGAGCTCTTATGGTCAGTGGTGTGGATGCTTTTGTCGTTGAGCCAGGGTACACCTTCAAGTACTACGCCAACATCAGCCAGCCCGAATGGGAAGTATGGGAGGTCTGTGCTCCGAAGTCTCTTTATCTCCTCAAGCTGCTAAACCCTTACAGCCGGAAGAGCGCCCATTTCTCATGGTAGTGCAACCGAAACATCTTCCCTCAGGCGACGTCACAGCCAAGACATCCTTCCTTTGCCCTTCCTTTGAGGCAGAGCGGGCGCGACTTTTGGGGATGCCGTTCACTGAGCCGATCGAAATCATCCCATGGGAAGAACACTGGGATCCATATGAGACGCTGAAAATCGCCAAGACTTTCTCAGACCTTCGTCGCACACCACGACTGATGGTTGACGAGGAGATGCGGGACTTCATCCAGCGTGGGCTTGGTGGAGCCGGGTTTGACGTGGTTGGTCTGCAGGGCGAGGTGGAGCGGGTTCGACAGATCAAGTCAGAGAAGGAGATTGGGATTCTACGGGCCGTAAACACAGGGACGGTAGAGGCGGTCCGGCAAATGAGGAAGTGTACGTCTGACCATGCGATCAAGGAACGTGGATTCCAAATGCTAAAGCTGAAACAGGCCTTCTCCCAGGGCTGACCGAGAGCGACATCGCCCACGTTTTGGATAAGACCCTGCTTTCTGCTGGATTGGAACCATTCTTTGATATTGTTTTATTTGGTACAAGTTTGAAGCCATGAGTACGACCTGGACATAGCAACTGACATCCGGAAAAGATGAGAATGCTGCAAATCCCCACGGGGGAACCAATGGGTCGAAATTGTTGGACGCGGGGACGTTTGTCTTGATAGACGTTGGGTTCGTATTCGGCTCGTCGATGGTGGGGTTCGAACTGACGATCGTAGGGCCCATCTGATGGGTTACTCCTCTGACATTTGTCGCACGTTTTTTCCTCCGTTCCTGGAACGACCGCCCTCTCCTGCGGCTGCGCCAGACTGGATGAAAGAGAAACTCAAGGTGAATCCTCCCTGGTGATGTATCGCATTCGTGTAAACTCACAGTAGCAGGTCTGGGACATTGTCTTCGAAGCGCAAACCAAGTCCATCGCCCAATTTACAGTCAATTCCACGGCAGCTAGCGTGGATATTGCCGCACGCAGTGTAATTAGTGCAGCTGGGTATGGTGAAGCCTTCACGCATCGCGTCGGACACGGTATTGGGATCAAGGGTAAGTTCCACTTCCCCGCACGTGGAGTGGGGAGTTGACGGCCACACAGCGCACGAGAGCCCGTACCTCAACAAAGGCAACCATGAGACGGTCCTCCGTGCGGGGATGACCTTCACCTCAGAGCCTGGGGTGTACCTGGTGGACAAGTTTGGAGTGCGCCACGAGGATATATTTCTAGTGCGGGAGAACGATAGTGCGGAGTTGTTGACAGGGCAGCGTGCCATCGGCCCATGGGACCCGTAAGACGTTCGTCAGAATCAATGATGGGCCAGGGCGGGTTTGCGGTGCTGTTGTCGGTCGATTGGTGGTGGTGGCGGTGGTGGTGGTGGGGCTGTTGCTGTGGGTTTGCCACCCGCAAGATGAAGGTCGCCCGGATTGCTGCAGCAGAGTCTGGGCTCGCTTCCTTCTGCTCAAAAGGGATAGGCCAGCGGGATACCTGAAATTGAATGTGATAGATGCCATGGATAGAAATCCAAATGGGCAGAAGATATTAGCACCAATTTACTAAATGTGCGAGAGTGTATTGCAGTGGGAAGGTATTGTACTTCAATTCAATCGCCATGACTGTAGGATCACGGCCTGGTCTTGCCCAATTATGGCCAGTGCCTCAATCCTCAGGTACAAAGAGGTCTTCTGGAAAGCGGAGGGTACCAGCCTCGAGAGGTCAGAAGCCAGAAATGCCCAGATTTTCTCTGATACTCTTTGGGCTTTCCGGATCACATTAATCCCTGAAACCATCCCCCCATGTCCCCCGGCCGGAGCTCTCTTTATATTACATACGAGTAATTTTGATCATAGAGAAGTATTTTTGAATCATGTAAGCTGAAGAAAAACTGTTAAGCCCCTTATTACATCAGAATGATTAGGATGCTTTGGGGCTGAAGGGTTTGGAGATCAGGGTTCTTCAGTTTAAAATACCTTTTGTCATCCGGTTTGTTAGGGTAGCTGGGGTTTATATCAGGTTGAAAATAATCTATAAACAGTAAAGAGAGTTGGGGGGAAAAGTTCCAAGTTCTTCTGACCCTCTCTCAAGTCATTTGTTTTCAATGTTCTGACCCCCTCGGCACTGGTAGCCCGAAGAGCAGCTAACCGCATTTGCGGGAACACTGCTTATGTCACGCTTGGCAGGCAGCATCGTAAGTAAAACTTTGCTTCTTCCATCGGTGGGAAAGAAGGAGTAAAGCTAAGCCAAGCACGTAGAACCAAGTTTTACACAGTTGTCGGCAATAGAGTGCTGACGACTGTCGGCTTTACCAAAACAAGCTTCGGGCTGTGCTCGCCAAGATTGCTCAATCTCTTGCACTTGCACCGTCTGGCCAGTTTTTGACATGCTGTCAGTCTGTCATTACTATTAGTTGTCCAAACTGTTTGCGACCCAATCTCGAGAGTCAAACAAAACATCCAAAGGAACTGGGATCAGCGGTCCGAATGCGGAGGGCGATCGGGCCCGAAGGGAAGAAAATGACTGGAAGGGGCATCGATCGGTGCCGATCGGATGGACAGGCGAGCTTAAAGATTAGTCCTGGTTAGGTTCCTTTGCCCCGGATTTTGTCACCCCACAAATGCATTTTCCGAACTCGCCCATGGATCGTGGCTGGTCACCTGAACACAGCGTCCCCTCCGGTGAATCTGCGCGTCGCTTTCCTCCTCTCGTAGCTCCATCTCTTCTTCTAACCCTCAAAACTCGTCATTTTTACAAGTACCGTGCTGCTCGAGTATCTGCAGCGATCAATTTTCGTGAGCATGGACGATCGCAGGCAAAGGCCCGAGCTCACCCTCCCTGCCTAACCCACCTCTCGAACATGGCCAACGACTCCGCCCCAATCCAGGGCATCGCCGGCCACTACACCGGCGACAGCCTCGCGCTGCAGGCGACGCTCGCGACCCTGTTGGGCTGCGCCCTGTATAGCGCCATCGAGCTCATCCTGCTCATCTTCCTCACCTTCCGGCAATACTCGGGGCTGTACTTCTGGAGTTTATTGGTTACAACAGGGCTGGGCATCATCCCACAGGCGCTCGGCCTGCTGCTCAAATACTTCAACCTCGCCCCGATCTTCCTGTCCGTCACGCTGACGACCTTCGGCTGGGCCATCATGGTGACGGGCCAGTCGGTGGTGTTGTACTCGCGACTGCACCTGGTGGTGCGCAACCCGCTCGTTCTGCGCGGCGTGCTCGCAATGATCGTCGTGGACGCGTTCATCCTACAGACCCCGCATTTCGTGTTTTCTTACGGCGTGGTCTCCAACGACGGCGACCGGTACCTGGGTCTGTACAGCATCTGGGAGAAGCTGCAAATCACGGGCTTTTTCGTGCAGGAGGTCATCATCTCCACCATCTTCCTTGTGCAGACCGTGCGTCTGCTGGCGCTGTATCCGAACCGCAGCAAGCGCCGCACCCACATTATGTACCAGCTGCTCATCATTAACGCCGCCATCATCTTAATGGATATCTCCTTGCTGGTGCTCGAGTATCTGAACATCTACATCATTCAGGTTTCGCTGAAGACGTTCTTTTATACCATCAAGTTGAAGTTCGAGTTTGCTGTGCTGTCGCGGTTGGTCTCATTCGTAAATTACGATCCCGAGCAGGACTCGTCGGTTACGTTTATGAGTTGATGAGATCATTCCGGTCCGGCTCTATAAGCACCGTGGAGCTCGGGTACTGCACTTTTGTATCACCGATTGTTGAGTGTTTCGACACGCAAGCAGCGGGAAGTGTCAACACGAGACATTCATCAATCTTGCCGGTAACAGCCGCGGTTATCGTTCTGACGCACGCGAGTGATGCCATCAACGGCCCTTTCGGGCCGAACAAGCATACCGCCATTCATGACGAATCCAGCGGCGTCGCATGGCGCTACACCTCCCACTCGACCTCGCACATGCAGACGGATGCCCTATCTCGCCAAGCATTCTGAGTGAGGGTTGAGGGATCAGTTGCGTTCATAGCCTCTCGCTGCGACCGCAAAATCGCCTGCACGACCAGTCCGGGTTTTCGGTCCCAAGGCTAAAGACTAGGTCATAAATGCCTCTACGGTAGTACTGAACTACCGTCTCATGGTCCTGGTCTCATCGGATGGGTTGTGGAAGCTGCGAGTGAGCAGCACTCAGTATCAGGCGGGACCAGCCGGTCGGCTTGCCCCAGCGCCCCAGCAAGTCGCTGGAAGTCGAACTTGGTCCAAGCCGGCTCGGCACAATGAATGTAATTTAGTCTGGACTATTGTTCGCCAGGTCAGTAGACATAGACAGGCGCAGGTTGAGGAGAAATGGATAATAATGTAAATCACGAGACAGTCTGGGGCTGGATTTCACGCTTTGCAATAGTACAAAGCATCAGCATTTAGAGGGCTCTCGACCCTTCACTTACAAGTATAGGGTCCCTCGCAACGTCGAGTTGAGGTGCCTATCCGATGGAAGCCGACGCGTACTGTAACTTCTGCCTTTCGCTCCAGCGGCGTGCTAGGTCAAGTGCACTGGGACTTCGCCTGTCGCTAGAAAATGCAAGTACACAGGCAGCACACAACACAGCATTCGCTGCGGGCGTCTGTCGCGGCCGCACGTGGCGCATCAGGAGGACCGAGAGATTGATACGGGGTGAGCTTTGCCTCATTTACCATACTAGGAAAGAGTCACGTCCACGATTGCGTTTCGGCAGGTGGTCTCTCGTGGTCAGACCAGATTGGGAAGGCACGCAGCAGGCTGGGCCAAGAGTATAAACCCCCCCTCCCCCGGCCCCCAGGCCCCGTCTCGCTCTTTTTTTTTTCTCTTCTCGCGGAGATGGTTCCCACGGCCAAGCTTCAACTCGAAGACCTCATCTTCGAGAAGTCCTCTTGTATAGGTTCCTGCAATTGTATAGCGTGCAAAGGCTCCCCTGGCAACTTTAAGTGTTCTTTCTTCTCGTGCCGAAGCTTTATGCGAGTTGTCTAACCCCAGAAGACCACGGAGTCCCATTAACTTTGGATAGCTGGTGGAGGAGACACACAAGGGAACAAAGATGGCGAAATATACCAATCAGCCTCTTTCACCTGCGGACATTAAACTATTGTTCATCTAAACTACTTCAAAAGACCCATGCCCGAAGAAGACGCTTAGAGAAAAGCTACCGATACGCACAAAACAAGGGGCTTGGTAGGTACATTAGTCTCCGACAAGGCAGACAGTTTAGCTCCTTAAGAAGTCAACAAGCAAACATCTTGGTCGTGCTAACATTGATGCGACTCCACTCTTGCCCGCGGATCAAACTCTCCACAAAGCGACTCGGCCAGTACACATGATACAGCACGAAGAACGGCATCGGATCCCACAACGCGAAGGTTCCATCCCGCCAGTGCACGAGATGATGCCACAGCGTCTCAATCCCGCGCTTGGCCTCTTCCACGCTTCCTTCCCCAGCAAGAAGCGTAAGGATCGGAATGAGAAGTAAAGTGACAAGGTCATGTCCAATCCAGTAGCAGCGCTGCGTCGGCTTGGTGGGCACTACGAGGGGCTTCCGCATTGATAGCTCCGAGTCGAAGCACGAGAGATATGCTTCCGCCATGGCGGGGGTGTCCTTGAAAAGGACGACCGCCGTATGCGCCCGTGGATTACACTCGATCGGGTACAATTTCGCGTCATGGCCCTGGCCTTCAACCAGGAAGTCGAAACTCAAGTGGCCTGTAAAGTCCTCGCCGCCGTCCTCGGCCACACGTTGCGTGAACTCGAGCATCTTGGTGCTCAGAGCCGAGTCTGCGGGAAGAGCGGCGTAGTGCATCAGGAGGTCGGAAGACGGACAGGCGACGAACGCTTTGACCTGCCCGCGCACGACGAGCGAGTGAGTGCAGTACTCCGGGCCAGTGATGTATTGTTGGAGAATGTAGGGGTTGCTGGGGGAGATATCCAGCGTCGACAGGTAGGCGGAGGTGGAGTTTGGTCCCGCGGCCAAGGGCAGCAGAGTCATCATTTGACTGCGCGCCTTGTCGTCGACGCCGATCGGTTTAAGTATGAATTTTTGGGGTGGTTCTGTGAACTTCTTCTCGGTTTCCTTGTTTGATGCGTACTTGGCGAGGATATCTTCTACCTGTGCAACGGATGTGCAGCGATGTGATTCCGGCACTAATAGTCCCACGCTCTGGATATACTCGATGAAGGCATCCTTCTCATGCAGCTTGCCAACGACGTCGCTGTCAAACTGCACTGCGTTGAACCGCTTCCCCCTCTCCCTCCGCACCGATCGCATCACCTCGCCATCCTCGACGGCTCCTACCACGCTGCTGCAGCTGATCCATAGATGCACGTTCTCCGCGCGGATGAGATCTAGCAGGGCATCGACGTATGGCTTTGGGTTGGTGCCCTGCGGGGAAGCCAGACGGTGGAATTGAGCGATGGAACGAGAGTAGCGGCCGGGGGAGGTGAAGGGGATGGGCTCAGTGTCGGCGGCGACGATGCGGTGGGGGGTGTGTTGCGCGAGAAGGCGGGCGATCGTCAGACCTTTGGTCATAGACACACCCGTCACCAGGATCGTTTTGCGGGCGGAAGTGTGAGATCGCGTTGATTCATGTTTCAAAAAGTAGATGTAAAGAAACGAGATAGTAGTGAGTAATGCAGATGCAGGAAGACAGAGAATGCTAAGGAGAATGAGAAGGATGTTCTTCTGGTGGTGATTTTGGAAAAAGGCCATGGTGGGAGGAAAGAGGGTGGCCGCGCGCGGAAAAATGCTGCATGCGAGGGTAGCGGAGGGGAGTTTCTACATTATACATATACATTTCTGTGAGTGACACTAATCAGGACACGATTCACAGCACGCAGGTAACGTACGTCATCGTGACTGGTCTACGTGCGATGGTTTCTGGGTGGTTGCGACCGGCACAACACTGACTTGAATCCAGGTTTGCGGATAATGTATCCGCAGCAACTCAGTTGACTTGAAATTACTACGGGTTCATGAACATAGCTACTACTGCTTCTCGCCTACGCATCGTGTGATTTCCACCCCGTCCTAACCAACAATCAGCACAGAACTCCTAAGTTAATGAATCAGTAAGGGTAGCTTACCGGCACACCAGTGGGCTCAAAACTGTGCACCAGCTGGCTCTCATACACCAGATTCGGATTGCCAGGGCTCTGGTTGAATTTCATCTCCCCGTATCGCTTCTGGTATTGATTCACCGTCTTGCCTGGAATGCCCTCGCTCTTGACGGACGCACCCAGCTTCTTTCGTTTCTCCTCCACGCTGTCTCTGACGTACTCGAGGTACGGTGGATTTCCGGGCTTGATCACGTTGTCAGCCGCCAGAACAGAGCCAGGAGTGACGAGCTTCAGCTCCTCGCACAGCTTGAGATCCGTCGTGTAGGCCGGTTTGTAGTGGTCCAGAAACATCAGGTCAATGTGCGTGAGCAGACCTTGGCTGTGCAGGCGCGCGATAGAGGCATCGCTCGAGCCGACGACCACCTTCACCACATCCGACAGACCAGCCAGTTCGACTAGGGACATGATCACCGCCGCGAACTCCGGGTTCATTTCCAGGCTGTAGTAGCGCTGGCCGCCTGCTTTGCGGACCGCATTGCCAAACAGCACGCAGGAGTAACCAACGTAGCCACCGAGCTCGACCTGCACCTCGAAATTAATACGAGCAGCAACATATCGATTAGCTTCAGGCGACTTACCATGACCTTGGGCTTGACTTCTGCGATCAGATCGCAGACGATCCGCCCTTTGTCCTCGCCTACATTCATCAAATATCGCTTCGTCCGGCCATACTCGTCAATCGCCTGCAGCACCTTCTCCGGGGAACCACGGATATTTTCGAGGTCAGGGTGGGAGTACACAAAGTGGAGGAGCTCAATCTCGCGCCCGTCGTCAAAAAACCCCGTCCCCTCTTCCTGGGGCGCGTACGCTTTGGCCTGGTCGAATTTGGTCATTTTGCTGCGGGTGCTTGCGTCTCGTTCAGCCATTGTAGCAGCCGGTGATCTTGCGCCTATATGGGAACTTTTCCTGCGGCGACCGGATCGAGCCTCGTCGTCGGTGCTTTGTCATGACGAGATGGATGCGGCACGCGATGCATGGTGGGGGGGATCTGAACCCCGAGCCAGCCTCATGAGGTGGTAGGGTTTCAGTCTGCAAACAGGGAAAACCAGGGAAGCTCGAGTCATGGCCGAGCGTGGAGGGCTGCAAGGGGTTCAAGCTGGGACATTCCAGGCCCCGCGGTGGCCCAGCTTCAGTGGGCGGAACAACCCCCGGCGGGATGTGAAGAGGCTTAAGGCGGCTAAGAAGGTGAAAAAAGAAGAACAGGGCGGAGGAGAGGGGTGTGAGGTGTGGGAAGGGGATCAGCATGGATACCCCGATCAGTCGATCCCGCCCCGCCCTGATCGAGGTGACCCAATCTTGACTCGTCGATCCCCCATCAATCCTATTTCTTGTCGTCAATGACTCCGGAAATCGCACAGTCTGATCAAGGTTAGATTCCCGCCTGGTCCCTGATGCTGTAACCTTATCGCTGCAGAAGCGGCCGCTAACACCGGAAACGGCGTCAGCTGTTGCGGCTTCGGGTTTAGCGGCTCCGCTTTTCAATGACTATGTCATGAATAGCTCCCTATGAGACGCAGTCAAGGTTTACTCCTCCAAAAGCTCTCTGACCACCGAGTTATCCCGATCGATCGATGCTCGCTCATTGGATTTGTCTGCGCCGGATATGGTGTACGTTGGGTTGACGTGATCGAGCTCTTGTTGCAGCGCAAGCAGCCAGTCCGACCGGAACGTGTCCCATCCGGCCATCTGAGTGGAAGATCCGGATCCGTTATATATCAAGTTAACTTCTCCGTACTTTTTTTTCGAGGATTGAACAACCACCATCTCAACTCTCTTCCCGGTCGTACTTCAGATTCAACCGCGACAACCATGTCCGACCTTAAGGCTACGGTCTCCGAGACCCCGAACGGCTTCCACGTCGAGGGCTACGAGAAGATCGAGTACGACTTCACCTTCCTCGATGGCGTCTTCGACCTAGCGAACACCCAGCTGGCCGGCCTCTACGAGCGCTGGGGTCGCTGCCTGGCCATCATGGACAAGAACATCTATGATCTGTACGGGGAGCAGATGCAAAAGTACTTTGCCCATCATGGGCTGGAGTTGAAGATCCACCAGACAATGATCGGCGAGAAGGCCAAGTCGCTGGAGACGTTCACCGAAATTGTCGACTCGATGACCGAGTTCGGGATCATCCGAAAGGAGCCCGTCTTGGTTGTGGTACGTGATCCATCGCTGCCCTGTCAACACATTTACTGACTCGCCGCACAGGGCGGAGGACTGGTTACCGATGTGGCCGGGTAAGAGCAGCCCCTCATCCCCCAGCAATTCATCATGCTAACCTCATCGTCCCAGATTCGCCTGCGCCGCCTACCGCCGCAACACCAACTACATCCGTATCCCCACGACGGTGATCGGCCTGATCGACGCCAGCGTCAGCATCAAGGTGGCCGTCAACTACGGCAACTACAAGAACCGGCTGGGCGCCTACCACGCCCCGATGCACACCTTCCTGGACTTTGGGTTCCTACGCACCCTGCCCGAGGCGCAGGTGCGCAACGGGTTCGCGGAGCTGATTAAGATTTCGAGCTGCGCGCACCTGCGCACGTTCGACCTGCTGGACGAGTTCTGCGAGCGGCTGATCGCCACTAAGTTCGGGCGCTCCAATGAGACGCCTGAGGTACGCAAGGCCGCCGACGAGATCAACCGCAACGGCATCTTTGAGATGCTCAAGCTCGAGTCACCGAACCTCCACGAGATCGGGCTGGACCGGGTGATTGCCTACGGCCATACCTGGTCGCCGTTGCATGAGGTAAGCTGGACTGCAGTTACCGAGCAAAACCGCAAACAAGAATCGCGTGCTGACTTATCTTGTAGCTGGCACCCCCCGTGCCCCTCCGTCATGGCCACGCCATCTCCATTGACATGGCGTACTCGGCCACGCTGGCCAACATCCGCGGCCTGCTCAGCGACGCAGAGCACCGACGGCTCCTCAACCTGTTCTCGCGGGCGGGACTCTCAATGGACCATGAGCTCTTCAACGAGGAGATCCTGGACAAGGCAACGCAGGCGATCCTCAAAACCCGCGATGGGCTGCTGCGCGCCGCCGTGCCCAGCCCGCTGGGTAGCTGCAAGTTCCTGAACGATGTCACCAACGAGGAGATGTTCGCCGCGCTGCGCCGCCACAAGGAGCTGATGAAGGAGTACCCGCGACAGGGTGCGGGACTCGAGGCTTACGTTGACGCCAGTGACACGGGTTACACGATCAACAACAAGCCCGTGGACCCGCAGATGCACGCGCAGAAGATGAGCAATGGTGGCGAGAAGTTCACGACCGGAGCGGCTCTTGCGGAGGAGAAGCAGCCCACCGCGATCGTTGAGGAGAAGAAGAATGTGTTCAGTGATGGTGTGCTCAATGGGTTCCGCGAGATTGCGGCCAATGGATATCCTAATGGGTTGCGCAATTAGACTAGAGATAGAAGGAGTTTTCGGTCTGCATGTACACGCGAGTCTGGTTTAAAGGTTAGGTTCACTAGATGGACACGATAAATCTAATGATCGTTTCTGGGCGTTGAATCGCTGTGTTGAGACCCAGCGGATGGCAGATATCATTGTAGTAGTTAAAAGGATTAGCGTTGACCGTGTAGGATGTGTAATACAGTTATCCTTCCTCACAAACCACCACCCTCATTTTTTCACCCCCTTTTCCCCACCCTCTCCCCACCCCCCTTTTCTAGAGTCCCTACTTATAAGCCGCAATCGCACTCGCAAACGCGGCAGAAATCTGATCCAACACCAGCGGCGCCAACGCCGCATACGTGGCCGACAACTTCTCCAGCACCGCCTTGCCCAGCTGCGAGGACAAAAAGCTCAACTGCTGCAAATCCCACTCCACTAGGAAACTCAACGAGGCGACCCCCAACAACCCATCATCAAAGTCCTTTTTCCGGCTGACGAGAGTGGTCAGCGTCGACGCGATGGTCGGCTCGAGGGCGACAAACGCCTGCGCCACGCTCAGCGACTCCTCGTCCGTGAAGTTGGCGGATTGTTTGGCGGCGATGATGGCGGTTTTCAGGTCGACTTCGAGCTGGATGGTCTCGGCTTGGATTTGGAGGGCGGTGAGGGAGCCCTCGATGCCGCCGGGGTAGGCGGTTACGGTGTTGTTGAGGGTGATGAGTTGGGTCGAGATGGTAGTGACGGCGTTGAGGACGGTGGAGGCGGAGCGTTTGGAGAAATTATTGATCGTCGGGTCTGTGGGTGTGGCGGTGGTTGATTGGAGGGTGGTGGTGAGGAGGGTGGTAATGAGTAGGGGGAGGAGGTTGAATAGTTTCAAGAGCATTTTGGATGGGGTCGTGGGTACTACTCTCGGAGGTGAGGTGTGTACAGTAGTTATGATAACTGACGATGACTAACTACCTAACTACCTAGTAGTAGAAAGCGACAGAACCAGGACACAACGGGGGAGGTTCACTTATAACCCGGGCTGGCGCCGGTTAGTACTTACATATGTAGTATGCCTTCACAGCCTACTCGGATTCAGCTACCTACTAGTACTGTAACTAGACTAAATTATACTCAATCATTCTTACTACTCTACCCCCTCTTTTTCCCACCTCCAGCGAGAGGAGTCGTCTCAACCTAGACCACGCACGTCATTGCATTCAGCAGTACGGAGGACTCAGGCAGCCCGCCCCTTACCCTCGGAGATGACTCGCTTGCCACTTCATCTTCACTGCACCTACCCTACAACCCCCATCCATTATCATCTTCTCGAACAGGTTCCTTTCCCGTTCCGTGACATGGGCCGATCCCCGTGGACCCTGGACGATTTGCGTTGCGGATTTCCGCTTTCGGATGAGTTCATATGTGACAGATGTGATAAGATCCCGCACCCCGCATATGGCGGGGGCAAAACACGGGCTTACAAGGCTTGTGGATGTGCTTTAGTGCCTCGGATGAGCCCGCATTGAGTTGGTGTTCCTGCGGATGTCGGAGGTGGTATGGCATGTGCTTCCGAGGTACAGACATAACTTCGTTTTGGGTTTCCGAAGTATACTCTTCGAAATTCAAATTCTCGAGCCCTACATCCATGCCAAGTGACATGATACTATGCCATATGACTATAAATTATGCATACTTATGCGTGTATTGGTGGTACAGGGTTTCCGGAATGTACGGAAGTTGCAAACTGTGCAATCCAGGTAGGCGCTCTAAGACGCAACCTGACTTACCTCCTTCCCAACTCAACCCTTGTCAGTTTAGTACTGTAACCCCCACCCTGTTCTCTGAGAGTGAATTAGGCTAACTATAGTACCAGTGACTTGTCACACGGAGTGCGGGTCTTACACCCCATATCTGCTGCTCGCTGCAACCGCCCATGGTAGTTCTCTTACGCTATGAATCGAAATCTCAAGTTGTCACCTGGATTTCAAACTTCTTCCACAAAAACCACCGCCCATCTCATCAAGGTATAGTCCTAGATTTTCATACAAGTGACCACAAAGAACTTGTCACATATGAAGAGTGGCAGTTCTGTGCCGGCCGACTCTGGGGTTTCCCAAAAGGCCAAGGTTGCGACCGATGTTGGTGACTGACCGTTCGCTGCATGGAGCTACCCTAGCGATTTCAAACTGCCAGGAAGATAATCGTCGGGCCATTATGAGACTAGTATTGAAGTCAGAGTTGCCTCGCAGGAAGTCGGCTTATCACGTGGATTCATGGTAAGGCAGCAATGTCCTAATGGCGCCAGCAGCCTCACCCCCCTCTTACCCCTCTTTGCCACAGCTTTTAAGGCGAGACGCTGTCAACTACCGTACCCTTTCGCGTCTCCATTTCATTTGAATCGAAAACTTCTGGTTTTAGGACCAAAATAGGCTTTCATGAATACTTTGCCTTGAAATTGTGTCCCACCAACCCCTGCTGCGGACAATGTCAGATCCGGATCAGTACAATGTGGGTTGGATATGTGCCTTACAGATAGAATATGTCGCAGCCCGAGCTTTCCTGGAGAGGAGACATGATCCGCCAGAGAGACTTTCACGAAATGACAACAATCACTACACGCTGGGAGAAATCAGGGGTCATCAGGTTGTTATCGCCGTTTTGCCAGATGGAGAATACGGGACATCATCCGCTGCTGGAGTAGCCAGAGACATGGTCCACAGTTTTCCAAACATCCGTTTTGGACTCATGGTCGGGATTGGTGGTGGGATACCCACGAAACATGACATCCGTCTGGGCGATATCATCGTGAGCTCACCTCAAAGAGGGTTGGGCGGCCTGCTCCAATTCGACCTGGGCCAAGAGTTGCAAGGACAAGGGTTCCATCAAACAGGGTTCTTGAACCAGCCCCCAACGATCCTGCGTGCAGCTGTCACTGGGCTTCAAACACGATATGCGGAGGAGGGTAATCAGTTGAAGGGAAGTATTGGAGCCGTGCTTGAAGGCAATAAACGGCTGAAGCGAAAATACGCGCAACCCAAGACGGATCGGCTATATTATAGCGACTTTGCTCATCCAGATGTGGAGAGAAGCTGTGGCGAGGTCTGTGACCGTTCAAAGTTGATTTTCCGACCCAAGCGAACCGAGGAGGAAGATGACCCTGATATTCACTACGGCTTAATAGCATCGGGGAACAGGGTGATCAAGGATGCAACCTTCCGCGACCAGCTAGCCGCGGAGCGAGATGTCCTATGCTTTGAAATGGAAGCGGCAGGATTAATGAATCATTTCCCTTGCTTGGTCATCCGTGGGGTTTGTGACTATGCCGACTCGCACAAAAGCGAGGAATGGCAAGGTTGGGCTGCAATGGCGGCAGCTGCATATGCAAGAGATCTCTTGCGTGAGATTATCCCTCAGCAGGTACAGGCTGAGCGAACAGCCAAGGAAGTTTTGAATGGTTCGTTATAGCTACCGTTATCTCAAGTTAGTCGCCACGCTCATAGTAATGCATTTTGCTTGCTAGGAATTCAAAGCCAACTTGACCATGTGACCACGGGTGTCCATGAACTTGTTTCAATCACTAGCGGATCAGCCCAAGATATTAATGATCTTGCCCAGCGTATTGACCTAAAGGCGTTACCAATTGCTGCCGGAGCTGAATTCGGGACATATATGAACCAACATGAAGAAGAATGCCTCCCAGGGACCCGAAAAGAGCTTCTCCTTGACATTCAGAATTGGGCTCTCTCAGACCAAGGAAAATGCATTTTCTGGCTAAATGGTTCGGCCGGAACTGGCAAGTCCACAATATCCCGAACCATAGCAAAGGCCTTTCAGAAACAAGAGTTGCTGGGGGCGAGCTTCTTCTTCAAGAGAGGTGAAGGAGACCGCGGCAACGCAACTCGCTTCGTTACTACCATCATCCAACAGCTCGCTGCAAAAATCCCGGAACTACGCGCGTCTATTATACAGGTTGTTCGGGATATCCCCGGAATTTCAGCCAAACCACTCAAGGAGCAATTTGATGAGCTCATTTCCAAGCCACTCCATAGCTTACATGGAGCCAAAATCCAGACCTCATACCTAGTGATTGTGATTGATGCCCTAGATGAATGCGATAATGATAAAGATGTCGCAGTCATCTTCGAGCTCTTACTACATGTTCATAAATTCAGCTCGCCCCGCTTGCGATTCTTTATTACCAGTCGACCCGAGCTGCCTATCAGGTTAGGCTTCAGAACAGTTTGTCATCACGATCTAGTCCTTCACGAGGTACCCGAGCCTATCATAGAGCGTGACATCTCCATGTTCTTGGAGAACAAAATTGTTTCAATAAGGCACAAGCAATCCCTCTCTTCAGACTGGCCTGGCTCTGTGAATATCCAAACACTTATTAAAATGTCAGTCCCGTTGTTTATCTTTGCTGCCACCATATGTCGTCTTTTTGAAGATTACAACCTGGACCGTGATGAATGCCTGATGGAGATCCTCAAATATCAGAACCAAGAGTCAAAGTTGGACAAAACATACCTTCCAGTACTGGACCGCCTAGTTTCGAGATACAGTGGGACAAGACAATCGCAGTTAGTCCAAAAGGTCCGAGAAGTCCTTGGCACAATTATTCTTCTAGAGAACCCATTATCAGTTACGTCCCTCTCAAAGCTTATGGGAATCTCCATGCAGTCAATCAATGCCAGTTTAAACTCGCTGCACTCAGTCTTGAATATACCGAATAATAAGACACTACCAGTGAGGCTCTTCCATCTATCTTTTCGAGACTTTCTTCTCGACTCCAGCACTCGCGATAAAACTCCATTCTGGATTGACAAGATGGAAATGAACCAGAAATTAGCAGACAGGTGTCTTTCTATCATGCACCAGAACCTCAAGAAGAATATATGCAGTCTCGAAAGCTATGGAACAGAGCGCAGCGATATCGATCTCGAGTATATTAACTTCTATGTACCACCAGAGCTGCAGTATGCTTGTCGCTATTGGATCCACCATCTGGCAGACTGTGAAAGCCCCATAAGCTGGCGTGACAACATACTGACGTTTCTAAACGAGCATTTCCTCCATTGGGTGGAGGTGATGAGTATACTGGGTGTCGTGTCCGAAGTTCTGGGAAGCATTAGTACTCTCCAGAAAGTATTACACGTAAGTAACTTTGGCTCTTGTAATGTGATCTTTGCTAAAGGCAATAGGGTGGTGAGGGCTCTGAGATATCCGAATTCTTACTTGATGCCAGGAGGTTTATCCTCAAGAATAGTCAGATAGCAGACATTGCTCCACTGCAGATCTATGCTTCCGGGTTGATCTTCGCGCCGGCGATGGCAGTGACTAGAAGTAAATTTGAAAGGGAGCTTCCTGATTGGATAGAGAGAGGCCCAAGGGTGGAAGAAACTTGGAGTCCAGAATTGCAAACCCTGGAGGGCCATTCAGATTCGGTTGAGGTAGTGACCTTCTCAGCAGATGGCCGGCTGCTTGCATCCGGCTCTCAGGATAAGACCATCAAACTCTGGGATCCCGCTACTGGTGCCCTCAAGCATACCCTGGAGGGCCATTCGGGTTTAGTTCAGTCAGTAGCCTTCTCAGCCGATGGTCAGCTGCTGGCATCCGGCTCTGATGACACAACCATCAAACTCTGGAATCCTATTACTAGTACCCTCAAGCATACCCTAAAGGTTCATACACGTGCGGTCCAGTCAGTAGCCTTCTCAGCAGATGGCCGGCTGCTGGCATCCGGCTCTCATGACACAACCATCAATCTCTTGGATCCCACTACTGGCGTCCTCACGCATAAACTGTTGGGCCGTTCGGGTTTGGTTCAGTCAGTGGCCTTCTCAGCAGATGGCCGGCTGCTTGCATCCGCCTTTTCTGATAGAACCATAAAACTCTGGGATCCGGCTACTGGCACCCTCAAGCATAGACTGTGGGGTCATTCAGGTTTGGTTCAGTCAGTGGCCTTCTCAGCAGATAGCCAGCTACTAGCATCCGGCTCTCAGGATAAGACCATCAAACTTTGGGATCCGGCTACTGGCGCCCTCAAGCATACCCTGCAGGGCCATTCGGGTTTGGTTCAGTCAGTAGCCTTCTCAGCCGATGGTCGGCTGCTGGCATCCGGCTCTTCTGATACAACCATCAGGATCTGGGATCCTACCACTGGCACCATCAAGCATACCCTGGGAAGCCATTCGAGCTGGGTCCGGTCAGTAGCCTTTTCAGCCGATGGTCGGCTGCTGGCATCCGGCTCTTCTGATACCACCATCAAGCTCTGGGATCCCGCCACTGGCGCCATCAAGCATACCCTGAGGGGCCATTCGGGTTTGGTTCAGTCAGTGGCATTCTCAGCAGATGGCCGGCGGCTTGCATCCGGCTCTTCTGATACCACCATCAAGCTCTGGGATCCCGCCACTGGCGCCATCAAGCATACCCTGAGGGGCCATTCGGGTTTGGTTCAGTCAGTGGCATTCTCAGCAGATGGCCGGCTGCTGGCATCCATCTCTCAGGCCTTCGTCTCCTCTGATCGGACCATCAAACTCTGGGATCCCGCCACTAGCGCCCTTAAGCATACGGGCTATATGAGGATATCCGGCTCTACTGACAACACCGTCAAACTCTGGAACCCCGCCACTGGTGCCCTCAAGCATACAATCAACATCAAAAGTCTTGTTAGAAACATTGAATTGTCCAAGAAGCTGCCCCACCTTATCACTAACTTGGGAGCATTGAATATCCAAGCCTGGCACGAAACCTTCTCGTCAAATCCCCGTGAAACAAAGACGGAGTTATCTTTGCACGCAAATCGATGGATTGCTGTTGGTGGCCAAAAAGAGGTTTGGCTCCCTCCTGACTATGAAGCCATCTCTTTAGCAGTAAAAGATGGCACCATAGCAATTGGAAGCACGACTGGAAGAGTTTGTATAATTCGATTTTCTGTTATATGATACCAGGATCTAGATTACAATACCACAAGGTAACAACATGCTGTACTAATTTTATAATTTAATTTACCCTGGAATACTACCCCAGGCTTCATTGCACAAAAGTGAATGACCTAAAACCAGGCTAGCGTAGCTTGGCATTAGGGTTCGAAAAGAACACGGCTGTCTTTGACAACGAAACTGATCTTGACATCTTCTGTATAGATCTGAGGCTTCCGGTGCGTGTGCTTGTATATTAGTGCTTATGTTAGATTTGTTGGGACTATTTTGAGAAGAGGCCCTTTGTTGGGGGGGCGGATTGGTTGATGGATGTGATGTGTGATGCTGAGGGTAAGTTGGGGTCGATCGCTGTTTATGGTACTGGGGTACAGTTGTTGTATCCTCCCAGCGTATGCCTAGCTGGGTCGTGATTAGTTCATCACTTGTCGAAAGAGGATATTAGCATATAAGATGCGACATGCTCAAGGTCTAGCACAGTTCTTGACACCTAGACTCGGTGTAGACAAGCATCCAGTTCAATTCACTGCAATCTACTCAGCCCCGTTCTATGTTACAACCCCCATACTAGTATTGAGATTCCTTACCGATAAAGAGGGTAAAAGAGCCAATTTATTGTTCTCGACATCAGACACTTCGGTTCTTGGTATCCAGAGACCATGCGGGCCTCTACTAAGCTAGACCTGGGAAGAAGTACTTCCCAAGTTCCGAGGTATACCAAACCTAACATCATTTGTGCTGACAAGGTGCTATGTCATTTGCCAGTCCCATCTATATCTATCTTTGTTTGAGTGGTAAGCCCGGAATCCAATCTACATGTATCTCCCAGACAAACAGTTTGAACCGATTCTCTGTACCACACAGCTCTAGCCCGTGCAGTACCTAATCGACAACAACAAAGTTCTTAAACACGAAGAGCAGCTTCACTGCTCCAAGGGGAACCTATAACCCACCACAACAAGGTCGGCTCACTCCTCCAAGGGGAACCCATAACCCACCAAAAAGGCCGGCTCATCAATGCTATGATGCTGATAACTACCGCACAGTCAGCACAGAACCACTTTCCCAACCAGTCCCCAAATCAAAACACATACCTCAAGACGCCCACCGCACCCGGCTCCAACATCATCGACAGCGGGAACTCCATCGGATAGCCCAGCCAGCGCTTCGTGAACGCACGCAGGGTATGCCCATGAGCAATGAGCACGACATCCGCCGGGCCCTCGCCATGCATATTCCCCGCATGAATCGCACGGATCTCCGCAATGAGACTGTCAATTCTCGCCGTCACAGCAGCGGGGGACCTACAACACAACCGCCGTCAGCAACCGAACCCAATCCCACTCCAACACCACGACATCTGAATTCTGAATCAGGAATTTGGGAAGTCGAAGAAACACATACTCGCCGCCCTCACACCCATCCCGCCAAATATCCCACTCCCGCTCCCCATCCAACCCATGCTCCTTCCGCAACGCCCGAATCTCCTTCGTCAACAGCCCCTCATACAACCCGTACCCCCACTCGGCGAGTCGCTCGTCATTCGCCTGCACCTTCCCGCCGTCGCGCAGAGCCTGCTTGTCCGCTTCCGCGAACGCCAGCTCAAAGGTGTGCGCCGCCCGCCGCCGCGGGCTGATGAACACCCGCGCCAGTTTGCGTGTCGGGTCGATCAGCTTGCCCGCGCCCACGAGGATCTTGCCTGACGCCGTCACCTGCGAGATCCCGGCCGCGGTGAGCTCGATCTCGGAGGTGCCGGTGTAGCGGCCGGATTTGGACCATTCGGTTTCGCCTGTGCTGTTTAGCGGGTGGGGGATTTTTGCTTTAGGGAAGGGGGCGGAGTTCGGGGGAAGAGGAATGGTGGGGAGGGAGGGGTTGGGGTGCCGTGCTGTGCTTGCTGTGCTAGGGAGGGAGCGTACCGTGGCGGTAGAGGAAAACTCTAGGGGTACCTGCGTCTTTGTCGGGCATGGTGGGTGAGCTATCTAGTCTATCTATATTGATGAGGGGAGATGCTTCGATAGTTCAGCTCGGGTGGTGGTTGTCAGATCTCAAATCCAGGCTTTGGTAGCTAGCTTGGTTTTCAGGCGGTCGAGATTGGTTGACGCCATTTTGGGGGGGTTGTGGGGATGGGGTTTATGTAATCGGGCGAGTTTAACTAAGGTTAAGTTATCGCCCTGTTCACCAGTGGTTATTTGCGTACTGACTTGCTCTGGGGGCATTGGTAGGATAGGATGGTTTGGAGGTAGGTGAGGATGATAGACTACAGGTAGGTAGACATCTTCGTTTTTGAGATATTTAGATCCAATGATATGTGCACGATGCATTGTGCTGCGCAGATGCAGAATCATGCAATCGCCTTTTCACAATGTGGGGCAGTGCAAAAAAGACAAACAGGTTTGTGTTTTGTCAGCCGAAGGAGAACCAATCACGGGTCTTCCGCATTAATGTGGTGGTAATGACATCTCACAGGTGATAAGCATGGTTCCATCAGTCATATGGCCCTTGTTTATCATTAAATCAAGGTCGGACCCGTTGCGGACATACTCAGGGAATACTGCATGCCCAATGTCAAGATGGGTTGGCGAGCTCCAGTATCATGACTTAATCCCATGGTCCATGAAGTGAATGCCTATCAGCACAAAAATTCATGATTTCATTATGACAGTTAGGGCCTACCAGCTTGATTCAAAACCCAGCTGTGCATATCTGACCACACCCAATCGGCTGGTTTTCGACATGACTTCTCCGAAACCGTCTCCGTAGCAGTCTCGTTCCTGACAGTCGAATCATATCGTATGAAATGCAGAATTCTAGCCAAATTTGTGGGACATGTTGTTCTCTCAGGCAACATCTCTGATTCAGAGCTTGATGTCACCCTTATGGCCGCTCCTCGACCTCCCCAAACGTAGGAAAGCCCAGCTCCGCCTTCACCTCTCGCATGACATGAGCAAACTCCTCCCTGTGCTGCTCACTCGCGAACGAAACCATGAACTTGCCCCTGGGACCATCAATACCCAAGTACCCTTCCCATATATAGCAGTAGATCCGGGCATAGATTGCAACTTGAACCCAGCCACGCAAGAGAGTCCTCAGTGCCGTACGGCCCAGATCGGCAGAAGAGGGTGGAAAGCACTCTGATTCGACAGTATCATCTCGACACCGAAATTATTCTCGCCTTCAAGCAGGCTGACCAGTGCTTCGACTGTCTGAGTGGGAAGATCTGACCGGCGGGCAAGGTCCACGAAGAACGCATAGCCATTGCAGCCGTTGCTGTAGATAAGCAGCGCCAGGTCGTGCAGAATATTCTCCGCAAGATGAGGCTGCTTGAGCAACAGGACGGCAGCGCGATAGGGTACGATGACCCGCTTGTCTTTCAGCAGCTGAATCAGTTCGCTGACGATCATATCAGAGATATTACGTTGACGCTCGAGCAGGTCGGCTGCACAAGAGAGAGTTTCACAGTCGGAATGTCGCAGACCCCGTACGATACCATGGAGCACTTCTAATGGGAGATTCTTTTGGTTCCATAGAACAATAGCTGCGTGCTGCCGCAGGATTCCATCCTCCGCTATAAGCAACCCGGACAGGTCATGAACAATGTGAGGTGGGAGCATTTCGTAGGATCGCAAGATGTCGCTTGCGACGTGCATCGCAGAATGATCCTTGAGGCAGGAGACCAAGTCTTCCAAGATATCATCCGGGAGCGGCTGGAGTTTCTTCAGCTTTTCAGCCGCCTGATGGCTAACATTGCTGTTCTCGGCCCTCAGCAGAGACGATAAGACTGGCAGAATACGCCGTCGAAGAGTCTCCTGCGCGCCGAAGTACAGAATCGTGCGCTGTCTCAGCTCGATGCAGTCATGGTCGAGAAGTAAGGCCATAATTAGCACAGTATCATCGGGCAGGCTTTTTTTGGCTGGCCAAAGCCTAATCCGCCCGTAATCATGTGCGGATATCTTCAGCTTTGAGGAGAAGACTGAGGGCATGCCTGATTGCAGCGGGCAGTACTACCTGACTTCTCAGAATTTGGTGTACATGCTCGTCATCACCGTCAATGAGCAAAACAAGAGTGGAGAGAGCATCCAGTGGAAGGCTTGTTTGAGTGCACAATGCATTGCGTGTGGCCAGCTGAACATCTTCGGACTCGTCTTCAAGACAGTGTATAAGTGTGCGAATGATCCAGGAAGGCAACATAACAGTTGGGACCGCCAGGGCATGAGCTGCTCTGCACCTAACCGCGCGTAAATCATCCGTAAGAAAAGTGCCGAGTATACGGAGGGTCTGGTCAGAAAAACTCTTCTGCGGGCTTAGGATGGGAGCCAGTGTGCTATCTGAATCTACAGATACATCATCCTTGAAGTGCGACAACAGCCCTTGCACAAGTTGCTCGGGAAGATCGGCGTGGTAATGAAGCGCACTTATGACTTCGTTCCCGATATCGGAATTGCGTTGGTCAATAAGTAGCACCACTTCGTGAATAGTGGTCTCCGATACAATTTCACGATTGAACAAAGCTTTCAATAGCCCATCTCCTGACCCGAGGGCTCTTATCTTGAAGAGCCTGTATCAAAGTAGCTTCCAGACTGTCAGTAATGGCACTCGGATTGTCCGCTAGCAGATATGCTGCTGATTCTCTCACCGGCTGATGAGCATGTTCAATCAACTGAGTAACTGACTGGAAGAAGGGAGCAGAGAGGTTACGAACTGGCAGGATTCGATCAGTGAAGGCATAGAGGAGTTGGCCGTGACATTTATCGTATTCAGTTCCCAGAAACGATGTGATAACGCGAGCTGAGCGTTCCAGCTCAGAGATGAGCTCCGAGTGCGAGCTAAGCCGAGATTCGAGCACTACCCATTGCAGCAGTCTGTCCTCAAAATGGGATCTCATCCTAGACACGTTCAAGTCATCGCTCGCAAAGGATAATTCATTCAGGCAATGCATGATAAGCCTTTGATGTATCACGGCTTTAACCAGACATGGTTAGTCTCAAAGCATCAAATGGCTCGTCACCATCCATTTTTCAGCCACAGATCCTCCCCGCCACGCGTGGAGGCTGAACGGAAGTTGAGGCTGAGTGCTTGCCGACTCCTATTGCCCCTTTCTGCTTGAACTCGATCGCTGAGTACGGAGTTTTGAGATCTCCTCTAAGGTCTTTCATGATGTCTCTCCCCTGCCTGGGCGGTAAGATCGAAGCTGGGTTCGGGGCACAAGACTCTCTCTTGTCTTGAACACATTTCCTTGATGGACATGTCAAGGTTGAGAATCTCGGGGAGAAAGGAAATGTGAGATGATAACTTCTTCTGAGCTGAGCCCGACTTCCCGCAAAGCATTGCTTCATCACTATTTGACCTCTTCTGAGGAAAATGTTTCGCGAGCAGGTAGATACCCTCGTGTGAACTCCGAGTGTGTGCACATGTCTCTTGAGAAATGGTTTGGAGATTGATCGGTCGATCCGGAGATGAGTGATCCACACTAGGCAATCAACTCCGAGGGTTAAATCCCCTCATCCAATCTCCGATGGAGAGAAATGTCCGACAAGATACCATATATAAATGGTTCTAGTGAATCATAGTGCATAAAAGTGCTGTGTAGTCACGACATATCTCTGGCCTTAATTAGATAGTAGAATTGCGCCCAAAGTATATGCTATTTACATCGTCCAAATCAATAGTCTCAAAGCATCTCGAGTGAATTAGTCCAATCGCGGTTGTCTTCCTCCATCACTTAGGGGTAACTCGGTGATCTACTGCAGTCCGATCAAGTTAGGTGCACAATATAGTCCATGTTAGAGCAGAGTTAGTGGAAAAGTGATAACCCGACCGTACAGATTGGGTTTATCTTTCCTGGCGTGTTGTCAAGTGAATTTCCGAACACCAACTAACGCGTCGATCATCCTTGCAATAATATAATTAGATGAGGCAAGAAGGTCATTTCACGAACTGTGGATAAGTCCGAGACATGTCGCAAGATAGTATATCCATGTCAGTGTTGCCTGTACGAGCAAGATCCACCTTTAAGCGACAGATGTGTTGTCTGCTCCTTTTCCTAACTTCTTAGTCGACTTAGTGCGAGTGGATTACATGTTGACTTGGTGGGAAGCATTCTCGTACAGCTCTTCCTACAAGACCACGCACCAAATCAAGCGAACTCAAACACTGGAACAATGAGCAGAAATTCGGTGCAGTGACACCAGACGAGGACTAAGGGATGAGCCTCCTCGAAGATAGCAGGAATAAGCTTTGGCTAAGCTTCGTAATAATATTGCAGTCAGACGAATAGGAACGGTTGAAAAAATTGTCTCCAGGTTGCAATCTTCTATTTAGGGTTGATTTCATGATCTGTACCATTCTACGCAGCAATCCTGGCGGTGCGGGATCATTATTTGAGGGCTTGTTGCGATGTTCCGATGTCATGAGGGGGAACCGAGGTACAGGAGATCCTTATCAGCCGAATTGGAGAAACTGGAAATTGGACTACCAAGCTAAGGAACCATGGTGGTCTGAGCAGCACAACAAGCGGACAAGGAGAGCAGGCGGTGTTCAGAGGCAAGTAAGACATGCGCCCCAAATGCGCCAGAAGACACCAGAAAAGGGGCGACGTCATCGACCCACTTGAGAAAATTCTGTGTTTTTGATAGATTGCGTGGCACAAACCACATTTCTGCACAACTGATCCTGGGAAGCAGTGCACAAGTGCATCTGATGGCTGCTTGAGAACAGCTTTACTCTCGCACAAGAATCTCCCTCTTTTCGACCCCCCTTAAGTCAATCAAGCAATGCTGGTTCGCATGGCTGGGGTGGTGTCGATCCCGTATGTTTCGTGTGCCGTGCCGGATTGGCCATGGCAGGACACGCAATGCCCCTGAGATAGCCCCAACGCTAGCAAAGCTTGGCTGGATTCGCTTGCAATCCCACCTCAATGGTGAATTGTGCTGCCTGCATCGCCATGGATAGGTGGATTGTCCACCTGCTGGAGCTCTGATCGAACCACAGGAACACCTCTGTGTCCAATGACATACTTCCTGCAGAATTTTCTTCCTTTTTCGGTGGAGATGTTGTTCATTCTCTGTTATCTTAGATTTTTGTGAGCCAATGGGAAAGGGGGGCTCACTTTCCGTAGCCCTATCCCTTGCCTTTTGGTCCGCTGTCACCGTCTGCTCTAGTGGTTCCTATCCTTGGATCTGCTACCTATCGGGTCATGCTAGCCTCGTTGTGTTCCTCCTGCACTGCCAACATCCGACATACCGTCCCGCTGCCGGCTTCCCCCCCGATAATTCCGTGCTCGGCCCAAGCCCCCCGAGGAAGAGTTCGACTGAGTTCTTGCCCCAGTTGTCCCACACGTTCTCCCCTATTCCTGCTCCCTCCTTGGTTCGCTGACCCCGGTGGATTTGATGTCATGTGGACATTCTTTTCACTCCGAAAGGCGTATAATTATAATGGAGTTCCCCGCCCCTCCCCGGCACCGTTGTCAGAACTGAAACGTTGCAGCGGTTTCACCATTCTTCTGTCCTCCCCAGTCTCCCCTTGCATAGACCGGCTGCAAGCAGTGTCGCCTCGCAACGATGCGCCACGTCTCCGCACTGTTTCTGGCCAGTCTGGCCGCGATTGCTTCGGCCTCCACCACGTGTAGTGCCGACAGCAAGTGCCCTGAGAGCGCGCCGTGCTGCTACAGTGAGTTGCCAACACCAAAACTACCTCTTCGACTGATGAATTGCGCTAACTATCCCATTCAGGTGGAGTATGTGGTGTAGGAAGCTCGTGTCTGGGCTCCTGCGACCCCTTGATGTCATACTCTCTTGACTCATGCACGCCTGAGGCTATTTGCAAGAATCAGACCTACAGCTTTAGCAACCTCGACGACAGCGTGGCCTGGGATCAGTATCTCGGAAATGCGTCGCAGTACGAATGGTCCTGGAGCGGCTACCCCAAGGTCGAGAACAGCAGTCTGATGCTCACGATGCCCAACCAGACGACGGGCAGTCTGATGACGCTGAACCACTACATCTGGTACGGCAAGGTGTCGGCCAAGATCAAGAGCAGCCGTGGTGGAGGTGTCATCACCGGGTTTATTCTCATGTCGGACGTGAAGGACGAGATCGATTTCGAGTTTGTCGGCTACAACCTGTCGAGTGTCCAGACCGACTTTTACTTCCAGGGAGTTGAGAACTGTATGTTGTTACCCGGTATTCTCTCGGTATGGCACTCACTAACACTTTTACCCCGTCTCTGCAGACACCAACGAGGTCAACGCTGCTGTGTCCACCGGCAACACGTACGACACATGGCACACCTACACGATCGACTGGTCGCCCGAGAGGCTGGAATGGCTCGTGGACGGAACGGTGATGCGCACGCTGACCAAGAACTCGACCTACAACGCGACCTCGGGGATCTACATGTACCCGCAGACGCCGTCGCGGCTGCAGATGTCGCTGTGGCCCAGCGGACTCAGCACTGAGAGCACGGGGACGATCGAATGGGGTGGCGGTCTGGTCAACTGGACCAGCGCGGACATGGAGAAGTACGGCTACTACTACGCCCTGTTCAAGGACATCACGGTCGAGTGCTACAACCCGCCCGAGGGCACCACCATTAAGGGCGACGTGTCGTACGTCTACACCAGCGACACGGGTCTGTCGGACCAGATCCTCGTCTCCGGCAACAGCACCGTCCTCTACAATCTCGAGGACACGGGTCTCAACATGACCGCCGGCAAGCAGGAGACCGCATCCAGCAGTAGCTCCGGCAGTTCCGAGAGCTCGGGCTCCTCCACCAGCACCAGCTTCAGCGCCGGCACCACCACCTCCGGCGCTGCTTCTTCCTCGTACAGCGACCGGGTCATGCAGGGTTCGGTCCTTGCGGCCGTGGGTGCTGCCTTCTTCTTCAGCCTTTTCTAGAAAAACCCCCACTAGTTAACACTTCACATCCCCCTCCTTTATGCTTATGCTTCATTCATCATGGTGCGGAGCTAATCCCCACCCCACCCTTGATTTCTTCCTACACTTTTTACGATCCTTACATATATATATCATATTCGATTCAGGCATGGCGTGCATGGCGATTTTTCAGACGAGCCAAATAAACTTGTATTTATGTTTCTGACAGACTAATGGTAATGTCATTCGATAGTATTTCTGCACACAGACGCAGGTGGTGGGTTGGCCGACCGGATGTTGGGTTGAAAGTTAAGGGCAAATACCTGTGCCTGGACCGAAGAAGACCTACTAAGACCGCATGCCATACTACGGGAGTTTGTGTACTCGTGAAGAAGCTCTGGGGTGATCACATATCCCTAAAGAAAGAGGGCCTAGTGGACTGAAAGAATAATTTAACTCATACTGAAACTTGAACGAACTTGCAATAAACTATTGCCAAGTGCTCGACGCAAAACCCAAACCCAAGCGAGTCGGCGTGACTTTCGGTTCTATTTCGGAACATTATTCGGATTCGGATTCTGAGATTTCAAAAATAACGTCCGCTTGCCAGTCGGGACCCTCGCAGGCACAATCCCATGCGCATTCGTCTTGGCTAGATTTAGGTGAACGGGCCTCGATCCTTTGTTTGGCTAGTTTTATGACATCACTCCCCAAAAGAGAACTGCACCAGACTTCCTCGACCACGAGCGGCAGAAGCAGCTCGACGACCTCGAGCCACTCCTTGCGGGCTGCTTCATTCAGCTGCCGATCGGGAGATAACCGACAGCCTCTGCGGATCAGGCTCAAAGCCACCTCTTGACGGTTGGTGCGAAGCACCAGGTCGAAAAGTGTGGGCCAGCTGAGAGGTTGGTCAGCTGGGTGTTCATTTCGAGCATATGCTGACTCGTCTTCAAAATCGTCATCGCTCCACTTGCTGGACGGCTGAAGGTCCAATGACCGGTGTTGTCTTGGCTCTGCAGTCGCTAAGTCTGGGACCAGATCGAAAAGCAGCTCCAGGTTCTCCCGCGGAGCCCAGCGCAGGGTATTAGCGAGATTCTCAGTGTAATTATGGTTTGGACCAAGGGCAACGGTCACCACATCCGTACCGTTGCGTATAGCCTGCCTTAAACATCTGCGCATTACGTCTGTATCCGGCAGAAAACAGAGAGTATCCAAGACATACCATGAAGAGAGCATCGCGCCATGCACAAACAGCATCTCGATGATGCGAGTATATTTCTTCTGGATGCGATAGCACTGGTGCAGCACGGGGATACACTCTTTCGCAAAGTCCAGCGGATGGTACAGAAAACCCGACGTGATGTCGACGGCGGTTAGCATATCTAGCTTGTCCTTGTGCCATGGCTGCATCTCTGCAGGACCCGCATCGCGGTACCCCCGATACTCCACGGCATTCGGGTTCGCTCCGTACTCAAGCAGGAGGTGGACCACATTCGGGTCTCCGTGGCGGATGGCCTGGCACAGCAGATTGTTCTCGAAGATCCATCCGCGCCTGGGTTCACGAGGCGACCAATCGCTGTACGGATGACGGTGTTTCTCCAGCTCATGGTAATACATCTTAGCGGGGTACCATTGCCGGTACGCGAGGCATGGAGTGCTGTTAGTCAACCGGAAGTCAACGTTGGGGCTCGCACCGTGTTCCAGCAGCAGCCGGACCATGTCCAGATGGCCGTACAGGCTGGCCACATACAGCATCGGGCCGCCCTTGGATCCCAGCGAGAAGTCTGCACTGGCGCCTGCCTTGAGAAAGGCCCGCACCGAGGCATAGTCGCCGAGCCGCACCGCGTCGTAGAATGGTTGTGCGTAGTAAGTGGCGCGAGCCTTCTTAGACTCTGAAGTCAGGGTAATGGCATACGGATCGAGACCTGCCCCCATGCAAATGACGCGTGTCGTCTCTCCTGCGCGTTTGCGCGCTTGCCTGTCGAGCTCCTCCGACAGCATGCCGTAGAACCGTCGGCAGGTCCGTGCGAGACGGCTCATTGACTGAAGCTTTCCGTCTGTGCACAGGATCAAGCACTCCAAGAGCAGCTTGGCGAGGTGGCAGGCTGCTTGCATCTGCAGAGCTTCCATTGCTGCGGATCGATGATGTTCTGTAGTGTCTCAGACGATGCAGATATGATAGGAAAGCTTTCTGCTTGTGTCTGAGGATAACACACCGCGCGCGTCTGGCGTTTTTATATAGTAGTTGTTTCCAGAAATATACATTCAGGAGGACTGGAACCCCCAAGAGGTTTGTGATATGGGGCAAATCCGTTTTGGCCGGATCAAAGAAGGAGGGTGATCCATTGATGGTAATCGCCGTCGTGATGTGAGTTTAGTTAATTGCTCCTCCATCATAATCATGGCTCATGTTGTAGAGTGGAAGAATTGTCAGCCTATATTATCACAAAGGGTGATTTTCGAGCGAGGACTGAAAACTTCCTCTTAGTCACAGAGAAGTGTGGTTGATAGACTATGACACAGACATCATGGCATTATTGGTTCAACATGTTACTGGTCGGCTATTATGGTGCTAGGATGAACTCCTCCGGAGTCGGTGTTTGGCCAGGTAGAGAAGAATGTCTCTACTATAGCTGTCACCACCTGAGCGGCTGTCCTTTCCCTTTGCGTGATTTTCATCCTTATGTCTCCCATATTATCGTCCTCTCGGACTTTTTCCTCATGACACCAAGTCCTTTGTTGTGTTACAGCGTAATTGACAATAGCTCTTAAGATTTCTTGACTAAAATCGGAGTCACATAAATCTATTGTGCGCAATTATGATCCCATGTAACCGTCGCTGGAATCACAATTATACTTGAAAACATAATCTTTTTGGACATGCCCCGACCTCTCTGGGCCCTCACCACCGGATCTCTTAGCTAGCTACAGTAGCTACCCTCAACAACCTGAGTTTCACCACCACCACCACCACCACCACCACCACCACAAGCCCTCTCCGCAAATTCCTAACTCACATACACCAACTCCAGCAAACAATCGACCCCCATTCCACCCCAACCCTCAACCACCCAACCAAACTACCCCACCACCTTCTCCATCTCCACAAAACACAACAAATCCGGCGGCAACTCAAACCGCGTCACCTCCCCAGTCGCCACATACCCGCAGCGTTGATACCACTTAATCAACTCCAACCGCGTATCCAACGCATTCAACCCCACCTTCTTCACCCCCCAAACGCGCCGGCAATGCTCCTCCGCCAGACCCAGAACTCTCCGTCCGAGGCCGCTCTGCTGATGACCTTGGGCAACCGCCACATACGACAATCGGGCGAAGTCGGGCCCGTGTCTGCGCATGCTGACGCAGGCGATGATTGGTTCGGTTGAAGTAGAATCAGAATCGGAGTTGGCGGTTGCGGTGGCCATTGCGATGAGAATCGCGCTTTCTGGGTCAGTGATGCGGGTGAGGATGTCGTCGAGCGCGACGTGGAAGCGCGCGCCGAGGGCAAGGTCGCCTGTCCAGTTGGGGCGGGGGTCAGCGGCACGGAAGGCGGATTCAATGAGGTCTCTGATGTGGGCGGCGTCGGTTGGGGTTGCGAGGCGGGTGGGGAGGGTCATTTTGAGGAGAGGTTGGGTATTGTGTAGTATTGAAAGGTGGACGATTTGGATATGATGGGGTAAAAGGTGAGCCGGAGAGTACTCGTCATGATGGGGGGCTGAAGAAGTATAAATAGTGGCCGGGTAAGCTGTCGTCTGACGCCCTTTAAATAAGTAGTTCAATTCACAAGGGGTTTGCGCCCTTCAATTGACATCAATCGATTGACAATTTGATAAACTACGATAAGAAGGTGTCAGCTGACAAATAGCTTACTGCCACGTACTAAGCTTCCACTCACTACAGGAATACTTATCCTAAATCCTATACTTCATAGATGCTGCCGAATTGTCGGGTTTGGCAACCGCTCTAAGTAAGTGGTCTTGGCGGTTGTGTCTGTACCAGTTAAAGCCGCTCCTCACTCACGCACCGGCATTCACTAACTACGTAACTACCAGTAATCAAGTGGAAACGCCCATTTAGCGGCTAGTGGCAGTGCTGTTCGGATATTCCATGATAATTCTACTTTAAGTTGCTACGAAGGGGGTCCACATGGATAACATGCTATCTTCGATAGTTCGTATCATTCATTCATCACCCTGTCTTCACATGGATACATGCATTTTCCGCCAATTCTTCCTCCTCTAACCTCTGCACATGTCAGAGTAACACTCGTGGCCGGGCTCGACGTCGGGGAAATTGCTGCCAGCGACGATGGTTGTGAAGTCGGAGTTGCTGGTGGCGTCTGCTCAGAGTGGTGGTGTCAGATGAGTCCTCTTTAGGAGAAGGGAGAGGCAAGGAAAGGGATTTTGGTGCTTCGTACCATCATCGTAGGAGATGGCTAGGTTGACGGAGTAGGATTCGGTCTGTATCACTAGGGAAACGGCTCCGTTGGCAGAATCGTCACGTTAATGGGACATTCGTGATGTCAGTATACAGGTGACATACTGAGAGGAAAGTCTGTTCGGTTGGTGACGCCGGCTGAGGAACCACAAGGGGCAGTGCGGTCCTGGGCCACGCCCCAGGCCCAGTCGGGCGGCCACAGGAAGGCAACGGCCCCCATGTCAGTCGCCTCAGCGGCTAGAGCACCGAGAGAAAAGAGATTGGCTGTGGCAAGAAGCCCGGTGAAGAGTATGAAAAGAGAAATTATGCTGATTATCGTAATAGGCGTGAAAAATGATGGGATGGGTGCTCTGAGCTCGATCTCCAAAGCAGTAGAGGATTCGAGAATGAAACAATGGATGCACTAATGGTCATTTTCCTCAGGATCGCAGGACTACTTTTATACGAGCGCCAGTGCATATAGTTCTTGGCCCGGGACGTTACACCCGTCAACGAGATTGAACCCGATGGCTGCAATCACTAAGAGACTTAGCAAATTTCATGTGATGGTGTCTACAGTGATGAGCATGTTCTTGACGCAATATGGGCAGTTCGGAGTTTGACTGTGATGCCGACCACCGAGCCCTGGCTTGACTATAGCTCACAGTGGAGCTGACAACGCTGAACCCCTCCTGCAATGTCACCTCGTCAGAAGCACCAACCGGAAGAGGAAAGCCCGGCATCAGATTATATCAGATTGATAAGATCATGGTCAGTTCATCTGCTGCCGGCTAACCCTCCCTCTCTCCCTGTCCCAATCGAAGAATCATGTCCGAGAACAAACTAAATGATGGGTCACGCGGAAATCCTGTCCAATCCGTGAGTCAAGCGAGGCACCCGAATTTGCTCGCGTGCCTTGATTTTCAATCTGATAAGATAATAAGTGGGCCCGTCAGTAGCCACGGACCCAACTCAACCACGGCACTCGGACTTGCTGGCGAGAATTTCCCCCTCTATCTTGCCAAGTCACCTACTAGTCCCAAAACAGACTATTTATATACACAGTACGACAAAAGATATGTCCAGAATAAGCTTGGTCAATTGAAAAGCTGCAGTTTCACTAACCAAAGACAAACTGATTGGGTACAGGTGCTAAATTTGTCTAAATCTGCCCAAAGCTGGTTTAGCAAGGCAAGCTGTCTTCTTTCTCAGAGTATTATATTATAAACACAGCAGCTCTCTACTATCCATATGAGAACAATAATTCTCTTCAGTATAATATTACTAATCTTGCCAGGTCTTGATACATTATATCAAATATACCTAGAGAAGGAGCTATCTCCTGCCTTCTATCAAATTACAACATATCTCTTCCGGATGCAAATAAGTCTTGATTTTAAGATTGAATTAGTAACAGTTACTATAACTTGAGAGCTGTATATTTCTATATAACAACAAAGTCCCTTTGAAATATACAGGAAAAGGACTGAGAACTAGAGTATATATCAAGAGTAATAAACTAAAATATTCAGACAAAGAAGAGTTGGAGCTCTTCTTAAAAAGCTTCAGTATTCTATAAGTAATTTACAATTATCCTCAGATTTGATGTATCTGGATATATCATTGGGAAGAATTGACAGTCAAGCAACCTAGATCCAATTCACAAATAGTTTTGAAGTTGTATTTGCATATTTCAACCAGGACATATAGCACTTTTATACCTTGCAAGCGTAGAATTATCCGAGTAGTAATCATATTAGATCAGTAAGCCGTATTACCAACTTGCACACTCTCATTACCCCTAGCAATTTGAGCCTCGGACGGTGCTAGCACGCCCAGGTCTTCTCAGCGTAGAAACCAAATTCACCTCCTCTGATTTGTATGCACCTAATAGGATAGCGTACTATGGCACGAATTGAGAATGTCATCTACCTCTAGTTGTGAGACCCCGCAGCTTCAGACTGACGGAGGATCCTCAAAAGCACAGGCCAACCAAGTCCTATTCACCTCCGGCTTGGCATGGAGCTTTCCCTCCAGTTTTCCCATCTACAGCAGAGACTCCATTGCGCCAGGAAGTCCTCTCTACGAGTGTCACGCTGATTGTGGTACGTACCAACTTCCGTCACCTCCAAGAGACCCTATCCTCTTCGACACCTAGACCTCGCTCTTCTCAATAATCAACAAAACTAACAAAACAAAAGGCGGCGTCATCCTCCTCGCACAGTACAGCAATAACACGACCGGCTACTGCTTGAACTCGACCTACAAATCCGACCTCAGCGGGTGTCTGAAGTGCGCCCTGACCTACAACATCGGGCAATACTACGGTGACGACGTCAAGTCGGCTATGGAAGCGTGCGGCGATAGCGCGACTCCTAGCACCTCGTCTGCGACCGCGAGCGCTACTGCTGTTTCGAACTCGGTATGTTTGTCTAACGGCTGAACCTTGAAGTAGGGGGGCTAATCTGTGGTGTGTAGTCTACAACGGGCACTGGAGCCAAGGTGACTGGTAGTGCTTCCTCTACTGCTTCTGCTGCTTCTGCATCTGGTACTTCTACTTCCGGTGGGGCTGTTGCCTCGATGAGCCTGGGTGGGTTTTTGGTTGCTGCTGCTGCGCTGCTCGGGGGTTTCATCATGGCTTGAGTGGTGAGTGTTAGACAAGTTCCGGTGATGTAGAAGTGGGTGTGCAGAGTATTACCTTGATGTTGTTTCCCCCAACCGGTGGCTATTGTTTGATTACATGAGACGAGATATCTGAAGCTGTATAGTAGTGGATATCTCTCAACACAGGGTCACATGATCGCGATAAGTACAATGAACGTATCTCTGATTGCGACAAGAACATTCTGCAAGACCCATTGGAGCTCAGCAACATCGAATGAAGTCAACAGGCACACTGCGGGTCTTTCAATACGGGTCAGCCTGTCTTCGTGTGCTACAGGTGAATAGCATAGGCCCGTGTAATGGTATTTAAACAGTCGGAGCATTACCCATGGAGTAATACTAACTCTTTACCTATATTCATACTTCATTGATCATATGGCGGTGATTGTTGGAGACGCATCTCATCAGAATTCGTGCTCTTTTCTATCTTTCATTGTACTGCAAGCGGTTCGCACCCCTCATCTCATTCTGAAAATGAATGCTGGTCAATTTCATCGCCTCCTTGATCAAACCAGAACAAACGCTAATTATGCTGATATAGATCGACCACACGTTCATGATGTGATTCGAGAAATGCTAAAAATGTGGCCAGAGAAAACGCCTTCGCACTGCGACCTTTCTCAAAGGACAGGACGATCCCTGAAACTCAATGAAGTACTCTCCACCTGTAGAGACTGCCAACTGAGACTGCGATTGACTTGTACCGCCAAAAGAACAGAAACAGCCGATTCGATAGTTGATTTTCATGCGCGATACACTACACAGTATAAATAGAAAATTACAGCCTTGTTTCTCAGGCTTCTAAGGGGCGAAACGTCGGCGCCAAGCCCAAGCCGACGGCAGCAGTTGGAAGTATTTCCCAAACGGGAATTGAGAGGCGCGATGCCCAGTTTGCGGAGTCGCTACCCCGCTGTGCACCACCATCCATAAATAGCTTCGCTGCCCCTGCTACAGCACCAGAAACTTGCAAAATTCATTGTTAAGACAAGTTATTTCAAACCCTTCTACAATCATGTCCGTCGCTTCGTCTGCCAAAAGACCCGAGATCATCGAGATCGCTCGGGGTCTGAACCATGTGCCCATGTGCGAGGAGTACGAGCGGATGATTTCCGGCATGCTGTGAGTATACATGACCCGGCCCTCCTCAACCGCTGCATACACCAGGGCAAAATGACTGTGGCAGCTTCTGACAGCTTATGCAGCTATAACCCCCTCGTCCCGAAGCTGATGGAAGGCCGACACCGCGCCCGCGGCGTGGCCCAGGACTACAACAACCTCGACGCCAAGTCGGTGCCCTACGAGGAGATCGCCGACCGGCGCTTTGAGCTCCTCCAGAAAATCGTTGGGCGCGTCGGCGAGGGCACCTTTATCGAGCCGCCCTTCATGCCGGACTACGGCTGCAACATCAGCATCGGGAAGGATTGCTTCATGAACTTCAAGTAACGTCCTCTTTTCTAGATGACTATCTTGGTCTACTTTCTAAATAACCGACCAACAGTTTCACCGCCCTTGACACCAGCCTGATTATCATCGGCGACCGCGTGCAATTCGGCCCGAACGTCAACATTTACACGGCCGGTCATGACGTCAGCGTGTTGTCGCGTCGCAAGTTCGTCGAGTTCGGCCACCCCGTCAGCATCGGCGACGACTGCTGGATCGGCGGGAATGTGGTTATCTTGCCGGGGGTCACGATTGGGGAGGGTTCGACGATTGGCGCCGGGTCGATTGTCACTAAGGATATTCCGCCCTTTTCGGTCGCTGTGGGGAATCCTTGTCGCGTAAGGAAAACGATCCCTTCGGCCGAGGAGGAGGAGCAGGATCCGAACAATCCGTATCGCCATATGGTGCGGGAGGACCGGGCTTGACTTTGGGTTTGGAAACTTTGTGGTGCGAGGGTAGGAACCTACTGCTCGACAAGCGGGAGTTGGGGGTTCGAAGACATCTCGATTGGCAGGTTTAGACATAAAGCCATGACTGGCACACAGCGAATGAGTTTGCGGTAATGACGCACTAAAGTTCAACCTTCATAGAAATTGCAGCAGCGTAGCATTGGTGCCAGACGGACGGAGTAAACAAGCAGACAGCCACAACTATACGCTCAAGCGTCCCCCCCTAACCCGACCGCGCAATCTGCGCCAACCCATCCAACCATGCTGGTGACCATTCAACATCGGATTCGGCTTCTGAGTCGTCAACTGCGCTGCCGGCTTGCCGATCTGCGACTCCTGCGTCAGGATGCGAATGACGCCCCACTCCGTCTTCTCCACGATCCACGCATGGTAGATATCCAGCGCGGTGTCCTCGTCGCCCTCCTGCCAGGCCCGCCATGCGAGCCGCCCGGCTTGTTGTCCGTAGGCGCCACCGATTCCAACACCTTCGCTTGAAGCGGAGGGAAGCCGAAGGTGGAAAAGCGGAATTGGTCGCCTTCTGCCAGCAGAGGGCCGGAGGCTGAAGGGGTGATCTGGCCCACGTTGTCGTAGTAGGATTCCCACTTGGTGATGTTGGCTAGGTAGTCCCAGACGCGCTAGACAGTCGTCCCGGGCACGTAGACCTCGTTGGAGACGAAGTTGTCGGTCGTACCGCGGTGGTATTTCTGAGGCCAGGTGACGGCGGCTTGCATCGTGGAAGGTACTAGGTTTTGTGATGTATATACAGTAGTAGAGTAGGGAGGTACGAGGTGACAGAGAAAGTTGATCGGGTCAAATTTGGCGACCGAAGGGACCCTGGGATATATAGGACAGTCTGGTGATGTTTAGTGCTCGAATTGCATGACAATGTTCAGCACATATGATATCATCAACATCACTCGATGTGGTATTTAACTCCGAGTCTCCTCAGCCACATCCGCCCCCATCATAGACATCACCACTCGCTCCCCCTGAGTCCAAATGCCAGGCCGACCCAACTCCCAAAGCACATTGTGACCCCTTCTTTCTCCCCGCTTCAAAAAAAACTTTCAGCCCTGTCGAACCAGCCAGGGAGAACCCCACGAGGAAAAGGGACTGCTCACTGGCCCAAAGAGGATTAACATGTCAAAACTGGAACCAACTATTGGGATTGGGGCAAGTTCAACAGCATCCACTGCCCCCACCAGACAAACCCCTTTGACCAGTCAACGTCGCTGCGCCACAGTGATCCGGCAGGGACTAAACCCAACACAGCGTGTTCTGGTCGCCTGCCGCCCAGACTTCGCAATCAAAGTGGCTCGAAACTCGAAACGCCTTCGATCACTTTTCCTCCGCTCTTCTCCTCCCCCTCCCAGTCTCCCAGGGCCTAGGCAGACATAAAGGGTCTGCCCCCGAGCCGCGCGTCAAGAAAATCAAGAAAACAAGCCCGTAGTCTTGGACGTTCTTTTTTATCTTTCCTTTTTCGAACGACACTTCTTCATCCACCCATTGTGAATGAACTTAGAACACCAGTTGAAGAAATGAATCTGCTATCCACCCTCGTGGTGGTGGTGGTGGTAGGTCTGACAAACCGTAAGCTTGAACCCACGTGAATTTTTTGTCTCCTTTTTTTTTCTCTTCTGTCTGGCTGTGTTTCAGTTCGGGTGAACTTTGGATCGATGGTCACATGACTGACACAACGCTTTAGTCATCGCCGCGCAGGACTGCTACGCCCAGCAAAGCGAATCTGGGCAGGGGCTGGTGATATACAGTCAGGCCCAACTGGACCAGCTCACCCAGAATTGCACGCAGCTGCACGGGGACCTGGTGGTCGGCACGAACTACACAGGGAGCTTCATCGTGCACAATGTGACCAATATCACTTCGAGCATCGGGCTGAACAACAGCACCACGGGCTTGACCTCGCTCGAGGCGCCCGACCTCGTCGCTCTGTACAGCGCGGGGTTTTATTGCCCGTCGTCGCTGCGGTCGATCTCGCTGCCGCGGCTGGAGACGGCCGAGGTTCTGACGGTGAAAGCCGGCTCCGCAATCACCGTCTCGACCCCGAGTCTGCGGAATGTGAGCTACCTCAACTTGTACGGGAGTAGCATCAGGTGGGTTGTCCCGTCACATGACTTTCTGTTCGGCTCGTGACTGTGGGCTGTGTGAATAGCTTCGACTTCCCCAAACTCGAACTGATCACGACTGGCTCGTCCATCTGCGGCGAGGCAGGATGTGACATGATGTCGAGCCAGGCTATGGACGTTGATTTACCCGCGCTGCGGGAGGCGGCGAGTCTGTCCGTAGGAGGGAATGTGTCAAGGTATGCCATGCCCTGCCCTGCCCCTGAAGATTTTTACTTGGGGTAGATTTTGCTCACCTGAGGGACAGTCTCTCGCTACCCGTCCTGGCGTCCGCTGGCAACATCACCCAAGCAATGACCACCGGCTACGGCTCCTACGGCGCAGGCCTCTCCGTGTACACGACACAGCTCCTCAACTTCTCCGTCCCGGAACTAAGCTATCTGAACGGCACCCTTTCGCTGCAAGGGGTGTTCAACGACAGGTAAAAAGCACAGCTCAATTCGTTCGTTTTTCCATCTAATAAGGTCTGCAGCATCTCCACCCCTTCCCTCATCAACGCAACCGGCGACATCGTCATCGAAGCCTGGACGCCAGTTGGCCTGAATTTCTCCACCCTCGAATACGTCGACGACATCACCATAACCGGCACCATCACCAGGTACGTTCAGCGCCATTTCCCCCATCACTCGAGAGTCCAAGAACTAAACAGTGCGCAGCGCGGATTTCTCCTCCCTCCGCTCAGTCAATCAATTCTCCCTCTCCTCCTCCCAGTACCTCAACTGCGCCAACGTCCTCCCCAGCAACACGAGCTTCGTGCAGGCGCACTGCGACGCCGCCCCGCAGAAGAAGTCTGCGCTGGCCCGCAATGTCGGGATCGGTGTCGGGGTTGGCGTTGGCGTCTCCTTGTTGCTAGCGGTAGCTGGGATCTGGATCTACCGGCGGCGGCAGGCAGCGAGGAAGAAGAAGGGGAAGGCGCCGGTGACTCGGAGTGGGAGTAGTAGTGGGACTGGAGAGGATAGCACGGTCGAGCTGAGGCCGGTAAGTGGGGATGCGGAGGAGGCCGCGGAGGGTGGTGGGGGAGAGGGGAGCGGCGGGGAACGGGGGGAGAGAGCGGGAACGACGGCGACCGCGACCGCGACTGCGGCTGCGACTGCGACGCCGGGCGGGGTGCCGAGTGAGCCTCCGCCGCCTTATTCGCGTTTTTGATTTGGGGCGGATTGGCCGCTTGCGTCGTCGGTGCCCGGTGTATAGATTTGATAGAGCTTGAGGTCTTCGGTTGTATATAATTATTGTCGTCATCATATAGATTTTGGGTTATGCTTAAGCGGGGAATACATCATTCTACAGTATTTATACTAAACTTTGCTGGTTACTGGGAGTAGAATTCTTGACACTTAAGTGGCTAGAAAGATCAATCGAAGCAGCCATCAGCCAGGATACTTCAAACCCTATCGCAATCCCCTTGTTGTGGAAATCAGTCGATTAAACAGAACTAGTACCCTGTGAAGCATCAATCATCAGTTCCATGGAGCACACCCTCCACCCTATAACCATGATCCTCCGCTCAACTAAAATCCCCCCACAACGTCAAGTCAATCACTCCCTCCAAACCAGAACCCCCCTCTCATACAACCCACTCACGATCCCTACCCCTCTCCCTACATCCCTGACGGCGGTCGAACTCGATCCAAACTCCTCTCCGACATACAGATCCACCACCTTTCCCTCAGCATTCCCATCCCACTCCGCCACCCAGCTCGGCGCCCGCGGCCGCTCCCCAATGGGCTTCCCGGCCCCCGAGCCCCCATAATCAACCTCCCAGTTCGTGCTCGCCACCTTCCCCAGCGCCGGGATATGCGGATGGCCCGCCATGACCAGCTTGCCGTTCGCATCCGTACTCAAATTATCCACCAGGAACTTCACACGGAGGGACAGCGTCGCCTGCAGGTCTTTCGTGGTGGGGTCAATGCGGTAGACGGTGACGGACGGGGTGGTGGTCGACGCAACAGCGAGGTGGGTGCTGTTGAGGGCGGTGACGCCGTTCGCGAACGGGAGGTGGGCGACCACCTTGTAGCGGTCCGAGTGCAGATCGGCGTGGACGACGGTGCCGCCGGGGTAGGCAATGTAGGTCTCCAGGGCGGCGAGGAACGGGTGGGCGCGCCTGATGAAGCGGTGGTCGTTGGTGATGTAGAGTTCGTGTGGGGAAACGGCGAGGAGGGCGTTGGGCCCGTGGAGCAGCGGGTGCGTGATCGTCTTGTGGTGGTCGAGGAAGGGGTTCTGAGGGTTGGTGTAATCCAAGGTGAAGACCTCCACGGTGGGGCCGGTGGGCGCGTGGTTGGCGACGAAGAGATGGCCTGTGCTGGGATGGTAGGCTATGCCCAGCGGGTGGAAGGTCTGGCGTTGCGCGGCGGGGAAGTTGTGCAGTGGCAATGGGTGGAGGTTGGCTTCGTCGGGGGTGGTGGTCGAGGCGTAGTTGTAGAGGTAGAGAGTTCCCGGGTTGGTGGCGTTAATGAAGGTTCCCTGAGGATTTGAAGGTTAGGGTGTGTGTGTTTGGTGTGTTGGCTGAGATGGAGATACAGGAGGGACAGACCATGACGGTGTTCCAGGTGTCGCGGCCGGGATCGCAGCTTAGGATGGCGAAGCCGCGCTGCTCGTCCAGGTGCACATCTTCGCAGTTGCGGATCTGGTCCGCCAGTACAATCTTGTGGTCGGCAAATGCGTTGATCTGGGGGAGACGGCTGGGGTGGTTCTTCAGCGTCAGCAAGAAGAGGCTGTGTCGGTCGGTCAACCAGGCTAGCAGTACAGCTAGGCCGAGGACGAACTGGGTGCGTGGTTAGTGAGAATCATCCGCTAAGGAAGGGACTGGGGGGAGGTACTGTTGCAATACGCGATGACAACCCCATGATTTCTTCAGTGCAGCAGCTGACAAGGGAAAGCAATAGAGAAGTTGAGGGGAAGCGGGAAGCACGGCAGATAAATAAGGTTGTTTTCCCCACTCGACGGACTAGCTTACCGGACTAATTGATCGGTCCTTAGAGCTTCCGTTGCGGGGTGTGGAGGTCATGCGCTGAGGTGAGATTCTTTACAAATTGATTGTTAATCCCCGCGGATACTCGGTGGAGCTGGTAGGAATGAAAGAAAGCCGTCTCGCGTCGTGTTCGTATTGATCAGTGATAACAAGCAGATAAGGAGCCGTCCGTGTCATCAGAAAAGTGCACACAATTGAGTTCAACATGAAGTACAAGTGTACAAGTACGTAGGGGTGCCACGCATTACAGCCTCCACATCCCTGCCATACAAACAAAGACATCCTGACTCGGATCTGGCGCCAACGAAACCACAATCTGCCGCTTCTCGCCGATCCTGCGACTCTCCAACGGCCCCTCGAGCTTCAAAATCTGCTCCCTCACCCACCGCCCTTTCTCCAACCACTTTTTGTCCACCCGCTCCTCCGACATGGTCACCAGCTGCATTCCCCAAAGCCCTTGCGTCACCAACGCATCGCGCCACAATCGCGTGCGCCAATCCTCCTCGGTGAGTTCATCCTCGATCTCTCCATCCTGCTCCTCCCCCGCGATCATCATCATCGCCCCGGCCCACATGCGCCTCCACCGCCGACACGTCAGGATATGATATAAAGAGGTTTGATCACCGGGCAGGGACTCCGCTACCTCCTCTGCATAGGGCCCGACATTCAATGGCGGCTCAAACCCCTGATAGCCCTTCTTACAGACCCAATCCGGCACGCAATATTTGATGTACTCGATGCGTGTCTCGATGGAATGTACCGGCATCGTCGCCGGGGGCCGTTGCCCACCAGCCGCCAAAAACGCCTCCATGCTGCCTCCGAACAGCTCCCCGTAGATGATAATTTGGAAGGCGGCGCGGTCGGCCTCGGTCTCGATTGTGTACGGCTCGCTCACCCCGCCGTCCCAGAAATTCTCCGTCTCATACCACTGCGCCCCGGCCATCTTGTCGATGCGGTCGGAGAGCGGGTTGAGGATGTCGAAGCGCGCGAGATGCAGCCGCCGGATGTCTGCCATCGTTAACCCCGCGTACGCCAGGCAGAAGTCGTACAGCCCCCAAATGCCGCCGCGCAGGGCTTCGTGGAGAAGGGCGGTGCGGTCGGCATCGCCTAGCGCCCAGTCGCTGGCTTGTCGGGCGGTGGCGGCGACGAGGAAGTGCGGGTGTGGGGAGAAGAAGGTCGGGGCCGAGGCGGCGGCCAGGCGGAGGATGGTGGCGGGAGAGGCAGTCGCGAAGTTGTCGCGCAGGAGACGGCACGAGGATGAGGCGCTGGTGAAGGTTTCAATGTTGTCGAGATAGGAGGGGAGGAGGGCGAGGACCTCATTGGGGAGGGAGTAGATGGACATGGTGGAGTGGGGAACGTAGAATAGCTGAGTGAGGGGTTTGTTTATTGTCGAAGTACCCCGCAGTAAGTGAGTGCTTTAAGTAGCAGCCGCTGTCGGAAGGTAGGGTGGATCGGGCTTAGCCTCTTCGAGCCCCCGAACAACACGCCACGGGATGGTTTCACTCATCCTCAGTGGTGGATGTCCAGACTGTCTGTGTTGTCACGTCGAAAGGTACCGTACCTTATTAGACACCCGGTGAGTACTAGGTACAGTTAACTTTCCAGTGGATGCTGAGAACCTTCACAACTGTCCATGAACCACTAATAAGATTGCTTGAAAACCCCGCAGGATGTAGCCTGGAGCACAGACACCACTGCTTGGTTCATCCGCTAGCCTCTGTTGGGCCTAGTCTGACACTTTCAGGTCTGCATAAATCTTCCCAGTGCAGTCGAATTACTGTATATCTACTAGTACCTAGGGGCCAGTGGGAGTAACGAGGCACAAGAAGAATCTTATGATCTATCGTTGTTCTACCTCCCAGTTCCTGCTGATTCACACGTTACCTCCAGTCCTAGGGCGAGGGCTGATACTGTAGATTCTTGAGTATTTGAGCCTCCGGTTTTTCATCCCCCCTCTTGTCATCTTCTCTGCTATCGTATATCAACCCCCCATTTTCAATCACCATTGTGAGTCACGCAGGTTTCAACCGTGTCGTGAATCAAAGCATCCAAACCATGCGTAGCCTCCTCAACACCCACGTACGCAGAAGATCGCCCCACAGCCTGACCCGACCATCGAGCAGGAAGATGCCTCTCCAGAAACTAAGATGATGTTCCTGCTCAACATCTGCATCCCGTGCCATTCTCAATCCCAGCATCCGCATTCGTTCTGAGCGAAATCACAGGAATCTGAGCCTTCCCTTTGACAGCTGCTCACATCAACCGCGTCTGCTCGGTATTCTACTTATCCATCCCAGCGTTCTTCTCACCCTCTCCACCAACCAAATTCCAGCGTCTGCTCCGCGAATCTCGAGGATTCACATTTGCGGCTGCTTCGAGGAACTTCTTGACAACGTGGAAGTGGTTATTGCGAACGGTTGGGCTTCTGCTCGAATTGTCCTGCGTGATGATGGAGGCTTCGGAGGGCGAGAGGATGTCCTGCAGTGTGGTAAATTGTTGGTCTTTGCGGCCCTGAAGAGGTGGGTGCGGCCTCAGATGGCTTGAGGGAGTGAATCTGTCCGGACGGCGGCTCGGGGGATTGACAGTAGAGGAGGTTGACCGACCCACGTAAAGGGGGGTGAGTTCAAGAGTCATGCTCCACTCAAAACTTGAGCAGAGGAACTTTCAGGCCATTGTGGCAAGCACCTATATGAAATCGTATCGACATGATTTAGTCGTTCATAAAAGGGGAGTGAGTCGTATCATTTCAGCTACCAGCGGCCCAATTGCCTCATCCGTCTGAGCTTTGTGAGCGACCACATTAAGGATACGGTTTGTCTTGCCCTTGGACCTTTCCATTTATTGCAAATGGTCTGCAACTAGCCATCGATTCGCTGCCGGGAAAAAACACGATTAAGCGTGAGATAGCCATTCGTCTTCATCTTCACCGGTGGAATGCAATCGAAAGCTGCCTCGTGTCTTCGTATCAACGTTCGATATTCTAGAGAAATCCATTCGCAGAGACTTGCTGGCTTTCAAGCGGACGGGAAAGACGGGCCCGTAGCACATGGCTCTTGTCCATATCCCACGAGCCGTATGGGCAGCCTGTCAATTTATGCCCAGACTGCAGCCTTTGAGTATGAAGTTCTAGCTGAATGGGAGACTTCTGCTCCATTTGGTGTGCCAAGCCATGTCACGGCGTATTCCAGATATTAATCAGAGAGTACTTCAACCTAGGGGTCTAGTGGTGAGAACCGCAGGACTGATTAGTCCGAACGTCCAGTATAACAATGAATTGTGTCGAACACAGAAAGGATGCCAGGTCGAGCCTTCCCCTCCAGTCTCGCTCAGCCTCTACCGACTACATTGATGGGTCGAAAGTTTTGATAATTCATTATGACGGTGGGCAGAGACATTAAATACAGTCAACACAACTAGACAAGGAGCAGCATCTTGTCGTTTGGCCTGGGTGAAAGACAGCACTGCCCAGGCACAGTAGATCAAATCGGAAGGACCTCGGTAAAGAATAGAACGCCATTGACGTAAGTGGAGTGGCTTGCATGACACTATAGGCTAGATAATCTCCGTCTCAATATACTCGATAAGTCTGGAGGCAAGTTCGACTTGGCGCACAAATGATGAGACCGTATAAGCACTGCTAGCTATGTGCTTAGTGAGCAGTAAGCACAAGATTACTTAGTTATTCGTCCTGCCCATACACTGTCTCTACAGCTTCGCGAAGTACAAGGCTGTCGCATGAAAGTATTGCCTCGCGACAAGTACGCGCACCACCTTATCGGACGGTCTAGCAGACCTCACAGTACCTACTTCAGGGAAATGCAAGGCACTCAAAGCTTCTGCGACCACACATCCATCATCAAGTTGTCGTCAGACCTACTTTCTTAGTGTCTCCGAAGTGAATGGTCCGCAACCCCTGGGTACGAATCGGCAAATACGGCTTGATGCAGCCAGAAAAGGAAATACCTCAGGAAGCTCAACCTTCCGCGTGTGAACCGCAATCCCCCCCTCTCTCCTCTCTCCCTTCTTTCTAAGTGATATCATCAGCAGCACAACTCTCTGATCCGAAAATTCCAAAACAGGGTCGTGGGCGTTTTGGTGGCTGAATACTTGCTTTGCCCCTTGCGCGCCAGCTTGGGATAATATATCCGCAACGCTCGCATCACCTTCCTCCTTTGCTTCGAGCCTTTCACCCGACCAGTCTTGCTGCCGGTCTCGCGGACCGATGGGGATGATCGACGTCAGGTGATTGATCCCCTCAGGGGTAGTTGATCCGAGCCGTTGGACGGGCACATGTGCGTCCGAGCGGTTTTGAGTTCTCCATACTGCGGAGGTCACCTCCGGATTTTTGAGTAATCTCTCGGACCAGCAACTGGTTCTCTCCGTGGTGGACGGAGCTGATGCGTAGTAGAGGGAAAGGAGGGGCAGAGGGGGTTTCGACGCGCTCCTTGCATTCCTTCTTGAAACACAGAGATAAGGGTACCGTTATCTACTGTAGCAGATGACGAGCTTCTGGGTGGGAGGTGATCAGACTAACAAGACCTGCTTGATGGACTTTTTTTTTCTTTTCCAATGATGTCAATTCCGAGCTCAAAGATCAGACCAACAGCATCTGTCGAACTCTCGATAATAGCCCTTTTCAGATGGTGACAGGAAGGGCAGGGCAGGCGGGCAGGCGGGCGCCAAGCCAGCCACCCGAAAATAAAGCTTGGCCCCACCCGGACCCTGAATGGATGGTCGGCCTGCGAATTTTTGGATGTTTCATGCAATATCAACGAAGATCATCCGAAAGTCAAGGTACAACGATTACGCGGCCAAGGGGCAGCTCCTTTGTTGACTTCCAGATCGAGCATGAGAATAATCCTGTGAATCATCGACAGAATTGCATTACAGATTTAGAGTCGATGAGCTGATAGCCCAGCTAAGAATTGTCTGGTCTCGCTAAGAGAGCTCGAAACTCTTAGCGGTCGCTTCGAGAAAATTACTGAAAACAGACTAGCGAACAGCCACAACCACAAGCAGACCTTCTCGGCAAAGGGGAAAACGCCTTGGAAGTTAGGGTTGCAAGCACGGGCCAGCGTCAGAATGCGATCCACCCGAGCCCTTGGGCCTGCACGTGGATCCCGCGGATTCCAACGGCTCCCTCAGGGCTGCCTTTCATCGGCTCCCACTGGTTCATTGTCGTGGCAATCTTGGTACCTGGTAAGCTGGTTCATGGCCCTGAATGCACACTGGCAGCTGTTGAGCCCTCCCAAATAGCAACAGTCTCATGATAACTGTCATTCCGGAGTTTTAGGCGGGATGATCATAGATAGAAGCTGTAGCTCGCTGCAGGACAAGCTTCATGCCGCCATTCAGACTGCCCCTCTCTCCCTTGTGCTCCTGCATGAATGTGTGGGGCTTTCTAGGGTTGCTAAGACATCTTCTGGGGTTTTTAAGACAGCCACCCTCAAAGGCAAAATGAGCTCATAGCACAACAAGGGAAAAGATCAAATGGCATAGCGAATGTGACTAGTCTCATCAAAGCAGCAAAAATTCTTGACTTTCCCCTTGGGGTTATCTCCACTATTTCTCATAGATCGAACAACCCATTGCCCTCGCACATGTCCAATGAAGTAACCGAACGGGTCTGCATGCATCTGGAATCAATCACGCAAATAGTCTTCCGACGATCATAGTTCGCTGAGGAAGGGGATCGCATAATTCAGTAGGCTGATAACCAAGCAGCCAGATTTCCACTACAATTTTGATACCCAGGCCGCGCGGCAGCCGACCGAGCTCAAGTCTGGATGGTCAGAAAGTCTATGGCGGCACATCGGTCGAGCGATACCCACTCTTTACTTAAGCTACTCAAGAATCAGAAATTTTTCTATCCTCTGTCTACTTGAGCTAGCGCATATATTCATTGCCTGTCAGGAGAGTAGCACCCTCTCCTTTTTTTTTCCCTCATTCTATACACACCATGGCCATCTTCGACCGTGTCTTTCGAAACCAGGGCCAAGAGGCCCCAGTCATTGACGAGGAGGCCAAGGGTCCTCACTTTACTGTATTCTCCAGCCCAGAATCTTCTCAGCCCAATAGCGAACCTTCGTCTGGCTTTACAACCCCGACAGAAGAAAAGAGCCTCGTTCCTTTGGGGAAATGCCCCGAGATCGGTCGGCTGGCCTCCTGGCGAGGCGCGTTGATCCTGCTGGTAACATCAGGCTCCCAGTTCCTCGACAATGTGTACATGACCAGCGCCAACGTCGCGCTATCCTCGATCCAAAAAGACTTTGATGTGACCAGCACGAACCTGCAATGGATGATCTCTGCATACACCTTAACGTTTGGCGGTTTCCTCCTTCTTGCGGGAGTCCTTTCCGATCGGTAAGTGTCTCTCCATGATATTAGGTCGGTTGAGCCCCCTTCATTGACTGTCGTCTAGGTACGGCCGAAAGAACCTTCTATGCATTGGCCTGTTCTGGTTGTCCATCTGGACCCTGGCGATTGGTTTTGGTCAGTCGTTCATCCAGCTTACCATCTTTCGAGGCCTGCAAGGTATCGGGGCGTCCATGACGGTTCCGTCCGCGATCGGGATCATCAGCGCCTACTTTACCGGGGTTGACCGGACTCGTGGCCTGGCCATCTACGCCTCGTCGGGAACGATAGGCTTCTGTGTCGGGCTGATCTTCGGAGGGTTCCTCACCTCGTCGCTTGGCTGGAGATACATCTACTACTTCATCGTGATCATCACGGGGTCTTTGTGTATTCTTGGGGCATTTGTTTTGCCCAAAGATATCATGCCGAAGGAGAAGCCGAAGATGGACTTCCTGGGTGCTTCCATGTCAACTGCTGGTCTGATCCTCCTGCAATTCGTGCTATCGAGCGGGGGACCCTACGGCTGGAGCCAACCATTCATCATCGTGCTGTTGATATTGGCGGTCGCGCTGCTGGTAGCCTTCACCTTGCTGCAGAAGTACATCTCTTATCCACTCATGCCTCTCTCGCTGTGGAGGATCCCCAATTTTGCGGGACTGTGGATCGCCGGTTTCAGTGCGTCTCCCACCTCCTCTTCCATTGTCCCCTCATCTACTAACAGCGCAACAGCGTGCTACGGCAGCTACCAGAACGTGATCTACTACATCGTCCTCATGGCACAAGAAGTTGACAAGCTCTCTGCCGGACAGACAGCACTACGCTTCTTACCCATGGGCGTGATTGGCTTCGTCGCCTCGATGGGTACCGGCAAGGCCTTGGAGTATGTGAACGGGAAATACACGCTCATCGCCGGGCTGGTCCTGACGGTGATTGCGCCCATCCCAAGCTCCATCACCGCCAGCCCTGAATCCAGCTTGTACGTTTCCTTCCCCACCCCCAACCGACCCAACTCATGGGCACAAGTACTTACTTTTGTATTCCAGCTGGCTCAATGTTTTCCCCACCTCTCTCATCAGCATCACCGCCGTCTCCCTCATCTTCGTCACGACCAGCACCTGCATCCTCACCACCGTCCCCATCAACGTCAAGTCCCTCTGCGGCGGCATGCTCAACACCGCCTTCCAGATTGGCTCCGGCGTCACCCTGGCCATCTCCGCCGCCGTGACCGAGGCGGTCGACATCGAGAAGGGCCACGATCTGGCTCAGCAGTACTCCACCGGCTTATGGTGTTCCGCCGGGCTGGCCGGGTTAGGTCTGATCGTGGCGTTCTTCTCCGTCCGGCGGAGGGGGATCGGCCCCGAGGACCGGGTGGACTCCGTCTGTGCTATCTGATTAGTTTTTTCTTCAGTTTCTGGGTTTGGGTTCAAGGTGGTGGGACTTCGCGTAAAAGTCTTCATCTTTATTTATTGAGTCATGACGGTTCTTTGCATGCGGGCTACTAACGCGGCGCGTTTGGTATTACGATAGACGGTATACCTTTATCTAGATGATGGCGGTTTCTGGTTCTTTTTTTTTTTGTATATATGTTGATAATAGTGTGATGATTGTGAATACTAGAAACTGAATGAAGATTGACAAATTCAATGAGCAGAAGATGGATCGAGTTCCTAGTCCTAATTCTCAGTGGAGCAAGCGCTGAAAAATCAGATTGACGGGTCCCACGGCGGGTCCCGCGGTGGAGCTTCAGATTCAAATCCAGATAAATAGTTCCCGAACCAGATTTTTCGCTCTCGGGATGTCTACTTTGGAGGTTTCGACTTTCGGGTGTTCTCTCCGGGTAGTAGGAATGGCAGGGTCAATCATAACCATCGAATGCTTGACGGTGCGGAGTATATATACGTCTGGAATAAAGATCAGATGCTACTGATGCTCATCCGACAATGCAATGCATGGTGCAAACTAAGCTTTCGAAGCTCAATCCAAGGTAGGCAGGAACAGTCCCATTGAGTCGGGTTACCGGATTGGGGAATCCCGGGACGGGTCCAGATCCCGCAGTCTCGACGCGCTGGTTCAATGGATCGGGCGAGGGGACGGAGGAGACCATGGATAGAGTAGAGCTATAGACTACTACCTAGTACCGTATCTCCAGGGACAATGATCGGCTAATGCTCACGTTGTGTAGCTATTTAGTCTCATTGGCGAAGGCGAATAGAAGCAGTTAGATGTTTGTTTGGTTCCGTAGGGATTGTACTCTAGCGTCTGCCATAGGTCGGTGAATGTGCGTGCTAACTATAGGAGCATCGTATACTCAGTGTTACCCTAACCCTACAGACCTAGCTACGGCAGATTTGCCAAGTAGCTCCCAGCTCCTTAGCAACCTCCCATCGAGATACCCCGCAATCCACTCGACAGAGCAACTCTCACCCACCAATCACCGATCAACACCCGAGCCTAGCATCGAGTACAGCACAACAGCCTGAACGCAAAACCCTAGCCCGCTAACCATCCACCCACAATCCGAGTTTCTCAAAATCAAACCATCTAGCCAGCCTTATCCATGACACTTGGGAGCTCGTATCCGCTCGGATCCAAGTTCGAGTAGTCAAAGTAAAACTGGTAAACTCCAGACACGTTCGTCTCCTTGAGGCGGAAGCTATCGGTGAGAATACCCGAATCCTCCTCCCACATCAGCCACGAGCCATAGAAGAGGAATCTGTCGGTCGCCGCGTCGGAGGGGGTCGTGTAGCCGTTGCCGGTGAAGCCGACCTCGGTGATCTCGTCTTCGGTCGGACGGATGTAGAAGAGCGTGTCGCTGTCGAGGGTAACGCCGGAGGTTGTGGCGGTGGTGACGAGTTCCGTGTCAGTAATTTCGACTGCGCGCGGGGGTAAGTGGGTTAGTTTGGGGAATTGAAGAGAACTTGGAGAGGCACGAGGGGGGAAGTACAGGTTACGTCGGTGGTGACGGAGCCGTAGGGCCAGGTGGTGGAGTCGCCGGCGTAGGCAAGGCCTGATTGTTCGTTAGTTTGGATCTCTTGGTGGGTAGGCTGGTGGCTTAGAGGAAGAATACCATCGGAGTAGAAAAGCTTCATGGCTGTGCTGGTGACGCCCCAGGCATACAGGCTGAAGGCGCCGGTGGGGTTGCGCTTCTCGAGGTTGGACTCGAGCTCAGCGGTAGGGATGGCCAAGGCAGCAGTGGCCAGGGCTATGGTAGAGGCAAGAGTGAACTTCATGGCGATGGTTGGGTTGTGGAAGGGTTATGCTGAAGATAGCATACGCTGTGGATGGAGGGAGAACGTTTTTATATGCGATTTCCCAGGGCTCGAAGTTAGCTGAAGCGACAGTCAGGCAGTCGCAAAGCTAGCAGGGGGATGTAGTCATCCCGAGCTAGCAAAGGATCATACTTTTGGTTTACTACTGATCCTTCGAGCTCGAGACCCATAAGCAGCAGGGTACAGGAGCTTGACGCCCCGCAGGCGAAGTCTATATTCCGGCTAAGGCCGCCGGAGTGCGGGCTGTGTCCACTGTCGTGACCTTATTTCGCTGAGGAATGTTGGGACTCGCTAGCAGGATGCAGAAGCCCAAATCCAGCCGTGAGAATAGCCCGATTCAGCCTGAGGACATACGTATGCCTCGTTGCGCCCAAGCTTTATCTGGGATAGTGCTATCGACGGCCGTGCTTGGCGGATGCTCCACTCGTAGTGCCTGCCACTGCCCCCATCACTTACTTCAAACTCAACGAGTTCGTCGCAAAGGCCTCGGCTTCGTTTATTTTCTCTGTTATGAAGGATAGAGCTAAGAGAAGTAAGTTGAATAGCTCAATCTGAGATCAACATTCGCACCATCAGCTGAGCCAGTCATACAGCAGTGCGGGGTGTTCGCACCATCAGCTGAGCCAGTCATACAGCAGTGAGGGGTGTATCAAGACCATGTAGAGTCGCAGCACAACCGCACGGTGCCCAAGGGATTTACACTACGATGATGCTAAAACCAACACAGCCTAGGGTGGAGTATGTGTCATGCTGAGGTGATCATTCTTCCGCTTTCAAAGCAATCCTGGGGTCCAGTCAAATCAATCACGTCTCCACAATCTACAGCAAGGGTCAGTATTGCATCTCAGAGCCGAAGAAATGATATGATCTAGACTCTGGAAGGGGCCAGACAAATTCGGCAGTGACCGACCGAGGATAGAGCGTGCTGACTCGTTTGTTGCATGAATCATGAGAGCTTGGTAGTGGGTAGTTGTACTATTGGTGACCCGCAAGGCTAGTGCAAGTACACCTATGGCATGAGGCTGTCCGAGGGATGCGTGAATCCGCTTGGATGGCGCGCTATCGCATGGCAATTCACTGATCCATGCAAGAGTATCTTTCAATGCCGCTCAGTAAGTTATTTCGACATCAACTAGAACCAGAGACATGGATTTGATGAACTGATAGACCATTCATAAATTATTCACCTGATTAGCTGAAATGATTCACGTCTGCACCTCGAAATCTGACCTGTACAACTGAGAGATCTGTCGAGTGATACATGAACCCATGCAACAAGCGGCTTACAGGCATTGATTCATGCATTCATAGTGTGAGACAAACATCGAACATCGCAGTCGACAAAGGAAGATTGCGATCTCATCTGCCACCAAACCATGACCTTATCGCCAGTACAGCTTGTGGGATTCATGCTCATTGTAACAGATAAAACTAATTCAACTGATAGTACATCAGCTGGCCTGCTGGCCCAATGGTAAGGCGCTTGACTACGAATCAAGAGATTGCAGGTTCGAGCCCTGCGTAGGTCAATCTTTTTGCCCTTTGTCCCTCCATCTCAGCATGCGGAGGGACTTATTCGTTTTGAGACGCTTAACCGTCGATATCATGACCTTTCGCCAGTAATGACAGTGTATTTGCTCGAAACTGATATGAGGTTGTTAGCTGCAGGTCGTCTGTATGTTGGCGGGTCCAAGACCGTGATTGGGGGTTCGAGCTTCTTAGGAAATAAAATATGATGGGCGGGGATTCAGCTGCTAGGCTTACAAGGTGGTGCATCTTTACAAAACGGCGTGGATTGTCGCTTCTAAGGCTTTATGTGTTCTCAAAGCGATCCAGTTACATATTATGTGTGTGTAGAGTCAATTGCCATGGTGCCCAAATCGGTGCTTGTTGCCAAGCGGCCGGAGACTATATATACTTCTGGTTTTACGGTAGTGGGACGATAAAACAATCTGACCACGACAATTTCGAACAGAGCCAGGGAAAGACAAAGTATGATCCATGCTAAGCGACCGGGGTTCTCTCTCTTATAGCCAGAGACAAGAAGAACCTAGTTCCAGCTTGATGTTCAAAGCAGCAAGCATCATAGTACCAATGCACTACCCGCGAATCGAGCTGTTAATCCCTGCGACCACGGGTTAGCAGCCCAATAGCCCCTGAAAGTCAATTCATAAAAAGTAAAAGGCTATGAGCATGGACTAGGCCAAACCAGTGAGACCAGGTCCCTGGACGCGATTGGTGTTGCAATTATGACGATAAACCGACTCTAGAAGGGTAAGAGAGACGGTAAAAGCTTTTTGGGACTCCCGCAAAAAGTAATGACAAGAGTGGGATTCGAACCCACGCCACTTGCGTGACTAGGAATACTGCTCAATGAGCGTATGTGTGATCAGGTACCTGACCCTAGCGCCTTAGACCGCTCGGCCATCTTGCCGTTGTTGAATAACATGCTCTAACTAATCAATATATGACGCTCTTTACTGGAGGTAACAGCTCTGCAGACTAATTGCGCCTATACTATGTATGCATCATCATTCCAGGTATCCCCAAATGGTCCAGAGATAATGTCTCCTGGACACCTCCTTTTTATCATCACAATTGAATACACGACCAAGTTCATAGCTAGGAAGCCATAGAGTGCAGTATACACTCGTCGTTGGGTCGGGCACAATGCTGCCTTGTCGCTGTCTTTACCACTGGAACAGTGGGAACAACTTCAGTGAATTGGAAAGATGAATTCACAAAGATAGTCTTCACTGTTCACCTATCCTCATATCACAGAGAGTGAAAGGTGTCACAAATGAACATCAAGCACATCGCCTGGCCGAAAGTATCCTGTGACAATCTCCATCAATACTCAAGCGCTTAACTGTAAATGCCCGTCCAGTTGGAAATAACCAGGATGATTCCAACATCTCTTGATATTAACCACCGCCAAATACCCCAGAGGCCTTTGAAAAACATAACATCTGAAATATAAATACCCTGTTATATTTATCCAATCAAGACTACCACCACCATCCACATTGACCGTACCCAAGCACAGTTAAATCGAAACCCGTCTAGAAACAGCGCAAACCCACGAAAACCCCATCTGTTCATGATGTGCTACCAGGCCTATCGCCGTCGCGGAGGCTGCTACCACTGCTACCGCATCGGATGGCTGCCCTGTGAAAGAGCCAAGGCCAGGGAAAACAGAGCGCTGTGCCGCCCGTCCAGTGGCCAGCTCAAGGACCTGCCAGTATATCTCATCCCGCAAATCAATTACGATGCGCCGACTGTCTGCGAGATGTGCCTGGCTCAGGTCCGTCGTGGTCATCTCACCATGGAGCAGGTGCTCACAGTTTCGATCGACTCGAACCAAGACCTAGATGTCGAACAGCTCAACAACCTCCGCCTGCAAGATGACCCTGAGGTCCAATCACTCCTGCATGAGCATGAGGGAGGATTCCATGGGGAATGAAGGTTAGTGCTATCAGCTTAGAAACCCTTCGTGTACTGATGCGCTGGTGCTGATAGGCTGTTACCGGGGTGTGATGGGTGTTGTTTAGGCACTTACTATTTTACTTGTCTCTCAGTCTTGAACTGAGTTTCACAATGTTCTCTTTCAATCTAGTAAGGTACGACATCAACCGGAATCATTTTCTATATCGCCGAATCACTTTTGTAAGATACCAATTGATGAGATACTGAATACCATATATGGAAAAGGAAAAGACACATTGATTGGCCCCGCTCCCCAAATCTATTTTTCCGGCCTCCAAGTTTCGCTGAACTAGTCTCTTTCATGGCACCAATCTATGCACCAAGATCAGTTTGTGACACGTTACTGAGCAGCCAAGCAGGATTGATGACTACCAACGATAATCGTAGAACTAGGTAAACGGAATTCACGGACGAACAAGCCGCCCCTGCGCCAAAGCCAGCCGATCACGATGCCACTATACAACCAATTAGCAGAAGCAACACGATGACATCTGAAAAGGGGAACAGAGCTTACCTGACCACAAGAGATCGGTTCATACAGCGGCGGATGCTCGTCGTCTACACAAGACGGCACAACCCGACACACCGACTCGGGATTGAAGCCGAGGAAGAACGGCATCGAGTATCGCGACGTGGTCTGCCGATTATAGACTCTGTGCACGGTCGATCGGAAGCGATTGTTGGACAGCCGCTGCAGAAAATCGCCAATGTTGACCACCAGGGTGCCGGGGACCGGTCGCGCGTCCAGCCACTCATCGTTGGCGGACAGGACCTGTAAGCCCCCGGAGTTGTCCTGCCAAAGCAGGGTGACGCATTGGATGTCGGTGTGCGAGCCGATCCCTACATCCAACTCCGCGTCGCTGAGACTCGGGGCGTCCGGCGTGCCGGGGTAATGCACGTACAGACCATCGGCGCCGGGGTGCGTGACCAGCTCGTCAAAGTAGTCCTCCGGGAGGTGGAGGGCGAGCGCGAAGATGCGGATCATCTTGCGAGCGAGGGCGAGCCGGGCCTGATAGAAGGCGGTGGTGGTCTCGCGGAAGCCCGGGAGATGGGCGGTGCCGTCCCAAAGCGCATTGTCCTGGTCCTCGGCGGGGAGGGTTGCGGGGTGGACCTGTGGGTCGCGATGCGGGTTGTACCGTAGTGAAAAGGTCTCCTTGCGGTCTGTGGTGTGGATCAGCGATCCCTGACTTGCTAGTTCGGTGGGAACAAAAATGATTGACCGACCTTTAGTCTCGGTTTTGTTGATCTGAGTGCTTCCAACACCATGGAACCCATCCATTTGTTTCATCTTGGAGGAGGCGATTTTTTGTTTCTCTGCTTCCGACTGGTTGAAAAATGCCTGTGCCTGAGCAAAAGCCGCCTGGATGAGATCCTCTGGAATGCCGTGATTCTTGACGTAGAAAAAGCCCGTGTTCTCTGCAGCAGCACGAACACGAGCAGCAATCTGCTTGCGTTCCTGGAGATCGTTGTCAATCGGGCTGAGATCGATGATTGGGATCTCATCTTCCGTGGGCAGACGAGGAGGGGCCGTCGATACGCGACGGTACTCCGGTCCATTCAATGTCAGCAGCTCGACATGGGTGTATTGGACGTCCGTCGTCATTCTGAAGTCAAAGTGAATTGCACTACGGACCTGCCTCGGTCTAGCCGGTCGGTGAATGTGAGGTGAAAGGCTTGGAACTTGCCACGCTGAAAGCGAGCTGCATGCATGTGCTGGTGGTATTTGTTGCCGTCTAAAGAGGCGCGGGGAACCCCGCCCCGCCAAGCAACCACCACTCCGCAGGGCGCGATATCGCCTAATCGATGATTCTCTGCCTTCCAAGAGCGCCAATGTGCCTTGGCTGCTGATAAGCCGAATGCGCCGATACAGCCGATAAGACGCCCTAGCCAAGTTGAAGCGGTCGCGTGCGCCACTTATCAACGTTAGATTGACCAGAGGAGGAGGAGGCAGGGGTGTCATCCCCAGTCTCTTATCTACCGTCGTATCACCATCCCTGCGAGACCCCTTGGCAGTGCGGCTATTTAACCCTCTCACTACGCCGCGCAAGAAATTGGTTGGTATCGTTGACAAGATGTCGCCGCTACTCTCGACCCTGCACAGGCGACTGCTGGTCAAGAGTGTCGATCAAGATGGCAACGAGCGACCTGTAGAGACTCTCGACAATGACTCCATCCGACCCACTCGCGCGAAAGATCGGACATGGACGCAGTTCACCTACGTGATGTTCTGGTTCTCGGCCGTGGCCAACGTCAGCAACCTCTACGCCGCCTCCACGGGTATGACCATGGGATTGACCATGTGGGAGAGCATCGCGTGTACCTTCGGCGGGCAGTTCATGGCAGGATGTCTCATGGCGATCAACGGGCGTGCAGGGGCCATGTATCGCATCCCGTATCCAGTGCTCTGCCGCTCGAGCTTCGGGGTCTGGGGTGCGCTGTGGCCGACCCTCAATCGCGCGGTCATGTCTATTGTGTGGAACGGGGTTAACATGACCCAGGGCGCGCAGTGTCTATAGTGAGTGTGTCGATGTGAGGTGGAGTGATCGTGGCTGATTCAGGCAGTGTGTTCCTCCATGCTATCTTCCCCTCAATCGCGCATATTCCGGACAAGATGGGACCAAAGTCGGCTCTGACATCGGCGCAAATGATCTGCTTTGTGGTCTATTGGTAGGTTCTTGGGGGGGGGGGGGGGGGTCCGGATGAACTCTTGACTAACAGGGGATCGGCTAATCAACTGCGCTTTTCTTGTCGTCCCGGTGCCGAAAATGAAAAAGCTCGTCTATATCAAAGTGGTTGTCTACTACGCCGGGGCCTTGGCCATGCTGGCATGGGTTGTGGCACTCGCAGGGGGATCGCCAGCCGCTCTGCGGGCGTCCTCGTCTGTGCGCGGAGCGGAGAAGAGCTGGCTGATCTGCAAATTCCTGTGGTTGGGCCTCGCCAGCTGCGGCACCTTTATTTCGAATGCAGCGGACCTGCAGCGATATGCGCGCCGGCCCAGCGACGTGCTTGTGGGACAGATCATCAGCTTCCCGTTGTCTGGGCTTTTGGTTGCGGTGCTGGGCAATGTGATTGCCGGGTCGAGTGAGAGCATATTCGGAGAGGTGCCTCTTTTTCTCCCAGGCTAGTGAAGGTGTATGTATATGTTGCTGATTGTTTATACTTAGCTCATCTGGAACCCTCTCAATTTCCTCGACAAGTTGATGGATGGCGACCGTTACACCCATGGCAACCGCACCGCCTGCGCCTTTATATCCCTTGCCTTCATCTACTCTACTGTTTTCTCCGCCATCTTCGAGAACTCCATCCCGTATGCTCCCAGTTCAGCCCCAAACTTTCCTCCATAGGGGTTAAAGCAAACTAACAACCTGCAGAGCAGGCAACGATATCGCCGCCCTTTGCCCCCGCTACATAACCGTCAAACGGGGCTTCTTCATCTGCGCCAGTAAGCCCCCCGCCCCCCACAAAACATACCAAACTACTTAAGTAACCACATCCACAATTGAAAGTCCTCTCATTCGCAATCTGCCCATGGTACCTCCTAGCGACCGCCTCTATCTTCATAACCTTCCTCTCTTCCTACCAAATCTTCCTCTCCGCCATCGCGGGGATCCTGATCTGCGACTACTACCTAATCCGGCGAGGCCACCTACACATCCCGGAACTCTACACCGCGGATCCCGCCGGCATCTACTACTACCTCTATGGGATTAACCTCCGCGGTTTCGGGGCGTACGTGATCGCCATCGCGCCGAATTTTTATGGGTTCCTGTCGCAGATGGGGGTGTCTGCGCCGCTGGGGATCCAGCGGTTCTATTTCGTCGCGTATCCCGTGGGGTTGCTGATTGCGTTTGCGGTGTTTGCGGGGATGTGTTGGATTTGGTGGCCCAGAGGGGCGGAGAGGGTGGGCCTTGGGGCTGGGTGGAAGGAGCCTGAGGATTATTGGGATGAGTTTGATGAGGCTGTCACTGGTGGGACTGGGGAGGGGGTTGTGGTGGATGCGGAGGTGGTGGGGTTGGGGGCTAAGGGGGTCGGCTTGGGGGCGAAGGCGGATACGATCGGGGAGAAGGTTTAGGTCTCAGCTCTTTGTGCCGGGCGATTAGGTTGAGAGGGCGTTTGTTTGAGAGACAGGGTGATGATACCTAGCGAATGGATTGCTTTAATGTTCTGAAGCTGCTCGTGATGGTGTGGTGGATGCATGGTAGGGTAGACTGTCGCGAAACATCGATTTGTAGAGTGTTGAATCGAAGATTAATTACTGGTAGCAGTAGTCAGGGAGTAGGTACAGTAGTTTGCGCTCATCTGAGTTACTGTGCATTCAAACGCAGCTGCATGGCATATTCGCCTGCGTACAATGTCCCTGATGTCCACGCATAGTAGGCGAATGCGGTGAGAATTATAGCCCGCAGGCCCCAATCAACAGACCAAGCCTAGGATCTCAACGAGCACAAGTCCTCGACATATACCACCAAACAGCAAGAATCCTGTTCTCGACAACTTCAACACAGGAACACCCCGCTAACACCAGAAAGGAATCACCACGTCTCGCAATACGGTCTCAAATCCAGCTCATGCGTAAAAGAAGACCTAGGCTGACTATGCAGGAACCAATACGCCTCCGCGATCTACGCACGATTAGCACACGTCCAATCATCACAAACAACAATCAACCACAAACACCCACCCAGTCGGGATCGATCTTCGCGTCCGGCTTGTCCGCCAAGTACTCCTTGGTCTGCTCCGTGGCGATGATCCCGTCGATAATGGCGTGGGCGACATGGACCCCCTTGGGGCCGAACTCGCGCGCCAGCGATTGCGCTAGAGCCCGGACAGCGAACTTGCTCATCGCGAAGGAGCCAAGCCCGGAACCTCCCTTTAAGGAAGCCGTTGCGCCTGCGGGCCGAGACGGTCAGCTTGGGTCAGCTTGGCAGTTCAGCACCCCAGAGTTTGCAATATTCTCTACGGGCGTCGGAAGAAAAAAAAGACCTCTATGTGGCTCAATGCAACCGACCGGAGGTTTACGTATGTATATGTTGCTAGAACTCACCCGTAAACACAAGCGTAGGCGGCAGCTGCCCCTGCGGGCCTTCCTCCACCGCACGCAGCAAGAACGGAAGCACGGCTTTGGAGAAATTCGAAGCGCCGCGCGCGGTCGCCTCCAGACTGGCCAGAAACTCCTCGCCGGAGTCCAAGAAGGCGGAGCGGGAGAATTTGCTGGCGACGTTGAAGACCGCCGCGGCGACGGTGAAATGGTCGCGTCCGTACTGGCGCTCGAGCTGCTGCATCGTCGACTCCATCGCCCCGGGCTGGGTCACGTCGGCGGGGATGCCAATGGCGGTGCCGCCGGCTTGGGTGATCTGCTCGACGAGAGGGTCGAGGCTGGAGGCGCGGCGGGCGAGGAGGACGACAGGGTAGGTCTGGGCGAAGCGGCGGGCGATGGAGGCGCCGGTGCCGGGGCCTGCGCCGGCGATAATGGCGATGGATTTGGTGAGTTTGGAAGCCATGTTGGTGGTGTGATTGGTGTGATTGGTGGTAAGTTTGGAGTATGGAATGAAGGAAGAAAGGAAGGGTTTCGGCCCCCTTGGAAGGATTGTTGAGTTGTTGAGCGTAAGCTGCTGTTATACTAGGGAGGTTTCAGGCTAAAGGATCGGACCCAGAGTAAGCATCATTCATGACGTATCCGGTTAGTTGCGCTGATCGGGGGGTCTGACTAACCAATCACCCCGTCGGGCGGGGATTCTGCAGGAGCTGGATTGCATGAGGCTGCAAGGCTGAGAACACGAGCTGACTCAGAATCTAGCCCGCAAAATGACATCTACACTTATCACATCAGGCTACACTGATGCTCTAAAGAAAGTATAAAAAGTATAGCCTTCCGTCTGGCTCAACGAAGAGAAATCAGAATCAACAAGACCATCAACCAGCCACAATCTCCTAGATCAATTCTTCCTTCCCCGTTGCTTACCAGTTCACTAAGTCTCATCATGTCCCAAATCATCACCGTCTTCGGAGCCACAGGCAACCAAGGTGGCTCGGTCGTCAAGTCCATCCTGGCCGACCCCGTGCTGTCGAAGGAGTGGAAGATCCGCGGAGTCACTCGCGACACCAGCAAGCCCGCTGCCCAGGCCCTCGCTGCCCAGGGCGTCGAACTCGTCACGGTTGAGTCTCTCCATCCCATCCCCAGCGCAGAACAACCACTGATTCCATTCGGCAGGCCGACATGTCCTCCACCGAGGCAGCACTCCCCGCAGTCACTGGCGCCCACACCGTCTTCCTGGTGACCGACTACTGGGAGACAATGAGCCGGGAAACCGAAGTGTCCCAGGGAAAGGCGGTGGCCGACGCATGCAAGGCTGCTAACGTGAAGCACCTCATCTTCTCCTCACTGCGCGATGTCACGGAGATCAGCAACGGCAGGCTGCCCAATGTCAGCCACTTCGATGGCAAGGCCGAGATCGAGCAGTACATCCGGGACAGCGGCATCGCCGCCACCTTTGTGCTCGCGGGGCTGTACATGAGCAACTTCTTCGAGATGCTGAACAAGCAAGGCGATAACTATGTTTTGGCTTGGCCTGTGGATATGGAGAAAGCGCAGGTGCCGCTGTTTGATCCCGCTGAGGATACCGGTAAGATCCTATTTACTTATCTACCCTTTTTTTTTTTTTAATTTCTTTCTTTGTTTTTTTTCCGGTGCTTCCGGTGTTGTCAAAGAAAGGGCCCCGTTCTAATGGATTGGCTGCAGGCAAGTTCGTGAAAGCGGCGATCAAGCACTTCCCATCGTCCGTCAACCAACGCATTTTGGCTGCCGACGACTACTATTCTCCTGGCAGAATCGTGAAGGAGTTTGAGGAGGTGACGGGCCACAAGGCCCAGACGGCGACTATCCCCGGAGATGTGTTCAAGTCGTTCCTCGCGGCCCCTATGGCACAGGAGATTCTGGAGAATGTTCTCCTGTTGGAGGACCCGGGTTACTATGCGGGCGAGTCTCTGGCTCCTTCGCGGGCGCTGCTCGATGAGAGTGACAAGCCCACCTCATGGAAGGAGTTCGTGGCACGTCACAAGGAGAAGTGGTAGAGGTATGCACATACGAGATTGGAGGAATTTGTATGTTATGGTTTGGCCTGGAGTATACGTCATTTGCACAAACCTTATGTTGCTATTGAATACCATATGAATACGATTTTTTGCTGAGTTGTCGCACTACTATGAAGATAACTGCAAGGTTAATATCCTGATCCCGAATGACTTAGGGTAGATGATAGTACAACTCAGGGTAGGCGATATTAGCCTTACATGGGTTTATGTGAGATTTATCTGTCAATAGTAATCGATTATTTCTCTAAACTAAATACCGTCTTGGAACCCACACATTTATCAATGTTGAAGCTTAAAACTTCTGAAGCCGTAGAGGTAGTATCACAATGGGCCTACAATACGAGCCAACGCAGATACAATTTCTATAAGCATATTAAAACTTCACAATCTAACATGTCAACTTCACTTCTACAGAGTCCCACAAAATAAGAGGGTTTGATAGTCAAATTGTAGCGATTGTTATTCAGAAATACTGCTCTTAGCATATAAAATCAGAGGGATGCGATATGCACCCGATTTACTGCGACGGTTCGGCATTGTCCCTCAACGCCTCTCGTTGGACTCGATCTGAATGTGTGATCCATTCATGCCAGTCGGGCTCGCCGATGTTCGAGTTCAGCCCTTTTTCCAGCATCTCCGCTCCCTCCAAGGCCGCTGTGAAGACGAGTGCAGTCGCCTGCATCTGTTCCCTGAGCGCACGGAGAATATCGGGATCATCGTAAGCTGCAACTAACAGCAACGCCTGCGACGTGAACAGAGAGTGGATCCCCTGCTCAATATGTGCGGTGGCAAACCGAAGATTGCCTAGGGGATTGAGACCCGGTTTGTGATCCAGCGCCAACCCCTGGGTGGATGCGGTAATAGCGTCAACACTCTCCAGCACCTTCTCCGTCGCTGCCGCCGCATGCTGCAAGTCCTCCAGCGTCTTCTCCATTGCCGCCGCAAGCCGCAAGCCCCGTTCGAGAACCGACTTAGTCGTCTGGAACTCCTCCGCGAGCTCTCTTGTCTTCTGCTCGTCACTCAACGGTTTGGCCCCGAGAATCATCAGGCACTGTTCCACATACATTTCTTCCCACATCTTCTTGAGAAGTGTGGTCATCTTGGTGATGTGATCCAGGCTGGTGAGATTTCTATTTTCCATGTCTGTGGTTTTGAGGTTATGCGGAACGGTGGACGCTTTCTGGGTTGGTATGATAGCAGGATTAACTCCGTGCAGTCGATAGCAGCGCAAGTTGAGCTTGAAGGCAGTGGGTGGCAGTAGATGGGTGGGGTGAGTGAATCCTTTAAATAGACGAGAATGACACCTATGATTCCCGTTCGAGATAACCGTGGACAATGGATTGGGTACTCTTGAAGGCTCGATAAGGAATACAAGACATTGTGACATTTAATTTCTTTATTTCACTTGGCTTTCACTCTGGCGTCAATCTTGTCATAGACTGGGAACTTTTATCTTGACTCGATGTTTTCACCAGCTTGAACGAGTCTTTCAATCTGCAATAGACTGGTATTTTGTTGATCTTGTCATTGTGTGAGTATTCTTGGGAAAAGCCATGTAGGGAGTAATATCGGGCGGCACCCCGGCTTTGTACTTTGAACAAGATAAGACGTCTCATCGTGATGGGGTAGACAATCCAAGCATAGACTGGTATCATATTGACCGTGTTCTTGTCTACGGGTTCTTTGTGAGAGCAATATCTGGAAATACCTCAGCTTTGTGCTGTAAACCAGATAAGACGTTCTCCATAGTGACCTGGGAGGCAACTAGAAGCTCTATTATTTCTCAAGTAACAAGATACCTGAGCGAATCAAGAAATCAGCTAATAAACATGACTTGCTATGATTGAAGGAATGCGCATCATTTTATCATTCCCTGTTACGTCGACAAGTCGAGGTTTAAATGCCTATCAAATAGTAAGGCTGTTCACCATCTGTCTACAAGAAGAAAACAGGCATAACGCCTAGGCCACGCATTGGCAATAAGTTGTTCATAATCTTCTTACGTATATGAGAAACAAAACCCCAGTCCGGTTTTTGTTCCATTGAAATTCTCATACGCTATAACTACATAAAAGCAACAGATGACATTCTGTATCAACTTCAGAGATCCACGGAATATGTCGAGAAACAGCTTTTCTTGTAACTGAAATAATAGTGCTGGTATTGAGAAAATTCCACATAATACCGGCCATCTATTTCCTCCCTTGGTTTTTATCTCACCCAAAAATAAGAGTAGAAGCATACAGTGTTACATCGAGACTCTCTGTTAGACTCTAAATTCTGACAAATGTAACAGGGAATATGATATACTGACTAACGCGCTATGAACTCCCGTGATTGGCCATTACTGTGTAGCAGAGAAGGTAGAAAGAAGCCTACATGGATATATAAAATCAGATTGTTTTTTCTTTTTCTGTATTGGATATATTTGATTATCATGTGTCTATATCGACGTTGAGAGGCATCAAGATAAGACAACCTAGAAAAGGCCTTATAAGCCAGCGTGCTATCGAATGCATACTGGCCTGGATCCCAGGGCCTCCTAAGCCGCAACCGCGGCCGCGGCCAAGCCCACAACCATCACCCTCTCCTTCCTCAGCTACTCGGACGGTGGTGACGAGCCCGGTGAGTGAAGTCCTCTTCGACCAGCTCCGGTGTGCGTCAAGGAAAAGTCTCCTTAGGCCGACTCCGGTGTATTGTCTCTGCCGCTAATAAGCACGTCCTCAATAACCGCGAGACTCTGCAAGCCGTCCTGAAGGACTGTTTTAAGTTTCTCCACCTCGTTCTGAAACTCGAGCATGTCCATGTGGTCCCTGGTCTGCGCGTGGTGCAGCGCCTGCTTCAGGAGGCTGTACATCAGGTCCTTTAAGGCTCGCTTCTGCATTTCAGCAAGAGAGTCGGCGGAGTCCATTTCTTGCATTTTGAAAGTCAAACGGTATTGGTTTAGTGCAGGATTGATGGTAGCAGTTTTAGAGAGAGTGTAGTCTGCAGTGTGGTTGTGGTTGTAGGTGTTGAACCGTCGAGACGGGCGGCTTTGAAAGGGTTTATATAGACGAGATTGAACTGTCAGTGACCAAGAAGAATACAACAACAATTGCATGATCATTGAATGCAGACTCAAAAGACAAAGCATCATAGAATCCTTTGTTATTTGTGGACACAATCCAGCAGCACCATCATCATACTTTGGGAACTTGTCGCATATACACAAAACAAAGTAAGTCCTTGTAGCTTGGTCTTTGAGTAGCGCTCGGTGTCGCTTTTTTCAGCACAGTCCCGGCCATTCAATGCGAATAGTATCGAAGACAAATCTATCACATACAACCACAGGGAAGGTAGGGCTTTCCGTCTGCTCAGCTTTACTCAAGCCGCGCACCATGTGAGGGATGAAAAAGAGATGAATCCAATCATTCAACTAAAGAAAAATCTCAGCTGAGAATAGAAGAAAAGAAGATAATTCGAAAGAGTTCTAAGTTTATCCTCCCACTGTGTCATACTCCGCAGACCTAGATCTTATACTGTGGCTGGCTGAAGCTTTGCTGATCAAAATTGTGAATCTCAGCAGTGTCTTGTGCGGAGCTACACTGCATAATCTCACGATAAAGTGTTCTCATTACTAACCCCACAAACGGTCACAAACTGTTCCAAGGACTATTCTCACGAAATTGTGATAATCTATCATATATACTCTGACCACCAATTGGTAAGACGCTGAGCTATATGTATCTCTCGAGATTTGAATCAAAACTAATCTCTTGTATACAGTTTAGTACTTTACTTATGTTTACATAAAGTCTTGTACAGATAATGATATCTAGAAGAATTTATATTGAGCCCACCTTCGGCTTACTGTAGATCAACTAGAGCAGCAAGTCGGAAGAAAATAGCATTGAAAAATTATCGGGACAACCCCATTGGCGCACGGCCTCGGCAGAAGTCCATCACTTCAGTACTAATGAGATAGTCTTCGGTAGCACTATGACGCTTTTGCTGCAGCATCAGTCAACGTCCTCTCGAGTCTCAGGAGTGATTCCTTTTGCTCCAGGACCAGTACCTCGACTCTCAAAACCTTCTCCATGACGTCTCGGAGCTTATCGCGGGCCTGCTGGATGCCCTGCAGGGGCGTGTCCTCGCTGGCAAAAGTCGAGCCGACTCCGTTTAAGGCTTGAAATACCATCTGGAGGACCTCGTTGGCGCCATCCAATGCCGAGGCCATGTTATCAGCCGAAAGGTCAACCAACGCCCTCTCAAGTTCCTGGACCGTCTCCTTTCGTTCCAGGACCCGTTTCTCGAAATTCGAAACCTGCTCCGAGGCGACCCGGATAATATCGCGGGCCTGCCGGAAGCCCTGCGAGCCGGACCCGTTCGAAACGGCCTTGTCGGCGGCGACCAATGCCGCTCGTATGTTATTGAAGAACAGGTGTAATGAAGGCATTTTGCCAGCGGGATTGCAGCGGGGGGTTCAAGAGTCGGACTTGAGTCTCGGTTTGCTGGTTCTGTAGGGCAGGGTGTGCTGTGTTGTTGTAGGTGATGGTCATAATCTTGATGCAGGGTTATATAGAATGGGATGTGATACTTGTCTTGTGTTGGAGCTCAAAGCGAATCGTGGCGGAGATAAATACAATATTATCAACTTCTTTGTATAGAATAAGAATCTTTCCACCAAATCACTCCAGCAGACTATCTTTGAAGCCCGAAGATCGCGGATCTATCCTTACTAAACTTCATTGGCTCAGGAAATGTTACGACAAGGGCATGCCTGGATATCTCTATGGTTCTTTGAAAAGAGAAGAAGAGTGAATAAGGAAACTGGAGGTTACCACTTAGAGGGAAACAGATAATGACATTTGAGGCCGACAAGAGTGCCGCATCCTGCGATGCTGATTCCCACAGTGCGTCTAATAGACTGCGGTCAAGCCTTAGTATCAATTGTTTTGTGTCTGGAGCTGTAAAGACCCTTCTATGTAGCTTATGAACTAATGAACTTCAATGGAAGGGCGATCGCCGTGGTCGAGTACTCCTGTTGGCATTAAGTCTGCGTATAATTTCCCGATCAGCCGTATTCTCTCTACTGTGTACAGATGAGGACGCCTAGGAGGCATTCCGTGTGCTTCACTACATGCAAAATGCTTTCGAAAGAAGCAAGAAAGCAAGCACGAAACAAAATTGTCGTTTAGCTGGAAAGAGAAAACATGATGCAGAACCAGAACGTTTTTGGCTTGACAGTCCGGCTTTGAGACCCTAGGCTCTCGGCGAACGGGCAAAAAGGAGAGATCAGATCGTGTTTTCCTGCGCTTCCTTCAGTGACTTCAGAACTAGTATCAATTGCTTTGCTTGAAAAAGCGTCAATGCTCAGTAACCAGACAGCCGGGTGTTTAGAAGTCTAGGTAAGCGAAACATGAAACAGATCAGTTATCACTTGCATCAATAGATAACGGAATCCCAGAAGGCATCAGTTTTCGCACCACGTTATGCGCCTCTTACCTCGATTCTCCATATGGTAACATTCACTTCTTATCTTTATGTCCCCCTTGGTCTACGTGATAAAGGCAACACCATACGGAAAAGGTGAGTATAAATCAGTCATTTTAATATTTTGACTGGCGTTAAGATAGGAAAGTTGACAAATCCAGACGTTCTAAACATAGAAAAGACCTCAAACACGAGCGTCGGTGAAGAGTCAGGTTTCCCTGTTAGAGAAAGAGCTCTTGCTTCCTAGATCCAGGCATCAAGTCAGTGCGCGCTGATCTGCGGGTAAGGGACAGGTCGACTCATCAGTCTTCTTCCTCCTCATCTCCGGAGTAGTTCAACAGAATGGCTTCATCATTCTCCCCCTCAGGGAGCGGCTCATTCTTTGCTTCAACCGGAGCCAACACCTCGGTCATCTTTCCCATCTAAGACTCGAGCTCTCGAATTTGCCGCTGGAGCATTTTCTGACGGTCCTTTATCTCCCGATTTCGCTCTTGAGCATACATGCTATGAAAAGACAACAGTAGGATACCCATGCTATGAGTAAGGTGAGTGAGGAAACCCAGAAGGTTCATTTTTGCGGTTCTAGCAAGGAATGAATCTTGTAGGATGATGAGAGAGTAAATGATGTGTGATGAAAAGCAGTGATGAGGATCGCGTCGGAAGAACTGCGCGTTGAGGTAGTGGAGACTAGATACCAGATTGCAGATATGGACCCGCTTTAATAGTATCACTGGCATACGGTAAACGAATCTGTGTACAGTAAGCGGCTTTAAGACATACAAAGGATAAATCAATAACCAAGCTTACAAAGTCGAGCATTGAGTGTTTTCTTTCAGAGGAGTATCCGAGCGTTCCTTGTTCTATTGCCTTTGTTTGATCCACACATATTATGTCCTGAGGACGCCAATTTCAACAGTGACATTGTTATGCTCGTCATTTGTTCCAATCTTTGACAATGCCATTGTCTGTTGCCTACAACGAAGGCGCAATCTTGCTGGGCAGCTTTATGTGATCGCAAAATTAGATAGAATCTACAGTCCACGATGCCAATGCCATTGCTTCAATCCAATTCGATTCAAGTTTCCTCTTAACCTCGGCGGGCCCCGGGGGCCCCTGTGAGCCCGCCTATTGCGGCTAGCTATGAAGGTGCTTCCTGAAAGCCCAAGGACTTGCCACCCCATATCCTGATGGCAATGTTTCGAAAACTGGTCCAGATATCCTGCACCTTGTGCTTCACCCTACAAGTCATGGGGATAGGAGACACAACCCAGACCTTCGGGCCCCTTCGTGTTTCCGCGCTGAACGAACCCCACGCCCACCTCCGCCGCAAGGGCTGCAACGCAGTCGTCTACGCCGACGCCGACCCCGAGTATACGTCAGTATTGGCCAGTGTCGCCACGAAATTGGGATCACTTTACGCCGAATTGATGGAAGTTTCACTATATATACAGCTCACTAAAGCATACTGGTACATACGACCATAGGGTGTGGAAAATAGGGCTTCCCGTCCGCTCAGCCGTACTCAAGCCACACGCCGGGAGGTTAGTAGTTGGGTGGGTGACCACCAGCGAATCCCTTCTGTTGTATGTTTTTTCCCTTTTCACCATCTCTTTTACCCATTGGCATTGGCCCCCCCGGCCAGCCTCGCGCAGCCTGCACAGCATAGGGGAAGCCCGGGGGACCAAATTGGACGAGGACATCCTTTCTCGCTCGGGTCAGTCCTCTCCGACGGCGAGGACTTCCTTAATGCTGTGTAAGAACCCTGTAACTTCGCAGGCGACACTGTGATTGTCGTGGTGCAGGGGTTTGCAGGGGTTCGTCGACAACGCTACTGAGCAGGGACTCAACGGGCTTTACTCACCGGTCGGCCTTGCCAAGGGCCTCATGCACGAGCTTGTGCTGGATGTTCTCCACGCCCTGCCCAAGGTTAAGGAGACTGTTGCTCATGTACCGCAAATCTTTAACGAGGAGGGCTCCGATCCCGCTGCGAAGATACAGTGTCGAGCACTACAGCCATGATGAGGTGCTGGCTTCCCCCGAGGTGGTCGCTCTACTGTGCAAGTTGAAGGGTTATGCGGCTGAGATTCAAGGTCATTTTACCAAGAAGTTGCTGGTGCAGTCATACTCTCTCGGCAATTTCCAGATGGAGGTTCGCGAGTCTAAGGGTGGCGAGGCGGCTGTGTCTGAACTTAATTTGAGGTTGCAGGATGCCATTCCTCGCTTTGGACAGCTTGGTTCCTCCAGGACAAGCAAGCTTGAATAGTTTATGGGGATAGATGGGTTCAGGTTCGGAGCTGGAAGTGGTATGTGTGGGGGAGTTGCGGTAAGTCCAGGCAACAGTGTGTTAAGGGTTAGCTCTGGTTGTGCTTAATGATATGTTATTCGGATTGAGATTCTTACGGCGGCAGTTATGGCATTGACGTAGGACCTAGCCTTCCGAAAATTGCACCCTGCAAGCTCTAACCAGAGGCTCACCCAGGTTGCCCTTGACTACTACGCTCAATGGCTGGTTCGCTCGTGCGGCACCTACAGCCTCGAGGTCTGGTCCAAATTGTGAAAGCGCCACGGCTCGCCTGTCTTCCGCCACTACCACGCCATGCCTACCTGCTGCCAGAGATGCTGAAAGTATTGCACCAGCACGACGCACAGACGCTCTTCCAGCCAGACTTCTTTGAGAACCGTCGCTCGGCCGCGCTTAACGCGACATTTCGGGTGGTGCAGCCGGTCGCGCAGTATGAGGGAGCGGCGGTCGAGCTTGGGTATGCGGTGGGAACGCGGGGTAACGGGGTGGACTTGCCGAGTTGGCCCGTGGATCTGAGGACGGAGACTGTGCGGTGAGGGGAACGCTGAATACAGTACAATGCACGATATGAAGAGATCTTATGCATTGGAAGAAGGAGGCGTCCTTATGCTGCTTGATGTGCGGAGGGGAATTCTTGGCCTGATGTCTTGTGATGCTTTGGGATAGGGTTCCCGGGGGGAGGGGGGGGGAGGTGGGAGCAATGCTAATGCCTCAGGCGTCACTCTGAGTCAATCATAACCTGAATAAGCCCCACACTACCTGAATCAGAGAGCTCTGGACTGATAAAAAGGGCTTCCACTCATACAGCAGTGTGGTTGTTACAGCTAAAGTAATTTCTGCTGGGCTAGGTGAATCAATGAACTGGTGTCAGTTCACGCAAGGGTTGTGCCACAACCGCTCTTGCCACGTGTGATCGGATATTGTGCCGAGTTCGTGTCTTCACAATCAGCCAGACTCATAATTCGTATTGTGTCAGTGACTGGCAAGGAACAACCTCAACACGAGAGTGCCAGACCCTGGATGAAGGTGGGGCATTAAGCAGATTGGTCAACAGCATTGCCGAGGTGGGTCACTGATTCAGTGAGCTCAGAGCGCGCTGTCCCATACGCTGGCAAGGAATCACTGAATCAGCGTTTCTCCCCGGCGTTTGCCCGCAAATGAGATTCACCCCCCCGAGAAACTGGACTCGTGATTCCTATCCGCGCTCGCCATGGATTGCTTCAAGAGTCTTCTTCTTCAGCTACTTCACCAATCACATCTCTCAACAACGTGTGCTGCATCTTGGACAGAACATTTTGTGCACATGTACAACCGTTATACAGCCGATATCGCCGGCTTTCCCGGTTTATGCACCATTTTATGCTGCCACCGGCCTCTCCAGCCCAACCTACGAGTCAACTGTCTGATTTATAATTGCAGTTATCGCCTAGCTTTGATCATCCTCATTCTCTACTCTTTCGCGCACTAAACTTTCTTCTAGTACATACTTAATGCTCTAATATTTCACTCTACTTCGCCTCGCCCATCCGCTCGTTCAACTCTTCTACCAGTGTCCGGCGATCGCCCTATTTTTATATTCTAATTTTTCAAACGATTCATTTTCCCATTGGCGAAACGGCTCACAGCGCAGACAATGGAGGATGTGGAGAGCCAACGGCGCTACTCGGAGAAATCCGCATACTCTGGCATATCCGACGACCAGCCCTCCCAAACAGAAGACAGCGCTGCCCCGGCCGCCGCGACACTATCACGCCCCCTGTTCCCTGAAACCGATCTCAGCCAAGGCATAGTGGGTTGGGATGGGCAAGATGACCCTAACAATCCCCAGAACTTTGCCAATGGGCGCAAATGGGGCTTGCTCGCTCTAATCAGCTCTATCACCTTCATCTCGCCGCTTGCCTCGAGTATGTTCTCGCCGGCGGTGAGTTACGTTGGGGACGACTTCGGCGTGTCCAACGAATACCTCCTATCATTCAGTGTTACCATTTTTCTGCTGGGATATACAGTACGTTCGACTTGGCTCCCTTACAGCGCGTTGCTAACCCCGATCAATAGTTCGGACCCCTCTTCCTCGCCCCGCTGAGTGAGATCTACGGGCGGCGCATCGTGCTCAGCTGTGCCAACTGGTTCTTCGTTGTCTGGCAGATCGGCTGTGCGCTGGCGCCCAACATCTCCGCGCTGATCGTCTTCCGTCTCTTCGCCGGCATGGGGGGTGTCGGCAGTCTGACGCTCGGCGCCGGTGTCATCGCCGACCTTTTCCCCACCGAACAACGCGGCATGGCCACCTCGATCTGGGCTCTCGGCCCGCTCATCGGTCCCGTCGCGGGACCCATCGCCGGTGGCTTCATTGGCGAAACCATCGGCTGGCGCTGGGTGTTTTGGATACTGCTGATTGCCAGTGGCGTCATCTCCATGGGTATCGAGGTCCTCAACCGGGAGACCTACGCCCCCGTCCTGATCCGATGGAAGACTGAGCGGCTCGCCAAAGAACTCAACCGGACCGACCTGCGCAGCGCCTATGATAAAACCACCGGCCAGCAGCGCCCCAGCGTCGCCGAAGCCCTAAAACTCGGCCTCAGCCGACCCATCATCCTCCTCTTTAAATCCCCCATCGTGCTGATGCTCTCCATCTACATGGCTTTCGTCTACGGCCTCCTCTACCTCTTCTTCACCACGATCTCGACCGTCTTCCAAGAAGACTACGGCTGGTCCACGGGCATCTCAGGTCTCGCCTACCTGGGCATTGGAATCGGCTTCCTGACCGGCCTCACCCTGATCGCCTTCAGCAGCGACCGTATCGTCGCCAAACTCACGGCGCGCAACGCCGGCAAATTCGAGCCCGAGATGCGTCTGGTCACGATGATCTTCTTCAGCTGTATTCTTCCGATCAGCTTCTTCTGGTACGGCTGGTCCGCCAAGTACAAGACCCATTGGATCGTCCCCATCATCGGCATGGCCCCCTTCGGCATCGGCATGATGGGCATCTACATGCCCATCCAGACTTATGTGATCGACTGCTACCCCGCCTACGCCGCCTCGGCCAATGCCGCCCTCACCGCCACGAGATCGCTGGTCGGGGCGCTGCTGCCGCTGGCGGGCCCGGCCATGTTCGATGCGCTGGGGCTGGGGTGGGGGAACTCGTTGCTTGGGTTTATCGCGTTGGCGTTTGTGCCGGTGCCGATTCTGTTTAATCGGTATGGGAAGGGGATTCGGGAGAAGTTTCCGGTGGACTTGGAGGGGAAGAAGGGGAAGTAGTCTGAGCGTTCGCTATCTCGTTGGCGTTCAGGTACGAGTGATATTGTGGGGGGGTTTGTATAGAAATTCTAGACTTGTCTATAAAAAGTTTTCTTTGTGTCAGCGGGCTTGTCCTATTCGGAAATTTTTTTCTCTTTGCAGAGTAATTCCAGGAACATCGGATCGCCGTGCTGCATGTAAGCGGCGCGAAGCCTATCACAAAAGATAGACAACGCGCGACAGCAGGTCCACGAACCTAGAGACCGGCTTTTCTATGCCTTCGAATGCCCTCGGCTTCTGGTCGTGGTGTAATTGGTCGTTACTTGACGGACACTATGTAGAATGATAAGCTTTGAGAGATCAACTCTGCGAATGAGGCTTAACAATCCTAATATAAAACACTAATTAATGGTATTCTCGAAGAAGAAACTTTAAAGTGTAACATCACAAGTCTCTAAACACTCTGGATATCGCATTGAAAAAGGGAGAGATCGAGATGAATCTCTAATTAGAAGCTTAAAGAAAGAAGGAGAACAGTGAGGTAGAGAGACTTAGAAAGTGCTACTATACTTAGGGAATAACCCTCGGGAGGGGGAAGAGATGAGGGAGGTAGAGGAAAGAGGAGATCCCGGGAAGGAATCAGTTATTAGAGTCTAGGGGCAATCGCCGCTGCGGTAAAAAGATATTGGCAGAAGAATTTTGGTCCATATTGCCGAGTGCCTGGCGTGCTATAAACTGGCGCACCTGAATCTCTTCATTATGATTGGCTAAAGCTCTTACATCGTCGTTGTTTGTCCAGCCGCGCCCGTACAACACACCAAAAAGCGGGGTACGGCCTTGAAAAACGCGGGCTGGATCACAGCGTCCAGCTGCCTTCGAGCAGGAAGGTAATCCTTAACAGCCTTCCGATAGTATCACCCATATTGACCTTGCCGCTTCGCCAAGGACGAAAGTCGAAATCAAATGCTATGTCTGACTTCCGAATGTGCGAAGCGTTCCTCCAAGAAACTATGGCGGTCCAAAGTGAAACCAAGGCTTGAGAAGACAAGTTCTTCGAAGAAGGACAATACAAAATTATATCCAGCATTTAGTGCGTAAATAGAAAGAGAAAAATGAGTCTACCGTCCAAGCAGACGATCTCTGGGTCAATGCGGAGCGAAGATTTGAACCAGAATCCCCAGACAAGCAAAGTCCTAGCATATTCAAAATTGATTCTCGAGTCTGAATACGGACTCCAACTTCGACTCGGTCAACCTGACTATCACAAGCAATCCTGCAACTTTCTTGAAGTCCAAACGGTTGAGGTAGAGCAGAATAGGTGGATATGCCACCTCTGGGATCATGACATCGCTGTTCGAGACCAACTCAGCAAAGTAGTAAGGAGTATCCTGGTTGTCAAGGAGGTCGTCAGTACGGCTGCACGTGCAAGTTTGCCTGCTTCGATTGCCTGTGCTGGCATAATGGCGTGCTTTACAGTAAGTATATGTTTGAAGTTCGTACTAAACCGCTCTACTGTTGTGCAAATTTAACTTCTCTTAGATGATTGTCCGAGCCGTACAGCGGCATGCTACTCTTCTTCAAGGACCAGAATTAGTTTCGTAGTCATTGACTGCACTCGAATGGATGAAAGATGTTTATCTGCACTCCCACAAAAGTCCGAACACCGAAAGCTCTGGTAATCTCCATGGATATTCGAAATCTTTCAGCTCTATGATCCTAGAGTTTCAGGCTCGAGCACTCTGTCCTTTCCACCAAAGTTCGACCTCTCAGGTATTAGGCGACTTTTGACCGCAAGGTGAACCAGCCTGTACAAGGCTATGGAGGATGAAGCAACTTGGATCATACAGACCGCTCTCCTTATCGAAAATGTAAATGCAAGACAGAGACACGAGGTGCTTTTAGATGAAGTCGAGAAAATTCAGCACAGTATACACGAACACAACCTACGAGCAGCAACATCGGTTCGAGACATGAAGATCAAAACGTTTCTTCAAATACTCTACACTTGTCCCGACAAGGATAGAGAAGACATAAACAACAGACGAGTTCCTGGAACATACGAGTGGTTCACAGCCATCCTACGTCCCAGGCCTGGAGGGAGAGTTCAGACCCTGACAACGCTGGTCTACTATGGGTCTCAGCCGATGCAGGTTGTCGCTAGTCAGTCGTGACTAGATACCTTATGGATGATCTTCTTGTGAGTGAAAATAGGCGTAATGTCTGCTATTTCTTCAAGGATAGTTTCCCGGACCAGAGAAGTGTATCCAGCGCACTGGCAGCTATCTTACGCCAAGTTTCATTGCACAGCTCGAGCTCTTCAAAGATCACATCCTGGACAAGCTGGAGACTGATGGAGAGAAGTGTGTTACAAGTGTATATAATGAGACTTTGAGATCATTTCGAGTATTATAGCATTGCTTTCTACCGTCAGCTTTTGACATATCGAGCGTTGCCTATATTACCATTGCAGAAATTAGATGCTATTGGGCGTGGAGAGGCACCCACCGGTGAGACGCTGAGCTGCTATTCGACATGATTTACTATGTTCTGGATGAACAAAATTCTAGCCTGTATCTATCTAGATTATAAGGGCTTGACCTTCTTGATCGCCACCATTATCATACAGCAAGCTTAACGAAACACATAGCCCATGAATCTTTCACCCCATGAACCAAGGACTGCAAGCCTTATCTACCCCAGCTCATGTATCCCTCTAAGGTGATAGTTGTCTGACGATACAATCCATCTACCAACCCGACTTCGTTCACCTAACACACCAACCATTATTGGATTACTCTTTCGACCCCATCTCGCCACCAAGGCGACAACCTCTGTGTTCCCTAAGAAATCCATGATCTATCGGGCCAGATATGGAGAAATCTCGACGTGTCTCTGAAATATTGTTGCGGACCGTGGCCCGTTCCTAGAATTGAATCATGAAGTGCTATGTAAAGTGGATAGGATGATAAGCACGGTGGGTCAGGTCTTTCCTGGTCCACTAACGAGCGGCTAGCTCCACCACAGTGGCCTGGCTGAGTAAGGCTATCTCCGAGGTCGATTCATGATGCGCCGAGCCTACCCCTTCATAAATCAGAGTACGGCGTTGGCAACGGTAGCATTCGTAACAAAAAGACGCAGCACTGTCCTGCTATACTAAGCGTCTGCTCATCCTACCATGGATCATATTCATTGTGGACGGCTATAGTCGGCGCAGAACATGCTATCTTGGAAAAGCCCGACTACATCCTCGGACCTGGGGTCTTCATCAGGGCGTTAGACTGTACCATACGCCAACTACGTCATCTTCTCAGGAACTAGAGTAAGCGACTGCTGCAGATTGCCTGACATTTCGAACAGTTTCTAAGCTATGTTGGTCTCAGTGCGACTAGATCGTAATCGGACAGGGGTACGACTAAGCGAGTTAGTATGAAAATCTAATATAAGTTACGTCTTACGCAATACTTTTAGATTAATTAGCTGTGCAGGTACATTGCTGTCGTTCTATGCTTATCGACCTTGAAGAATGGACAAGATTTAATCCCTATGCGAGTTTGTTTTCAACCCCACTGCTAGAGGAAATCGACACCCTACCATCGACTGTACAGTATAAACCAGAAGTGCGTCTGTTCGAACATGGCCTGAATTCCCACACTCATCTAGATGGAAACGAAGTAGAACAAACATGACACCAGCTACTCCAACGACCCCTCGCCTGAGTTCAATCCAAAAAGTGCAATTGAGTTATATTAAGTTCGGACCTCGGAAATCAGCGCTGATAAGGATGGCGACATGACAACGATCGTCTCTTGGCGAGAGAATCTCTGCAGACGTGAGGAGAAGTGGATGAGGGGAAGTGCGGGCGGGCGGCAAGGATGGCGGAGATCCCGTCGGTCGTCCGGCCGCGGCGCTTGGCTGGCGTGTGTCGAGGAGCCGATTTCGGCTTGCCACTTTCCTGTCTTCATCATAGCTGGACTTATGCTGTTAAGGAGAATGTACAATAGATTGTGTTTACTCAATATGCACCACTCCTAGAGACGGCTCATTAGTCCAATAGTGAAGGGCCCCCTCACACCTTAGTGAGAACTGCCCTAGCAGGATCATGCGCCTTCCATCGGAGGCCCGCCCTGAGCACCGGCGGCAGGAAATATTTCTGCAGGTGCGGGCAGAATGAGGGGTGCATAACCTAATTGTCAATATGATTGTCCGCTGAAGACCGGTTTGTGAGCAACGGCGATTGGCCTGGGGGGCACGGGATCCTACCTTGTGGCCGCCATGGGATTTCCCCATCAATCACAGCACAATCTGGTGCACTTCTCATGCACGCCGGACGCTAATTTCCAACGCAGTGTGAAGACCCTGTCTTATCATGAGGCCGCGGTTGCAGAAGTCAGGATTAATCAGGGCATGAGCCTTCCTGTTGCAGACTAGCGCGACTAGACATTATCGGCTGCGCGGCAGGGCAAAGCGGAGTCCCTCGACTGAAGACAACTGATGGGCGTGTCTGAAGAGTTTGGATCTTCTTTCAGGTACACCTTACAAAAACATACATTGTGGATAGACGATCATGTCTCACATCTTTTGCTTGAATTTGCTGATCAGTTTGGACCCTGAAATAGCTTAAACAACTCCTCCAGTGACTGAAGCTTTCGCCGAGGATGCCAATGTCTGCTGTCACCACCGCCAAGCATACATAGGCTTAGCGGGAGGAGTGATTGAGTCCTCATCACCCGTTGCTTAAGCGTCTTGGCTCGTCAGCCACTATCTGCTTCAATCTCAAAACTTGCCTCCTGATAGGAACGTGCGCCATTTTGCAGCCAGTATGGCCTTATCACCTGCAAATTGAACCCGCGGCAAGATACGTCGGACTCCTGTTCTAGATCCTCTTGTCTAGCCATCATGAGACCGAACAGGGGAAGAGAGAAGGGTATAAAGATGGCCTGGCATCCCGTCGAGCTCATCTCTTCTCCATCAGCAAGCATCCTCCGTCTTCAAGGCTCAATCTCGCTGACTCCCGCTCTTCTCTTGATCTCATCGTCGTTCCCGACCATTCAACCAGCAAAATGAAGACCTCTACTCTCTTGACTGCTGGCCTCCTGGCCACCGCCGCCGTCGCTGCTCCCCTCACCGAGAAGCGCGCCGCGGCCAAGGCTGCCCGCCTCGCCAGACGCGGCGAGAACCGCAAGAGCAACCCCCCTCTCAAGCCCGGCACCAACGAGGCCATCAACCTGACCGGCGCCAAGGACACCGAATACTCGTCCAACTGGGCTGGTGCCGTCCTCGTCGGTACCGGCTACACGGCCGTGACCGCCGAGTTTACCGTCCCTACTCCCTCCGTGCCCTCCGGTGGCTCCAGCCGCGAGCAGTACTGTGCCTCCGCCTGGGTTGGTATTGACGGTGACACCTGCGACACCGCCATCCTGCAGACCGGTGTCGACTTCTGTATCGAGGGCAGCACCGTCAGCTACGACGCCTGGTACGAGTGGTACCCCGACTACGCCTACGACTTCAGCGGCATCAGCATCTCCGCCGGCGATGTCATCAAGGTTACTGTCGATGCCACCAGCAAGACCGCCGGTACCGCCACCGTCGAGAACGTCACTAAGGGTACCACCGTCACCCACACCTTCAGTGGTGGTGTTGATGGCGACCTCTGCGAGTATGCCTTTCCCTCTGCCTTTCACTCTCTGTCTGTTTGTATGGTGTGCTCTGACTAATATTTCTCTGATAGGTACAACGCCGAGTGGATCGTTGAGGACTTCGAGGAGGACGACTCCCTCGTCCCCTTCGCCGACTTCGGCACCGTCACCTTCTCCTCTGCCTCCGCCACCAAGAGCGGCAGCAGCGTCGGCCCCTCCGGCGCCACCATCATCGACATTGAGCAGAACAACGAGGTCCTCACCTCTGTCTCGACCTCCAGCAGCGAGGTTGTTGTCACCTACGTCTAAGCGGAACAGGCGGATGCACGGCCAACGGGACCGTCTGGGCGACCTAGCGCGCTGGATTCCCCGGCTTCGATGGATGAGACCTTTGAAGATGAAGATGCGAATGAGCAAATATTGTCATGTCTTGAGATTATGCTTTGTTGATATGTTGGGGGCTTGCCTCTAAAACTGAGCTTGAAGTTGAATTTTATGCTGCTTGATTGAGCTTTATCGGAGAGTAAAATAGCGTAGTCGAGTATGCTCTGAAGTATGGAATTCGACTTCAGCCGCGCAGTTGTAGTACTCCCCAAGGCAGTAAATCCCTTGCCTTTCTTCGGCTTTTGAGTGCCCTCCACAACACAAGGTAGTGAGAAAGAGCTATCAATATCTTTTGTTGATCAATTAGGACAGAGAAAGCTTGAAGTCTGATGCTCCGCTGCTAAACCGCACATTTGCTCTCTGAAGTAGTCCATATCTGAAGTAGTCCATAATAACGGGTTGCCTATCGGAGTGTAGTGACCATTGGGACCGGATTCAGCGAGGAGATCATGGCGATAAGCTTGTTATCTATTGCGTGACTAGTGTTCGTAAATTGACAATCAACCTCCGGCCCCTGTTTGAGGATATACCGACGCAATTATATATCGTCACTATCATCTCAACTAGGCTTTCGCACTGCTAGAAACACATACCATCATATCTAAGATGGATGCTCCAGACCTTATATACTCCCACGCAAAGCTGATAACTGAGCATAAAGGCTGACTCTTGTGAATGGCAAATGATATTCCGGAAATTATGCCAGCATATTATTGGCAGGCCGGATAGCATACCCGTGATGACACAGTCTAGACGGTCCAGGGAGGACCATCTCCACTGCTCATTACCCACAGAGGTCCCCCTCAACAAGCATTGTGTCCCGGCGAGATGAAGCCACCAAACCAGGATCAAGCTTTACGCCGAACAAGAAGGTACCTCGTGAATCGGCACGCTGCAAGTTCATTGATCCAATCCATTCCATGACGCAACATAAACTCAAAGCAAGCGCGATGCCAGACACGATCGATGACGATGCTCCTATTCCCTTCCTCTCCTTTCCTGTCTCCTTCTACCTTCCTATGCAAGGGGTTCAAGACTTAGGGCCCGGTTCTCACCGCTCCAAGCCCCAGGTCTTCCCCGCGCCACTGCGAGATTGCCTGCTTCTTCTTAAAATCTGTAGATAGTGTGAGTTGCGGCGTTGTGAAGCCAGCCCACAACCTTCTTGAAACGAGGTTGTAGTCACACTCTGAAAAAGTAAATTCCCAGGTACACACATCCAACAAACACTTGATCAGGAAACAGGTCTTTTAACACGAACAAATGACCAACCGAGAGATTTCTGCCGCGGAGGTCGAAGCTCACAACCGGGAGGACGATGTATGGATCGTTGTCAATGGAAAGGTATATGAGGTGACGGAATTTGCCCCGAGGCATCCCGGGGGTGCTGAAGGTATGCGTGCTACAAAGTTCTATCAAACCAAACAACACGCAAAGCATGGACTCACTCCGGGAGGATAACAGTGATCTACCGATTTGCCGGCCGCGATGCCTCCAACGCGTACAACACTATACACTCTCCGGCACTGATCGCAACGGACTTGAGCCATTCCTGCCAGGGTGAATTAAATACATCAACAGTCCCTGAAAATTGGAGAAAAACTGAGACGGAAAAGGGGTCGAGGCAGACGGACAGCGATTCCTGGCGATCTTCGGTGGAGACCTACAGGAAGCCCTCGCTTCAGGAGCTATTGAGTCTGCACGATTTTGAGACAATCGCCCAGAGGCTCCTGAGCCCCAAAGCCTGGGCGTACAACAGCGGCGCGGCCAACGACAACCTCACGCGTGATGCGAACCAGACAATGCTACGGCGCATCTTGCTACGACCCGCGGTGATGCGGGACGTGTCCACAGTGACTATGCGCCGCACGCTGCTGGGCTGTTCATTCGAACTTCCTGTCTACATCGCCCCTGTCGGAGCGGCCAAGACCGTCTGTCCCGAGGGCGAGCTGCCGCTGGCGCACGCGGCCAACCCCGCCGGGATTGTGCAGTGCATCGCCACTACTGCCTCCTTCACTCTCCCGGAGATCTTGGATGCTACGCCTGCCCACGCCTTTCTGCAGCTGTATATCAACCGTGACCGCGCCAAGACAGAGACTCAGGTCCGTCAGGCGACGGCATCGGGGAAAGTCAAGGCCTTTCTCATCACCGCCGATCTGCCGGTAATGTCCAAACGCGAGGCCGACGAGCGGCTTCCGTCGGAGGGAGACCAGGGGACTATCGTGAACGTCAGTCGCGAGCAGGCCGCTCCAGAAACCAGTAATCAGCAGTCAAGCAACGCACCGGGCAAGCAGAACGCGGGACTGGCCAAGTCGACCAGCTCATTCATCGATCCCACCCTGAATTGGCAGGATATTGCCTGGCTCCGCGCGATCACCCATCTTCCGCTGCTGATCAAAGGGATCCAGCGGGCGGAAGACGCGCGGCTGGCAATGCAGTTCGGTCTGGATGGGATCGTCGTCAGCAATCACGGCGGTCGGGCTGCGGACACGGCGCCCCCGTCTATACTTACGCTGCTGGAGCTCCGCCGCGACTGCCCGGAGGTGTTCGAGCAGATGACCGTGCTTGTTGACGGGGGCTTCCGGCGCGGGTCGGACGTCCTCAAAGCGATTTGTTTGGGAGCTTCGGCCGTGGGACTTGGGCGGCCGTTCGCCTATGCTTTGACCTACGGCGAGGAGGGAGTGATGCATGCGATAGCAGGTAAGTAGTTTCGATAACCATTATACTTTGGTTATGCCGTTCATCAGCTTAACGTCGTGCTGATTCCTCCACGAATAGTAATGAAACAGGAGTTGGCGACGGCTATGCAGTTGGTAGGATTGACGGATTTGCGAGACGCCAACCCTGGGTACATCAATACTGCCGATCTGCAGAGGCTCCTGCCCGTGGACGACTTGCCGCCACTGATCGGGAAAAAAAGGCTTATGGGAAAGTTGTAGACTATAGTCGTCATGAAGGGTGGTTGTAGATAATTCTAATGATCCTCTGACGATCTAGATGGAATATACCTGGGCACACAACTGGGATGTAATGGGTTCTTTCCTGTCTATATGAGTACACCAACGCAGCGGCATCAGCCCTATCACAACTTGAAGTTGAGAATGTTAATCATGCATTTTATACAAAGACCTGGCCTTCAAGGAGCCCCCCTTTTTGTCTCTGTCGATTTTTCATTTTCTTTCCTACTCCTTGGTTGATATTCCTTTCATTATGCCCGCGCAAAATGTCCTCGGCCATTGAGGCTCTGAAGAGCCCCCCGAGCCTCGCCTCGGAATCAGCTGCATGTTAGATCGAAGGATACTCTAGGAGGAAGTGTGGCAATCGAAGGTACATGTACATTACACGTCAAAAGCATCTGCACTGTACCGTGGCGAATAAGATGTAACCACCGTTCCGACAAAGCAGCGACATACCAGGTACTAGGTCAAACAGCGTTCTTCTTTAAAACTGTATTCGACACATCACCATTTACACAGAATCTCTGTCATTTCCATGTCATTTTGAGTCGATGCGACCGTGATAAGCCATTGCAAGGCCCGATGTTGTCAGTGGAACAATCAGACACCGCCGAGCGAATCGACTTTATTGCTGCAGAAGCATCTGCCTTGGAAGAAGCACCAGTGTGTATTGAGAGAAATTCGGCCTATGTTATTCACCAGGTGCATGTACCCGTGGATAAATTCGGGCAGTGCAAGCAGTGCAGGGGATCTCTTTTCATCTGTACTGTGGCTGCTCCCAACCACCAAAATCCCCAAGGGTCGCTGACTATCATCAGGTTAGGATGAACTTACCGCGACAGCGAACGGGGTCCTCGTCAACGGCATCGAAAGAAGGAAAAAATAAAACAAAGTGGATTTATTCTTTTGTTGGTTTTGGTATCTGGTCGCGATACCACGCCTAGCTGAGCAACACCTGATCGCTCTCAAACCACAACTCAAAGTGCCATCGTCATCTAAGACACGCACAGACCTTGATTGAGCTTGTTATTGAGCCCTTGTCAGCTGCTTAGGAACAGCTATTGCCCATGCGTCATCCCTCTATTTCTCCCACGGGGCGATGCTCCTGCTTCCGGACGGCGATTCGGCAGGATCTGACAGGTACGGTAACTACATGTAGAGATAACAGCTCTGGTGGGGTGGCAAGCTGTCCGTAACCGCCGACAAAGCCATTTCCCTCGTATTCATTTATTTCCGTTGTCGATCGAGGGTCGTTGCCCATAGTTATCTTGAGGAAGGATCTTTGGCCCGGGAGACAAGGGGCCAGTAGTGAGACAATCCTGCCGCCACTGCCATGGCACTGCCCGCCCTAGCCCTGGCCAGAAAGAGACTGTCATCGACGGCTCTGCGGTCCCAGCACGCCAAGTGAATCCATGGCTGGCTAGCCTAACGCTAAGCAGTGCAAACCACGAGGCTGAATCCCAGGGATGACCCTGTCCCCATAAGTAGCCTGCGGGATACCGGACCCGTCGTAAAAACCCTGCAGACTTCACCCCGTTTGTGTGTAAACCCGCGACATCTTTTCCCTCCGGTAGTTGTTGACACTTCGCGTATGCTGTCTTACCCTCGCCGATGCTTTCGTGCAAGACACGATGAGCGTAGGCAGCAGTCCGGCACACGTGGCTATAAAGACGCCGCGGCCGCCATCCGCTTGGCGCAAGCAATCTCGCTACTTGAGCATTCCCGATGATACCCACCCTCCAAAGACACGATGGAGGGAGATATTCTCCCCGCAAAAATTATTCGGAGAGGCTGAAGAAGGGGGTGAATGGATCAAAGGCGCGCTAATTTGCACCTGGATCACGAGCACGATCCTGGCCATCAATGTGATCACGACGATCGTTGCAACCGTTATTGCCTATCATCGCCTGGGGAAGACGAACCGCGGCCAGTTTCAAATGGTGGAGTTGTATAGCGGACAATGCTCGCGCTCGAGCCATTGGGCGACGGGGTTGCATCTGGTCATCAACGCGTTGAGCACCATTCTTCTCGCGGCCAGCAACTACGTGATGCAGTGCTTGGGCGCACCCTCCCGGACGGACATCGACCGGGCCCATGCGAGATCGCGCTGGCTCGACGTTGGCACGTCCAGCTTGCGCAATTTCGTGGTTATGGACGGTCGACGCAAGATTCTGTGGGTCCTGCTTCTGATTAGCTCGACGCCGATCCACATGATTTACAACTCGGCTATCTTCTCCTCGATATCAACTCTCGAATATGGTATGCTCATGATTCCAGACGACCTGTCCCCCACCGAGGCATTGATCAGCAACGACACCACAAGTCGCGAGAACTTCCTGTCTAAAGTGGGATACGGGGAAGATATTCTTCGCACGCAAATCTTCAACGGAAGCTTCGTCAATGCGACGATTGCCGACTGCGTCAAGAAGTACAATGTTGAGTTCAATACACAGTACGGTACACTTCTCTTGGTTGCAGACCGAAAGTACTTTCACAACACCAGCAGTCTTCAGAGAGGAGGTTTCTATAAATCAGCCTCGATCTACGACTACCTGCAGGATGAGGGCGAGGCCACGCCGATCCGGGCGGGGAATCTGACGCTGCTCAGCGAGCACTGGAGTTACCGCATCTGGAATTACTCCGTGCCGGATCCCGTGCATGGGGGGGTTTCGTTTATCAATTTTGTTGACTCGAGTTCCGAGGACTTGGTGGAGTACGCTAACTCCAGTTTGCTCACCGACATGTACACTCTGGTCGAGTACAACTATGCCTTCAACCCTGCCCACGACGCCCTGCGCGCGTACTTGGATAATGCAACTCACTGGAAAAACAGCTCCTGGGCAGCTGATGTGACGTTCGAGTGGACTGGAATCGGGAATCTGGCAGAATTATACTGGATCAATCGGACTGGCGCAAGAGACGTCACGATATCGCACTGCATGGTCAAGGAGGAGGAACAACGATGTCAACTGTTCTTCAGCCCTCCAATCGCAATCATCGTCATTTTATGCAACATCACCAAGGTCATCTGCATGTTCCTCACAGCCCGAGTCAAGCGCACAGACTTGATGTTGAAAGTGGGCGATGCGCTGGCTTCCTTCCTCACAAAACCTGATCCGACTACCCGCGGTCGATGTCTCCTGTCCCGGGCGGACATGACCCAGGGCCCTCAAGCCTGGACTCTTCCTGCTATATCTTTTGGTCGCTTGAAAGGATACACGCTGCAAAAGCGATCCCCAAGCCCAACGTCACATTCCTCGGAGCCTCTTTCGCCAACAACTTCTACCCCTGATGCCCCTGAAATCTACCCCAGCCTCCTTCCCACACGCAAAAGATGGTACCAAGCCGTCAGCTGGCAACGATGGACGCTGGTCCTTTTCTTGTAAGACCGCCCGCCCCCCCAACCCTCTGGCTTGTCACTCTAACCCACCTAGCTTCCTTACCCGCATCCTCACCGCCATCTGTCTCACCTGGTACACCATTCACGTGTCCGGCGGCTTCAGTGCGGCCATGAGTCTGGGCTTCGCGCAAACCAGCGCAGCTAACATGATTGAGTACCTGTCGAAGAACATGATCGCTCTCGTCCTCCTGGCCAACACCCCGCAAATCGTCCTCTCAATCCTGTACTTTCTGTCTAACAGTCTGCTCACATGCATGCTCGTCGCTTTGGAATGGGACCAGTACGCGCGGCACCGGCATCCGCTGCGCGTCTCCTGGCCGCGCGGGCGCCAGGAATCCAGCAACTACCTCACCCTGCCGTACCGGTACAGCATCCCTCTCCTGGTCATATCGGCGACGCTGCACTGGCTCCTCTCGCAGAGCATCTTCTTCGTCAACATCAAGGCCTACAACGTATACGGCGAGGAGGACGAAGGTACCTCGTCGCGCGGGTGCTGCTACTCCCCGATGGCGATGTTCATCACCATGTGGGTCGGCATTCTGGCGCTGGGGCTGCTGGTTTCGCTGGGCGCGAGACGGTTTAAATCGCATATGCCGCTGGCGACGCATTGTAGCGCGGCAATTAGCGCAGCGTGTCATCCACCGGATGACGATAAAGAGGCTGCGCAGAAGCCGGTTATGTGGGGCGAAATCCCGGGCGAGGAGGATGGGAATGAGGGTGAGGTCAGTACTGAGTATCCAAGGCCAGGGAAGGCGGATGGGCGCGGGTACGCGCACTGTTCGTTTACATCGCTGGATGTGGTGACGCCCAGCCTGGTGAAGTTGTATTGCTAGTTCCGGGCCGAGCTGTGTATATTATGACTGTTTTTGTATGCTGAAGACAATGCAATACCTTTTGCCACACGCACTTGTTTTTATTTATCGTACAGACCCAGGGATGTTGTTTCACTCCGAGTCACTTCCGGACTCTAATCCCCGCCCGTTGATGGCCAACAATTCCACCGTGCTACATGGTTAGCATGGCTCCTCCAACACGACACGGGAGACTTACAAGACTAGATTCGCGTTACCCGGGATGAACGGCGGCGCGCCCCTGACCCATTAGCATGGTTTGTCAACGCTGAATAAGGGATGTGACTCACTTCTCCCCATACCCATAATGCCTATTCCAGGGTCAGTACCTGCACAGAGACGAACAGCGGAAGAGGACGTACGGGCCAAACGTAAGCAGCGCTTTTTCCCCCAAACTCATGCCCAAGATCCCGACCTCCCATCCTGGATCTCTACCATTAGCTTCCAATACATCCACGACAAAATCAATCACTGGGATGATGATAAGGTAATACCCTTAATGACCGTCCCCATCCCGATCTGGAAAGTAAATGGATATCCCCGCTTGATGCTACTATCGAATCTATTCACCAAATTAGTTCGCAACCGTTCTCCATCAAAGTTCATGCATGTATCGCGAGAGAGTAGTAGGCAGCTACATATGCTGCTCACGGTATCGATAACTATGCACCGGACAGGAAGGTTGGACTCACCGCCTTCCCCGGCCCCACGACCGCGCCGGATCATGCAAGTACCCGTGGTAGTGGACAGTGACCATGTCGCCCTTTTTGGGGTAGTCAATGCCGTTTCCCGGGCGGAGGATTTCTTTGATGAAGTCGATGATGCCCATGCTTGTGATTATCGGAGGGGAAATAGGTGGGGTGGGGCGTGTAGGTCGGGGATTGGAGTTGAGTGGTTAATTGGTGCTGTCAGGGACGCGGAGGATGGGTTTGCTGTGGTCACGGGTGGGATCGGAAGGGTCGGGATGGGTCGCGGATTTATGTTGGTCCGATTATGTCATTCTGGGCTGGGCCCGATTGTGTTAGTGGTGTGTTGTTCTTATCAATCTCTATCCTTGCAACACACGAAAATTGGAAAGACGCGTAGTTAGCTGGGTTCAAATCGAAAGGTGATGCTTACGATGTATGCGATGGGTTGGTGACTTGGCTGCTGCGATAGGCATCCGGTGGTTACTTGAATTGAGCCTTCGTATCTGTGTAGAACCTTGCATTGTACAATACTTGTAGCTGCTGAGTAGGTCGGAGTATTTAATATGGAATTTGACGGGGAAGCTACACACCGCTAGACGGTTGGACAAATTTATGTATATTGCTAGCTGCTAAAATAGATACCTACTAGTAGCTCCCCCACAGAGGAGGCCGGCTCGGCTAGTGCCGTCCCTGGGATCAGGCCCGGTCGATCGGGACGGTCCTCCATTTCATCTCCAAAGAAAATCCCCTCCCACTTGAACATCAACCGTTCCTCCTGCTCATCCTCCCCCACCATGCCTTCTCCCAGCTCCTCTCCCCAACCACAAACCGGCTACATCACCAACCTCACTCCCGACCAGACCATTAAACTCCGCCAAACGTGGAGCATCCTTCTCCATCTTATCACCCATCACAATGACATCACCATCACCAGCACCACCGCCACAACAGCGACCGCGCTGACCTCCGCCCTCGAAACCCACCACCTCCCTCCCCTCGAAACCTTCCAACCGATCCTTGACACTCTTTCCCGCTATCCGCTTCCCTCCCTCCGAGCCGGCCTCTTCAGCCTCACCAAACACGACTCCCCAGACACTCTCCTCCTCCGCTTCTTGCGCGCCCGCAAGTGGTCGGTCGCGGCCGCGACCGCCATGCTCCTGCGCGCCATCCACTTCCGCATCACCTCCGACGTGGACGCGCAGATCCTCGCCACCACCGAGCTGGACGCGCTATATGAAACCACTCTCCAGCCGCCCACCACGCCCACCATCCCAGGCGCCATCGGTGCGAACGCTGTGCAATCGACCGCGACAGACAGCCAAGCTTTCCTGGATCAGATGCGCATGGGCAAGGCCTACGTGCATGGGACAGACCGCGAGGGCCGACCGCTGTTGATCGTACGGGTGCGGCTGCATCAGCCTGGTCAGCAGAGCGAGGCGGTTATCACTCGGTATATTCTGCACATGATCGAGACGGTGCGGCTGGTCCTGGTGGATCCGGTGGAGACGGCTGTATGTTCTCACATTCTCTTTTGGTAGGGTTATACAGGGAGTGGGTGCTTACGGATTTGGTTGTATGTAGACGGTCTTGTTCGACATGACAGGGTTCTCGGTGGCAAATATGGTGAGTCTGCTCCCTTATCTGGCAATGGGGAAGGGGACGAGTGAGTTGATGATTGCGTTAGGAATATCCGCCCGTGAGATTTATTATCGATTGCTTTCAGGAGAATTATCCGGAGTATTTGGGGGCAATGCTAATCCATAACGCCCCGTGGATCTTTTCTGGTAGGTTTGCCTCGTGGTCGGCCGTGGTGAGGTAGGCTAATGCGGGTCACAGGAGTCTGGAAAATCGTCAAATCATGGATGGACCCCGTTATCGTCTCCAAGGTCCACTTCACCAGGAGCACGGCCGATCTGGAGCAGTTCATTTCTCCAAATAAGATTCCCAAAGAGATTGGTGGCCCCGAGACCTGGGACTACGAGTACGTGGAGCCTGTGGCAGGCGAGAACGAGCGCATGACCGAGACGGCGACGCGCGACCGGTTACTGGCCGAGCGTGAGGAGCTGGTCGGGGCCGTGCTGCAGTCGACGGCAGAGTGGCTAGAGGCGGCGGATCCGCAGACATTGGCGGTGCAGCGGACGGAGGCTATCGAGGCTTTGCGACGGCAGTATTGGGTTCTGGATCCGTACGTCAGAGGTCGGACTTGTTTGGACCGCACGGGGGTCATTCGGGAGGGGGGCAAGATAGTCTTTGATCCCGGAATGGATCATCTTTAGGCTGTGGGGGTGGGGAGATGTAGCATGTGCTTGTTGCATTTGCTTATTTTTATAGATTTCCGTGGCATGGCAGCCTAGAAGCGGTCATCGGCCGTGTTGTGCAACTAGGTCGTTCCCTGTTCAGACACCGGATGACACCGGCAGAATTGTCTGTTCCATGGGTCTGTCGATTTCATTATCAATCTAGCACGTGATGGGCTTTGGTCGATTACTCCCATGATCATCCCAGATGTGATGGACGATAGCCAGTGGGAGTGTACCGGTAATGCCAAGTCCAGGGCATCTCAAGAGATGGTCGCGCGAGGAATCTCCATTCGGCACAGACCCTGTCTTGAGGTTCCGAGTCCTCCGAATTCGCTGGGTCAGGCCAGACAGGTCCGATTATACGGGCTGCACATGGCAACGTGCATGCGCCCAAGGCAACCTCTTGAGTACAACGTATTCTCTAAGAAGCCGAACTCGACGGACGACACAGTCGGCGAGTTCCACCTTGTAGCTATCTAGAATCCCTCGTTCCAGCATTTTTCTACTCCTCGGACGTCCAATGGGACTCCGTAACTGTGGTTGTGCCCTTCTGCTCCCATCGAGTGAGTGGGATTGTGGATCCCTGAGTTCAATAGATCGCCAGGCACGGCGCATCCTAATTTGCGCGCCCCGCCGATCGCCCGTAAAGCGACAAATCAGACGCCTATATTAGGGTTTACAGACCCAATCGATTCAGTCTAGTGAGTTCCCGAGTCTCTGCTGACGTCCCGAAGAAGCAACAATCGATCAGCCGAGTGACACATTTTTCTGGGACTATTGGTATTTCGAACACACAGCGTCAATATTTATTTACCTCCCCGCCCCCCTCCTACCGGCACATCCCGCTCTGGAATGTGAGCTTCAGGTCAATCGCATCGCGCCCGTCAACAAACACGGCCAACCTCCACCATGGGTTCACTATCTGCCCTCATGGTCTGCCTTTTGTGCCTGCTCGGCCTCGGCGCGGCCGCCACCACCAGCCTGAAAAGCTGCATTCTGTCTGCCGTCGACAACGACAGTACCCTTGCCGCCTTCCAGGGCGACCTCCTGTACCAGACGCTCGCCGTGAAGGTGTACAACCTCAACTACCCCATCACCCCTGCCGCGGTGACCTTCCCAACCTCCAGCGCCCAGGTGTCGCAGGTTGTGCAATGCGCCAGCCAGCTGGGCTACAAAGTGCAAGCCAAGAGCGGGGGACATAGTTATGCCAACTACGGTAGGCCTATTCCTTTCCCTTCCCCCCGTCCCAATTTGCCTTCAGGCTTGCTTGCGAGTGAGTAACTAACTAAGTGGTTGCTGAAAGGATTGGGCGGCACCAACGGCGCCATCGTCGTCGACCTCCAAAACATGAAATCTTTTAGCTACGACGCGACCACGCAACGCGCCACCGTCGGCGCGGGGATGCTCAACGGCGAGCTGGACACGTACCTGCAAGCGGCCAGCAACCGGGCGGTTGCGCACGGCACGTCGCCGCAGATCGGCATCGGCGGGCACGCGACCATCGGTGGGCTGGGCCCGACCGCGCGACAGTGGGGGATGGAGCTGGACCACGTGCTGGAGGCGGAGGTGGTGCTGGCCAACGGGAGCATCGTGCGAACCTCGGACACGCTCATGCCCGACTTGTTCTTTGCCATCAAAGGCGCCGGGGCGAGTTTCGGCGTGGTGACGGAGTTCGTCCTGCGGACCGAGGCGGCCCCGACCGAGGCGGTGCAGTATACCTACACGTTCAACCTGCTGGGGAGTGCGGCAGCGCGCGCGGAGCTGTTTAGCGAGTGGCAGCGGTTCATCACGCAGGAGGATCTGACGCGCAAGCTGGCGAGCATTATCACGGTGCTGTCCGGCTCGGTGGTGATTTCGGGCACGTATTTCGGGTCCCAGGCCGAGTACGAGGCGCTGGGGCTGGCGCAGCGGTTCCCGGGCGCCGACGGGAACTCCTCCGCGATTGTGTTCACCGACTGGCTGGGGCTGGCGGCGCACTGGGCGGAGCAGAGTATTCTGGACCTCACGGGCGAGATCCCCGCCCACTTCTACTCCCGGTGTCTGGCGTTCCAGCAGGACACGCAGATCTCGGAGACGGGCGTGCAGCAGCTGTTCGAGTACCTGGATTCAGCCGACACGGGGGCGGTGATCTGGTTCGTGATTTTTGATCTCGAGGGCGGCGCGATCAATGATGTTGCGCAGGATGCCACCGGTTTTGCCCACAGGGATACTCTGTTTTGGATGCAGTCGTATGCGGTCACGCTGGGCCAGGTCTCGCAGACGACCTATGACTTCTTGGATGGTGTGAACGAGGTGATTCGGAATAATACTCCCGGGCTGGGCGATGGCGTGTATCCGGGCTACGTGGATCCCAGACTCGAAGATCCGAGACGGTCGTATTGGGGGAGTAATCTAGAGAGGTTGGGGAGGATCAAGACCGCGGTCGATCCGGGGGATGTGTTTCATAATCCGCAGGGAGTCTTGCCTGCTTAGCTTGAAGTTTCGTTGAGTGTGATGAGGATACACTCAACAGAATATTATAAAGTACAATATTTGGCTGGTTGGGTATGGGGACAAGGGGCATCCCCCGATGACCTCACAGATTGTATATCGGTGGTGTAGTTCGTGCGGCAGACATCAGAAAGGAGAATAGGGTGTCCCCGTGATTTGACAATCAACCCTCTTACAGGCTTGAAAGCAAAGATAGAAGCATCGATAATCTCCCCGGCAGACATCAAAACTACATATTTATTGGTAATGATGCATTAGGCGGGTCTTCCACAGACAGAGTTCATGTCTATCATGATACAGACGATGCCTGCAAGCATTTGTTTATAGTTATGGGAAAGGGAGCTCACTACGCCGTTTTTACGAGTTATTGGTAATTAAACAGGCATATCAATCGAACGTCAAATATCACCAGCTGAAGGCTGGAAAAGTTGCTGCTATCCAAATAATAAATTCATCCTAGAAACGCGGGGAACACGGCCTACCTGGGGCAGAAAGTCCGGCGGTGTCTTCAAGGCAGAAGCTCGCCACTTACCTAGCGGGCTTTGTGACTCAGGAGGTATTCATCATCATCATCATCCTCCAGTGTTCCCTCTTCCTCAGATTCTGAACTATCGTCCCAAATCCCCTTTTGTTTCAGGTCAGATTCCCGGATCTCGCCTTCTTGGAGGCCCGCAAGATACCCATCGGTGTTTTCAGCATCGGGCTCTTGCTGGATATCCGGTTCCTCTCTGGGAGTTTCAGGGACTTCTGTCTGCACAGGCGCAACCTGCGAATCATGGGGTTTGATATTTGAGATGATGGTTTCATCATCCTCAGGCTCTACCTTGACATAGGGTTCTCCTTCCCCGATGACTTCAGGAACCTCTACCTCTGTCTGCACAGACGCGGCCTGCAAATCACGCCCCTCAGCACCTCCGTCCACAAGTTCACCCTCAGCCGCTGGCCCGATATCCGGTTGTTCTTCTCTGGGGGTTTCAGGGACTCCTGTCGGCACAGGCGCGACCCGCGACTCGCCCCCTCCGGCACCCGAGCTCGCCGCCGTATCCTCCTCCACTTTCCCCCTAGGCTCATCATCGGTCAAGACAAGCTCTGGATGATTGTCAACAAGATGCAACCACGGCGTAGTCTTGGGAAGTATAAACTCCTCACAGATTTCGCACTTCATGCTATCGTTGTGCCTTGCCTTGAAATGCCTGTTCAGGACTTGCAGCGAGTCGTACGTCGCCCCGCACGGACGACGCCTCGCTTGTTTGTCCACCACCATCACCATGCAGGTGACCCTGCCGTTGGGCTTGGGTCGGTACTGGAACTGGCCTACATCACGGGATACTCCGTCCGGGGCCGGCACGACAACGTTGGGCGTGGGTCTCCATGGGCTGCTCCTCCTGCGTGTCGGTGAGGACGCGACGGGTGGAGGGGATGTTATCATCCAGGGCTTGGACCTAGATCTGGGCGTTCCGGGTGGCAGGGGCGAAATCGACATCATGTCAGTCGGTCTCCGGGGCGAAATCGACTCCGTGCCGGGGGGCGATCCAGCGGGTGTGATAGCCGGGGTGTCTGTGTCTGCAAGCGTAGTCGCGTTCGCCTCGACCTGCGGTGAGTTGGACTCGGGGGTTTGTGGAGTTGCTTGGGTCCTGGATGTGGGCCTGGACCCTGGGATTCTGGGTTGATGGGGGGAACCCGGCATCCTGTCAGTGGGGGGTTTTCAGAGGGTGTGTTTGCTGAGGCGTCTGTCTCTGCGATCGTAGAGGCGTTCGCTTCACCACGGTGATGGTAAGTATACAGCGTCTGGATGTCTGTTTACTTTTGGTGCTGTGTGGTTGTGATTGGTACTTTGTCGGGTCCAGATTGACCTATTTATACCGATGATCTCTGGAGAGATTGTCGGATAGAGGAACGGGAATTCACCTAAATTGCGGCAGCAGACGACGACGGTCCCCCTTGTTGGAGACGACCAAGGTAGCTCTTGCACTCGACTTATTCACTTTGACATGGAGAGGATATCTCCTGTGTCCATTGTCAAGCCTCCTATTCTGATGGAGAGGGAAAGGTACTTCTATTTCCTCTTTGTTAGCTCGGGCTACAGTAGATAATGGCACGTTCGATCCTTTTTTGACATGTATGGAAATCCTCATTGCCGAATTGCATATACTACACTACCAAGAAAAGAGAAAACTTCAATCCTCTTCAACAAAGGTAAAACACTCACGTTCCTCCGTGGTACCCGCGGCTAGCGATGTTCGACTCCCCCAACCATGGACCAAGGACCAACCTCATCCGAATTGAGTATCTATGCTACGCTTGGGTTGAAGTCCGCATCTGTCAAGCCCCTAGAACATCTCCACTCGCTCCATAAGCTAATAACTGAAACCCTTTCTCTTCGCAGCCCTCCTGCTCGTGGATATTCACTCCCCCCGGCTGCGATATCCCATGCTCTTTCTCCATATGCAACCCCCAGGAGAACCGTCCGTAGAAGCGGCGCCCACAGAACGGGCAAGGATCCGTCAGATTGTCGTGCAGTTTTTGGTGGTGTCGCGCCAGCGCGTTCATCGTCTCGAAGTGCCGTCCGCAGCGCTTGCCATCGGTGATCACGGTGCAGTAGATTCGGTCCCGCATGTGGCAGTAATTCGAAGGGGTGCGGTGCAATGCGTGGCCATCTGCTAGGTTGGTGGAAGCCGAGGTTGGGGAAAGCAGGACGGGCTCCGGAGTAGTGTAGGGGTTTAGCAGCTGCAGCTGCAGTTGTAGCTGGTGTTGGTGCTGGAGCTGGTGCTGGGTTTGGTCTGGCACTTGGTAGAGATAGCTCTGGTGCTCGTGAGGGCACTCGAGTTTCACTTCCGACTCAGTGACCGCTGGCTGCGTCATTGCTGGATGACTAGATATAGTGGTGGCTTTCTTCCGGTAAAGAATGGTAATGTAGACGGTAGCTTGCAGTGATGATGGTTTGTGGCTGTGGCTATTTAATTTGAGAACCCGGCAAAAGAGACGCTTTGATTATGCGTGATTCTGGAATTAAGAACGAAGCTAAAGATAGACTGCGATGTCCATTCACTGTTAAGAATTGTGATAGCGACAGATCCCTAGATTCACAACTGATAACTGTGAATAAGAGCTGTGTTATGAAGGTAGTTCCTCCATGGGTGAGGGGTTGCCCTCTCGAGACACACACTGGCTTAACTGGAGTGTTCCTGCGGGCCTGCTTGCTTAGCCCTTTCCGTTTTGGGCGTCAACAATGGGGCGCTTGGAGCTGGACCCGTGACTCTTCAGACCAGAAAGTGACTTACTTTCATCAAGATCTTCATTGAGTTCAATCGCCAATATTGCGTTGTGTTGCTGTAGAGGGAATCTTAGATCACACAGCCTTGAACATCATAGTCACGTCTCTATCTGGACACGATACCTCAGCGCAACCCCAAACACCCCCTTCGACATCACATGGGTCCGAAAATGATTGTCACTCCAACCAACCCATCGACAGCCCAATCTCATCTACTCATGACTCGTCAGCGAAGTTCATTGCAGAACAAAGAGAGAAGACCAACCTCTCATCCCCCCAACAGCCTCAAACGCAATCGCATAATTCCCCAGAACCTTCCACACCCCACGCAGACTATGCCGCAACTCCTCTACAAACCCGTCCAGCGACCTCCCACTGCCTCCTCCACCTCCCGCGTTGCTCGGGGCGCTGACACTCCCCCTCGCCTTCATCCCCAGCATCATCATCACATAGCTCGCCTGCATCGCGCAGCAAGCGAATGATGGCATCGTCCTGGGAATCTCGACTCGAGAGTGCCGTGAGAGATAAGGGGGTCGAGTGAGCGGGATCTCGTTGCTCGGGTTCGGATAGGGGAGGCTGTCGAGGAGGTTGGTGATGTTGAGAGCGGCATGGAGGCAGATCTTGGAGGAGGCGTGGCTGGAGAAGGGGAAGGCAATCCGAGTGTTTCGGGGTTGAGGTTGCGGTTGAGATTGCGCCATGGGGAGACTGCAGCAGGTGTGCGCAGATGTGTTTCTTGTCAGAGCGACCGTCGCATGGAGGTCGCAGTGACGGCGGCGGAAGATGGCCGCGTCTTGGAAAGCGCAGAAGCGGTGGGTTTTGATGCGGGCGCTGAAATCTGTTTAGCGCTGCTCGCCAAGGCTTTGACAGTGGTCCTACCTATGCAGTTTGATTTCGGCTATGTATCTTATGCTCTGCAAAGCTATTGTTTCTGGGGAATCGGTCGGGGTAGGTGGAAACCGGGGCAGTGAAGGTGAAGATGCCCGGCAGGGATGTAAGAGGTAGGTTATTTGACTGTCGAGGTCCATCATGCGCTTTGATATCCATGGGGCCTTGTACTGCGATCTCACAGTGAGGTTGAGGTCGTGGATGAAAGTCGTGGCCTCCAGTATGGTTTGTTGTGCTTCAATGAGGATTTTCCAGCCCTGCGCTGTCAGTATATCCCTATCGTCCGAGAGAGGGTTGACTTACCTTTGGATAGGGGGTCACAAATCTAGGATCATACAAGTTGATCACAGGAGGCTCCCGCTATCAGATACTGACATTCTAAGCTGAAGGCAAGCTATACGTACCATGCCGCTCACAATTGACCCTTGACAGACCGTCATATACTAATTCATCAGCTCGATCTCTTTGAATCAGCAGACGAAACCTACCGTCATCCACCACGCCCTCCGTCGCGCCTCCGCAAAGCCATCCTCTTCCATAGTCTCGTGTAATGACATACTCAGAGCCGCCGCCAACGCCTGCCCCGCCCGATTGCACATCTTCTGTACATTTCCTCGCTGTGCATACTCGTAGCTACTGAGCAATACCAACGCCAATACTGCTTCAAGTTCCACGGGCACCTTTACGTGGAACGGCTCCCGCGAACACCGCGCCACTCCCTCCGACAAGGCGCGCGACGGATCCGATGCTGAATCCAGCAGCTCCAGATCCGCCTCCACAGCTTCCAGAGCAGACTGCGCGTACGAGTGAGCCATCTCCCGTCGTAGCTTGACATAATCCGGTTTCGAGGGCTGCCGCACTTCCGGATGGGGTATCAGCGCTAGTATGGCACACACCGCGAGTGCTAGTGGGCTAGACGGTCGGTACGTTGACGGGCTGTAGGTGGGCTTGTTGCGCACAGGGAGTCGTTCAGGGGGAGGAAGAAGGGGACAGTACAGATGAATAAAGACGTAATATGCGTCCAACCTGTTCTGGTCAGCTCAAGTCCACCACATCTGGGGTCATGCTTACATATTTTCATTCGAGGCATACGTCTGCAGGAGATCTGGCTCGACAGCAACCTCTTCTGGTTCGGACGGTATCCGCACACTATCCTTCGCAAAGATCTCATCGAAGATCTGCTCAATCTCCGAAACCGAGCTCTCGATGCTCCGGAGTCCTGCACCAGGGGCGCCGAGGGTGAATAACTGGTCCAGCCAGACTGTTTCCGTTAGCCTTGCCATGCATACGACGCCCTTCAGCCACCTTGAAATAGAATCTACTCACCCTCATCCTCCTCCTGCGACAGCGATACTTGCGATGACGGCCCAGATCCAGACGCCGAGCCAGAGAAATCCATCCTCATTCCCAACCCCAACCCGTCCATCCCCGGCTCGTCATTCGATATCGAAGCTGACGACGTTTCCATCGACCCTGATACTGGTGTCAGTGCCCGCTTGCGCTTGCGGAGCCGAGGGCCCCCGCGCTTGCTGGCGACATAGCAGCACGCTGTCTCTCTTGCGACGCAATTTGCGCATCGTTCGAGTCCGTCGCATCGAATCCGGAGTGAACGACTGTTTTTGAATGGCTATCAGCGCAAATTCACTTCCTTTTGCCGATCGATTCAGAATAAACTGGAGGTTGGAAGTCATACCAAGCAAGGCAGGCCACTTTAACCGGCGGTTTGCTGAATTTCCGATGTCCAGGGCGGGTGGCGTCCGGTATCGTTTTCGGGGTTTCTACTTCCGCCATACTTTGTACTGTGGTGCGTTGTTCGTGATTCATGCGCCAGTTAGATGGATTATCTTTTGGACAGAGAAAACAAGGTTGAAGTGAGTTCATCTTGTTCAGCAACGAGATTGGGATATATTTTCCAGAATCCCCGATAAGAGCATGAAATCCCGCGCGAAAGTGCCAAATCCCGGAAGAATTTGGTGGTTCGGGCCCTGGCGCTAACGCCTCGAAACTCGGGGTTTGAAGTTGCCTGCCACAGGGGCCCACCAATCGATAGAACGGCGCAGAGAAGTTTCTGAGATTCATTCTCGGAATCTTTACCGAGATCATTGGTGGTTGATCGCATATTTTGCGGTGGTGATTGGTAATCCGAGGGCAATAGTGGGCCAAGGAGCAAATCCCGAGGAGATGGTACAGGCGGGAATTAAGTAGCCGGGTTGGGTAGATTCAGTATGGCTGTGAGGCTGTGTCACATATTGTGGTCATCACATTGAAACCGACTGGGTGGGCGCCCAGACGACTTATCCGGGAGAGATCTTCAAGTTCTTACTCGATGGCTTTGTACTGTACCTGGGACAAGAGTACAGGCTGGACCAGGGACAGGTCGGTGATTCACGGTAGACCAGCCAGTCAGTGCGTTTCTTGTGTCAAGCGTTGCTGAAACTCGGGATCTGCTGGAAGAATATCTCCAAAAAATAGACTTTTCTTAGTTCAGTAGTGTTGTGAGCACTATGGGGACACGACAAATGGGTCCAGAGCCTGGTTATGACGCAGCTTTCTTGGAGCGAGTATTCATTCTCAGCCCGCTTCGAAACCATCACTTCAGAATGACTAGCAGAGTGGCTGTAGTCAGCGGTCTCAATCTTGCGCAATGAGCCAAGCACACTGCTAATGATTTGAAAGGATATCTAGAGTAGATAATTCCGAGTGTCTTTCCGGTGTTTGTGTTCTTGCATTGGTGTCTTTGGCATTGTGCATCATGTGCTCGTGATGCTGACGTTAGCTGAGAATGTCTTTCGTCCACCTACCAACTGAGTGCAATTCATGAAGAACGGAAATTTGATTGGCTGGGTCTAAAACTATCCTTTGTGATGGCAACTGGAAGAGCTCTAGCCTTGTCCTTTTAAGTGACCTAGAATGAAGTAAATCGATCTCGATCATTGCGTGCCCCTTGATTCGAGGAGAGAAAATCCATTTCAACCATTTTTACCGATCAAATTAACTAACAGTTCGCTCAAACTTTGATACCTGAGCAGGTGCTGTATGCTGACCTATTAGTTAGTAGGTATCTTGCAAGCATAACCGTCCTCTTATGGACTTTCCCAGCTACGAATCTCTGCAAGAGCATCGGTGTGTGGGCATAGTAAAGGTGCTGCTATGTGACTGTTACTAACGGATTGGACAGTACATCACTACTGTTTCAATGCTTGCATCATTGTTTTGAAGCAAAGAGAACATGTTCAATTGTGTTTTCGAGAAGAAAGTGCACTGTACTGCACAGTATGTTGAGTAGTGCCACCGCCAACCATCGTCCACTAGGTAAATATATCTCAATTAGTATGTGTCATTGTCTCCAATGCCAAGAAACGGTAACCCCTCATTCTACTGCGCATGCCATCTCCCCGCATGGCACCTTCGACTTACTAGTACTAACTGTCCTCCATTATAGTAAATCTCCTCACTTCTTTCCTCTGATGTTCACATTAGCAGATACAACCATCAGCTAAGCCCAGAGCTAAGGACTTCGTCATGTCATCTCCAGACCCCATATCCGCTCCGCCCCACATCCAACACCTCACCGACCTCCACAAGAAGTCCCTCGAGCAAGAAGCCTCCATCTCCAAGAAAGGCAAGGCCCTGTCTGGAGACGTCCTCAACGACACTGAGAGCATCGAACAAGTTCCCTCGGCCGCCCCCCAAGAGGCATTCGACCGCCTCAACTATGGGCTCTGGCAACCCTTCATTTGTGAGCCCGTGACTGCACTCCTGGACACTTCCAGTGAGCAATGCGTGTATTGTCGCTTACTCTCTGCATTCACGGAGCGCATGGGTATTACCTGAGGCTAGACCGGATCGGGTGCGCGAGGGCGATGCTAAATGCAAGGGAAGCCCCACAAATAACCATATCAGATGTGCAGGAACGATCTCCACCATTTTTGGGACTGTCATCATCGGACAAAGAATAAGTATACCATACACTGTGGACAATGAGACCCGGATATAAGAACAAGCGCTTTCTATCTTAGATCGTACGTGCAACATTTTCAACTTGTATTTTAACTCAAAGGATACTGCCCTCTCGACAAGCAAGATGTCCCACGTGGAACTACGCGGCCGCGCAGGTCTACGGTAAGCTGTCGCTGTACTATGATAGTCGCACGCCCGAAGCTGGGGCACTCATGATCGGAGGAAGGAGGTGAAGGGGTCAGAGAATGTATAGGAAGACTCTTAGTTGGAAGTGCACACTGTTGTGGGACCTTCTGCAAGAATATATCACTCATCTCCATCGGTTCAGTAACTGGGTTTACAGTTGATCGTTCCTGCTTTGAACCGCGGAAAATATGGGGCGTCCGTTTCATGCCATTCCTGTTCCTTCAATCGTCGCTACTATGTATAGGAAGATTGTGCTTGATGCTTCATCTCCGTCCCTAACAATGTTCAAATGAATGAAAAGCGAGGCGATCGGGCGGGTTGTGCTTTTTTTTTTTTTTTTTTTTTTTTTTTTTTTTTTGGAGGGGGGGGGGGGGGGGGGGGGGGTGTCGCCCAAGGTAACTGCAACAATAGTCAGTCAATTGGGTGTCTTGTGTTTCAAAGGATATGTCGGAGGGGAGGGGGTGTTTTGGAGGAATCCGTTGACTTGGGAGGGTAAGCTTTTTTTCGGGTGCGAGTGCTGCCGGTCACTGCGGATGCTTCGCGGAGGAGCTCTCGCTCCTTTCAAAAGAGATCCGCGAATAGAGAGAGACTACAAAAGAATTCTGATACTCGAACAGAAAGCGTCGCTCATTCTAAAATAAAGTACACAGTGGAGAGTTTAATCAAGCCCCGCTCAGCTCGTCCCCCTTAGTTCTCCTCAGCAGACCCAGGGGCATCCAGTGGAGTTGACAGTCCCACACGGTCCACAGTGCGAGTGTACGCCACTCCACCATTGATACGGTCTTCCTGCACGACGAGATCCTTGCGATTGGAGTCCACCAACAGGCGAATCAGGTCGGGGCGCATGTAGTGGCCGCCCTACTTGTGATTAGCACGCGTCTTTGGAAGCGAGGAAGCAGGGAGATACTCACAAAGTCAGCAAGAGCCTTGGAAAGGTGGCATTCGTCCAGGTTAATCTAAGCCATGTTCGTTAGTCTGCCTAGTCTTTCGAACAAAAAGAAACCTGGGAAGAAGCGGCTTACGTCGACGAACAAAAGACCCTCGAATTCGGTGCTAGGGTGGGGCACCAGGTTCTGGCCGTCGGGGCCAAAGATGCGGCCGTGGCCGTTGTAGAGCTTGGGGTCGTCGAGTTCCTTGCCGGGGGGAGTGTTCATCTTAATACCCTCGGCGCTGATCATCTGCCACGGGGCGAGAGTGTAAGTGCCCGTCTCGATGGCGTAGGCGGGGGTGACAATCTGGGCCATCTTGATCAGTATCAATAACCCAACACTTTGTCTCAGATGGGCTTGTCTAGAAGAAGGGAGAAGGAGCGTACATCTGCATTCGATTCGGCATAGTTGGTCGCCGGATCAGGGTGCTGGCGGGTCTGGGTCTTGGGGTATAGGGGCCAGGCAGCAACGTGGACCTGCTCACCCAGCGAGGCGGCGTACGCTTTCATGAAGGGGTTCATGTTCTCCCAGCAATTCAGATGGCCGATGCGGCCGATCTCCGTCTGCATGACCGACTCGGTGGTGTCGCCGGTGCCGTCTCCGAAGACCAGGCGCTCGACGTGGGTGGCGCGGATCTTGCGGCGGTGGTTGATGATCTCTCCCTCTGGGGAGATCATCACCTGCGTCGTGTACAGGCTGGCCAGGTCCAGCTCCGAGTAGCCCAGCGAGACAAAGATCTTGTTAGCGCGTGCCGCCTCACGGATGCGGCGCATCTCCTCCGAGTCCGAGGCGAGACTGTTCTCGCGGTACTTCTTGAGGAGCGGGAGGCTCTCCTGGTAGGTCACCTTCCACATCCAGTAGGGGTATCCAGGGATCCCTGGCATTGTTAGTGTGGTACGTGGATGAATGGATAACGGTCAAGGCCGTACAGAGCTCAGGGAAGGCAATGAACTTGCAGCCAGCCTTTCCGGCCTCGTTGATCCAGTGGATGGTCCGGCGAGTGGACTCCTCCAGATTGAACCAGCCAGGCTCGGCGTTGACGGCGGCAGCCTTGTACTTCTTGAGAACGGGGGCCATGGCGATGGATATAGTTGATTGATGAGAGCAGTGATGCTTTGCTAGGCTTGTTGTACCGGTGATGCTGATAATAGAGAGAGACAGACAGCAACACAGTAGCCTTTTTATATCTTCGCAGCGCACCATCCCCGAACTCTGACCGAGTCATGTCCAAGTCCTCATCCTCGCTCGATTCGGCCGACACGGAATCGGGCTCTGCTGATGTGAAAGTCGTGAGGAGTCGTCGCCTCTCTGCAACACAGTATCAATCTCGATCGTACCATGATCCGGGGTTTGGTAGTGCGGAGAAGCGGAATAGAGGAATGGGTGGATGAAACAAGCCCGTCAGACACATCGATAGGTCTTCGAAATCAGTGACTTCTGTCAATAATGTGGCGATGTGTTGGAGGGACAGAGCCCCGCACAACTCCCCGGCGGCGGTTTCTTCAGCTGATTAAGCAAATCCCGTCCCGCACTGAGGCTGTTGCCCGTTGCCCAGCCGGTTAATTCACGGAAGTAACCTTCCCTGCGCTTAGGGCTGCCCTCACTTACGCCGTACATAAGTAATCACTCATCAACGCTCTGACTGTCAGACCTGAGTGTCATATCAAATCCCGGCATTGTCTTCCGGGTCATGCCACCGGCTTGATAGCCCGACTAACAATCATCACTGCAACTCTTCCCAACACTTCACATCGCACAGACGTAATGATTACTCGACACTGGATTATACGAGACGAGTTTACTCCTCGCCGAACTATACGAAGCTATAATTACACCCCACTTTATACGAGGCGACGATTGCTCCACGCCGAGCTATACGAAGTGAGATTATCTGAAACATGGCCTACTCTGTCCAATCCAGCACAGCTTTGATAACTTTCCCGTCGTGGACATCCGCAAACGCCTGCTCATAATCCCGGACCTTGTATACTTTGATCAGCTTATCGACGGGAAACTTCCCTCGAGAATACTGATCCGCTAGCCATGGCACAAACTATTGAAGTCAGTCGACTCACCGGACTTTCTACAAGATTATGAAACATACCTCGGGCGGATACACATCGCCTTCAACACACCCAATGTACTCCTTCCCACCCATCAGGTGAGCAAAGAGATTGATCTGCACATTATCAGCTACGCTTGTCATGCCCACCGAGACCGCGCGCCCCCGGGCACACAGCGAAGCAAGCATATCCGACACCACGGCAGGCACTCCGGAGCACTCGACCGCCAACTGCACGCTCTTACCCCCGGTCAACGCCTGAATCGCGAGAACGACTTCCTGCTTCTTCGCATTGATCGTATGAGTGGCCCCTAACTCTGCGGCCATCTGCAACCGACTCTCCTGCACATCGACCGCAATGATAGGTTCTGCGCCCGCAATTCTCGCCGCCATCACCGCCGCCAACCCCACTGCCCCCGTTCCAAACACCGCGACACTCTGCCCCGGCTGAGTTTTCAGCACGTTCAGCACAGCTCCCGCGCCCGTCTGTATACCACACCCCAACGGCGCCAGCATCGTGAGATCTGTTTCTGCCGGCACCGGGATCGCACACCGCGCTCCGACGACCGCCACCCTGCTAAAGCACGACTGCCCGAAGAAATTAGACCATACCCCCTCTCCTGTCACCGTCCGCAGAGCAGAGGTGCCGTCTTCCCGATGGCCCGAGCTATTCAGGAGTCTCCATGCGTCGCAGTAGGCAGGATGTCTGGCGACGCAGTTGTCGCAGCGCTCGCAGAAGTCAAAAGACAGGAGGACTTTATCGCCGATACGGATATGGGTAACGTTCTCGCCCGTTTGACGGACGATTCCTGCGCCTAGTTGGTGAAGTTGGGCTTTAGTAACTGGGTGTATGGGACGGGGGCCTTGCTCGGGTGCTTGCCTTCGTGGCCGAAGACCCCGGGCTGTCGGCTGGGGATTTCGCCGTCCATGAACATTAGGTCGGTGTGGCAGATGCCCGTGGCTTGAATGTCAACTACGATCTCGTTGGGTTGAAGGTCGTAGATGTGCAGTGTCTCCCAGACGAGGGGCCCGTGGAGCTCGTGAAGGACAAGCGCCTCGGTGGCGATGATAGGCTCGGTGATCGTCATGTTGCTGCTGTTCTTGATCACGTAGCTTGCCTTGCTGTGGTGTAGTCGTGAGGGTCACTAAATGAGAGACTCTTGTGCCCTTTCCGCGATTGTAGGCAGTTGTTTCAATGGTAACTTAAGTAAGAAGACACAGAGCGGAGGGGCATGCGAAAAGCGGGGTCCTTGCATTCAAGTGTGCGGAGTAACTGGGTTCGGGTTGCACGGAGATAACCTTGCATGTCACTGTTGCTGCCTGGCTGGATCTTACCTGGTAGTTGGGTATGTAATTTTTGTGCAGACCCAAAGTCTGTTACTTGAGAGTACGTGGTTCAAATGGCCAGTGTGTCTTATATCTGGGTATCGGACAACAAGAAGGTCGTAATCAGAACTCTGAAGACGAACTTGTCGATTGTTTCTGATACTGTGGCTTCCTCAGATTGTTCATTGATATGAAATCTTGTTTATAAGTATACAGAGGCGTGTTTTCCAAGAGGTTGGTACGTTTTCTCCAAAGGGCCCGTTATGTTCATACATATCGCCGCGCTTTCTCCATATGATCCTCAGCAATTTTTGCACCTGGATACTACAGTGACCGAAACTGGTACTTTCAACCCAGGCTCCTGTGTGTTATTCCGTTCAGAAGAAAGGCAATAGGATGAAACCAAATTGACTATAGTAGAATCCCATTGGCGTTGATCCTAGATTTCAGCCATTCGTCAGGCCAAGCGCCAAAGTTGTTGCCTGAGGCAAGAACTCAAAGCCGCTGCGTAGCCATTCAGTCATTCGCAAAGTCTTATAAGATAAACTATTCCTGCAAATAGACCGACTACACAGCCAGGATCGATTTGAAAGGTCAAGGTATTCAGACCGAATCCGATATTCAAGGCTCGGCGGTCTGAATCTACAGTCGGCATTCATGACAGCACAGCCATTCTGCACTGCCTGGCTCAAGAGACCTATTACGCTTCAGGCCCCTTCGCGCGCGGAGTAGTGCATCATGACGCTACCGTAAACCGTAGCGGTTTGTTATCCATTTGTATTGAACTCATGAGTTATAGGCAAATGGAGTATTGTGACGGTCCGGCCCGAGACTGGCGGACGGGAACCGGTGGAAGCGGCCACAGCTCGAAGTATGAAGTATGAAGGAGCTAGGCTCGGGTCCGATGAGACATCATGCGCTACAATGTTGAATCAGTCTGATTCAGACTTTTCTTGCTTTGCCACAACAAGCTTGAGTAGTAAGCACATCGCTACTCGATTTTAGTCGGCAGCTGATTCCCCACAAGGCTAGCCTGGGCGGCTACATGGAGACCAGCACGGTCCGGTGCCTTATGAACTCCACACCAGCCCCGCCCTCTCCCAAAAAGCAGACCTCAGACGTTACAACTGTTTCCGACGGTCGCATCTACGATGACGGGAAATACAACGTTAACCGTGGTTCAACAAGGATGGGTGGACGAGCCCTATACGCGTGGAACGTGGAGTATTATCTCTACCTGCTTGTTGACTATCATTCTTTGCTGCTGGACGGCTGTCTTGCCCAATATCCCTGCTCGTAATGACCGCTGGTATGATCGTCTACGGGACCGATTGCACCTCTTCTCAATCGGGCTGTTAGGGCCTGAATTCCTACTCATGCTTGCCCTGGGCCAGTGGTCCTCCGCCCGGGCATCAGTTAATGTCAGCATCTTCGGTCGGCGACCACTCGATCTGATTGCTGACATTCTTTAGAGCTTCGAATGCATGAAGAACAGCAGCCAAGGCAAAGCCACAATCCCATGGACACTGACTCATGCCTTCTATGCTGACATGGGAGGATTTGTGCTGAATGGGGAGGGAATCGACAGCCCATTTCCTGTCAACGCGGAGCAGCTCTTTTTCTTGGTCAAGGAGAAGTATATAGATTACCCAGAGGTCACAGAAGATGATATCAAGGATCGGAACAAATCCGACGGCTTCTCTCGGTGGGTTTGACTGAGGTGAATGACTAGAGTCAAGCTAACTGAGCCCCAGCGTGATCGCAGCATGCCAAACACTATGGTTTGTGGTGAACAGCACCACACGTGTAGCCCAGGGCCTCTTCTTGACAACACTCGAGCTCACAACCATCTCGTTTGTGGTGGTATTTCTAGTGACCTCATACAGCTGGAAGCATAAACCATCGAACATCAGCAGTACTATACCGATCACAACCAAAACGCCAATCGATGCCATCCGGGAAAAGGTTCGATGCCTTCTCCCTGACTCTGATCAAGGTTCCGATCCACTGACAAGGGCCATCCACTAGCATTGCGATTATCCAGACCAGCCATGGCATGAGACTCCCCTAGACTTTGCCTGCCACGACGTCTCCTTCTGCCAAGTCCACTGGCGCCACTACACTCGGCTACTCCAGAAGATGCACCTTTCCATTTTCTCGCGCCCCATGACCGCTCGCCCTCGAAACCGCATTCCCAGCGACAACTTTCTGGGTACCGACCTACAAGCCGATATCGTCGCGACTCCGACTCTTATCGTTGTCGGTGTGATGTTCATGTTCGCCTGGAATTCTCACTTCCCCAGCCGAGCCGAGCACATCCTCTGGCGCACCGCCAGCATCTACAACCTCGTCTTCACCATCGTCGCCGGCCTCCATGCCGGCTATTGCGATAAGGTCCTTCTCCCGGGCGAGCTGAAGAAGGCCCGTTCACTGCCTTGGTACGAGCCGCAGCGGCCACCGCCGCCCCCACCAGTCTCTCGCAAATGGGACTTTTGGCGGCGTCTGGCCATCCGAATGCGCAACTTGGATCCGTCCCGGAATCCCCGGTCGCATGTGCCTCTGCGCGTGCTGCTGCCGACCACAGTGCTCTGTGCGCTGTATTGCCTGGGACGGGGTTACATACTGGTTGAGGACTGCATTGGGCTGCCGAAATTGCCGGAGTCGGCGTTTCGCACGGTTAGCTGGTCGGTTTATGTTCCGCATCTGTGACCGAAAACTGGGTGCTTGATAGATCTAGAGCAATGTACATAAACTTTGTAGCTTTATACAGTATCAAATCCTGAACAGATCTTGGATATTATCCTAGTTGGAGTATAACATGATGGTTGCTGGCAAGTCCTGGAAACTGTAGATTAAAAGCTTATTGAGGCATGAAATGAGAGAGACGATCTGGATCCCAGAACGCCCCAAAGACAAACTGATTCTTACAGCGTAAGTGTGTTGATGGCCATCGAGGACCCCCTCCCTAAATCGGGCATACACCGTAAAGCCGGACCCGCCACAGAGGTCAGCAAGACGTTGGCAACAGCACGAGGAGACGCACTGGTGTCGCCTGCTTATTTCTGGCTAAAGTTCGGTTCAATGCTGACCCATACTTTGGGATCGATAGTCAATGTAGAGAACGCGACTAATGGGGAGTGATCAGAAAACCCGCTAGTGGTCCACAGACTGCAATTCGTATTGCAATTGAGAATAAATATATTGTCTTGCTCGACCATAAACAACACATTATCTACCTATCGAGGTCTAACGTCGTGCAAGGCTGATTTGGACCAACGATGGGAAACACAGATTTGATGCGATTTCGTTCCCGCTCCGGTTGTGCACCTTATGTTCAGAGGGGAAATCCAAAGAGCCTCACACGGCGATGAAGGTTGTTCTAAATTGCCTGAGAACAAGGCTGGTCTTCAAGTGACGCCGTCCATGTTCTTGCAGGGTTCAGTCCAGGCTCCTCTTCTATGCTGGAAACGTCAGTCGACCCCTGAATGTGGGCTTCTTCGGAAACCTCGGTTTATTTGATTTAGCTTCCTGTCATGATTTGATCCAGTCGCCAGACTATTGGCCAATGATGTAGACTACTCGAGAAATGGGGCTCTTCACTTTCATTCGGCATTGAGCCATGTGCTAAAATAAGTACCGCGGAGTGCTTGATTCAGGTTGACGTCCGTGTCGGAGGACATCACCATGAACGTGATTAGGGTCGACTATTCAGCCATTCCTCACCCTGAAAAATACCGGTGGTGCCCCACTTTCTTCACCAGTGTTTACGCTACCATGGCTGGTTGTGGTTGTGGGGGGTTCCGGGCTGGACGCATTGGCGACGGGCCGGCGGAGAAAAAGTGGGCGGGGAGATCAATATGAAACCCAAGAGGGCGACTAGGATGATTCAGGAGCGCGCCTCCGAGCTCCCGAACCACGAAATTTAATTTACGACAGACGTCGCTGTCTCCCTTATTTGATCCTTGCTCAAATTGTCTGCACTCCTGCTGGGAGTACTTATACACTCGCTATGGCGATCCATCTCCAGCGCCGCAAGCAGCGCTTCTTGTCCACTCACTACCTGCACCGTCGCTCACTCACTACATTCTTTGTCATTTCCTTCTCACTACCACCACAATGGTCGCGCTCTCTAACATTCTCCTCGCTCTTTCGGCCGCTTCGGGCGCCCTGGCGGCCCCGAACCGTCTGGCTCTCATGGAAATGGCCAAGCGCAGCCTGACCTCCTCCAGCGAGGGTACCAGCAACGGCTTCTTCTACTCCTTCTGGACCAATGACGAAGGCTCGGTCACCTACACCAACGGCGACGCCGGCGAATACTCTGTGGAATGGAGCGACGCTGGTAACTTTGTTGCCGGCAAGGGCTGGAGCACCGGCAGCGACCGGTAAGTTATGCTGCCTCCATCTCCTGCGACCGCCATTACGTCTGACACGCCCATCAGTGAGATCACCTACTCCGGTACCTGGACCCCCGTCGACAACGGCAACAGCTACCTCTCCGTCTACGGCTGGACCACGAGCCCCTTGGTCGAGTATTACATCGTCGAGCACTACGGCGACTACAACCCCTCCAGCGGATTGACCGAGCTGGGCACCGTGACCAGCGACGGCAGCACCTACAAGATCTACGAATCGACCCGTACCGATGCCGCCTCCGTTGAGGGCACCAGCACCTTCAAGCAGTACTGGTCCATCCGCGATGACGCTCGCGTCGGCGGCACCGTCACCACCAAGAACCACTTCGATGCCTGGGAGAGCTTGGGTCTGGAACTCGGCACCTTCAACTACCAGATCGTTGCCGTTGAGGGCTACGAGAGCAGCGGATCTGCCGCCATCACCGTTGACAGCGCCACCCACACCACCGTCACCACCCAGAAGAGTGTTGCTACCACTGCTGCTGAGGAGGATGAGGAGGACTGCTAAGCGGTGACTCTGGGTAATACTGGGGTGTTTATAGTCTCTCGGAAGGAGAATTGATTTTAATACTAGAATTCGTGATTTGGTGGCCGGTGTAATGTTCTTTGTAACTGTTTTTCCGTTGTTGCGGACAGCTAAAGTTTGGATGAAGGTTTCTTGCGGGTGCATGATGGGGGCCAGCGCCGACAGTCTGAAGTACGTGGACCCTAAGTGTCGTAACTTTTGTCGCTTTCCGCTCTGGGCCAACTCAAATACTATCGCTTCATGTAAATTGTCTCCGTCATGCTACATTCACGTGCACATGAAAGTGACAAACATCATGCCAAGCAAATATCTTGATAGTCATCCCATTCCATGCATATGACTAAGGGCTCAGTATGGAGTTTAGGTGTATGTCCTTTTCTCCAACCTCTTCCCCCACTCACGATCGAGTGACGGATGCTTCATTCTCACGAGCCCTGAGGTAGCACAGAAGCTTGTGATAGCGCTGGCCCAAAATCATATCTTCTTCAGTCAGCAGGCTAAAGGTCGCGGTCCTGCGGAGATCGGCCACTTCTTGTGTCTGACATCCCCAGTCACTTGTTACTGCCAAGCCTCGACTGTCGCGTAAGGGTCTGGCCCATGTAACAACAGGAATAATAGCCGCTGCAATGGTTATATGCACATTTCATCCCCATTTAATTTCAAGTTTCTTCGAGCCTTCATCACTGTCTATAACGCACCTGAGCGAAAGCTCTTTATAACATGCTGCACATTAGTACACATTTACAGTGACGAGGAACTACTCGGACAACGTGGAGTCATCTTAACTGAGTGGGTCTAGAGGCCGTTCCACTTCGTCGACAGCTACCACCAGCTACGGAACAAGCTCCGGATGCATGAGTTGAAGCTTTCCTCTCCAACTACAATGGTCTCACGATTGGTCATCGAACCACTGATCAGAGCACACCATGAGCGAGCCGATTGTGGTTCTTGCGCTCTTGATGGGAGCGTTGGCCAGTTATCTTCTTCTCTTCTCGCGCAAATCGGCCCACGGCCCATTGACCGGATCAAAATTAGATGTTGACGCTGGCGAGGATACGATAACGATGCTAAGGAGATCCACTCTTGCCACGCGTCTTGCGAGACCGGGAGCGCCGATCATGAAGAGGCTGTTCAGTGTCAGTAATCCGTTTGTCTGCGACTCGGCAGCAGTACAATCTTCCTATCGTCAAGCAGTGTACAAGGCCATTGCCCAGGTGGACGACCGTGCATGGGTAGCGGTCGCTCGTACAGTGGCGAGAGCTGCGAAGCCTCTTCTATGCCGACGCTCGTGGCCTAACGGCACTGACACCATCACGGCCGATCTGAGACATATGAGCCTCAACACATCGCTCGCTGCCGTGCTCAAGACCTTCTTTGACATCGACGACGTCCCGCACGAGCAGCTCAGCTGGATCGCCTACGAAATCCACCACGTTATGCACCATGGCAAACTCTTCCTCCTGACCGGTGCCTCCGTCCACGAAATCCCAGAAGACTTGCTGCGCCGCGTAGACGCCCTGATTCAGACTCTACAGAACCTTTTCACAGAGCACCAAGTATCGACAGAGCTCGCGCAGACAATCCTCTACTCCGTCTCCGGGTCCCCCGACGACTTCAACCCACTCAACCTCCTCATTCCCGCCTTCGAAGCACCCTGGAGAGCAAACCTGTACACAATCCTCTCGGTCCTCCAGCCCGGCCCAAGCAGCCCAGACTATCTTCTCGCACTGCGAGGCTGCCCAGCCGCGCACCCGCTCCCCCCTCTCGCCCAAGCAATCGCCTACGAATCTCTTCGCCTCTACCCACCCGTCCGCCGTGTCAGTCGCATCCCCAGGTTTGTCGACATCGAAGCCATCCAACGGGACCCGGTCCACTGGGGCTCCACCGCGCAGCGCTTTGATTCGAGCCGGTTCTTGAAGGCCGACGGCAAACACGTCCGCTCGTCGCTCGTCGGATCGCAGCAATTCGCGTGGATTCCGTTTGCGGCTGGGGCGATGAAATGCCCGTCTTCGCGGGTGTTCTCGGCCCGCATGATAGTTGTCGTGGTGGGCGAGATCTTGAGGCATTTGTTTCCTGGTGACTCTCCGCCCGACTGGGAGATGACGGGAGAGGAGTGGGATGCGGCTGCTAGGCGGGGAGATGTCTTGCGTTCGGGGCGGAATGAGTACAACGGTGTCAACGTAGTTTCGATTCTGCGGTGATTGAAATGTGTCTCGGATTCTCGTCGGGCATCAAGATGTAGAAGTAGAATGAGTACCGGAAGGGAAGAGCCCGGCAGGCATGGTTGCGAAGGAGTTTTCTGGGTTGGTAGCATGATAATGCGTCTTAAATCAACTTCGCCGTCGTTTAAAAGTGCTCTTGTTGGCACTGACAAGCAGTTGGAAGAGCAAAGGCAACCATAAAGAAAAGACAAACGCACAATGACGAATGGCTGGTATTCCGACAGTAGTGCATGAATGGATGGGCAAGATTGAAGCGGAAATGGAGAAGGAGCGGGAAGGTGACTTTGTAGGTCTAGCCTTACCCTCCCTCGCCATGCGATTTACAAATTGCTGAAACGAGAGAAAAGGAATATGGAGCAATGCAATATAGGCTGTAGCTTATTTGAGGATGGCTGGACATAAGGGGAGACTGTACCTGATATCTTCTCCCAACGAAACATTGTATCCGACGATGACTGAGCTTTGAGTGGTTTGCGAGCATTCACTGCAAGCCGTAATATGCGTGGCCAGGGAGTGTATGGGTCATCGAGTTGACCCTTGCGTGCAGCACAGCGCTCTTTTCAAAGCAGACTGTATATCATCCTTTCCTAAGCTAGAAACGCAAGACGCAAGTTGTTGGACTAAACGCGGAGTAGTCTTGATCATAAGCTCGCTTATTCGTGCTTACAGAATATCTTGAACCGTCTAGTAACCCGGTCCCCCCGAGTCCCTTCTCTCCCCCGGCCCTCCTTCCCTAGGGCCCTCCCGCCCGCAGACTCTGTAAGCCAACCCTTAGCCCTCCTCCATAAAAAAGCCTTTAAATCATGTAATTTATTCACCCCTCTTCATCTATTAGAGTATTTAGGGTTTCTAAAAGACTCAATATACTATTATTCACTTCCAGAATACTTTTATTATTCTTTTTTACTAGGGATAGTCAAAAATCATTTATATTTTTTATTCTTTCATGTGTGATTTTACCAGTAGATTTCCCATTTGCCGAGTGGCCGCAATGATCTTCCGTAATATTTGCCGCCAGGGGATCCACAGTTGACAACACACCTTCCCAATTGACCTGAACATTACATCAACTGCACTATCAGTGCTCTCTGTCTTGAGGGACGATGTTCATGATGTGATGAATGAGATCTTGCGCCTCGTGAACAAGAATGGAATCGTCCCGGTGAGACCGTCTGCCCAGCATCCTCTCTATCCTTTACTGATCCCGCTTCACAAGACATATTTTGCTCCAAGCCGGCCACGAGTTGACCCTGTTGTCTGTGTAAACGTCCTCAGTCTTTTCGCCAAGAATGGTCGAGAGACACATTTACAGGCCACCTTCAACTTGGGTGCTAGATGTCCTTCGCCATCGAGCCCACCTCCAGGGCACGTCCTACTACACTAGTCCCGACACTTTCTTGTATACTTTGGTGGCCCGACTCTCTGTGTTCCTGACGAATGATACGTTCCGCGGTCGACTGTTACCTCTTTCATTCGACCACGTGCGTGAACGAATTGGCGCTCATAGTGACTCGGTGTCACTAGCTATGCGCCTTTACGCTGCAACATGCTCGCGATGTTCAATACCCATGACGAGAGAGCATTGCGGGATATACAGTGTGAGGATGGCGGGTTCCCAGCTGACTGGGTGTATAAATATGAATCTACGGGTGTGAGGGATTGGGAATAGGGGCTTGACTACTGCCATCGCTATCAAGGCCATTGAAATGACACCTGCTGCGTACGAGCCAGGCGAGAAAAACCGATCACAGTGGTGGTTCTGGGGTGGAGTGGAGTTCTTGAACCTGTTCACGTTCTGGAAAGCTTGATCATAAGGCAGGCTTTGATTTCATTGTCATTGCTAATAGGTCAATCTTCTGCGACTCTTGCATGCATTCACTGTCCAAGCCATTGTTCTAAACAGCACTAGCAGAGAAATCAAGTCCAGTAAGATTCAATCAGGGCCAATTCAGACCCTGGAATATAGTTGTACCCGAGTAGCTGGAATCTGGTGTCCGCGGCGCGGAAAAGCCGAGTCCAGTCCTCAATGTCCCGCTCATAGGAATTGAAAAGGCTAAACATCCCCATGCTCATTTTACTGTCGCGACATGTCAGCTCATCCATGCCCACGACGAACGAAACAACAAGGAGGAACATACCGGGCCAGTCTCTCTCTGTATACCGAGGCTTCCCCGGGCGCGGGCATACAGATCTCATTCACAATCACCCGTGCCCCCGGCTTCAGCGAGGGGACCAGCGCAGAGAGGATTTTGATGCAGTATTTGTCCGACCAATTGTGCAGAATCCAGCGGAAAAAGTACGCGGAGGCGACAATCGGTTGCGGAGAGAAGAAGTTGTGCGCCATGAAGCTCACACGGTCGGTCAGCTCGGGTGGACGGTCGGCGGCCTCTGCTCCGGCTACGGTGGATTCGAGATCTTGCACAATAAACCTCATTGCTGGATATCTCGAGACTACAGCTACCGCAACCTGGCCTCTTGAGCCTCCGATGTCGACGATGGTGGCCGCTCCTAGGCTACCCCAGTCGTATGCATCGACGACTCTTGACACCGAAAACATCTCGCTGGAGGCCCAGACGCTCATCGCCTCCGCCATCCAAGCGCCTCGCACGGGGTCATCAGCCATGAGCTCGTACATGGATTTGTCGGTGTTGTGAGCGAGAGAGAAGCCCTATACATTTATACACTAGTCACGTCTAGAAGAGAGGGCGTAGTCCACACCAGGAGCGTGCTTGTCAAACTTACCGTCTCATTGGGCCCATCTGACCGGGCCATTTGTCGAAAGCTTCGGCAGCCTGGGGGATGGCCAATTAGACTCAATCCAGTAGTTCTCATGGTGACAAATTGGACACCTACATGCAGAACACCGCTTGTCAATTCATCAATAGAGAAGGCAACAAGCGGAGCCATCTTATCATCCCTCAACGCCATGGACCTGCAGATGCTTGCTAACTTCGGGTCGCAGGAAAGGACTCGAGCGCAGTGGAAAGAGTTAATCGAGCCCGCTAGGCTCCAACTCAAGCAGGTCGAGTATCATGGTTTAGATCTGTATCAGGGGCTCATTGTTGCAGTTAAGCAGGGAGAAAGGGTTATGTAGCGATGCTTATGTTTCCCTTACATGGTTATCTCGGCCGCGCCTTGGAGTTGACTCAATGTTTTGTGATTTCGCATTACAAATCGTACGCCCATGCCTTGAAGTCTAACTCAGGATGCCTCAAAAAGTGTGCTTCACTGCCAATGACCTGATCCTATATCGCCGCTACTGATGTTGTGATATTGGGGCCTTACCGTGACCCTGCCGTGAATGGATGCCATGCTTGCCTATATTTCGAAAGTAGAGTGTTCTGCTGAGGTACGGTGAAACCCAGACCAGAGTAAAATGAGCTGGCCGGGATGATACATTGATCTCAAGTTGCTACTACGAGCACCGGCCTTCAATTGCCTGACAGTGTTCTGTGCCCTTCTACCATGTTGGATACTTTTTCGTCACTATCAGATACCTCGAATGCAAGCGTCAATGACAATCCTCCAACAACCATCTTCTCCCGGGCTTCGCGGAAGTAGTATTTCTCATTCTCCTAAACTCTTTCTCGTCTGTTCCTGTTTGCTCCTCCCCGACAGGTTCTCTTTCCGATCAGGCGGGCCAGAGGTAGAGCCAAGGACACGGTTAAGACAGTCCCCACCCTAGAACCTGTACTCGATTGCCCTCTATTCCCCTTTCTTCAGTTTCTCAAAACCCATAGAGGGCTTCGTTCTCATTTTCCAGCGTGTAGGAGGGCGCCAACTGCTGGTTCTCCCCGTGATAAAAGACTCTTACGTCAGAGGAACCGCCCATATCAACACCACGCTCACAATCTCGTCCTTCAAGGACACTCGTCGCTCGCTGACATGGCCCTTATCATCATCACATGCCAGGGAATTCAGATAAGTTCGAGGTTGAGGTCGTATGCTTGCCCACAAGCTGGTGGTACAAGATCGTGATTCTAGATCACTCATTGTGGGTGCCACTCTTACGCGCGTTCTTTTGTCATGATTATGGGAATGACGCATTTCAGAGTATCAATGAGCTCACTTGGGAATCTAACCACACACCATGCGGAACCCCATAAGATGGTGCGACCAAAAGGTCTAGAAAGGAATTCCATGGGAGCCCGCGATCTATAATTTTCGTGTCCGAATCATCAGTAGACTCTGTCATAACCGACAGTTTATCGATTGCTAATCATTCAGGTTTGACAAGAGATCTATGCCGATGTAAGCCCAAGACACTACGGGGACATATAAATAATCGCTTACATTGTGTTATCGCGCTAGCATCTGTTCAGACGGTTGAGAAAATCTTCTACCTCTAGAAGTCTATCAGAAGGTCATTCTTTCCTGAATTATCCTCCCAGCAGTAAGCCAGGATGTCGTTTGAAAACATAGTTCAATTGCTCGAGACCGTGGCTAGTGAGGCCCACAGTGGTAAGGTCATCTGTTACCCCTCTGGCCCGACCAAATGCCGCACATCACACTCCTATGGCGAGCTCCTGCACGAGGCACGCAGGGCTTGCCAAGCGCTTCGCGCTAGATTTAGTGACCTGGTCTCGGGATCTCCAGTCCTCTTGCATTTTACCTCTCATTGGGACAATATCGTCTGGTTCTGGGCTGTCATTCTGGCAGGATGTGGCCCTGTCATATCGACAGCGCTTCCTAACAGCCCGTTCCTTCGACTAGCTCATCTGAAACATCTATCAGTGATGTTGAAGAAGCCATTGTGTTTGACTAGAATGAGTCAAGTGCCAGAGTTTGATGATCAAGACGCAATCAAGCCCGTCTCCATCGAGTCTCTCTCATGGTCCAAAAGTCCTTCGACATATAACGCGACTGTCAATGCTAAGCCGGACGATACTGCAGTCATGCTGCTTACCTCTGGCAGCACTGGGAACTGCAAGGCTGTCTGTCTCGCTCATGGTCAAATCCTGGCAGCGATCACCAGCAAACTCGCAGTCATACCGCTTGCCGGCCAGAGCTTTCTGAACTGGGTCAATCTCGATCATGTCGCAGCACTCGTTGAAATCCATCTACAAGCAATGCTAGCTCGCATGGACCAGGTGCACGTTCCTGGCTCAGACCTCTTGTCGAGCCCCGCCACCTTCTTTGACCTCATCGATGCACACCGTGTGTGTCGCACGTTCTCGCCTAATTTCTTCTTGGCCAAACTCTGCACTGCTGTTCGAAGTCAAGAAGATTCACCGAAGTGGGATCTCAGCTGCCTGCAGTACGTCGCTGCTGGGGGTGAGGCTAACGTGACCCGAACCTGTGCCGAGATCTCACAACTGATGGTTCAAAATTGGGCGCCACCCAATGTGATCGTACCGGGGTTCGGTATGACCGAGACTTGTGCCGGGGCCATCTACAACACGCAATGCCCGGAGTATGACCTGCAGCAAAAATTGGAGATTACGTCTGTTGGCCAGTGCATGTCCGGGATTCGGGTTCGAATCTCAGATGGCTCGTCCGGCAATGGCTCGTCCGGCAATGACTCTGTCCCCAATGGCGAGATCGGAAACTTGGAGGTCACTGGACCTGTAGTTTTCAGATCCTACTTCAACAATCCCACAAACACGGCAGACTCGTTCACCAGTGACGGCTGGTTCAAGACGGGTGATCGTGGCATGCTGGACAGCAATGGATATCTCACATTGGCCGGTCGCGCCAAGGACACGATGATTGTCAACGGGGTTAAGTACGACCCACGAACGGTTGAACGAGCGCTCGACGACGCAGGCATTCCAGGGCTCACGCCTTCCTTCAATTGCTGTTTCTGCTCGTTACCAAGAGGAGCCGAAACCGAAGAGATTTGTCTGGTATACCTGCCAACATACCAGAATGATGATATTTTGGCTCGCGTTCAAACCACGGATGCCGTTTCCAAGACAGTGATGATGTGCATTGGTGCACGGCCACGGGTTATCCCACTCTCGAAATCTCTCCTCCGGAAAACCGCTCTGGGCAAGCTATCCCGGGCACATATTAAAGGGAGCTATGAGCGAGGCGAGTACCAGTTTTACCTGGATCTTAACACCCAGATGGTGAAGTTGTACAGAACAATCACGGAAGAACCTCCGAAAAACAAACTTGAAGCCACTCTACTGTCCATTTTCAACGACACTCTCGGTCTCCAGGACAGGGACTTTGGGGTATACAGCCCTCTCGTCGATCTCGGAATCACATCGATCGAGCTCATCAGACTCAAAAAAGCTCTCGATACACGGCTGGAGCTGTCTCAGGAAATCCCGATGATCGTGCTACTGAGGAATCAAACCATTCGAGCCCTAAGCGACTCCATCTGCGCCCTTCAGGCAGCCGACCGGCAAACCACTCATGTCTACAACCCGGTCGTCGTACTGCAGATTAATGGACAGAAAACGCCTCTCTGGCTCGTACACCCTGGGGTTGGAGAAATACTGGTCTTTCTCAACCTGACCAAATACATCCCAGATCGTCCCGTCTTTGCCCTCAGTGGCGAGGCTTCAACAGCTCCGAGGTACCGTTTACCAGCATCGACGAAGCAGTCACCACCTACCACGCAGCTATCAAGCAGAAGCAGCCACAGGGCCCCTACGCAATTGCTGGCTACTCTTACGGGGCCATGTTGGCCTTTGAAATCAGCAAACGCCTCGAGCATAATGGTGATACCGTTGCGTTCCTTGGCTCGTTTAATCTCCCGCCACACATCCGCTCGCGCATGCGGCAGCTAGACTTCCGGCAGTGCCTGCTGCATCTCGCGTACTTTCTAGATCTTACGAGCGAGGCCCGCGCGAGTGAACTCGCAACGGAGCTAGGAAAAGGCATGACCCGGGAAGAAGCGCTGGAGGTTGTCTGGCACAATGCAGACGCAGCTCGGCGGATGGAACTTGCTCTCACGCGGGAAGGTCTGCTGAAATGGGCGTGTCTTGCTTTTGGACTGCAGAGCATGGCAGTCGAGTATGAACCGTCCGGGTCGGTCATGGCCATTGATTGTTTCTACTGCATCCCTCTTGTCGGGGTTGCAACTTCCAAGCGGCAGTGGTACGACGAGCATATGGTCAAGTGGAGGGACTTTTCCCGTTCTGAGCCACGCTTTCATGATGTCGGCGGTGCGCACTACACAATGCTGGCGCCGGAGCATGTGTTTAGATTTCAGAAGACGTTGCGCCGGGCGCTAGAAGATCGAGGGCTTTAATGGCTCGGATTGTAATTTTGTCGGATCTCATGCCAGATATATGTGTTGCTGTCATCGTTTCTTGATTGCACATGAGAGACTGGTTTTGGAAAATGTTATCGGACCAAATGAAGCGTTTATTCTCCGCTAACCAGCGTCCAACTGTCCAGTATCATATGCATATCCTTTGCTACTACAGCCTTGCCTCGCCTTTCAACTGCTCATCTCACGGCCTCCGATTCGGCACTCGAATGGCTGACTATCCGGCTCTGCCGAGAGTTGGACCATCAACGCCACCCCTTCGTCTTACGTCCTCGTAATGAGTCCGGGACTATCGGCCTACGACCCTTGCGTTTCTTCATTTAGTAATCATTGCACATTGATTATAAGAACGCGACATTGGAGCTGAAGGATGCCAGCTGTCAGACCTCGCACTACTCATCACACGTCAGCATATAGATACTTGCATAATTGGACAGGGGGCTATTTCTCCCAAGCTGGCGGCGCTGCCTATGAAGGCAACTCCTCCCACCCGTTGCAGTACCTTGGTATTCACCACAGATCTACTTTCCGGAGCATTGGCATCGGGTTCTCTCTCATAAACCCGAGCACAATTCTCGATTCTGACGTGGCCCACACATGATCGACATCAAGGATCTCAGAGGTCCCTAGTACAACTGACTACGATGTGCGGCCGGATCGATCTCAACTGGCGGGCCGAAGATCTCCATGACATATCGACACGAGGTATTTTGATCTGGACTGATCTCGACGAACATCTTGCACAAACCCTCAAATCGGAGTCCACACGAACTCTGCCTGCACGGATAGCGAACTGTCATACCAATATTGTCATCTTCGTATTGTCGGGACTGTGCTTCCCTGTTATCGCTTGCCAGATTGAATATATAAACCCGCTCGCCGGCGGGACGCTACAAAGGTTGTGCTATACTTCTACCAACAAACCAGACACCCATCGCAAAGCCTACACCCAAGAAACCGAATCAATCGACACGATGATCCCCCTTCCCAAGACGACCACCCAACCCACCACCGACTCCGAGGTGACCATTCCTCTGCTCTACTACGTGCAGCGCATTCAACGGTAATCGCCCTCCTCGGTCTTGAATCTGATGGTCTAACTGACCCGGTTTGAAATCCGAAAAGCCTGATCTACGAAATGCCCTCCGACGAAGAGGCGATCCAAATGGTCACCGATACCTTTAGCCCCGATGCGACTTTTGAGTAAGCCTGATCCCTCCCTCGAGCCCCTCCTTCTGACGGCACACCCTTCCATCCAGACAAGACACCCACATCGCACCACCGGATTGCTGAAAACTGACTCGTTTCAACAGATGGAACTACGAACAGCTCGACCTAGACGGCTTCAAGAACTTCGTCAACAACTGGCGCACCCGCTACACTTTCCTCGATTTCCAATTCCACGAGGCGGTCGCGTCCCCTAACCCCGACGATGAGCAGGGTCGTGGTGGCACTATCGGGTTCGCGATGAGGGGTCGTGTCCTCGGCAAGGAGGATTCGAAGATGTATGAGGGGAAGGTTCAGTACGTCTACCCTGATTGATCCAGCAGTCAAGTGTTGTCTTGGCTTTTTTTGTGGGATTAGTTGCCTGTGAAATGATGCTGATATGGTTTACCAGTGCGATCTACAAGGTCGTGTGGGTGCCAGGTGCTGATGGGTCGCCTGATCGCCGGTTGATCACTAACAGCAACCAGGTGTTGCAGGGGCCGTACGTGATTGAGGAAGAGAGATGAGTACTTTACTCCAGGAGCTATACCTGTGAAGGCAAGGTTTCCTTGCTGTATGGAGAGTATCTCAACCAGGGGGTGTGGCTGATGCGAATTCGAGATCTAGGGAAGCTGGTTAGTCACTCTCAGTTGCAAGAGAGTGGGTCAATCGTAGCAGCCGAACGCAATAAGAATTAGTTAAGTTCTGAGTTATGTCCCAGTAAGCAGAATTGAACTGGAAAAAAAAGTAGACACTTCCCTTGCCCTTTTCCCGTACCCTTCTATGTGCATTGGCCATGTATTATGTTTCCCCGTTTAAAATGCCAGATGAAGTACAAGAGACTTGTTGGAGCAATACAAAGCGTAGAAGCGACGCTAGCAGGCCATTTCCCAATGCCGTCAATCTTCTTTCGTAACAGTGAGGCAAGTTCAAGTGGGCTTCTCGAGCATCGTCAGTACTCGTCCGAATCGTCATCAGAACCCTGATCATCGAGTACTGGCCCCGACGTAGAGCTCCGGGGCAGTCCAGTCTTCCTTCATAGCCTCTAGTTTCGCAAACAACGATGCCACATCTACCTCAACCTTGCGCTTCTGTTTGCGCGTGGTCAGGTCCGCCAGCCGAAGTTCCAGGCGGTATAACGATGCCACCCTCAGCATCGTTTGGAATAATTAGGATCTGTTGCCCAGAAGAAGCATGAAGACCTGGCAATCTACAATAGTGATTTGTACAGACACTTTTTGGTAACAATGACCTGACCATACTCATTATCTCACCAAAAAAAAAAAAAGAGAAAGAAAAGGAAAAAAAGGGAAAAAAGGGGAAAACTAATGCAAAACACGATAAGGGAGAGATGTTATTAGTAGTACTGGCCCTGTTGCCACTGAGTCTGACGCCAATCCCGTCTCTCGCGAGAGGTAAGAACAATAAACCTGATACCGGCTAAGCAAATGGATTGTAGAGACACTGCTTGCATGTGGGTCGACGCGACTTACAAAGCATGGATTATACCCGGAATGTCACCGAGCAGAGTCAATATGATGTTAATGCAAAGGTCGGGCCCACATCCTCGTTTTAGTAAAACGGCGAGCGGAGGAATGAATATTGCAAGGATAACGAGGCATACATCCCTAAAACAACAGATAGTATAGTTAGTATGTTCTTGTCATTCAATCTAAATGTGGCTATAAAGGCCCACTGACGAGGCTGTAGCTGGCATAATGGCGATGGTACCACTGCTGAATGTGCATACAAGTGGAAATAATGTCCTTGACGGATGTGAAAAGTTTCGAGGTTGATAACTCGTTATCTGAGAGCATAATGCTGAATTATAAATACAATTCAAGCTGCACCTCCCTTCAATTTCGCTGAGATCATAGACTTAATCGGTCCGTAGGGCGACCGAGGAGTCCCGAGACAGGTATCCTCCTCACCACCCCTACATCAACCCCGCATTAGCCAGGTTCTGGCCCAGACGTTCCTCGGCTCCACGCTCCTGCATCACTGGGACGGGCTTTGGCTTTGCCGAGTAGATATATCCGATTTCAAGGCCTAGTGCCATCAGGGAACAGAAGCTGTGCGAGTCAGTATTTCGCTGTCATCTCTCCGGGAGGCCTACAGACAAAACTTACAATGCGATGAAGCTGAACGCTTCCGCGGCATACTTCCTGCTGCAAGCTGTCAATCCATTCCAGAGAAAGACGCGGCAGTTGACAGCATCAAAATTCTGGGCCAGAAACACAAAGGAGACGAGCCATCTGTCAGAGTACTCGTCAGAACGAAGACCTACAACGGCACTCAGAACTGCATGATGGGATACTTACAAGTAGGACATCACTCCATCGGTCAAAAGTACTGGCCAGATGTGCCATCTCTGGCGCCGGATCATACAGCTGAAAAGCAGTGCCACCGCGGTTATAACAAGGCTCACAACCGCCTATAGTCATGTCAGTAGAATACAATCTTGGGCTTAAATAGGAGAGTAAAACCCATACAATAACCAAGGTATAGATGACCGTGAGGGTCTTTGTCTCCCGCACGGCCCAACCGGTGATCCCGAGAACAATGACTGCGCTGATGAACTGGATAATGCGGGGGAAGTAGGCTACGACGCCTAGAGGATGGTTGAAGAAGCTGTCCATGATCAAATAATTTTTCATTAATGAGTGGGGAGAAAAAGAATTGAATCTTTTCAAGGCAACCAGAGGTGTTATAATGTGTCAGGGGGATAGTGGGTAACCCAAGACTCCTATTCCCGCATCTTCTTTATCGTGAAAGTCCATGATCTCATTCCCCGAGTTGTGTATGGAACCGCGTCCCAATCTGGGCACCATCTAGTCAGAGAAATGAGATGGAAATGCGATGAATGGCTCAATGATTTCACCACTTGAAAGGAACAGTTAAGCGATGCTGAGTCATAATGGGTAAATGGGGCTGATTCGGCGCGGCGGGCGGGAAGGCGATCATTGCTGACCCTGCCAGCCTGCGAGCTCGGTCAGCAGTATCACCACAATCCGTGGTTCCCCTGAAAGCTTTCCACGGATAAACATCTTCAAGTCAGTTAGAGCCTATACTGTTTCAGCGCTATCCCTAAAGTTGATCATGCGCATAGTTGTGGTTTGAATCTTGGACTGTATTCCCACAACTAAAGCCAAATACCAAACTTCGTGCCTGGACTTTGCATCCTCATCGCTTATAGATGCCAAGCCTGTCAGTTTTCTTGAAGCTGACAACCTTACCTGGGAGGAGGGGTGACCCACAAGATATGCGCAGAGACTTCTCGAGTTTCACTTAGGTATGGAATGGGTGGGGTTCTTCTTAGAAAATAAGTAAGTAGCAATAGAGTCATCCTTCGACATCCACATGTTCAATCTTCCGGTCCATAGCCTGAGCATTATGTTTACTTGATAGGTAGATTTGACCGAAAATCTATGTGGTAGAGCGGAGGAGGTCTACTGAATGGCGGCTATCATACAATAAAGGGATCAGACTTAGTGTGTGTCGAACAGCAAAGCAGGGTGTTGGATCAGCTCGGCAGCCGTTGTTCTCTCTCTGCTGGATCCCACACAAGCATTCTCTTGGCCAAACTCAAGAAGGCATCTCTGTCTTCGTCGTTCAGCAATGGGAGACTATTCGCCAGGCTGCGCTTTGGGGTAAGGTCCGGATACATGAATTTGCCTGTTTTGGGATTAGTAACGCAGGCGTCAGATATCGGGGGCATGGGTACCATTTTCGTCAAAAAAGGGTCCATCGAATAGATCTTGTATTGTGTCGCATAACCTCCCATTACCACCTGCCATTCTAGCCTTCGGACCCCATGTCTCACCCGACCTTTCACGTGCTCTTGCAAGCATCTTTGGGGGGGGTGGCCCCAATAAAGCAATCATCTCCGCAAGATGTGATTTGGCATCATAACGACCTTGCGCATCATACACCTGTGTGAATAGCTGAGCCTCTTGGAGGAGGTTTTTAAGCTGCAAGGCGTTAGCGACAAAGCAATTGAAAAAAACATGAAACGCACCAAGACTCCTAGGTTCCAGATGTCAGCTCCTGTGTTCCAGCCACATCCTAGGATTACTTCGGGGGCTCGATAGGCATGTGGCTGAATTGGCCATATGCATTGGGCATCTGGATTTAGTTTGATCGCCGACCCGAAGTCGACAATCTTAGGGAGGCAAAGAAAACAGTTCTTTCCTTTCCTCAACCCTCCAAAGTTATTGTGAGGACTGTAGACAGGCCGACCCTCAGAGTCGAATTTATAGGCCATGGGCTCTTCGAGCTGCAACATCAAGAAGTCATCTAGGACTGTTGCGCTCTCAAAAGTCATCATGATATGGTCTGCTTTGAGATCTGCAGAACACCTAGTCAGTCTAGAACTACATAAGCAGGTGCTCGGGGCCACGTACCAGTGTGCACCAGCCGGCAGACACCATGTAGGTAATCCAGTCCAATGAGTAACTGCCTAATGTAAAGTTTCATCAGACGAGGAGGAACCAACCCTCCGACAAACCGGTCTCGAAAGTGACTAAAAGTTTCCCGCAGCGGCTCGTACGCCAAGCACAAATGCCTGCCTTCCTGGCTCTCGATGACAAAAGTTTCATGTGCGGTACGAACAAAAAGTCGGCCCTGATGCGTTGAATCGTTTTGCGGAATATGCCCTTCAAGTGTGCGTTCGTTTTCAATTTCAATGTTATTGGTGTTGCCAATCTTGAGCGCAACGACTGTCTCTGGCTGCCACCGGTAGCTGTATCACTGTTAGTGTGGCATCATTACCGAAGACATAGGGTGTGATCATACCCCCTGACATCCCTCGCCATCCATACAGTCGAGGTTGTGCCCCAGTTCAGCTTAGTGATAAGTTGGTATCGGCCGCCAAGGATCTCACCTGGCTTGGCGGGATAGTAGTCTTTGGACCTATAGCCAGAGTACCCATCTTCCTGGATAGGGTTGTCCCACACTGTGGGGTCTGGGGAATGTGGAATTGTCAGCGGCCTTTTGCGGAGGAACGTGAGGTTGCGCGAGGTTGTGTGCACGATGTGCCTTGGTTTATGCAACTTAAAAGGGTTGGAAAGTGGCTCAGCCGACAGTCGAAATTGTAACATGATAACTGGATGCTCTATCCAACAAATTTTCAACTGGAAGATCCACTATGACCCCATGGGGTGCGATAAAGGACACAGTAGCACGAAGATGGATACCTCCAACTTGAAATTGGCTGGGCCCTGTGCAAAATTCAAGGGCGCCTGTTGCCTCAGATATGTTAAGTACTGGACGGGGTCGCACAATGCGAGACTATTCTTAGTAAGTACATGTAAACATCATGTGACCCTCCAGCTGTCATTGGCTGTCTTATTAGTTTACTTGCCGGGATTTCAAGCAGCTTAGAAGCCCAATAAATCCGAAGTCATGTTGTCCCGAGCTCACAGGCTGCCGTGGTTTGTGCAATACAAAAGGGTTTGGGTAAAAGGCAGCAAGATGCCGAAAGCCTGACAATTTAGTACACCATAAGAGATACAGCATGCAATGAGACTTCCAAGCCCGTCAGGAGACATCACATCAACCATCCCAATACCCTTCTCGGGAGTCTCAAGCTCCGCATATTCAAGCAATATCCTTGAACGGGGAGATGTACAGGCAGATACCAGGACTCATCCATGGCTTCTCAGCGATTGCCCATTCCGGACCAATCATGTACGAAGTAAGTATTAATAGTTCTGGCTCTAAACTAACAGCAGCAACGGCAGCTGCAGGCGGGTGATCTATCACGTGATGACAGTCCTTACCGGGCCAAGACCAGCGAGTGAGCCCTTTCTCCCCCAACTCCATCATCACGCCACTTCCAATGTCTAGCCACGTGGATACACATTTGGAAGTCCACAGTGCCAAGCGCTACAATCCAACGATGCGGTCATCCTTCTGAGAGATTGCGGCAGTGATTGCCGATCCCTTAACCGATGGACTATACGGTGGGCTCAAGTGGGCCATGCCAGCAATGCGCCAATGTCCCATGGGGTACCCCGCGTCTCGGAGCGATGATCCACCGACTTGGTCGACCAAACAAGCCCAGCAGCTGCTGAAGTTAACTTCGATAAGCAAGGCGACCACAACTTCGTCGTCGGTGGATACCGTTCTCTTCTGGCTTCGGGACAAAGGACGGCGAGTTTCAGACGATATGCCGCCAAGCCTCTGGCTAAGTATTAGATGGACGCCATCCCGCTCAGCCATCATAGCTTATTTTCTCCCTCGGCTCCTCCACCTATGCATACGGCCAAAGCTAGAGCTGTAGCCCTTATTACCCACCAAAATGCGCCTTTGGAGACATGATTTTCGGGGCAGGGCCCTGATCTTCGCCATCACTGCTGCCTCGTGCCAGGCCTTTCTTCTCCTGGGCTATGATCAGGGTAAGTACCGCTGGTCGATTGCTGGACATGGTATGCTAAGTTGCTTTTAGGCGTTATGTCCGGAATTGTTGGGGCCGACAACCGATTTGCCAAGGACTTCGACAATCCCGACGCCGCGATGCAAGGCAATATCACCGGATTGTATGATATCGGGTGTGTCGTCGGGTCGATAGTCTGCTATTTCATGGGAGAGAAATATGGACGACGTACCATGCTACTCACCGGTGCAACAATCATGATCATTGGTTCTGCCCTGCTCGCTTCTCCTTACTCGATTGGTCAGCTGCTTGTGGGTCGGATTGTCACCGGCATTGGCAATGGCATGAATTCGTCCACGGCCCCCGTGTTTCAGAGTGAATGCTCGCCTGCGGCCTACCGAGGTGCCCTCCTCACTCTTCAGGGCACTGTCACCATTCTTGGAGTCGTGATTGCGTACTGGTAGGCTTACGTTCTTGACGACTATTGCCCTCGCTTACATATTGCACTACAAGGCTCGATTACGGCACCAGTTTCTGCACCTCGTCCTTTGAATGGCGTTTTCCCCTTGCTTTTCAAGCCGTCTTCGCCGTCTGCCTCATTCTACAGATCATTGGCCTGCCAGAAACCCCGCGTTGGCTGGTTCAACACGACCGACACGAAGAAGCGCGCGCCGTCATAGCCGCCATACAGGATACTCATCTGAATGATCCAGCCGTGACGAAAACAATCCTCGACATTCAATTTGTTCTTGATGAGGAGCAACGGGAAGGCCCATTCCACTTCGCGGAGCTTTTCTCATGGGGCGAAGTCCAAAACCTCCGTCGTCTCTTGATCACCATCTTCATCGAACTCGGACAGCAATTCACGGGATCAAATATGATAAATTACTATGGTCCTGTGCTATTTCAAGAAACGATGGGAATGAGCCGTAATCTTTCCATGCTCCTTGGTGGCGGCATGCAGTGCACTTACCTTGTCGGGTCGGCGATTCCCGTTTTTCTGATGGATCGTTTCGGCCGTCGTACGCTGTTGATGATTTGTTCTGCAGGTCTGTGTTTGTGCTTCGTGATGGTCACTATCTTGTTATCGCTAGACCGCGTGGACTGCGCTTACGGCGCGACTGCATTCATTTTCATCTTCCAGATATTCTACGGGATCGGCTGGCTTCCTGTCCCATGGTTCTATCCATCCGAGATCAACACGACGCGAGTCCGGACGCGGATGTCGGCCATAGCATCTGGGTGGAACTGGATGGCTGTATTTGCCGTTGTTAAAATTACCCCAATTGCTTTTGGTATGTCTCTCGTCTTCATGCCTGAAACGTCGAAATCATTGGAATCCTGACTTATAACCTGCTGTAGCTAATATCGGCTGGAAGACATTTATCATCTTCGCCGTGCTCAACGCCGTTTTCATCCCTATGGTCTACTTCTTCTACCCAGAGACTAAAGGCCTGGAGCTTGAGGATATCCCCTTGCTGTTTGCCAAGGGAGGCATCACAGGGGGGGTGTTCAGTTCCAAAGGCGGCCGGACCGTCATGCCGGGACAGCACGCACAGGAAACCCACGTGGATGAGAAACTCGAGACCGACGTGCAGCAAGTCGAGAATGTTGATCAGATCCCGATAGAGGCATGAGTCGAACAATGTAGATTTATTAAAAGGCCAGGCTTAGAGCTAGAGCATACATTGACAATTTCCGTTGAGTCAACCACGGGTTCATGTTAAACAATCTGATCTGCATCGCAAATATGTCAAGTCGCGAAATGAAATCACAGATCCCACCCCTAGAGCTACAGCTAAGAATCACATTTCGTCAATTCTTGGCTCTTCCCTCTCGGCAAAAGCCCCGTCTGTCTTCACCGCGGGTTTCTTGGGCGCGAACTGGATGTCCCCGCGGTCGGCTTTGACCTACTCCACATTACAACTCCGCTTCAGTGTTTATTGGATCGACGCAAAGACAAGACATACCGAAGTCTCACTCATTGTAGCCTGCAACTCGTCCCAAATACTTTCCTTGGTCTCCTTTTTGTAGATCAGCTTTGGAGGTTCGAGGTCATCCGGATACGAAGGAGGAATGAACACTTTAGGTTTTGTTGCGTCAGCTTTCAGCGTTATGGGTGGATGGGTGGAGGATATCCAGCATGTAGTGCTTGTATCGTGAGGCCTGGAAGAACGTACTTTCTTCGCCCTTGTTGCTGTGGACCTCTTTCTGGTATAGGCGGGTATGAGACGGTCGGAGGAGCAGAGGACGAAGCAAGAGAGTGGAAGAGCGGGTAGGTTTCAGAACTGAGCTCATGGCGCCTGCTTTGGTAATTTTCTGCTTTTTTATTGATCTCAAATGATGATCGTGATGATGATTGTGATGGCTTGTCAAGGGACTGATGCTGCTGGGGAACGAGAGTCCGGGGTTGGTGGGGTTAATATGACAGTCGATACAGAGTTTGGTTTGTGATGTCAGGAGAGGCTCAATTGGGCTTGGTGGTTTTGAGCAATCGTGGTTGAGTTACGGGGGTGGCGAGGCCTCGTGTCACCTCTTCTTGCAGATGTTTGTCCAATGCGTTTTGATCTGCAGAGCTAGATATGACTCCGAATAAGCCTCGATTGCCGGCATGATCACTACTTGATTAAACTATAGTGGGAGTTAGACTATGTATGGATGACATACAAAAGCATGTACAACACTTCACAGTTGCTTAATCTAGCCTAGAATTGTTGCACGCTTGCTCTTAGTTCGCATTCACTGGACAGTATAGAGCGCTGAGGTAATATTTCGCTGCAGACTATATGATTATGAGGCGCACTGCAATTGAGTTGTTTGAGGTCCATTTTATTCCTTGCTCCTACTTGAACTTACTGCTTATCATGCAGACGGTACTTTGACATCAAGGGCTTATATTCTCGTACAAACGTATCTTTTGTATCCTTTGTTAACGATTATGTCCTATACAAACAAGAACACATAACTATGTCGTGTCGATATGCAATGCAATGGCTCCTTTTCTGATAGCCAGTGTGCCTTATCATAGGGGCTGAATTTGTTACTCGCACAGTTTCGTTGATAATGAGATCAGTTCTTTATCATAAGCTCGAATACGTTAAAAGCATACATGAGCTCAGAGACCATTCTGAGTTGATACTAGCAGGTGTCTTTGCAGAGACCCCACACGTGAAAAATGTTCCGAAGTCTATTGTTCGTGATGGCCTGACGGAAAGACAAGTCATCATGAAGAAGTAGGCTGTTTATGGGAGCTCGAGTGAGCTCGAGTGAGCTCGTCAAGAGGTTCTGATGATCCCTGCTTTTCATTTTCCCCAAAAGTCTGTTCCGTCGCACTTGCATGGGTGGTCTGCAAGGACCTCGCTTCCGATGACGTTGACATCGACCTCCTCGCATGGCATTCCCAGCCAGCAGGCTATGAGATAGACCATAACAATTGGAGGGCTTTCAATGCAACTCTGTGTGCTGCACTGTACTGTAAACAGGTATTGGACTACACATGAGGTCTGAAGTATAAATAGCATCACGTGTGAGAGGGTGTCTCAGCTCTCGTTCATGCATCGTCGATCCTCTTGCCGCGAGGGACCTATCGCAAATTTCTGTCCCCTGCTGGAAAATCTGAGTTAAGAGATCCGAAATTTCCCTCCGCTCATCCAGCCGTACGATTTGTTTCAACTGCCTTCAAGTCCCTCGTATCCCGCCCGGTCACAGTACACACCGTTGCATGCCACCTACAGATCGGGAGCCCTTCCCCTTCCCCTTCCGAGCTGCGGTGCAACGCTCGCTGCAGATATATAAGAATCGAAGGTCGCGCTTCTTGATTGCTTTTTTCTGTTCTTACAGCACTACTCCAATTCGTCGGTCTGCCCACTCCGTCACCATGGCTATATTCTACCTTTTCACTCTCTTCCTCTTTCTATGTCTAGGAAGTGTGTCGCTCTCCCGGCCACATGACTCTATCGATATTTTGCTGATATTGAATAATCTTCAGAGTCTCAAATGACCACATTTGCTACAAGCACCGTGCCACCGACAACCACGACCATAACAACCCCAACTCCCTGCGGCACCCTTCCCTCCTGCCCGGACTCCCAAATTTGCACCACCGCCGTCTTCTTCACCCCGACCGCCGCATACACCACCACCGCCACCTGCGTGCCTAAGCCAACCTGTCTAGGAGTCTACGGTGAGTGCGCCCAACAATACCCGCCCCTAAGCCTGAAGCGCTGACCCGGCTCACTTGTAACAGAAGTTTGCTCCTATGGTAGCGGCCCCGGTTGCTGTTCCGGATACTGTGCTGCAAGCCACTGTCGGAACACAGATCCAAATTGGCCGTACTGTCAGGAGGATATGGGGGTCTGTCGTGGGGATGCGGACTGTTGTTATGGGAATCAGTGTATCGCTGGAATTTGCCTGCGCGGGGTCTAGGGTGTCTGTCTGCAGGGACCCGTGGCTTGAGGGAGGCCTTGCAAGAAGGTAGCATCGGTCCCACTACAAGGGAGAGAGTATGGGCTGCACTGGACATTGTGTCTGTACGCCGTGATGAGAGATGACTCGAATTATGCTGTATCTTTTTCTTATGACTCAATGATAATGACAATCCTGCAGGGCGTTTAGTTTGATGCTGTGCAAAAGTGGTCAGCTGATATCGACGAGTTTTGATCGGAGGCCATGGTAGCCCAACGAGTGTTGGACTATGCGGGCGGCTGTTCAATACCCTGCTGCAATGTACACCCCGTCCGCAGAGTGAGTTGATTCACGGTAACTTTCTTCGGCCGGTCGGTTGACAATTGCTCTCTTCATCTCTCATGATCCCACGCCGAGCTGGCAGGTTCTTCCCCGTTCCAACTACCTGCTTGCCCGATATGGCAGGTACCACCCTCGTCTTCTTCGTGTCATGTGAGCACTGCGGGGGTATAAACCCCCCCTCTTTTCACCCAAATTTCTCTCTCTCTCTCTCTCTCTCTCCGCGCTTTTCTTTTTCTCTTCCGGCACTCAGAGTCGCGACGGCTGGCTTGACGCAGCAGCATCCGTCGCGCGCAGCAACAACTGCACGAGTACGGGAGCCCTGCTAAGCTGGGTTGGCATCTGAGGAATTCAATGTGCACAGCGCATAGTGTTCATGCAGCGGTTCCTCGAATCACAGATCAATCGGTTGAGTAATCAGGGGTCATGTCTGGTTGGCGTGCTATTGCAGTAGTCAGGGGTGCAGCGGAGACGAGCAAGGCAGAGATGGACCCATATGTAGGACCTTATTCTTAGACGTTTGCCCTTGACGAGACACCGGGATGCTTTTTCGCATGCGGGTCGCATCTCTCCGAGACTGAAGTGGACGCGGTATGCTATTTTGTACTGTCTCAATTCGCCGCATGCAGATCTTGTTGCCCAGCCTTGCGCTCTAGAAGCCGTGTTTCAGTTGATCTTATCCAATAAGCTCTGAACCCCTGTTCTCGATGACTAGTACTGCAAGCATAAACCGAGGTTTAGGAAGAGCTGCGCCTTATGCCAATTTTCACCATCAGCAACCCCATTCCTCAGGGCGACATTGCCGATCATCGCCCCAAGTGGGGACACAACCCTTTAGCTTAAAAGGCCGCGCCGGACAATCCCAACCCTGATGGCCACGAGTTCCAGAAAAGAATAGCCCATTAGAGATCCACTGCCCCCAAACTCTCGCAACCGTTGGTGGCGCGCGGAAATTGAGTTGAGGCGACCGAGACTTACCTTGTTTGAGCACAGCATATCGGGATTTGCCTTTCCGTCGTCCACGGTAGCAGTCCGATTGACACATCGCCATAGAAAACACAAAATGCAGCCCCACGGGCGCTGAAACAATGTCTCATTGGGACCCGCCATGCATCAACTCTGATGTCTGATATTTGAGACTGATGATGTCAAACTCTTGGGTGGTACCATCATGATGTGTTGATGCAGTAAAGGGGAAGAGGGATATATAGGTAGGCAATGTCGCTTGTAGGAGAGCTCTCAACAGAACCAACAACAACAACAACAACAACAGCCCTGAAAGACTTTTGAGATCCTCCTCCAAATCATCTCAGCGACCCGAGAGAAATTTCCACTACAGTCAAAATGAAGTTCTCCACTGCTACCGTTGCTGCCCTTGCCAGCGCCATCACCGCCACTGCCGCCTCGCTCCCCGAGCGCTTCTCCCTTGTCGCGGACGACAACAGCGCCGTCCTCACTGATGGCCGTATGTCTTTCCCGGCTACCCTCTTCTCATAGTGGCCAGCAAACTAACCTCACATCGCACAGAGTACCTCTACATCGGCAATGCTACCTCCGCCGACCATGTCCCTGTCGTCCGTAAGTCTTCCGCTCCCACATAATTTCTCCGCCATAAATTGGGAAAAAACTGATCACCCATGCATGCAGTGACCGCCAACTCCGCCGGCGCTCTCACCTACCTCGCCGACGGCGCCGTCCCCACCGCCTTCCAGAACCTCTACATCGTCGAGAACTCTGTTGCGCCCGCCCAGTTCACCGTCCCCCACTCTGGCAACATGCCCGAAGGTGCCAACATGACCGGTTTCGGAGTCAACGAGGACGGCCAGCTCACCCACGGCGGCAATGCCTGGTTCGCCATCGACGGCTACGGCGAGGCTGAGGAGAAGACTGTGTTCTGGTACGGCGCTCACAACTCCGAGTACATGTCTGCCTACTTGACTGTCAAGGAGGCTTGATCCCGTGGTAGTGTTTGCACTGTGGGATGTGGTAATAGACAGATGTATATATTGGAAAAATTTCGATAAGGTGGCAAGTTGCCAGGTATTAGGCCACTGCTAATAATCATTATTCAAAGATTCCCTTTCGGTGTATAATATGCTAGTAGGGTTAACGTGCTCGTCACCTGTCCTGGTGTAGCTCGAGGTCCGTGTTGATATTTGAGTGCTGAAGAGCAGAAATCGGGAGAGTCTCAACTTTGCACTCGTACTACAGTACTAGGCAGAAGCCGAGCTGGAAATCCGCTGCCGCATTCACAGTCTCTGGGAAGACGGCGGAAGGCCGGTGGGATACGTCGTCGCGGCACACAAGAAGCCTAGGCTACCCGCGGGTCCATGTGGTTATTTCACCGGCAGTCCCACCACCAGTCACGTGTTCAACGAACATCCCAGGGTGTCATGACTTGGAGCCCGAAATCGCCTCTCATCTTGGCAAGAAGGTTAGAAAGGAAGTGCTCGAGAAGTCCATCTAAGCCCAAGGTCTGCGGCCCGCCTTTCAGCGCGACCATCTTAACAGCTCCGTCAACGTGATGCTTAAGCATAACTGCGTCCCGAATATATAACTGAGGAATGTCAGAGCATTCTTTGACAGGGTTTTAAATAGAGAGTTACCTCGTCGTAAGCGAGCATGGCCGCCTTCGCGACCGTCGAGTCACTCAGTGCCGGCACCTCGGTTGAGATGTCGCGTCTCAGTGATTGCAGACTCTGGAACTTGTATTGAAGTGTCATTCGGCTGAAGAGCCGCTGCTGCTGGCCATGGGGTTCTTGTTTATAAGAGAGCGACAAATGCCGACATGAAGCGAGAAGCATAAGTTCGAGTAGAGACGACTCGCTGATTGCAACTGGAACCCAGAGCCTTGTCATGCGCTGGAGAAAAAAAACCTGTGTCTCGTTGCAACGCATTAGAGGTATGACAACCGTGACATCTGAAGACCAGTATCGGTGTTTAGTAGAATACCACCGCGATCCTCAATCTTCGGGAGCCACTCACAGTGATCGAAGAGAAACCGCTCGGTCGGGTCCAGTGGCCTTGCAAAGCTCATGAACGGGTCCGTCCTGTCTGCCGAGAGAATCATTGATACTACGGGGCTGGCAAGTACTTGGGTCTCTTGTGCGTGTGCGGCATGCTTTGCTTGTTTCTTCCGTGCCTGGTACTGTATCGTCCGCAGGCGTCTGGCCTTGGCATGTGCTGAGCGGGCGGCGTGCGACTGGGCGGTTCTCCGTTGCGACTCTGTTGAGCCGGGCGCCCTAGTCGGGTGAAACGTGCTGATGATGAATGAAACCTCTTGCTGTACCATGTTGGACATGAGATAATATTCTGATGCACCCTGTTTGGCAGAAGGTAAGAGATGCGGCATCCAGTCTTATTTCTTGTTCTAGAGCATGGGGCTTGGTGTGTCTCTGACAAAGCATTAAGATCACAAGCCATGGCACGCCGAGACCTGCGCCTTCTCGAAGCAGCTTAGCGCCGGATGGTATGCCTTTCGCTAGGTCGCATGTATGCTAGCCACGGTTAAATCCGGCTGCTCTGCCAGTGTTTATATAGATGTCAGACTTGAAGGATTTGACATGCTCGACCACGCATGTATAAGACCGCGAGCCATGGAGTCCGATTTCGTGTTCTGATAGCCAAGACAGACGCCTGCCACTTTTGGGCTAGTCATGACAACCATGTGTTCTATTCTTCAGCGAGAAATTGGATCAGAAGACTGGTCGACTGCACGCCGATAACTATAAAAGTGACGGTCGTGGCTGCTTTACTGACATCGTCCAGTCACTCAATCCTCTCCTTTTCATAACTACTTATCATGGAAGGAACAGTGGTCCTCACCGGTGCCAATGGCTCTCTAGCACTGGGCTTTGTTCAGTCTTTCTTAGAAACCCATCCTCAGATGACACTGATTGCCACTGTGCGAAATCCGGACCCAGACGAAGATCCCAACACCTTCAGGCTTCTTGCGCTATGTGCAAATTACCCGGAAGCAAAGGTCCACCTGGAAATGCTCGACCTCGGCAACCTGGCCAACGTGCGATCTTTCGCAGACAAGCTTTCCCACGGTATCTCTGCGGCGGAGCTTCCTCGAATCTCAGCCATTGTCTGTAATGCCGCCAGTCTTTCATTTGAGGGAGGCCAGAAGTTCACCTCCGATGGGCATGAAGCCACCTTCCAGGTCTGCCACCTCGCGCACTATCTATTGATTCTGAAACTGCTTGGAAGCATGGACCGCAATTCCGGCCGCATCGTCATGCTCGGCTCCATCACACACTATCCGGAGAAACTGAATCCATTGTGCTCGCTTCGGCCCCAGTTTCCTGTGGATCTGGAGGAGCTGATCAAGCCGGGTCCGGATCCTCCCACACTTGGTCATGACAGAGGGTTTCAGCGATATGCCACAGCCAAACTGGCAAATGTCACTCTAGCTGATGATCTCAACAAGAGGTTGCAAGAAGTATGAAGCTTTGTTCAGGAAACTGACCCGCAAATTTGGCTGACATCAAATCAGGATGACAGGCTATCGAGGATCACTGTGATCGCAATGGATCCCGGCGGTCTGCCAAGTTCACGTGCTCAGGCTCAGCAGAAAAGGTCCACGCGGCGGATCTTCTCGATAATCAACTTTCTCATGCCGGTTCTTAAGCATGTCATCACGATGTTTCGGACTGCTGAAGATGCCGGCCGCGATTTGGCTGTCGTGAGCGTCGATGCGTCTTTCCGGGGGACGAGGGGCTATTTTGTCGGTCAGACGGAAGATGTTCCTGCAACTGTCAGTACAGACCCAGGTGTGCAGGAGAAGCTCTGGAATGCATGCTGGGGGTGGTGTGGGCTTACAGCGGAAGATACTGTGCTTCGAAACGCTGCTCCAAGGGACTGATGATTAGCGACTGCGTATGTGATTCGACAACCCGGGTATTTGAGTGTATATTGCGCCCGACTTGCAGGCAAGAAAACTGGGGGGTTCCATGAATAGTTATGAGGTGCATATAGCGGGGTAATGATCCTCCAATTCAGACAAATCGGCGTGGTCATCCATTTGCTCCAACTTCACCCGGGCCAGTTCCATGAATTTTGGGAATTCGTCCGGTTCTGGCAATATGTCCTTTTCTTCCTCGTCTTCTTTATCTGTTCCATCTTCGTCAGTGTCGCCATCTTCATCGCTCTTCTCGTCTTCATCATCCTGATAATTCTCATCCTCATCCGCAGTCAATTCATCATCGTCAAGCAGCAAGGGCTCCATATCTGCTATTCCACGCATCAAGAAGCGCGTAATATTTTACAAGCTTTCACGGTCTCCTAGCTCTGAGTCTTCATGTCTCCTACTGACCCACTCTTTGATCGCGCGTTCACCTTTCCCGTCCCCGAAATCCACAATCCACGGTTCACGATTTGCATCAATCAATCGCCTGCGTACGCGGGTTGCTCCAGCCGCTGCTTCATCCACGCCTCGGACGGCCGCAGCGCCCACCGGTACAGCTGGCCCGGCACCTGGTTAGCGATGGCACGGTCTTCCTCTACGACAAACGCCGTCTCCGTCACCTCCGTAAAGGTCTCCAGCGTGATCAGGGACGTGTAGAAGTAGTCCTTGCACAGTCGCACGCTGAAGTGCTTGCCCTCGCAGGCGCTGATCATTTTCACTATGCCATCTTCACTGTCATAGCCGACGCTCACGACGCGATGGGCGAGCAGAGCGTCGTCATTCCGGAAGCTGGTCGATGGGTTTGCGGGACAGCTGGCACGTTTGGCGTATATGCAGGCATAAGTACGGAGATTGAATGGTGTCTTGTGCGAGGTTGAATAGAAGTTCTTGTAGTGATCTTCAGTAGAGCGACCGGTGAGTGTGGATAATGCGAGGCACGAAAGCCGATTACACACCACGGGATTATGTCCCTCATTAGTCACCAGCCACGAAGACGCCACACTTTAAAGTATGGTCGGCGTGGTTGTCCGTGTATGTCAACATTGAAATGACATAACATTGCAACACTAGTTGATACCTTCAGACTTGTAAGACTTTGTCGAGCGTTCTTTCATACTAATGCAGTCTCTAATGCAACCAAACACACAAGCACATTAGTTCAGCTGAAATGTCTTGACAAAGCGTTATACTCATGAATTCTATCATATTCTATGTTTCAATGCCTCGCCTCCCTCCCACAGCCACCGCTACTACCGACCCTGAGTGGCCTTGATAATCCCCTCCGCCATCCCCACAAGCGACTCACTCGTAACGTCCAACCCCGCCTCAAACACCTGATAACACGGTTCCCCCTCATAAACCGTACAATACGCGCCACGGAACCCGACCTTCGTGGCCGCGGTAACATCCCACAAATGCGCGGCCGCGAACCACGGCCTCTCCTCACTGTCCTCGACGTACCCGAGCGCCTCCAGCGCGGGCCGATACGCTTGGAGGGCGGGCTTCGCGACGCCCGCCGTGTCGCAGCTTAGAAAGTTCTCGAGGGGCATTTCCACCCCCGCCCGAAGGAAGTAGCCGCGCACGCGCTGCGTGTCACCCGTCGTGAGACACCAGACGGTGAACCCGGCGGCGCGCAGCGTGGCAAAGCACGCCGCGGTGTCCGGGCGGAGCTCCAGCGCAGAGTACCCCTCGACGCAAGCGTCGCGCTGGGCGGCCGTAGCGAAGGCTGTCGGGTTGGCGACGCCGATCATCGACAGCGTCTGGTAGAAGAGCTCGGTCAGCACCAGCTTGTAGGGCTTGTAGCGTTCCGAGATTGAGAGAAAGGTGAATTGCAGTTCTGCGTTGGTCATCCAGGTGAAACCGAAGGCTTGCGCCGTAAGGTTGTGAGCCGCAAGCTGCGGGCCTAGCGTTTGTTGGATGGTGTCGTAGAAGGCCGAGAAGGAGACGCAGGTGCCGACTACGTCGAAGACAACGTTTTTGCTCGTCATTTTTTTGAAGGTCTAGGTGGGTGGAATGGTTGGTGGTCGGGAGTTGTGGTAGGGAGGGGTACAAGGTAGAAGTGATGGTGGTGGTGTTGGTGTGTGGTGAGGGGAAGATGTCGAGACGGGAAACTATAAAAAACGGTAAGTTAAGGTGAAGGTGTAGCTTAAGCCGGAGGTGTGATATGGCCGATACCGGGCCAACGCCCGTGCGGGGAAATAGTGGCGTTCTGGCTGACGGCCCGATCAATCTATGGCATGCAACTAGTATGCTTAGGGAGCGTTAGTCGACATTGGCCCCCACGGCGGTTAGATTAACCTGCCAGATGCGATATGCGACATGCGATAGGAAGTCGTCGATAATCTCGATAAGCTCAGGGGCTGATAGCGACCTTATCTGGACTTGTCTGTTGACAAATCCAGTGGTAGATAAATGTTGTGCCCGGAATGGCTAATCTAGTAGTGCCTAAACTGATAGCAACAGTGAGGAATCTAGATAGACATGATAGAGGAGGTGGTATTTTAAGCGTGGTCGCCAAGTAGAGATAGGTGATTAACATCATAGTAGGTAAGCTAAAGAATGTGATAGACAAGTCGCTACCATACAGAGACCCCAAGCCAATCAACAGGCACCCAGCAGATTCAAGGATCATCCCCATAGAATATTCAACCGTCCAAGTCCGCGTTTTGGCTCTGGCTTAGGCTCGGGGTTGGCTTGATAACGATCGATGAACGGGCGGATTGGCACATCTTCCAACCCAATAATCTTACTCTTGGCCCATAACTTGTAGCCGAAGTATAGCACAAAGATGATAGGTACATTCAGATAGGACGAAATGAAAGTCTCCGTTGACCAGTGGCTGTGGATGAATGATTCATAGCCGCCGGTCAGGAACAAGAGACCGAACAAGGCCAGCGAAAACCAAGTTCCCCACGGCTGGAAAGGAGCAGCCCAAGGCAACTCCTTGTGTCGATCAATCCCCTGTTTCTGGCATGCATAGAGGAATCTGAGGTACACAATACATATACATCCCCAGTTCACAAGAGTGGCGACCGAGACGATGTCCTGCAACCACGTGAAGACGGTACTAGCAGAGCTCGAGAGCGTCATGTAGCCCAGTGCCATGAAAATACCTAGAATCGTCACAGATACGTAGGGAATCCCGAAGCGATTCATGCGCATAAAGCACTTGGGCGCGTGGCCTTCGGCTGCCATGGCGTACATGATGCGCGAACCACTAAGCATATTCGAGTTGCCGGAGGACCAGGCGGAGGTGAGCACCACCGCATTGATAATGGATGGAACCACTTTAATTCCTGCACTGCGAGCTGCGATGACGAACGGTGACTCCGACGCGGTGCCCGAGGAACCAAGCAGATTCGGATCGTTGGAAGGAACGACGAGTCCAATCATGAAGATTGTCAAAACGTAAAACAGCAGGATGCGCACAAAGATGCGACGAGCGGCCATAGGAATGGCGTGTCGAGGAGAGCGTGTTTCGGCAGCTGCCACGGTGATGTTCTCGATTCCACTGTAGGAATACAGAGCACTATTCAGCGACGTCCAGAAGCCCAGAAATCGGCCCAGGGAGCCTCCGATCCCCAGGTATTGCACAAAAGGGCCCGGGTCGCGCCAGTAGCGAAATCCAATGCTTGTATGATTCGGAGCTCCACCACAAGTGATGACCAGTGCCATGAGGTTGATTCCAATGATAAGCAGAATCTTGAGGATCGAGAAGCCAAATTCGAGCTCGCCGTATACGCGCACGAACATTAAGGCTGTGATGAGCATAAGAAGGCCAAAGACGGTGATCCAGACGGCATTGTTGATGGTAGTCCAGAACTCAATGACCACGGCGGCGGCAACAATTTCGGAGGGAATTGACACGAGGTAGGAATAGATTTGGTTCCATCCATTGGCAAAGGATAGGGCGGGGTCGACAAAGAGCTCGGCGTAGCGAATGACTCCACCCTGCAGCGGAACAAGACTGCCCATTTCGCCTACCGCTGCCACCACACTGAAGACCGCCCCCCCGATAATTGAGTATGCTAGGAAAGCGCCCAACGGGCCTGAATGGGCAATGGCTCGTCCAGAACTCAAGAACAGCCCAGTGCCAATTGTCCCGGCCAGGGCGATCATCTGAATGTGACGCTGATGCAACCCTTGGTGAAAATCACGGGCCTCAGCCAGATGGCCGGGAGCGACAGCCTCAAGGTCCCCATCATACTCTTCGTGGGTCTCTTGGTATGGGGGCTTTTTCTCGTGTTTCTCCGAGGGAGCGGGGGCGTCCATGGCGAGAGAAGACTGCATGAGAGAAATCGAAGCCAGGATTTACACAAACAAGAGAGCAAGTGTGGCCCCATTTTGTATTGTGCACACCGATGCCCGATAGTACCCCGCATTGGTAATCACAGTTATCTTGTTGGTCCTTGTTGACCATGAAGCTATCTAATTGGCATGGCGATGATTGACTGTCAGTGACCGCTGTTGTGTTTACCAGACCTACATGTTACACTTATCGGAGAACTAAAACCGGGACCAATGACCTATTGGGGACGACGGCCCGCCGTCTGAGCGGCCGTGGCGGGGACCGACAACAATCAGACCCGATAAGATACTGTAAATCGAGGCCACAAGGTCTGCAACGTCTGCAACTGATAAGCCCCAATCCCTTGGCGCTGTTATCGCCGACTCCTTTTTATTTTAAGGGATGCACGGAGCTCGCGAGAGATGAACTTAACTTCCCCAACTCTACAGCCATTGACTCAGCCTTGCCCTTTTCAACCTGCACCATGACATCGACCAACTGCTTTCCTGGCCCTAACCCAGGAGAGTGCTTCTGGCAAAACCAGCGCAATGAGTTACACGATTTCCGCTCCACCGAACAATTGCCTGAGCACTCCGAGATAGTGATCATTGGGGCCGGATACGCTGGTACGAGCACAGCCCACCATCTGCTTCGCGATCACGGCGACGCCATCAAGTCAATTACAATCCTCGAGGCTCGAGGCGCCTGCTCGGGTGCGACCGGTCGCAATGGAGGCCATCTTCGTCCGGATTTCTACGGACACATTCCGACGTATATTGATCGAGCGGGGGTCCGCGCCGGAGCAGAGATCGCCGAGTTCGAAATCTCCCATCTTCACGAGATGAAGAAGTTGATAGAGGACGAACAGATTGACTGCGATTTCACTCTGGCACGGTCTATAGACGTCTGGTGCAATGAGGAGGCGGCCCAGAAGGCCAAAGCGGTGTACGATCGCATGAAGTCGCTCAATCTGGATTACATGAATGACGTGGTTTTTTACACGGGCAAGGAGGTGGAGGGGGTAAGGACCAAAATCCAGTACCCAGAATTGTTTCCTACGGTTGGTCACCTGTACTGATCACAATGCGCAGATCTGCGGGGTCAAAGGCGCCAAAGCCTGCGCCTCTTTCACTGCGGGAACAATGTGGCCATACAAATTCATTCTGCATCTTCTCAAATCTGCTTTAGCTTCGGGCAAGGTGAACCTGCAAACGTTCACCCCGGCTCAGTCGATCACACCCGCGTCTGAAGGCGGCTTCACCATTCAAACGCCACGCGGGTGCCTGCACGCTTCCACCGTCATCCACGCTAATAATGCCTACGTTGCGGGCCTGCTACCGGAGTACGCCAAGAACATCGTCCCGTGCAAGGGAATCTGCTGCCGCATCACCGTTCCAAACGGGACGACTGCCCCCCTCCTCAATAACTCCTACATCAATCGCACTGAGGACAACACTCTTTCCTATCTGATTCCGCGTGCAGACGGCAGCATCATTGTCGGTGGCGCTTCGTCAAAGTTCCGCCCCTTCAGGGAGCAATGGTACAACAATGTGGACGACAGCGTGCTCATCGAATCCGCCAAGGACTACTACGATGACTACATGCAGCGGACGTATCGCGGCTGGGAGAACACCGGCGCCAAGGTCGACCAAATCTGGACAGGCGTCATGGGGTACTCGTATGACTCCAATCCACATATTGGTGCGGTGCCGGGAAAGGATGGTCAGTTCATCGTGGCCGGGTTCAACGGCCACGGCATGCCGGTCATCTGGCGCGCGGCGCAGGGGCTGGCCCGCATGGTCGTCCAAAGAGTCTCCTTTGAGGAGACGGGCATGCCGCGGCTTTTCAAGACGACTCAGTCCCGCATCGATCGCGCAATGAATGGCTCGGAGGAGGATGGGGATATTCTTGGGACGGGCAATTTCCCTTCCACCAAGCCTTGAAGGAGCTGTCCTAAGAAAAACTTTTGTACATAGAGTTGCATGTTTGAAGATAGTAATGCGACGAGTGACGGCTGCCCTGATTGATTGATTATTAGTCACACTTGTGAGAACCAATAAAAAAATAAGTCTGGATTGTTCAACTTAGGATCGCGCCAATAATCATTTGGGCAAGCTGTGGTCATTGACAGCCGTTATATCTTCAGACATCCCACCAGCCTTCCAGGTACGACTTCAAATCAATAATGATCCGGCTGCTTCAGATGCGGCGTCAAGTCTGCATCGGGCTGCATCTCTCGAGTTGTCCAGCCGTTCCCCAAGTAGGCGAATCTATTCCCACTGGGATTTGTGTATGTGTACTCCCAGTCCTCCCGCCGCGGATCCCTCCGAACATAATTTGCAAGGCTGGCGCTCCCCGGAAACAGTCCATGCACGAACCCATTTGGCCGCCCGCCAGTCATCCACGACCGACAATTTGCCTTCCCCGGAGTCGAGTCATCATTTCCCGTCCAAACTGTGCGTGGAAAGAACGCGTGACAGTACTCGAGGAAATCGTCCGCCGCGTCTTTCGCAGGAACAAAAGTCCGGATGCCCTGGCCGCGAAATTTGCGAATGATCTTCGCGATGTAGGTGATCTAATTCTCTACGCAGTTTGGGATCGTGCCACTGGGGCCAACCACATGGGGTCCGCCCAGCCAGAGCGCGTTGGGGAACCCCGGCGTTGCCACCCCGAGATACGTGTAAGGAAATCCATACAGCCCGTATGATGCTCACACTTCTCGCAAATCCACCCCCGCAGCCACGACTGGAAACGGTGGGACCAGGTCCGAGCTGGCCCCGGTCGCGCAGACCACGATATCCGCTGACCGCTCCACCCCGTCAACGTCCGGATCCCTTCCCGCGTCAGGCAATCAATGCCCGACCGGATGAGCTCCACATTTGGCTTGAGCAGCGCCTCCAGGTATCCTGGCCCAGAGGTAGGGCGGCGACAACACGGCGGGAAGTCAGGGATCAAGTCACTGAGAAGGGCTGCATTGTGCTCCACGCGCTCAAGCATCGAGGCTGTCCACATCTGCCGCAGGAAGTCATTCTCGGGTGAGTCCTGGAAGCAAGTCGCGAACCCGCGGAAGAACTCGGCTTCTTTTTCCTTCCGGTACTTGAGGTAGACCTGCGGGTCACGGAAGGATTCCAGCTCCTCAGCTCCGAAGATTGCTCTTTGCCAGCCGCCTTCGATGTCGGGCGGGTGAACGATCCAGGTGCGGCTGCGGGCGTAGTGGTCGACCTTGGCGGCGACGGGTTGGATCTCTGGCAAAATCTGGATTCCCGAGGCGCCGTTCCCGATCAGGGCAACTCGTTTGCCGTCGAGACAGACACTGTGGTTCCAATTGGAGGAGTGGAAGATGGCACCTTGGAACTGGTCTTTGCCTTTGAAGTTAGGGATCCGCCAGGTGTTGAGGTAGCCGATGGCGGCGATGAAGATGTCGAAGGTCTCGTCGTAGATCTATTGTTCTACAATCAGCGCTAGTGGAGGAAGAGTGTGTCCGGAATTGTCCTCGCCTTATTATCCCGAAAGTCTTGGATGGCCACTTTCCAATGGGCTGCGTCCGGCTGCCATTCCGCTCGTAGGACTTTGTGCCGAAGACGCAAGTACTTGTAAACATCAAAACGACGCGCCAGGCCCTGCCAGTACTGGAAGATCTCTGCCCCCTGCGCAAATTCTTCTATCCATTGATTATTCGGTGCGAACCCCGACTGGTATACGTGGGCGGGCACGTCGCAGCGCACTCCAGGGTAAGTGTTCTCGAACCTGTGCAACGAACAGGTGAGTAGCCGAACTATAAGCGAGGGAAAGAACGAACTTAGCTCAACATACCATGCACCACCCTCAATTTTCGCCCGTACCTAATTAATCATCATGTCTTTTGGGGAAGGTGAAAAGGGTGACAGGGAAAGCTTACGACATCTTCATTTTTCTCGAGGATGGTCAGATCTATTCCTGGCACTTTCGCAGGCAGAAGAATCCCTGCTGTTATGCCTGACAGCCCGACTCCGACAATACCCACACGGACTTCGCGTGGCTGGTCACCAAGATGTTCCTCAATGCAAAATCCCGGTCGTGCTGTCGTGAGTTGACCGGAATGTTTGCTTTGTCTACCATTTCGGGCTTTGATTTCTCGGGGCTTGAAGTTTTGCAACATCCTTGCTCGCGGCTCAGGATCTCCTGAGCCTTACACATACAATTTTGGACATCTTTGCGTCAGAGGACTTAATGCGTGTTGCGGTGAAATATGCCATGTGTCTTTGTAAAATGAAATCCTCGTAGACATCGCTTGACTCTGTTTTTCACGTCCTCTCCGAGTTCTCAGCATTTATCGGCTCTATCTAGACAGAATTGTACAGATATGTAGAGAACAATAGGCATGCGACAACGGGGTTGGGGAGGCGGGGTATCGTTGGTGGGTTGATCCTATTGTTCTCCAGTACGCACCCGTTACGTTACACTTGGGCACGGTAAGTAAGATTAAAGTTAGCTTCTCTGCATTTAGGCTTTCCTTTTTTTCATTCAAGGCCTTCATGTGACCTTCTTTCAAACTCGAGCGGTCTTCGTCTCCGCGGGGTTTACAGTTTGTGTAGGGCAGGGCGGCAGTTTGTTGCAACCTCGACACACATTAGCCTTCCGTGGTGCAGATGCAGAATATCGAACCGCAAATGCGATCAAATAAAGGGACTAAGGGCCGGATTGAAAGCCTTTTAATTTCTGTAAACAACATTTTCATTCAACTATCATTCGAGAAGGGTAACTTCCCTGTGCTCCCGTCTCCAGATACCCTGTATCGAGAAACAGCTAGGGCTTAGGACCACCTTGTCACTTGCTCAGAAGCTGACAAGCCCCTCAGATCGAGGATCGTCAGCTCGATCGGGCTGTATATAATCTAGATTGTTATGTAAGATGGCTAATTGCATCACCTGAGCTCTACAGTTCTGGAATTGAATCCTGTAGTCTTTCTTTTCGACGGATTGGGCTATCGTGCATCCTGGCGGCTGATTGAGCTCATAACCGTCAGAGAGCTCTAGGTTACTATAGCAGAAGAGATAACAACGTTTCCTTTGTTAAAACTTCCATGTGCCTAACATGTGATCATCAATATGGATATTGGTCTTTATTCGTGATCCTTGGCATTCTTGGCGTGGTCCTGCTCAGCTGGAGACGTCTCAAGCAAGTAGAGTTCTGGTTGTTTCTGTTACGTTTGGGGTTTCTTTGTATAAACAATGCGGAGGCTATACAGGAGATTTTCGATAGTTCGTGAGTTTCTGGAACCCTATATCTGCTTAGTTGTAAAATTCAATAGACTTGAGCGAATTGCGCGGTGCTCTTTGTCTCTATACCGCCCGATCTTTGCGAGGGCTGGTGATGAACCAGCACCCTGTCCTAATACCTGCGTTCAAAAAGATTTCGATGGGCTTGACAAAGTCTACTTGCGGGCACAGCAGCATGCAATGCCAGTTCGACCCAGAAACCATAGAGCGCCCAAAAAAACGAAACACTGATAGGGCCGACGTGACCAAGAGAATGATCCTGAAGTACCAAGCGGTTCGGGTGGTGGACGTGTTCTAATACAGAGCTCGTACCCGCTGCGTGCCTGCTCAACGCGTTTCTCCAAGCAACGGGGGCAACCAGCATACACAACATGGTTTTGAGAAACCTAATAGCTACCAATGCACCTCACTGTATTTCAGTGACCTCTAAACCACAGAAGATCAACTTGTCATCCCACCTTATACTTGGACCTGACGATTTGGATGATGATACGTCCACTTCGTGGGTAACACACACAACTGCTCGGTACAGAGATCATGCCGGCAAACCCACGACCACGAGCCCGATAGCAGTGAACATCACAGCCGTGAGATCAAGCATCCGCGATCGCTGATCTACCTCCTTCACTGGTGGCTATTGGGAGAAAGTTGGTGTATCCGCTACGGGGTTTCCGTGGGCTGTGCAGGAACACTATAGTAACCACCATGAGGTGGTCGCATATGTGGATACATGTCCTCGTACTCACCTGCCAGGGAGTCGACCCTTCGTCTTGGGCGTTAATCTTCAACGGCGCAACATCAGTCGGATTGACTCTGTTTTCTGATGAGCCACGTCTCCGTGTGCCTGCTGAGATTGACAATATGGAAGTCTTCCCGCGAGAGGTCCCAAGGGAAAAGTTTGGTCATCTGTCAAGAAAGCTTCTGGCAAGGAGCTGACTGCTGGATTGTCAATTTGTGACGATAACGGCGCACTTCTTGTCAGATTCACCTCCATGCGCTTTTCAGGGATCGAGGGGACTTCCGGGGTGTGAATGGTAGCGTTGAAAGCATCGTCAATCATAGCACCTGGCCCGCGGCTGTTCCAGCAGAAGAACCATTACCTATCTCGAGGGTGGTAATCTTTCCAGCAACAAGCCCCTCCAGGATGCGTACGTCAGTAAAAGACAAGGGTCGTGTTACTGTGAACACATTTGCAGCCCTTGCGGCTCTTGCAGATGGGTCAACATCATCACAGATCTTTAAGAGTCCACAGCAGTAGTCTGCAGCCCTGCCCACAGTAGGGCCAGTCACTAACATCTCACTGGCGGTGAGCAAATGGCATGGGAGATACTGGAAACTGTGAAACTCCTCGTAGTCACCTAGTGAATGGGTTCGCCGCAGAGAGTCGGTCGGTGTTATGACGGTGTCAGGGTGCGTGCGGGCCAGGCTGCGCCCCCATCGGAGAAAATTGCTCCGCCCGACCAGACGCGTGACTCGACGCGTCTCCCAAACACACACCCACTAAGTGAACTCTTTCTTCATGTATACTATAGATACTGTGAGTTAATGTAACTTCATTCGGTCGAGCACGTATAGTCTGAGATGAGAATGGTGGATTTCTACAAGTCGTGCCGGGCGGTATCTGGCCTCGACCTCGAAATATGTAAAAGGTTACATGTAACTATATTTCTGTGGCTGTGCCTGGCTCCAGGCCTACAGGGTTTTGCAACTTGAGTATCGCAGCTGAGAACCAACAAATTTTGTTTTCGGACCAAGGATTCCAGCGCTCTTTCGATAGTATTGATGAACCCAAAGTTATCAGGATTGTTATTGTGACTGCACAAAGAGCGGGCGATCTTATCACTCTGCCTTGTGAGGTTGAAGTCCTACCTCTCGGTCTGCGACTATACAATACTTGCGGCTTTGTTAGGCCCGCATTGCCCGCCCTATCGGCGCCAACGGAAAGCCGAGAGCCGAGCCTCCCTAAACTTATGCGCAGCCTTACGGAGTACTATTTTTGTCAAGTACTGTATTAGAATATAAATAGCCAAATTCATCCACCTTGATCCCAGCATAGATTCGAACTAAACGATCTAATGCACAACAGGACAGAAGTTCTCATTGTGGGCGCTGGCCCCACCGGCCTAGTCATGGCCCTATGGCTTACCCGCCAAGGCATCAAAGTTCGCATCACCGATAGAGCGGAGCACAGCGCCACCACTTCCCGCGCGCTGGCTGTCCATGCTCGCACTCTTGAACTATATCGCCAATTAGACCTGGGAGATCGGCTGGTTTCCCTCGGCCATCCACTCGGGGCGACAAACGTTTGGACACAGGGCGTGCATCGGTTTCGCGTTCCCTTTGGCCACTTCGGAACGGGGCTAACGCCATATCCATATATCTTGATTGTCCCCCAAGATGCGCATGAGCATTTGCTGGAAGAACGGTTGAAGGAGATGGGGGTCGAGGTGGAACGGAATCAGGAGTTGGTGGATTTTGCGGAGACCGATGGCGGAGTCGTGGCGCGTTTCAGAAAACCACAGGCTCAGATCTCGCCGGAGCCAAATGATGCAGAGAACGGGCTCCAGACGAGTGAAGCAGCGTATATCGTCGGCTGTGATGGCGCCCATTCTATTGTGCGGCGCGCCGCAGACATCGATTTTGCTGGCGAGACGTACGGCCAGATCTTCTTCGTCGCCGATGTCGAGGGCCAAGGGCCTGCCATCAACGGTGAAGGGCACGTCCAGCTCGATGGCGAGGTGACCTTTCTCACTCTGGCATATGACTCGAAGCGACATGCTCGACTGGTGGGAAATGTGGATGGGAAACAGCTCGCTCGCATTCAAGCCAACAAGGACATGTCGGACGTTAAATTTGAGGACATTGCCGTCGCCGCGCCGGCTATGCGCCACATGATGCAGATCGACAAAGTCAACTGGTTCGCGACGTATAGAGTTCATCACCGTGTGGCCGAAAACTTTCGCAACGGCCGCGCGTTTCTCGTCGGCGATGCTGCTCATATCCATAGCCCGGTTGGAGGACAGGGTATGAACACCGGTATCGGCGACGCGATCAATCTCGCCTGGAAAATGGCCGCTGTATTGCATAGTCGGGCTGATGTATCATTGCTGGATACTTATGAGACGGAGCGACGAGCCTTTGCACTCACCCTCGTCGAGACGACAGATTCAGCCTTCACCAAGCTAGCTGCCAGAGGCTGGCTGGCAAACCTTGTGCGATGTTACATCATCCCCTTCTTTGTGAAGATCGCAGTACAGTTTGGCTTCATTCGGCAACGAATATTCTTTGGTCTGTCGCAGATCAAGCTGCAATACCATAAGAGCCCGTTGTCTGCAGGAATCGCCGGCTCTGTGAGGGGTGGAGATCGACTACCCTGGGTTTCAGATGGCGAAACAGACAACTTTGTACCCCTCAAGGAGATCACTTGGCAGGTCCATGTTTATGGTGAGGTTTTGACAGAATTGGCTGAATGGTGCCAGGTGAAGAACGTTCCGCTGCACCAGTTCAAGTGGAACGCTCAGTATGGCCAAGCGGGTCTCGCACGGAACGCAGCATACTTGATCCGACCGGACATGTATGTCGCAGTCGCTGAGGTGTTGGGCAAACCTGAGCGATTCGATAGCTACCTCCGGGACTTTGAACTAGACATCGAGTAGGATTCTGACGAAGCCTTGCCGTGTTCATCTTTAGACAAACTCAGCTCTTCAAGTAAATAATTATCGACACGCCAATCTTCACATAAGTCAACGCCCCCCAACGTGGAGTAGGATTGCTCTCTGACAAGCATCGTGAGAACTTGGTTCATGAATGAGATGATTTGGAACTGATAGCCAGCCAAATAGTTGAGATGTCCTAGGTGTCGGATTCCGGCCCGCTTGGAAATTCGCCTTCGTCAAGCGCAACGGTTTTGTTGCATGTCAAGCCGCCAACTCCAGTGTAGCAAGCTGCGATGAATAACATCGCCCATCAATCCCAAGCGCGATCGAAGCCACTGTGACGGCTACTTCGCCGCCGATCAAAGCACGAATTAGCGTTAGTTAATCATCGTACCCTTGATTTGTCCCGATCCGATTGATAGGTGGGCGTGGATGAGCGCACTGAAGTGGATCACCCCGCTGATCCTGACGAGATTCTACTCTAAGATCTGAATTGTGATGTGAGCTGTACCATTGAGCAACCAATGTCGTCGATCAGCATGCCTCGGGCTGCGGGCCCACTTATGACGTCTTGCTTGACTCACACTGCGCAAGGGGTGATTCCACAGCCTCAGGTCCTCCATCTAGAAAAGTGACGAGCATAACTAAGATTATTGTTAGCTTAGATGTTACTACTAACTTGACATCTTTTCGAGTCAGAAATACCTCAATCTCAGATATTGGCTTGCAAAAAAGAGAATTAATCCATGGGACTAAGTACTATATTTAGTTTATCCGACAAGTAGCTATGATTGTATCCCATGGTTCTGCACTCAGTTTTGATTTCTGAACATTGGTATCCAGTTGTTAAGGTTAAAATATCTACTTATGATAAACTTATGTAAAAAACCGATAAAGATAGCTACTACTATTTAATCCTCCATAAGCCAATAATATCGAGAAGAGTGGGATGCAACTAGAAGTAAATAAGAAGAGGCACCGAAGCCCTAAGAAAGCAAACAATCTCCAGATCCGAATCAGTAAATTAGTAAAGTGGCCCCACCCAAGCAGGCAGGGAAAGAATCCTCAAAGATCACTAGTTAGGGCTGGAGCCTGGACCTCGTGCCTTACTCCGTAAGCGGTGAGTATTTCTGCCTACAACCTCAGAGTGAAGCCTGTACTAGTCCCTATCAGGCAAGTTGCTCGTCCAATCTATGATGGAGCTTCTTAACCTTATAAACAGCTGGACGCCACCTTGAAATCTTGATGCTGTCTCTCTTTGTTTTATCTGGCTCCTGATAAACCTCTGATTCCTCATATTTCTCCACCTACTCACCTTCTCTAATTCTGCATTCCCTTCTAATCTGCAGGCTGTGGTGCCCCACGACATGGCGACGGCTCAGTTTACATTGCCATCTCTACCAGTGAATCACCGAAAGCTTCCGGAATGGATTTTGAACCAATCCCTGACCCCAATTCACGACATTATCCGACCGTACAACAATTACGATGCGGTTGTTCGTAAGCTGTTTGCTCAGGACCCATCCCACCGTCTTTTGCAGGACGCGTATTTGAATGTGATCCCATTATACGACGAGACTGGGACGGCGGATGTCCGCGTGCGAGCACGTCAAGTTGAATCGGAAACGCCTCAAATGAAAGAAAAGTATCTTCTGCCCTTGAAAGATAAAGACCGTCGCACCACAGGTTCTCCCGCGGTGGTTCCGAAATTCGTGGATTTCCTGAAAAATTTCACAATCTTCTCTGAAGGCGCGCTGAGTGACCTCGACTGGTCGAATGTGGTGGTCGCTGGTAGTGCTGTGGTGACCTGCTTACTTCCCGTGCCAGAAAAATACAATGACTCGAAGCGCTCCCTGCGCAGTTTCTACCACGAGAAAATCGCGCCCGCGTCGGACGTTGATCTCTTTCTGTACGGGCTGGATGAGCAGCAGGCCTTGGAAAAGATCAAGCAGATCGAGGACCGAATCAAGAACACCATTCTCTACGAAACTACGACAGTACGAACCAAAAATACTATCACAATCGTCTCGCAGCATCCGACCCGCCATGTTCAGATTGTCCTACGCATCTATAAGTCGGTGGCCGAAATTCTGACTGGATTTGACGTGGACTGCTCCTGCGCCGCCTTTGACGGAAAACAGGTCTACGTCTCGCCCCGTGCCCTGGCGTCGTACATCACGCAAGTCAACACAATTGATTTGACAAGACGCTCTCCATCCTATGAGAACCGCCTCTCGAAGTATTCGCATCGAGGATTTGAGATTTTCTGGCCCGAACTAGATAGGTCGCGAATTGACCCGGTAAACAGCCTCTCTGCATCTGTGACTCCCGTATCTGAGCTAAAGTGAACAAATCAGACTATCTTCGAACGGAGCTTCACGAGAGTAGTTGGCTTGGCACGGCTGCTGGTCCTCGAGCGGCTCCCGAAGCAATCCGACCGCGACTCTTATATTGAACAAAGACGAGAAGAACGTGGCCGACCGGCACCTAGGAGCAACACAAATCGGAGAGGAACGAAGCGTGGCGATCTGAAGAGCGATTGGAACGATGAGGTTGCAGAATGGGAGATTGAAGAGCAGATCTCGTCATATGACACATTCGTGCGTTCATGTGATACACTCTATCTCCACCCCCAGGCGGTCCGCTAATACCATCGCATTAGAGAATTCCTTATGGCCCTAGGTACACGGCGAAAAGGGTTGAGCGACTGATCTATGCGAAAGACCTATTGCTCAACGCTGAATGGAACAAGAAAAAGGAGAGACAGGTGAACCTTCATAGGCACCCTGCTTTCTTTGGGAATGTGGAGGATGTGATACATGACTGCTGTGGTTCTTGTCCGAAGCCGGCGACAGCCGAGGACAGCGAAGTTGCGGAAAAAGAGAGCAAGATCTATGTCTCAGGGGACGTTTCCTTCATCAAAGACGATCCCGGCCGCCAAGAAATTGGAAGCTTTAATCCCATCACAGAGACGGAGTGGACAGGTAAGTCCAATCTCAATTTGGCTGGGAACTGCACTAATGATCGGAACAGATATGGCCTACCTTGGCCAAACAGAGATACTTTGCCAGGCTATCATTGACTGCGACTTAGAAAAGGTACAGGAATGTGTTTCGGCGGACACAGCCAGTGTGAATAGTCGTGATTGCACGGGCCGGACACCATTGCACCTGGCTTGCATCTCTTCGACGCCCTCAATTGTGCAATGTCTTGTTAAACATGGCGCAAGGCTAGTGTCTCGCCTGGCAGATGGTCGGTCTGCTCTTCATCTAGCCGCTGCTAGAGGCTCTGTCGAGATGGTTCGTACTTTACTCACGAAAAGTGAGCAGAACGAAGCCAGGACCAGAACTCGCGAGGCGCTCTTGAATGAGGAAAATGATCATGTTCCTGCTGAGGAGGCGCAGTCTTTCACAACAGGCTCTTTCGTCAAGGTTGGCACAAATCCGGACACCGAAACCGACGATGCACTCCCAGTCGAAGAGACAGAAGATGCACCTGATATCTATGACATAAATGCCGCATCTTGGGATAGTCACACAACTGCGCTTCACCTGGCTATACTCAACGGTCATGCCGAGGTAGTCCAAGAGCTTGTGTCATCTTTTGGAGCAGATGTGCTATTGCCAGTCAAGCTGGTGAACGAATACGACAACAGCCCAAAGGCAGCTATTCTGACCCTGGTGCTTGCACTCAATCTACTTCCGGCTGAGTCGGCTGCAATGACGGAAGTCCTTTTGAAACTGGGCGCTACGCCAACACAAGCCGACATTGACAACGCTACACCGTTGATCTATGCCGTCGCTTCTCGGTATAACCATCTGTTAGATGTCTTTATGAGGTACAGCGGCCCCGCCACACGCAAAGCCATCGACTACTTCAGTTGCAGAGGTTCCTCCTGGTGCCCCTCAATCTCTTCACCCCTCATTACATCGATCTGGGCAAGATATCATGGCGGTGCAACTAAGCTGTTGCAAGCGGGCGCGAATCCATCTATTCAATTCGATCAATTCGTGAAACCAGGTCAAGGTATTTATGAGCAGCTTCGAGACAGGACAAGCGATCGCCTCAAGGATATCTTCCGGCACCAACTCACACAGCCGATCATGGCGGCCACCCAGCAGGAAATGCCAGTGTTGGCTCTTGAGCTTCTAGAACTCGGGGCAGATGCTAACACATTAACGGCCCAGGCCTATCAAGCTCAGGACGCGGGTTATCAGCTGCAACAAAACATGGGCGGAATGTCTTTGCTGGATTGTGTCCGAGATAAGCTCAAGACACTTCGTGCATATTTAGCTCCCGACTCACAACAGCAAACTTCGGGGGTTTATACCTTCAAAGACGATTATTTATCAGACTTGGCTGAGGATACGTATCAATGGTGGACCACGAGAAATATTGTATGGGATGCGAGAAAGCCGAGCAAGGTACAGTACAACTGGAACCGGAGGCCCAACCATCAGGGATTGCAAGACAAGAATCCTGCAGAGAAAGAGTCGGCTGTACAAGCTCTTATCTCCGATTTTGAAAGTTTGGAAGCTGCGCTCGTCAGCAGAGGAGGCAAGCCTCTCCGCGAAGTTTGTCCGGAACTTCTTGATCGCGAAGAGCAGTTTGAGACGGAATCTCCTAAGCCCAAGCCGTTCGAACCCGAGATCACATTCCCCAATGTGCGCGATATGACTGCCAAGAAGCAGGAAGCCTATGTTGAGCTGTATGTATCACATTGTCAGGCTAGATTTGAAACCATTCTGACGCATTTTTGCCCTACAGATTCCAAGCAGCGTGGACTGGTGACCTTGATACCGTCAAACGTCTTACCTTGACGGTCGAAAACACGGAACAGGATCATTTACCATTGCAGATTGCTGTGCGCGATCAGCATTACTTCTCTCCCTTCTCCATCGCTGCGCTTCGTGGCCACTATCAGCTGGCCAAGATTGTCCTCAAAATCGCGCAAGCCCAGTTCAAGCCACAAGACTCCGAAGACCATGAAGAATACGAGTTGGACATGGAAAGTGATGCGGGTGACAGCAACGATCTCGGGATCCGCGAAAAGGTTGTTACCAACAAATTCACGGTGGAGGACATAGGCGAGGCGGCTGCGCAAGTCGAGAGTGACGTATCTGCTTACAACATGTTTGAGTGGAGTTGCCAGGGGGCTCGATATCTGGCGGCACAAAGGCCCGAAGACGCCAGTGCGCTCACGATGGGGCACAGGCTCTCTAAGGACACATCTGACTGTCCGAATGGTCTGATTGAGTACGCAATCTGGGTCAATGATGTGGCGTTGCTCCGATTCCTCCTGAAGCTTGGTCAGGAACTTGTTGAAGCCGGAATCTCAGCAGACAAGGGCGTGTTCAAAGTATCCAGCAATGCCACACGCTTGGCCATAGGCAAGGGGCACCTGGACTGCCTTGAAGAGCTTATTCGACACACGGGCGCCAATCTGCCTATTGAAACCATGCTTCGGTCGTGTGGAATTAGCAATACGGAGAAATCAAAGTACTACCAAGGATTGTCGATTCATGGCAAAAAGCGAGCTGATTGGGCGGCAGCTGGCAGAGACATGGGTGTAAGGCAAGAAAAAGAGAACCATCCACTTCTTCTAGCCGCGGTGCAAGGAAGCTTGAAAAGTGTCGAATGGTATTTGAGCTCGGCGCCAGAAAGGCTGTATATCGAATTTATTCAGGAACACCAGCACGAACCAAAGTTGAAGTTGTTGGCTCAACAGGGTGAAAAGACAACAGCTGCTCTGAGGAAGTGGCTCTCGGCGAAGAGTAAGTCCAGCCTTAATTTTAGTCTCTAAAGGCTTCCAGCTGACGCACAAACCAGGTCAATTTGTGCTACACTGCGCAGTACTATCGAAGTCGTCGGAGGATGCAGCCAGATTAGTCAAATACTTAACTCAGCGTGCTCCTGGATGTCTGGAAAGCAGATCTTCAGATGGCCATACCCCATTGGCACTGGCATTTTCCCTTCATCGGGTTGAATTCGCCCGGATTCTCATCGACGCTGGGGCAGATCAGAGCACCCGCGACAACAAAGGCAACAACCTCATCCATCTAGCGCTCTGTGGCTTAGGCAACAGCCCGCAATTGACTCAGCACAGCCTTCAACAGCTTCTGAGCATGCTCGATCCACGGCTGGTCTCATCCTTGCTAACAGAACGCTCCTCTGACCACCCTGGGTCTCTCACACCTTTTGCACGCTGGCTTCATTCTTCGGGAAGGTCCTGGGGTTTGTGGAGGAACAACGACGATAAACAATCCGACCTGGAGAATACCGCACGTTTCATTCTAGACTATGCAAGCCCCATTAACCAGAAATTTCTGGAAATGCTCGATGGAACAGGAAACACTCCCCTCCACGAAGCAGTTCGATTTGGGCTTCCAGACTTATTCAAGATGATGGTCGAATATCGACCCGATTTGCTGTTCCGCGAAAATGCAGTGGGCAGCACCCCCTTCGAGCTCGCAGTCGACACCTGGGTGACTCATGTGACCTCGCAATGCCCTCCAGTGGACCAGGGAGACATGGATCGAGCCGCATACAAGGACCCCGAGGCGCAACGCGTGCTTGACCGTTCCCCGGAGTCGTTCATTCCGGGCCATCGCGCGCCAAAGCATCCGAAGAGATCCCTTTACGAGATTGCCCAGGAGACAGCTGCAAGCCACCCTTCCAAAAGACGCTTGGTGAGTCTGAATGAGGCCTTGGAGGTGACTAGAAGACTGGCTTTGCGGAGCGAGATGAAGCGGGCTGAAGATGTCAGCGATAACGGTGGTGACGATGCAGTGGACGAAGTCAAAGATTGGTACAAGCGTGGAGGCCCGAACAACTGTGGCGCATTCTCTGACGACTACTCCGAGACGGAGTGGTAATTTCAGGGATGGGCTTGGCTGCATAGCGAGGTTGAAGTAGAAATATTCTTTTTAAATGCATTCGTCACTTTCAGCTTTGCGACAACACTGGCACAGGCAATGAGAACTTGTTGAGGACTCTCATAGCTCTTGGAACATAAGAAAACCGAATATGGATGTAGCCTTTATACGCTCTTTACCCTGAGAAGGTTGGGTTGCCAGACAGAGTAAGTTCCTCGACCGGTATAGCGCTGCTTTTTGCTGTGCGGATCTAAATGCAAGGCGGTAGTTGTATCAAACTCGCAGTAGCTTATGATAGACATAGCAAATCCTGACCCTCTAAAGAGTTCTGGGTGACAGTCGTCCTCAGAGCACTCATATTAAGCGAATTCCTTGATCACTTCTATACCCCGGCAACACTGAAACTAGAAGGAGCATCCACTGCCAGTAGTATCGCCTGAGAGCTATTTCGTGACAACCAAATATCCCGCTTGTTGGGACAGAGCTACGCACTGGGAAGCACAGAAAATTTACAGATTCAAGGAACCTTCGAGGAAAAAACACTCATGCTTCGAATCCACATACACGCCTCAGGAAAATGGCAGCCGGAGAACCGCACGTACAACAACCAAGCCTCAACATTGAAATGCCTACTTACTCAAACACCTCATATTTGAAGTAGTTGTCGGATTTCAGCTTCGGCTCGAGGACCTCATCGAAGACCGGGACTGGGTCATTGATTGCGGGCTCAGGCGTTCTGACCGCCGTAATAACATGATTTGTGAGGACCCGTGACCGAAAGCCTGCCTCGCAGTAGGTGAAGTAATACTACCACATATTAGCCTCTATTCGGTTACGATGTGCCAACGCACTTACCACCCATACTCGACGAAACGCCTCGATCTCGTCCTCCTTGGCCTCCGGATGTCTTCCAATGTAATCCTGTCGGATGAGCTCCCAGTTTTTGAGGAAGTTCTCGCGCCATGTCGTCAATGTCTTTATATAGCTCGGTCCGATACTCTGTAGAGAGTCAAGTTCCAGCGTCCCATTCGAACCGATATGCAATGCGTTCAGAAAGACGTTCGTGGAGCAAAGGTATCCGCCGGGGAAAATATATCGATCCGTGAATGTAGTGATACCGGGTTTGTGATCGTGCATCTGTTCTCCCAACGGCCTCAGCAACACACTCTCATCACGCAAAAGGAAAGAGTACAGACCATATTGTTGGTTGTGATTGCCTGCATGACCAGAATGCCGCCCTCGGGCTTCAACAACCGGGAGATCGTGCCGAAGAATCCGTTCATGTACTTCTTGCCGACATGCTCCACCATCTCCACTGAGACGATGCGATCATATCCGCCGGCTGGCATAGGTGCATCTCGGTAGTCACACAGCATAATAGTGATCTTATCGTCCAGGCCTGCGGCCTTGATGCGTTTCTCGGCCAGCGCTTTCTGCTCCGATGCCAGGGTGATGCCTGTCACTCGGCAGCCGATCAGCCGGGCGGCTTCGATTGCAAGACTGCCCCAGCCGCAGCCAATGTCGAGGATGTGGTCGGTAGGAGATATGCGGGCTTTTTGCAGGATGTTGTGCACGCTGCGGATCTGCGCGGTTTCGAGGGACTCATGCGGATCGTTGGACCACCATCCGTTCGAGTAGTTCATGTCCGCAGAAAGCAGGGCAGAGAAAAGGGCATTGGAAGTATCGTAATGAAATGTGACGTTGGAGCGAGAGTGGGCGAGGGTATTAGTTGGGGTGAAGAGGAGGTGGCGGAGGCGGGGGAAGAGGCTCAAGAAACGGTTACCGAAGCCGAGTTTGGTACGGTTACGGAGGTAGAGCTGCATATGCATTAGCTCCTTTACTTTTTCAGTCAGGTAGAGGAGATTTATGAGACAATGGTACCTGGAAAACGTGACGAAGATCATCACACTCGAGCTCTTGGTAGATGTATGCTTCGGCGAAACCCTGCCTTGAAGTTAGGTTGTTCGAGGAAAATGAAGAGTGATTCTACTAGATCAAAACCCTGACAGATGCGGACCCAAGCGTTGGGATTCACAATCATGATTTGGACACCTTTGACTGTGGACTCTGGTCCGAAAGCAACAATCTCTGGCTTCTGCGCATGACTCTTGATCACAACAGTCAATCGCTCCTGGTGCTCAATGCTGGCCAATGCCTGCAGGACAAAGACTCGAGAGTATGACTGAATGAGTCCTTCCAGCATTGTGGAGAGTCAAGAGTGACTATGATCTTCTTGACTTCGCTTGAAGCATCGACAGGAAACATCGCACGTTGACCAGATTTAAGTAGTGGTTGCTTCGACACAGAGCGCCCTCCGACATTCTGGTCTCGCCAGATTCATTGATTGCTGGCCGCGTTGTCCAAGATCCTTGAAGCCCGAGTATACGAGGAATGCGTTTGACTGGTGCAAATTGAAGGATTAGGGAAGGAAACGTTGCTACGCAAGCCACAAAGCGCTTTGACAGCTTTGCTGGCTCGTATAGGAACGCATGCATAACAGCTCAGTTCAGCTCGCTGCATGTCTCAAGGTCAATTTTCCACACAAGAACCTCGCTAGGAAGATATTTGACACCTCTCTGGCCAAGGGTTAAGGCCCCTAGCCCGAAGGTTGCAGGCGTTCAATTCACAAGTACCCGCATGGGCAGACTCAGGCATGGCTGGCTGAAATCTGCTGATGGGTACAAGACCTGGAATGGGTCGGATCATCATCGCTTTTAGCATGCAAGCATGTGATGAGCGTTTTATCAGCTTTTTCTGCCCAGAATTTGAGTTAGAGTCATTTGAAGCGAGCAGATGTGGTGAATTCTTCCCTACTGAGCGCTGCATCCATGATCAAGTGAAGACAGATAGATACCGTGGACATTCGGCGGGGTAGACTGCCTCAGGCGCTATGTATGTCAGACGCTGTTGGGAATATTGGACCTGATCGGCATAATCTCGGCCCGTGATCGGCAGAATACTTTGGCACTCACCATTACGGATTCCGCGGCCAACTACCGCTTCAGGTCATTCTCTCGTGCTCGTATTCCATCTTCCTGATAGATTTCGAATATGGCACGGTCCGTCTTCGCTTCATCCCGGATTGTTCCAGTGGAAACATATCGCGATTCCCTTCGAGATGGTTTCTGATCGATCACTTCGGAGCCATTCAACAAGTGTGACGCTGTAAGTTTCCACCTTGGAACTGTTTTCCATCTTGTTCAACTCCAAACCACAGTACTGAGACATCTCAGATAAGGGGATCCCATGACACTCAACTTCCATGCTGGGAGTCTTCACTCGTCGAGTGACGTCGTGTTAATCTTCAAATAGCAAATTTCGCACTCCTCACCCTCTTCATTCGGCATCAAAACCGTATCCGTATCCCGCGACCAGGCTCCTGTTGATCACCAGCCCATACACGCGCTGGAGTGGACCCTTAGAAGGATGATTCTACGCAGGCAACATGAGCAGCTTGCACGGCTAAGCAGGGACAGACAAGAATGCCAGGTACCAGGTATGACCGAACAGTGCGAGAGCAATCATGAAGCGCTTCAGTCCTGCTCCTGGGCTGGCAATTCAGTAAGATCATCATCCACAATACTCCGTACTCTCCCTCTTCTTATCCGCACTTTATCTTGGCACTCCAGCAGTGGCAGCCATATGCAAAGGCACTCCTCGCGATGCAACTTGGCCTACTGATAGAGATTGGGCCACCCTGAAGGCCTCCGTTGGCGGTCAATTGCTTCGCACCGCTCCTGTCGCTGCCTCTTGCTGGCCCAATAGCTCGTTTGAATCCTCTGTCTCGTGCAATACAGTTCAGTCGGAGTGGATCAATGCAATTCTGGCACTCACGCCAGCCAGAATCCATCGACTACTAGGTATATGCTAACAATTCTTGCCTACCGCCAGGTACGTCAGGGATACGCAACTGACCAGGGCTGTACGATCGGCGGCCCGCCGGCGTATATCGTCAAAGCCACTACAGAAACCCAGATTGCAACGGCGATTGAAGTAGGCTGCTACCCGTACCATTCGCATTGTCATCAAGGGCACGGACCATGACTTGAATAGGCGGTATATTAAGACCTCTTTTTCGTACTTCATTATCTATATTCAGTAGAGCATTATACACTGAGTACATAAATCGTTCACACATATATACAATCTATGCATTCACACTCCCCTTCCAGTTGCCTACTTCTCCATCGACGGAGGCAGGGCCTGCGACCCCTCCAACTCCTGTTTCTTCTCCAACATCGATTGTCTCATGAACGGACTCCGCGCGCGGATCTTCCTCCCCCAAATCAGTACCAGGACTGGTGCGAAAGCCAAAAGCAACGAGACCAACGCCAGCAAGGTACTCGCCCACTGAAAATTAAGAGTAGTGTACATGCTCTGGGCCGCAAGTGGCAGAAACGCCGAGAAGATATTCTCGCCCAGCGCCACAGTGGCGACGGCGCTGCCCGCCCAGTGGCTGTACGCATCAACCACATAATCCGCGATGCCACACACAACCACCACACTCCCCGCCCCGACCATTGCCAGCCCGACCGCCGGCGCAATCCAGGGAAGGTTCGGGTACGAAGTCCACGCGTACGTAAACATCCCGCCCGCAATGCCAAGGATCCCGCCCGCCACGGCCGTGTACAGACGCGCCTCGGGAATGGGGACGCCGGGGATCTCGGTATTGCGGCGCGCGGAGTCGAAGTATAGTTTCGCGGAGTAAAAGCATGAGGTCCAACCCAGACACTGGCCGACCACGATCGCACCCTGTACGTAGCCCGCTTGCACGGCGCTCCAGCCGTATAGTCCACTGAAGACCTGCTCGACGGTCTGGGTGAAGAGGTAGAGCGTGCCGACGGTGAAGGCAGACCAGAGCGTCGAGACGAAGATCACGGACTCGGTGCACAGGAGCTGGATCGGCCGCTTGATACTAGCCAGCAGCATTTGGTGGCTGGGCTGCTTGTGCAGCTCTTCGCGAGCGTACACATTCTGTCCCTTGGCGCGGAGGTGGCGCGCGCGCTGAGCGAGAATGACAGCGCCCCGGGATTCTTTGAAGAGCAGGTAGTAGATGGGAAAGAGGGCGCCGAACCAAATCAGCTGGAGGTAGGAGATCCAGCGCCAGGACAGGAATTGGAGAATCGGAGCCCCAATGACGGGGCCGATGCTACTTCCAGATAGGTAGGCCAGGATGTATATGCTGACGGGGATGTTGCGTTCGCGCTCGTCTCTCCAGACATTGCCGATGACTGAGGCAACAGTGTTCGCGAGGATCATGACACACCCCCCGCAGAAAAACCGGGTGATGATCAGAGTGGCGAAGTTTTGCGCCAGAGCTTGCGGGATAATGAAGCAAAGAAAGATGAGATAGGTCACCAAAAAGCAGCGCCGAATACCAAAATCCTCCATGACAGGGAGAATTAGTAGGGAGAAAAATGCTCCGCCAACGGTCCACGAGGTGACGGGCCAGTACGAGTTTGGGAAGCCTGCATCGCTGACCCGAAATTCCTCGTTGATCTGTTCATGGGCGACGGTGATGATGGTTCCATTCATAAGCGTGGTGAATGTTGTGAACAAAGGGATGGCTGTCACAATCCATTTTCGGTGCAGGGGCCAGTTGAGGGGATTTCCTTGGTCATCGGGACCCTCCCAATCCAAGACGACGATGTCTGACTCTTGCGAGCTGGCTGTGGGTGACCATCAGTAATGAGTTGTATAACGGATGAAGGGATTGTCTTGCCTGACGGTGTTCTTTCGAGATCATCAGTCACCATGATCGAATGATTGACACCATGCAGCAAATTTCTACAAGGGTATAATCATATATGCGGGTTTGGTGGATTTTAGGGGGTTTCTGCAATTGTGCCCTAGGCGGCTTCGTGTCTCGCCGCGAATGAAGATGACAGTGGAGCGTGAAGGACAGGAGCGAGAAAGCTTTTAGAAACCCCCGGGGATCGCCACCTTTAAGTGAGCAAGAAGATTTTCCTTGACATTTAGGCAGGCGCGCCTTCGAAGCTGCGATGAAGATCTGGACTCCGACATTGCTGGAATCGCCTTCATGGAGAGAGAAAGAGAAAGAGAGAGAGATGGGAAGACTCCACCCACGCTGTTAGTTCAGTTCCTTCTCTGGTCACCTGCCGCATGCGGGTTAGTCGGTCGCTCTCTTCCCACTCCCCGAATTCCTGGTTTCGGGTCTTGTGGATATCGAACATTAGAATGGACCACCGCAACTGCCGCTTCTCTTCGTATTAGATGATTCCCTCACATAACTCCACGGAGTGAAAGATGAATATCTTGCATCTCTCCAGCTGCGCATGTGTTCGACAGGTCCGGCCGACTTCTAAACACCGCCACCGTTGGTCCGGGCTTGCTGACACGATGCGAGATCATGTCATTTGCATGTCATTCCGCTGAGATGCATGGGATTTGGCCTTGAAATAAAGGAACAATGGCCGAACCTCTTGGGTGACAAAGCAAGGCGTGCCATTCGATAACATGAATTTGATAAGTTATATCCAAGTCTGAAGAGACTATTGGGCGCGAGTTGGCCCGGAATAGGCTAGTCGAGCGGGAACCGTGGACTGTTGACCTTGACTCAACCGAGTTTTCTTTCTTTCCCGCGGCCTTCTTCAGGTTTCTCCATGCATTGCCTCAATCCAGCAGGTCGGAAGCGGGTTAGCCGAGGTGGATCTGGGCTGGTTTTCCAAAGATGGCGGTGGATGCTGGTCTCAGCGGGCGCTTACCGCGCTCTGGTTCCCCGTGCACCCTGGGCTTCAACAATCCCCTTGTGCGCGTAGTCGTACGATTGGCGCCCCTCTTCCCAGGGGGCACTGTAACAAACTTGCAACAGAGATAGCGCGCCCAGAGATATTCGATCGGTTCAACCTCGCCACTGAGATTCGATGACCATCCTGTCTCATTGACGTCTTCTCTTCTTCGCCGATTTTCGGGACATTCAGCTGTACCTGATCACGGGAATTGCGCAGCGACAACGCATCTGCACCCACCCCACTATGACCTGCTGAATTGTGCGCATGTCGCGGAGAATTTCAACCTTTCCATCACACGATGTGTCTTACCATTCACACCTGTTTCTGGTTTCCTCTAGTCGTTCTCCTTGCCACATGGTTACGGTACATGCACCTGTTGGTGCTTCGATGCCATGTCTTGGCAGCACGCCTCCCGAGCAACCTGACTCCTCGAGCTGTCAGTTGAACTGGACAGCTTCGTAGTCGTACAAATATATGAGTATGCCCCACACCCGTTGATGACCAAGTCAAGTGGGCGGATAAGGGCTCTCTGAGACCGGGCCCCGGATCCTAAATTGCTTAACTCAATCTCGGTCCGTCGATCGTGTGCGACCGTGTGCGCCGAGGGTCTCGTCGATTTCATGCAGCCTGTCTGCAGCTGGCGGAAACCACTCGACCTGTTTTGATCACTTTGACTGGTACAGTACCTGTGCTTCTTGCATATTCGTGCAGCTAGTTCTCATACCACCGCAACTTTCACCCGCAAGAGCCGACCGTGCGACAATCCGCTGTCCGAAGGGAAGGTGAATCTTGCTTTCGAATGTCAATCTTTATTCTTAGATATCACCTCCAAGCCTTGCCTGCTACGTCTGCTGCTCAACTACTCCATAATGACCCAGTCGAATTCCATCACAAATTACCTCAGCTAATCTCGCAATGCCTCTAACTCAGAGTTCTCCAGCCAGACCATTCCCAATCTCTGGAAGAATCCAAACAAGGACCCTTTAGGCACATACCCGGCATAGCGGCTCTGCCATAATGCTGCAAATGAACCTTTCACTGGACCCAATCCGGCGAACCCAAGTACCTCGAGAACCCACGGCATAAGGACCACCAATACTTCCAGAGCCAAGATGGTAGTGTACGCGGGGTGGTCTTTCGCGAATCCAAAGGCTTCTTTAGAGGCGGTTGCAGAGCTTCAGTGGCAGCTTGAGCCATCTTGGCGTTGTGCTGAATCGCGTTGGTCAGGGGCGTTGAGGAGGGCTTGGGCCAGGCGGTTGATCCAGCCCGTCGCGTGGATCTCGTCAGCGGATTTGTGCATCTTAAGAGTGGTTGGAGTGGTAAGCATAATGGCGAGAAGCTCCGAAACTTCTGGAGTAGAGGTAGGAGGTCGGTGCTTTCGCAAAATGCGTATGCGCGCTCGGTTGGGTCGAGGCAGTCGAGGATTTGACTGAGTGAAGCCCATTTTGAGGTGACGACGGAGGTGAGAGATGGAAAATAATATTCTGATGGTTCTGTTGATGATGTTGACAGAAGATAGTTGATGGTAGGATTGCCAGAGCGTAGTGGTTTGGGAGTGCGAGATTCACTGTCAAGGCTAGGAAGGTCCTTTTAATCAGAATTCACTCAGAGGATGATTCTCGCTGCGTTTGCAGGGCTTGCGTCTGCACACCTGACTGACTTCTAACCGCAGCAGGAGTCCTAATACCTGTGGCACGGAGCTGCCGCAGTGAGTCGTTCACTCTTCTTTCTCGTGAGCCCCAATTACTTAGAAACGGGCGCTTACATGAACTCGGCCTTGTCATTTGAGGCACATGAGACTGCGCCATGGCGAGCGGCGCATAGACATTCGGCCGCAACAGAAAAATTCAGCTTACCCATGCTTGGCTGCTCATATTAACTGTTGCATATCAAAGCAACCGACTTCTATTGATTCAAATCAAAGGTTATATCCAATTACTGCCAATGCCCCTTAACCGCAAACACTAAGCCACCTCCATTCAACAACAGCCACTATCACAAAGACCCATGTAGCATTTATCTTTCTCCTACGCGTAGTTGGAGATCCTGGCGACCGTTACTAGGCAGGTCTTTTGTTGTTCAACAACGACTTACGCAGATTGCCATCAGGATCGCGGCAGTAGACGCTGTGGATCTTACCCCGAGTCCCGGTGCGCGGCACAATTTCACCACCCTCCAGCAGCTCGATGCGCTCCTCTTCAAGGGCTTTCTTCACCTCGGTGACCCTCATTCCGGTCAAGAAGCAGAGATCTGCACTGCCTGGCATCACATTCTGGGCCTTGGGCTCGAACTCCTTCCCAATCTCGTGGAGATTAATCTTCTGCAATCCAAACATCAGAGAGTGACTATTTATGGTCAACATAATGGCCTTCTGGGCCTGCGATGCATTCCTCGATGAATCATACCGTTGAATGTTGGGACTGCTCGGAGAAGTGAAGACCTCGTGTCGCATTCCGAGATGAGAGGTGTAGAAAGTCACCGTAGTAGGAATCGACCGCACGCTCAGCACCAGATGGTCAAGAGATCTGATAGCAAATCTAGCGGTCAATCTGCTGTTTAGTGTCTGACTCGACAAGTTGTGAATGTCAGAGGATCAGCGTCCAAGGGAGAAACGCTGCGTGGGCAGCGTGCTTCAGTAGTCGTTTCCGAGGCGGGGAAAGAAATGTTCGGTAAAGTGAGGAGACGCCGAGAGCCCGTTTCCGTGAGGACTTATCCATAGCATCATCAATTCATTTCCATTACCAAGCTCGAACCTCTCTGAGGTGTCATCGGCATCTCTTCTATCCTCACCAGCGGACATGTCGGGTAGCCTGAATGGAAGTACTTGGTGGATGGTTCGAGTTCAAGACCCACCAAGGAGTAGGAAAGGTCTTAGTTACAGGGAGGGAGACTTGTAACTTATAACTTGACTCACTAGTTGGTTATCTTATGTATGCTTGATCATCTTCTGTGCGCAGAAAGTACTGTGCAACAATAGAGGACCGTGGGCGTTAAATAATTATTCATCCATCATTGCTGGTGATGAACACCTCGCAACCTCCCACTTGGATTGTACTTCTTCAGCAGCGATCAGTCCCGCTTCATCTTGCGTCCAATCCCTGGTCTGCCTCTTAAGCTTCATGTATCCTCAAGACAACAAGCCTCACCTCGACATCCTTGCTTCGTTAGCACGTTTCACCTTGTCAGTCTGCAGAAAAATGAGCCGAAGGTTCTCACTCAGCGATCCAGTCTAGCTCTTGGCTCGTCTTTCCTTATGTTCTCGTCACTTCTTCTCTCGGGATGCGCATCAGTGATCATACTCCGTGGCTTGCCGCTCCCCCTCCTGAGCATTTGACGACTGATACCTTCTCCCTACACCGACCGTTCAGTGACAAGATGATCATATCCCTAATGCAAGACATTCTCAACCCACATGAATGCATAATGATTTATTCCGAAACAGCTGTGCATGGCCGAACACATGTCTCGCCGTTGAAAATCCAATACATTTTTCCATCCAGATCATTGTTGAAAGACGTAAATGACCTCCTATAATACAATCACCGCAGCTTCCCAAGGAAATGGATCAGTCTCTTACCAGTTGATGGCCTCGGTCCTCTGGACGACGTTTTCACAGCCACCACATGATACGCCTGCAATGCATTAATTGCGAACGCGTGCGCACCACCCCATAGGAACAGCCTGAAAATACGGTAGGTCTCTTCGCCCCAGCCAGCCACAATCTTCTCCTTGGCCAGGTCCAGCCTCCTCGCCCACTCTTCCATGGTCCACCCATAGTCCTTCGTCTCTTTTACAACTTCATCTATCTCAAACCCATACATCAACAACTCTCCTATCACATCTTGCACGGCCATGTACGTATGCGTTCCTCCCCAGATATAGCGCCGTGTGAACGGACTCACTGCAAATTTCTCCACTGCCGCCGCCCCATCGAGATACATCCTACCTCCCACCCGCAGCAGATTCCACGCCCTCTTCGCAAACCGCCGGTAATCTGGCAGATGCTCGATGACCCCTAATATCACCACCGCATCGAACTCCCTCTCGCTCTCCCACTGCCAGTAGTCCCCAACCACCACCTGACCCGGTAACTGCATCCTTTCCCTCAATTGCTCCACGTATCGCGCCTGACTTTCGAGTAAAGTCAATGTGGTAACATGCACACCCTTAGCACCGCAATACTGCGTCACGCCACCCCAGCCCCCACCAACATCCAGCACGCGCATCCCGGCCTCCAACCTCAGCGCCGCAAAAATCCGCTCAAGCTTCCGCTCTGATGCATCCTCGATACTTAGTCTCTGTCCGGTGGCCTCCTGTTGATCGAAAATGCCTTGCGTATAGAAACGGTACCGCGTGTCGATGAATGTGAGGAACAAGTCTTCGCCACGGCCATAGTGGTCGCTGACGGATTGAGCGTTCATTCGTGTGTTGGAACGGAGGTAATAGTCATACAGAAAGCGAAGACGTTGGCGAAGGGGGGCTTTGCTCTCCAAATCTGGGCGGGAGGCAAGCAAACTCAGCAACTTGCCGCTCACGCTAATGGCGCCTTTGACGTAGGCCTCACCCACGGCCATCTCCGTGATTGGAGTGCGAAGGGAAGCTGTGGTATGAAAGGTGACGCGCCATATTGGTGGCTTCGGTGGATTGACAGGCACGACGGTGCCGTCGGGAAGTTCAATCTCACCGGGGCTGTTGAGCGTGGTTAGGATGGCGGCGAGACCGACGCGGGGAAGTTTGAATAGTGGCTGTCGTTGCGCCTGGCTAGGGTAAGTCATTGTTGCTGGGTAATGGGAACTGCTACTATCCCCTTCGATTGTTCTTTTCTCAGAGTCTGGTGATATTTCTGACGAGCAACACACGCATCATCCATGGATCCTGGTCCCTACTTAAATAATTTCCACACAAGCTGGGAAGCTCAGAGGCACGCTGAGTAAACATGACGAGTCTTGAGGCTGGGCCGAAGGAACGCCTGCAGAGAACTAAGTAGACATGAAGAATCAACGGTCCAGTTTACGCGCTCAGCTCTAGAACAGCAATCTAATGGCTTGTACTTATTGCATCTTCTATACCTCTGCGGGGCACATCACAGCCGGTCATTCGTCGGGGGTTCTCTCCGCGTGGCGGCCTTGACCCACTTTCTGCACCGCTTATGACGATAAGTACTAGGTCAATGCGTTGGAACGGCTGGAAATCAAGTGGCAGGTGGTCGGCACACCGTTGGTCTGAAGAAAGCATTAATTAAGCTGAGATGAAGACTCGGGGGCAAATGGTGCCTTCTACGCTTTTTGGTCCGGCTGCTTCTCCGCTGTTGCGGTCGCCGAAGCGGGAATTTTGCATTTGTCGCTTCCCATTCGACTTAATGTAATTGCCACGAGCACGGTAATTATACCATCCTTTGTTCATGTAGCAAGATATTTCTTGCACGCTGGTGCTGGAGGAGGTTGACTGCAATCGCGAATACTGCCATGACTCAGATCGAAGCCGCGCCATCGGCGAAGTGTAGGAGGAGCGGGATCAATGGCTAGTTAGTTATAGTTCTCCGTGTTATGGCCCGTCATGCACTCCTAGTTACTCCAGGGTGGTCAGGTAAATGCTTCAGACTCGCATTGGGATCGCAAGGCTGCGAACGACATCCAGCGATTTAACTGTCCTCTCGTGCGTATACATTGCACCGTGTACCTGATTATCTGGAATCTCACTACTCCACAACTCAGTAAGGAAACAATCTCCCTGAGATTGGCCATCAAGAATGAAGCTTTGAGTCTAACATTCTATCTGGATGGCCATCAAGTGATGTTCTGTGAGGCTTAGCATTCGGATCTTGAAATATAGCGCTTGGTAGCCAATGAGAGCGTTCCAACCCACAGACGAAAACTGCAGTGATAACAGTCTGCTATGCCAGCATAGATATACGCTCATAGTTACCAGTTCCATGGCCAAATTCTCTGCGTCGCTTTCTTCTCAGTGTAGGCACAGTACGCCACCCATGAACTATCACACTCAAATCTAAGTGCACTTACAATTAGTAATTCACTTAATCCTGGCACCAAGGCAAGGCGCATACATGGGGTTCACCTGAGGACCCGTAACCACTTTGAAGCCTTTGGAGAAAGGGATAAATACAGTGCATTCGAGTCGATAGCATCCTCTGACCCCAGATTAAACGCATAATTGAACTCAGAACAGCAAAATCATCGCACCTTCTTCTCCCACGCTGCTCGCATCTACTCACTCACGGTATCTGCATAGCCTCACAGCAAAGCTGAGTAATCCAGCGCCGACGACAGTCCCGTGTAGTACGTACGATGGCGTCCCTGCAAGCTGCATGAATCCCGGTAGGATCCATTCCGCGCCTCCTCCGCACTCACGCTCATCGTCGTCGGCGTATGGTCCCCGCACCTCATGGTCTGCGGTCGTCGCGACGTGGGGTACGAGCCTTGTGCACTGAGCCGTCGAAATGTATCCTGCATCAGCTCCTGCCAATGAGTCGCCGAGAAGGATTGGTTGCCACTTAATGATGTGGTAGCCCGGGAGGCGCTGGGCATCGATCCGCCATATGATTGGCTCGTGCGGCACGGACAGCGAGCTGTCCGGATCAATGTTGACGAGGTTCACCGCGTCGACAAGGCCGGTATTAGTAACCAAGGGGGCGTAGTGAGTCTGATAGCGCCAGGCGTAAAAGAGATTGGTGTCGTGGGCATTGAGTCAACCACGCCGCCGAGGTTGTTGAGCACTACGGGAATGGCGGGGGCGCAGCTGATTCGCGTGGAATATGTCTCATCGTGCCGTTGGCCTGCCGGACGGTCAGCTCATTGCTCTCCTGGTGACGGACAGACTTGATGGTCGTGCTGCAAAGCATGTTGCTAGCGAGATTCTACGTCGCGCGCGTGTAGATGTCGGCCATGCCCCGGACTGGACGGATGTATCCTTCTCTCAGTGCTTTAGCTGGCGGGATCCCAGATATCGGATGTTGGAGAAGGTCATCATCTTCAGAAGATTGTCGCAGCCGTGATTTATGTTGGGGAGGATGGTGGACTCGAGATGGCTTTTCTCCAGGAAGTCGCCGAATGGTAGCAGCAGGTCTTCTGGGACTGGACCGGGCAGGGTCGTAGGTCCCATCGTTGAAGAAAGGGTGTTGGGCGATGACGTCTAGGTACGTGACGGCTTTGGAACCTGCTGTTCATCGACCGGCTCAATTGGCACTTCCGTGCCGGTTCTCGGGTTGATGTACCCTCTACCGTTCGGTGAACGCAGCGACCACCGGAACTTCGTACGGGACATTGGGACGGTGGAGGTAGGCGCGTGTGGCGCTGGTGATGAAGAGCGCCTCGATTTTGTAATTGATGGGGGGCCGTCGGCCAGTGTAAAAAGTCTCTGCGTGGCCTCCTAAGCGGCTGCTGCGCTCGATGACAACCGAAGGGAAGACTTGCCCAGACCCTTGAGAGGTATAGCAGTGTAGATTCCAGCGCTGCCTCCGCCCACCATTACCACATCGTGATGGTTGCCCCGAAGACCGAGCCCGCCCCGGTTGAAAGTAGGCAGGCAAACGCGCGAAGCAGGCCCACCAGGTGAAATGGGTCTCATGGTCATAGTAAATACAATAGCTATCATCCAAAGCAAGAGATTACTCTCAATACGATTGCATCACTCTCTAGGGCGCATTTGCTTCCATTCCTCAACCTATGCAAACTTCATTACATTACGGCCAGGCCATTGCACATCGCCCTCTTGGCCTTTCCTGGTACTCGTGATTCTTAGCCATTGACCCGTCCTTTCCCCACATGCTTGAAGCAATTATGGAATGGTGTTATTCACATGTGTATACCGAGGTTTGACTTTGCTCGGTGAGTTATTTGCAGAAATGCTGCGGACTTGTACATGATTGAGACATATGCTCTCCAAATCAGTAAAACCACCAACAAACAGTCAAGAACGGACCCTCTAATCACCGCACCACATTAGACAAGTTGTTAAGCAAGCCGTTGTGCCACAACCATGAGACAGCCTCACGTGCTTGCAGGGATGCAGGATAATCGACTTATTGATATCTCAGCTTTCCGTCTACGTGGATGGCATCGGCGGACCACATCTTCTCCTGGGAACACAATGTTACCTCACGGGGATGGCAATAGACAGGAGGATCGCCTAGGCTTGCTGCCTAACATTAGGGTCCTCTGCGAAAGCAATACGGACGCCATCGATGTAGGACGGAGTTGCACACGATCCGGGGCCAACTCATCTGAGCTGAGGTACCGTACCCTTGGCAGCTGGGGTTGCCGAAACGTTGATCTGCGCACATGGTGACACCTCAGGCTGGATATTTGCGGGCGACGTTGAGGCCATCAATCATGAAAGTTTTCTCGCGGCTGGCGAATTCATGCAGTGGCCTGCTGAGTTCAAGTCAACATGGGTGCACTCATCGGTGAGACTGAGATGCTCCCAGTCTGTTTGGTGCCTAGGTTGTACTTCGTTTCGTTGTTTTGGTTTTTTTTTTTTTTTTTTTGCTTCCTCGCTCCACTCTTTCGCTTTTCCCCCGTCGTCTCAGCAAGGCTTCTAGATTGGCATTTGGCCGAAGCTGTTCATGACCAAATGGGGATAAGCAAAGTGCTTGGCCAAAGGGAAGTGAGCGATCAGCAGATACTGGTATACCGTGGTACAAGGTGCATACTGTACATAGTGCTATGCCATTGACCAGTCTTCTACACAATGGTATAGCTAAATCTCTTCTGTCACTGCATCAATCAAGGCAAGATGGCCGAGTTGGTCCAAGGCGTCAGGTTAAGGTTACCTTAGCACGCAGCTTCACAGCTTCCTGATCATCGTAAGATGGCGTGGGTTCGAATCCCACTCTTGTCATAGCTTTTTCTTTTTGTTTTCATCCTGTCTCCTCTCCACTGTTTATTCGTTTTTCATCTCTTCTTCTCTGGACTTTTTCCCTGTTGTTGTTCCGTTATCTTATTTTACGCTGCATAGACGTCAGCACCCAACGATGCTGTAGTGAGTCCCGCCTGTGGACTGTCGAGATACTGTAACTCTCCTCAGAACGCCACTACTTTAGAAAGAGCAACCACCAACCACACCATGCTCGATAGACTAGTAGGTAGTATTGGTAGCCGTGAGAACAACAAATTCGTAGCTTCCCGATACCGTACAGCACTTAATCACAACTCATTTGTCCGGGAGAAAACAGAAGCTGTAAGTAGCAAGAGGTCGACAACAAGGCGCCGCCGCCGCCGCCACCACCACCATCACCACCATATAAGGTTCCCAGCGGACAATGGCACAATCATGAGCCCCCTTACCACTCAACCCCAGCAATCATCATCAACTTCCGCAGCCACTTATGACTGAGAACCTCACATCCCAAGATAGCCTTCCCTCCCACCCACCATCCACATCACCCCCACCCCGCACGCCACAACTGGCACCATCCCCTCTCGCACCGGAACCGCGTTCTACACCACCATCTCCGAAAGATACAACCACAGAATCACCACAAAGCTTACCAGCGCCAGATCGTACACTGAATCATTTTGGATGTGATACGCGGCCGAATCGGGTGCAGGCGGCCAGGAAATTGAGGAGGCCGTAGACGTGAGCCAAGAGCGGGGCCTTGGGCGGTGCAGAGGGGCCGGAAAAGGCTTTGATGGAGGGGATAGGACGAACATAGGTGGTTAGACTGTGGATCAGGGTTGCGACGGTGCTCTGCGATGGTTCGTATTCTTAATCAAGGCTATTGAAGCGTGGCCAAGGAAATGGGACAATGTACGTAGAGGAGGAAGAAGGGAAGAAGGCCTTCTTCGTAAGGGGGAAGCCAGCTGGTGGTCATTTCGTTGGGTGTTGATTTGAGGTGGAAGGTCTGCAGCAGGTGGAGAAAGCGAAAGAGTGGGAGGGGATCTTTTATAGGGGCATAAGGATGATACAAGTCGGTCTGGAATGTGATGGCGACCCCAATAGTCTCTTTGATGAACCGCTATTGCTTCTTCTGCAGGAGTCATTTTTGGCTGCTCGTATGTCGAAATCATATCTTCCAGATGTGTCGGGTGTCTGCGCTTTACGATGATCTCAGACCGTCTGTTGATGGAATGTCACATAACGCAGTTTCCTATCACAATCTATCCTGTCTCTGCATGACGTACCCCCGTACTTCAACACCGGGCAACCTTGCTCTTAAGCTTACGGACAACATTCTCCAAATCAGGCTTCCACCTGCAGCATGGCCTCAATTACCCCATAACCCTCCATCACGATATCCACTCCAGTCACCACCAGCCCCGCCCTCCTCAGCAGCTCCGTAATATGTCTCTCCGTCCGCTCCATCGCCGCCATAAACACCATCATCACAATATCCATTCTCGACAGGATCCTAGGTGCCTGCCACTCGGGCATAATGCCTCCAAACAACCACAGCTTTGAATAGCCTCTCCTCATTCCGCAGGTCACATTTCTTAGAATGCTCACCACCTTATCGTCTGGCCAATTGTGGATGATATGCTTGAGTAGATATACACGGGCGCCCTTCACCATCTGCGGCGTGAAAAAGTCATACGGTATATACTCGATCATTGGGTCCCGCATATCGGCTTGGATGGTCTCAATAACGGACTGTTGGTCCTGCAGGATAAGCTGGCCTGTTTGCAGCGGATGGGGGAACTTAGCCTTTACAGCACGCAGGCCATGGCCGACGCTGCCGCCGACATCAACGAGCAGGGGTCTATCGGAATGGAGGGTGTCCACGCCCTCCGTGATGCGGGCCCAGACGGGGTATGACTCGCTCCAGTGTTGTCGATTGCGTTTTGTAGTCTGGAAGGTGTTAAAGTCGTGCGCGATGCTAGGGTTGGCTGCCAGCCAGCTGAAGAAACTGTGGTCGGTGTGAAAGCAGGATTGGAAGATTCCTGAGGAGCTGTCGCTGTCGGACGGATTGCGGTACTTCGTGGCCTGGAGATAGTCGGGGAAGCTTTGTAAGTTGGGGCCAATTTTGCCGCTGTTTGAAAGGGTGCAGGCGTTAGTTGCTTTCGTTCTGCAGTGAATATAGGAAAGAATGACATACAACATCCGGAACCCGGCGGCAAATGCCGGGCTTCCTAAGATATGCGAGGTCGGCGTTGCAGTGTAGGTCTCTGGACCTGATTCATGGATTACCCCTATTCCAGTAATGACCCTCAATAGTCGAGCTACCGATGATGAGCTTCGTAGAATGGCAGCGGGTAGTGGGACGCTCACCGAGAAGACTTGTTTCGGCCCCCGTTTGTTCCGCAAGTTGCTGTAGCGTTAAAGGCCCATCCCTCGGCCTTTCAAAGATTCTCAGATCGCTTGCGGTTCGGAGACAGGGGAAGATGGTGAACTGCCATGTACATCAGCTTTGTTATCTTAGGCATGGGAGACAAGCAGACTGTTGTGAAGCTTTCCAAGGCTAAATCGCCTGGCTTTTGCAACGCAGTAATAGTCGCTTGGCAGTGTGATATAGCATCTTTGTGGGTCTCAGGGTCATCCAAATCGATCGTGTTGAGGTGGGCAAGCGCAGCCTTAGCCTCATCAGCGCGAGGAATAAAGTCGGACATACTAAGTTAGTTGGTGCCCGAGGCCGTAAACAATGATAAAAAGCCAACGACTGCAGTGCCACTCGGCTACTCTGCTCTTTGACTAGTGCTAACATTTATCATGTAAACGCTTTCGGCTGCCCAGGGTCGCCGCAATCTTCGCCAGCTTCCTGTAGTCGCCGAGTTGTATGTCACCATGAGATGTCCGGATTACTCCATTGACTCAGCCTTGGAAGATGTTTCCAGAACATGCCCTTTTGTCGCCGCACTCTTAAGATGTACGACGTGGGAGAGAGGCAAGCCGTGTTGCACTGCAAACAAACATTGTTGTACCATTTATCTTCCTAACAACCTCGTCAACGGAACTTCATGAGGTTGCACAGCTCGATAGACGCTATTGCCTCATTTTTCATCCTTTATCACGGCCCAGTCCTTTCTGTGGACATTCGATTATTGACCAAGCGAACCGAAGTCAATCAATGAGTTCTAACGCTCCCATAAGAAATGCGTAGAAGAAGGCCGCCCGTCTGACATGGGATACCTGCAGACAATCCCGTCTTCCAGAGGGGCCTCAGAAGGTAACTTCAAACTTCGTCCTGATCTTCTTGCCGTACTTGTAGAAAACGACCGGCACCGGCAGCATAAGCAAAGCAATAAATCCCAGCAACGAATTACCCCAACCCAGCCCCAGAGTAGCATACATGGAGGGACCGGCAAGTGGCAGAAAAGCGCCAACAAACGACCGAACCAGGGTGTTTGCAGCCACCGCAGAAGCAGCATATGGACCAAACGCATCCACCATGTACGACTGAATAGGCAGGAAGGTCGCAATCATTCCCAAGCCTATCCACCCCAACCCGATGACGGGCATGATCCAGTGCACATGTTGGTCGACCGACCAGCCATACCAGAACAACCCAATGGGCACCAGGAGGCTGCCCGGGATCAGTAGTGGCAGTCGAAATTCAGGCTCTGCCTGACCGTTGTTCCACGCCGTCAGTCGAATCTGGGTCTTGTCGGACATTGCGCCAAAAATGACCATGCCAATCGCAGCACCCACCCCAACCCCGATGTAGACCAGCCCAGTGTTACCCTGGCTAAAGTGGTATGTAGTCTCGTAGATGTGGGTAATGGTAGTAAAGAGCAGATAGAGGTAGCCGAAAACAATTCCTACGATGCGAATAGAGATTAGGAACGTGAATTTCTGCAGACCATGATAGGTACAACCTAGCAAAAAAACTTACCGATGTACGTTGAGAACAGAGCCACGATTGGAGAAAAGAAAAGCATTTTCAGCGGTCGGACGATGGATTGAACTATGCTGTTCTTTGCATTGACTCTAGGCGCCTTCTCGGCGTAGAGGGCGGGATTTCCAGTCTCTTTTTTTAACCGGTCCACTTCGCGCTGAAGTAGGACAGGTTCGTAAGTCTCCGACTGGAACAGCAGAGTGAAGATCAGCGCGACACCTGACTGAGAGAAGGAAGGATTGTCAGTAAGTTAGGCTATCAATAGTCCAGGCCCTGGGCACTCACCACGATGGCCACCAGCCAAAGAACCCAACGCCATCCCGCAGCTTCTGACAGGTAGCCACAAGCAATGGGTCCGAGCACTGGGCCCATGAGCGGCCCTACACCCCAAATAGCCATGACCAACCCTCTTTCTTGTGGAATAAAAAGATCACCAATCGACCCTGCTCCCAGAGTCATCGGAGCGCTACCGGACAGGCCAGCTAATAGTCGAAATGCCAAGAGAGCGCCCATATTAGGAGATAGAGCACAGGCAACGTTCCACACAACAAAAACTGCCGTGGTGATCTGGTAAACGCGTAAGCGACCATACATTTCCGACACTGGAGCCAGAACCAGGGGGCCCAGGCCGAAGCCGATCAGGTAGATGGAGACGGAGAAGGAGCCAAGAGTCCTGTTGGTAGAACGAAACTCCTTCAGGACCAAGCCCGTAGCGGGAGCTAGGATGGAAGAAGCCAAGGGTGTCAGAAAAGTCAGGAAGGAGATGCTAAAGATGTTCAGCCATTTCTTCTTTCTCGGCCAGTTGATTGGTCTGGCCGGATCGTTGGGGCCATCCCAATCGACGATGGACGAGTTGGCTTCCACCTTCATCACGCTGGCAGTACTGCTCCCTGGGCAAGTTGTGTGTCGTCGCAATTGATGGAGGTTGTATTGCTCACAAGGCGACGGCGTCGCAAGACGGTTGTGTGTTGTGAACCAAGAATGATGCGTGAGGCTGCGTGTCTGCTTTTAAAAAGACCCGCGACATGTGCCCCCTCTCCCGTCTTGAGTAACCAGTCCGGTTCAACGCAGCTTCCAGACTGGGTGATGACTGCGCGGCTTGTGTTTCTCGGTTAATGTGGCTAGTGATGGTCGAATTTATTATTCGTCAAGCTGGGTCAAAAAAAAAAAAAAAAAAAAAAGTAACGGTGAAGCTTAAAAGAGAATCAAATGACATGACAGAGATGAAGACCAAAGGTGGGTGGAAGGAAAGAAGATATGGAAAGCTGCGAGAAGAACCTTTGAAAGGCAACGAAAGTTACAGATTCGGGATTATCGTCCGAAAGCCAGATAATGCAGCTTGGCTTGTATTGTATGTACTGTGCCATGTATTCTCATTGGTACATCAATATAAATGCCTCGGACAATAAAGACAATGTCTCAAAGTACTACTAATATGAATTACCCGAGTTTCTGGAACCACACTCCGGTTTTGAGTCGTGTCACCGCAGGAAGCACCTCTACCATGTCCTGGGCTGTAGACTATTCTCTGGCGCTGCTTCGAACAGCTACCTTGCAAGGTATTCTAACAACAGTGATCGCGGTTACCATATCAGTGAGAACATTGGATCTGGCACTGCTGAGCTGGTAGTCGTTACTAACTGATCTTCCAGTATGCCATCCTGAGCGTGGTATACCTGTTAAACTTCCATCCGCTTGCAAAATACCCTGGACCGAGGCTGGCAGCCGTAACTCGCCTGGTGCATTCCTACCATTTACTGTCGGGCACGGTAGTTCGGTTCGCCTACCAGGCACACGAAAAGTATGGTTCGGTTGTCCGAATCGCACCTGACGAGATTCTGTTTACTTCCAGCAAGGCATGGGAAGCGATCTACGGCCTGCAGCCCGGGAGACTGGAGATGAGCAAAGATACACCACTGTTCCGCGGCCCGCGAACGCCTCATGCCATCGTGACAGCCGAGCACAATCTCCATCGACTCTATCGGCGACTTCTCTCTAAGGGCTTCTCCGAGTCAGCCCTTCGAGAGCAAGAGCCCGTCATCCAGAGCAAGAGCCCGTCATCCAGAGCAAGATTGACCTGTTGATGACCCAGCTGCATAAGGCGGAATTCAAAGGGGTGGCACCGGAGATGACCTCCTGGTACAATGTGAGTAGACTACCTTAGAAACCATAACAAGTGACAGAGGATAGGCTAGACAGAGGTTGAGTTTCACTGAATAACTGTCCCTGTGGTAGTCTTTCACCTTTGATCTCATCGGGGAGCTGGCTTTTGGGGAGTCCTTCGGGTGCCTGGAAAGCTCTACTTATCAGCCCTGGGTGGCTATGATCTTCGAGGCCATGAAGTATCGAGGCTTCATGCAGGCCCTGAGCTATTATCCATCAGTCTCCGGATTGCTTCTAGCACTGCTCCCCAAATCCTACGCCCAGACCTTTGCCACGCACAAGCAGCTTACTCATGAGAAAGTCCAGCGACGAATTGAGAGAAAGGTAACTTATAACGATTTGACGGCCAACCTTCTGAATCCTGATCACAAACTCGAGCGATACCAGATTGATGGCAATTGCTCCACCCTAATTATCGCCGGAAGCGAAACCACCAGTGTCGCCCTGAGCGCGACAACCTACTATCTGACGCAGAATCCAGAAGCCAAAGCCAAGGTGATCCAAGAAGTTCGCAGCACATTTTCGAAGCCCGGCGAAATCACTTCCATCACAGTGCATAAACTCGAATATTTGCCCGCTTGCTTTACTGAAGCTATGCGAAGATTTCCGCCCGGGCCCGCTGTCTTTCCCCGGCGGGTTCCCAAAGAGGGAGCCTGGGTTGCGGGCCACTGGATCCCTGGGGGGATGCAAGTTGGAATTTGCCATTTTGCAGCCAATAACTCGCACCTCAACTTTAAGGATCCACAGAAGTTCATTCCGGAGCGATGGTTGGGCGATCCGGCGTACGCTAAGGACGATCGGCACGCCATGCAAGTCTTCAGCGTCGGGCCCCGCAACTGTCTTGGACAAAGTCTGGCCAAACTCGAGTTGCACCTGGTGCTGTGTCGATTCATTTGGGAGTTTGATTGGGAGCTGTCCCCAGAATCAGAGAAATGGGACCTTGACACGCCTGTCTTCAACACCTGGGGAGTCAAACCTCTGCGCATCTTTCTCACCCCGGCTTGTCACTAGGAGTACGGTTGTGTGTATTGTCACTGAAATCAAGTCCAAGGGGCACATTGTACGGAGTGATTGTGGAGGAATCCGCGATAGGCAAAGCTGTCAGCGCATATCAACCATGACGATATGTAAGATAACCCTCCATCCACGTATTCAGCCCTGGAGATTCACAAGCTTCTGCAAATCCCAGGAGAATTATCTGTTCCGAATCATATGTGCAAAGAGAGCGTTGCAGCATGATGATCCTTTGGAGAGATTGAACTAAAAAGTTAATATACCATGCAAATCTCGTCTCATTCGGTAAAAGAAAATAAGCTTCATGGTAAGCTTCACTGACATTGGGCGCGCCTGGAACCAGAACCACCACATGACCCAAATCGAGTACTTACTTAATAGTTATGACACCCTTGCTCGATCAGAGACTGGTGGTCCAGTCAAGCTGAGAAACCTTTTCATTGGAAAAAAAAAAAAGGATACTAAATTATCGCTGCTCTCTTCTAGGCATGGTTGGTATTGTGACTGGGTACGGGGAATTTGGCCTGCTCAGGTGGCCGCTGATTAGCTCCAGCGACTCATACAAATCATGGCTTGAGTACCGCGACATGGTTCCATATAGCTGCTGGAGCTTTTGAATTCGAATCAGGCGGGAGTGATTAGAATGAGTCGAACGACTGAATTGTAGATTGAAATTCGCAAGCTACTCAACGTCCTGGGCAAAGACTACTCTCGGACAAACGGGTAATCGTTGTATGTGACTCTATGCTATGGATTACAAAGAGCCCGATTAACAGGAGGAGCTATAAGATCATACCTCCGAAGATGGCGTGCGGCATAAAAATGTCTTCCCATCAGTCAGGAGAGGTGGTAGTATGCGGCTTGAGGCATCCAAGGCAGCTGGTCGCCGACCGCAGTATCAGTCGCTTTTTGTAGTGCTTCCCATAAAAGATTTTTTGTGCACCTCTAGGAACAGCATACAGTATGGATGATGCTACCTATGCACAGAGAAATGCTGTGGACGAGATATGGCGCAGGGTCTCCCCACCCAAACAGGGGGATACGATAAAAACATACAACAGAAGGGATTCGCTGGTGGTCACCCACCCAACTACTAACCTCCCGGCGTGTGGCTTAAGTACGGCTGAGCGGACGGGAAGCCCTGTTTTCCACACCCTGTGGTCGTATGTGCTTGGAGCTTGTGTTAAGACCCTTATATCTGGCAAAACCAAGGTACCTTGGTGTTTTGCTGGAATAGGACATCATGAACTATGCGAACAATCACCTACTACTCACAGTTTACACACGGCAGAAGTGTAGATCAAATCTTCGTGGCTTCTTTGGACTTGAAGTTCGGAATCGGAGGTTACTACTCTACACCCTACATAGTTTGGTGGTCATCGATTCAGTGAAAGGGTTAGTAACCCGGCAAGCACCCTGGCCGGGACCCGGGCCTAGCTTAGGACTGATTGCATGACGCGACACTGAAAGACAGGAACAGCTGCGCTGGTCGGTTTATCTTTTGGACCACTTCTTGTGACTGCTATCAAAGTATACGTCTCACGTGTGAAGGAGGGGCGTGGTGACTTTCAGGGTTGGATTTCCAGCGCTTGGCCTGGCTGGTGGGGAGCCTGCTTCTTTATACAAGTTGTAAGCCCCAAGACCGCCGCCGTCGGAAAACAGGTGAGGTGGTCGAAAGTCGCCTTAGGCAGCCCGTTTGGTCGCTAACCCTCGTTTGTTTGCTGCCTGCCATGTGATCACAGGGCAACAACCAAATGATTTGAGTCATGGAGCGCACTCAGGGAGGTCTCATGCTGCCGCCGCTTTTATCCACAAAAGCAGGCTCATGGGAGATTTCCGCAACTCAGTTAGAATAGAGTGCCATCGTTATAACGTCAGGATTGCGAAGACGCGGTCCGGTCCGGTCTCGTGGTGGGGAAACAACCATTTTTCTCCATGGGATCTTGTGAAGTGGTGCTTTGCTAACACCCCAGACAGCTGATAGTTCACGAAACGAGTCTAGTACTACGGCAGATTATGGTGCCGCCACCGAAATACATGGTCTTAGATACTCCACAAAGGCCAGGCAAACAAAGATGTTGAGGCTCGTGGCCTGCTTTCTCTAGCAAAGTTGCCACGGGCGTCGATTACTCTAGTGATGCACGGCTCAGCCCAGCTTTTGCCTGTTCTGAACAAGCGCAAGAATAAGACGCTATTGCTCCTGTGTCTCAGTTCAGTTCGAGGTGGCTGACTCGCTGGGTCCTCAAGGGTCTGAGACAACCAAGGGTTGACAGGGGCATTGATTGTTTTGTTGGAGTTGGATTGAGGGTTGGGCAGGGGGGAATCCGATCCAATCTCGCTATCTCTCACGAGAAGAAATCCGTCCATCCCCGCGGCAGTTGATCATTGTCAGTTTAGGGCACGGTTCAACTCTTCCGGGTCCGTATCGAGGACCCCTTAAATGTTAACTTAGAGGTTAGAGGTCGAACTCGCTGCTGATGAAGGATTCTTTCGTGAACACTGGCAGGTCTTGATCGATGCCTATAGGATCATCGTTCTGAGTATAAACTATAGTTTCACATTGATTGGTCAGAAGACATTCTGACTATCCGACGGTACAGATGTTGGCTAACAAGTATAAAGATTTTCTACATATCCCGGCTGCCCCTAGGAGATCGCGCGAAGCAGCTTTTGAGATTGATGCCTAACAAGTATGATCACCCAACAGCCGAGACTCCAGTTCCGCACATCTGGACTGCCATGGCATAGCTGGCGGCTTGCTTTGCAGCTTGTTTTTCGGCCTTGGTTGCGTACTCACCTGTGTCCTTCCCGTAATCGTTGATGAATCCGATGATCGTTTGCTTCATATCCTCGTTGCCATTCACATGAACAGTAACGGTTTTCTCATTGTCGACCGATTGCCAGATCGAGCCATCTGGGGCGGTGTCGGATTTCGTTTCGACCGTCTGGCTCGGGGATCCGCATATTTAGTGACTGAGAGTGATCCCCTGACTCATGCTTGATAGTGAAGAAAAAGAGGCCCATTGAAAGGCACTGGAAAAACGTACCCAGTCATATCCGATGTTCTGCAGCTTCGCGTTCAGCTCCTTGATCAAATCCTGCAGCGTTGTCGGCAATGCAGGCTTCATGAGTAGACACCATGGCTCGCCGCGCGTGATCGAGCGCGTTGTCGAAAGCTTTCTCGTCGATGGAAGCGGAGACTTTGGTGGCACCTCCGACTGGGCGGTGGATTTGAACGAGACCTATGTCAGCAACGGGACAGGTAGCAAACTCTCCAGCGGACTGGAGGTGGACCTTACCGTCTGCGATTACTCCATGACCTTCGCCAGTCTGACGGATCTCTCCGCCCAGGCCGGCTCGCTGCGCACCGTCTGCATTGGCGCCTACACCCTGCAGGTGCTGATCGACATGCTGGACACGGCCTGCACCAACTATACCAACGTGAACAACGACTACGACGAGATGTTCGGCTACTATGTGACCTACATCATAAAGCTGATCGCCTCCACCCTGTCAAACGAGTTCATGTTCAATCAAAGCGCGACCACCCAGTGGGAGAAAATGCCGGTGCTGGGCACTGGGATGAACTGTACGTCCCCTCCGTCAGCTTTCATTGTACAAACCCAACCACCACCCCCTTTTGCCATTTGAACCCCACCCCTGCGCAGCCAAACTCAATGCTCTTAGACTTCGACTGCAACCCGGGAGACGGAACCGACATCCCGTGCATCAAACTCAACACCTCATACACATACAAAGAGGCCATCGCCGAGAAGACGACCGCCCTCACTCTCACGAACTCGGACGGCTACAAGGCAGCTCTGGCCAACTTCGGCCTGGAGGCGGACTGGGTCACCCTGGGCGACTACGAGAAGGACCTCGACTTCGTGGCGCCGCACGCGAGCAAGAAGTTTGAGTACAAGTTCACCGGGTTCCCCATCCAGAATGACACGATGGTCGTGCCCAACCCCAAGGACATCGTGACCAAGGGGCTGGGTAGCATCCCCGACCTCAAGACCAGCATGCAGGCGACCCTGCTGGACATCATGATGGGGGTGTGGACCAACGGCACCTCCTCGGATGCGGCGCTGGCCTACAGCATCCTGGTGTTCTTGCTGGTGCAGGCGGTCGACGAGATGGCGCAGGCCAAGGCCCTGGGCATCTACGACACCGTCGACGATCCCAGCTCCGCCGTCGTCAGCATCATCGGCATGCTGCTGGGCGTGGACGCCATCGCCAAGGTCTCGTGCGACGGCCAGGGGATCGCCTCCGTCGCGAAGCTGCGCCGCGCCATGACCTCGGACGAGGTGGCGGCCATGGGCTCTATCTTCAAGGCGAACGACGATAAGCTGCAGGCGATTATCAAGGTCTGCAAGTCCCAGGACCGTCACTTTGATACACACACACACACACCTTTTGAGACAGTTCACCGGTTGTCTAGCTTCCTTGATGGTCGGGTTTGAAGTCAGCCATCGTCAGCAGACAATACACTCATTCACGCTTGCTCACTTTTCATCGTGGTTGGGAATAATCAATCTCTCATTCTTAGACCGAGACAACATTCCTTCCTTATATACAAATCGATCTACGACTTTTCCCGCTTTGTACTGTTATGATGGATCTTGGGTTCTTAGGGCTATCCTAAAAGTAAATTAAATATTACAGCTTCATCGCAATCCAAGGCTTGATCAAGCAGTAAATGCTGTCCAGCTTCAAAACCACAGAATCCCCCACATTGTTCACAATATCGCCTGCGTAGGTGGAAACTTCGCGGCCCCTGAGGATCTGGTGCAGGGTCAAGTAAGAATGGATATCTCGAAGATGGGGAATGATCGAATGTAATATATCCTAGGGGGTGGTTATCGAGTGAAAGAACACTACGGCAGATCCCAGATACCCTTTCGTTGTGTGCGGGGTTCAGACCTAGCTATATCTCTGCGTCGGACTTGATGCATTGTAGAAGCCTAAACTAGATACGAGAAATCAGCAAGTAGGAACGAATGCACCCTAGGCTATTTGTATATTTACATCCTATATAGTTTTGTTCTTGGAAGCGTCTAGTACATACGACCACAGGGTGTGGAAAACAGGGCTTCCCGTCCGCTCAGCCGTACTTAAGCCACACGCCGGGAGGTTAGTAGTTGGGTGGGTGACCACCAGCGAATCCCTTCTGTTGTATGTTTTTGCCTCATCTACAGGCTGTACCTACTGTAATACAGTCATACCAAATCCAGCCAACTCATATTGGTCTCAGGGAGTGGATGACTACTAGTCTTGCTATCTCTTGTTTTTGGGCTGTAGGCTGTCTGGCTATTGTGGTCTGCATAGAGTCTGTTGGAAGAAATAGAGAAGATAGCTAGAAAAGGTCATGGAACAGAAATGCACATACTCCTGAGACAATGAGACGCTATACCGAAACTAAACGGACGGCTCTGATTCAAGTACTTTGCCCTGTCTCTCCACCAAGAGCCGCATAATATCCTGCTTATCTTCTGCCATTTGAGATTCGCTTCTGTCTCCCCAAGGAGCCGATCTTAACCATTTCTCAGTCACCATAATCTGATAACCAAGCTCAACCTGGGCTAGGGGGAATTTCTCTCGGCTTCTCAAGAACGGGGTCGTCTGGTCTGAAATCAACAGCGGCTTTCGCGTCGAGTAAAGCCATGACACATTCAACTTGGCCCCAATTAACTGCAGCATTTAATGCGGTTCTATGTCGGCCAGTGACAAAGGCCCGGTTGACACTGGCACCCCTTGTTCACAAAGTACTTCAGGATCTGCACATCAGCGCCGGCAGCTGCGGCCGCAAGCGCACTACCTAGCGAACCAGCCTCAAGCGGAAGATCCACCGTTGCTCCCAGCTCGATCAAAAGTCGCGCGACCTCCAGTTTTCTGCCAGAGGCTGCAGCTGCCAGGGGCGCTTCCAAAAAGTCCCGACAAACTCCTATTGACTGTCGCTCCCTTGCCGACCAGGTACTCGACAATCTGCACTCTACCACCCCAGGCTGCAGCCGCAAGGGCGCTCCCGAAGAGCCCACTGGTGAGAGGCATATCAGCAGCCGCCCCTTTCTCTACCAGGAGTTGAACCGTGTCAAGTGTGGTCTGAGACTGCAGCCCGCGCAAGGGCACTTCCATACTCTGTGGAAAGTGGCAGATCAACATTCGCACCGTGGTCAATCAACATCTCAGCAATATCGAGTTGATTGGCATAGACGGCGTGATTAAGAGCGCTTCCATAGCTCCCTGGAAGCGGCATATTGACTGTAGCACCTTTTGAGATCAGGAACTCGACCATCTCAAGCCTTCGCTCTCCCACTGCACATGAAAGAGCAGTGCCGTACATTCCACCCTCCTGGTTGATAGCTGCCCTGTTGTCAAGCAGAAGTTGGACCAGCCTAAGATGACCACGAGATGCTGCAATGTGAAGAGGGCCTCCGATCTCCCCCCTTGTTGGTTTACTGCAGCTCCCTTGTCAAGAGGAAGCTGTGCGACTTCTACATGTCCACCCATGGCTGCATCTCCGAAAGGGCTGCCAAAAAGCCCGTGTTCGGGGTGATTTACATCTGCCCCTTAATTGAGTAAAAGCTGGACCAGATCGAGATGTCCCCCACCGGCCGCAGCACAAAGAGGACCTCCATATATCCAATTCCCAGACATGTTGATTTTCGCTTTCTTGTCAAGTAGAAGCTGAACAGCCTCGAGATGGCCGTAAGAAGCGACAATCGCAAGAGCAGTCCCGTGATATGGCTGAGCTTTGTCGACATTTGCCCCTTTGCTCAGCAGGAGTCGGGCTATATCCAGGTGATCATGATATATTGCGGCGTGGAGCGCAGTTGCTCCGTCTTTATCAACTAAATCCGGGGATGTACCTTGTTGTAAAGAAAATAAAGTCTACAATATCGCGATTGCCATACGTGGCTGCTGACGTCAGAGCATTGCCGGCGGGACTCGGATAATCAATTGGAAATTCAATTCCACAAGCATCTGGCAGATGTGAAGGTGGTTAGCCTTTGAAGCTAACATGAGAAGGTTTTCGCCATTTAAATTGTGGTGAAGATTGTCTGTCAAAATATTTCAGGACTCTTCCACCAATCGAGAAGCGTCGTCTTGAGTCCAAAGCAGCACATAGCAAGTATGGGTAGAGTTGATGGCGATAGGTCTCTGGCGGTTCTACAATCCTTCTTAAAGTCCTTGAAGGAATATCTAGAAGTCCGTGGGGTCAAAACAGGTAATCCGTCCTTCCAAACGTCTTGGTGCCAGCTTCGATACACATGGGCGCTTTGTCTTGGTGATTCCAGGAATTCTTTAAGCAGGTTGACCAACACGAAGTCAAGATCGTCTGGGGTTGAAACCATTGACGCATAGTCTCGTACATGACGCATCCAATGGTACCAACTCCCGTTATGAAAATTAGTATTTGATACTGATAGCTCATATGGTTCAAATTAGCATAAGTTGGTTGCCCGGCTTGGCCCACCAAATGAGCGATATGAAATTAACAATTAGCTCGCAAAAAAATGAGGTGGAAATGCACTGCTCAATTCTCTGCCTGTATTTCAGGAGATGGGTTGAAAAAAGAATGACCAGACTGGGGCTCGATCCCAGGACCTTATCGGTGTTAACGATACGTGATAACCAACTACACCATCCGGCCAGTGGATGAATCGTCAAATTGATTCAAGAACTCATAGCCTTATAACAACAGCCTTTTGATCGAGAAACTCCCTCGCATGCTGCAGGATTCAAATAGTCAACCCAGATCAGAGGTCACAGGAAAGACCCGATACATTGTGGCATTAGTGCCAATATACCAGGGCTTGCTTTGCTACTTCGTCGGCAATCAAAGCAGCAAGTCCAGGCAGCAACAGCACGCAAACGCCGAAAGTAATCCTGCACAACATTCTTCCTCGCCAGAAGTTTGTGACTGCTTCTGCGCGGCTAGGGGAGTTTGTTGCGGCGGCATCGGAGCCGAGTATTGCATCGTATGTGGCGGTGCGGCCCCAACCGGATAGGCCGAGGTAGGTGGATAGTAAGTGCTGCTGGGCGGACCTGGCGGGGGCGGTGCTGAAGCCGCGGGGCTGAATTCAGGGCGATGGGGAGGAGGCCCAGGCTGTGCCACCGCAGGGGTTGTTACTAATTGAAGGCTCATAACGGAAGAGTTGTATGGGAAGGCCAAGGGCTCACCGGTGGCTGATATCGCGTCTCTGTAGATGGCATCATGTGCGGGGATAGCAAATCCAGTGCTTGTCACTGTACCAACATTGAAGAGGATGGGCACAAGCGACAGAGGCCGAAGATAAATACTTCACAATGCAACATAGTAGTCAAGTTGACGCCGGGAATAGAGTGTACCGGAAGATGTAGATAGAACTCGAGAGATTGATGAATTGTGGTCTAAAGATCTTTCGAGATATACCGAGCATCCCTTTCGTCACTCTGCTAATCCGGAAACAGACGGAATATAATGTGTGGCAGTCATGCTGCTGGAAACACAACATCAAGGGGATCAGCCAGGCTAACAGCATAAGCTTTGCGGACCAGGCGTGCCGAAATTCTTGTCTCGGTTTTAGGCAGCCACAAATGTGATGTCATGACGGGAGTAATCCTTTGCCGCGTATATTTAACTAGTTAACTAACTAGTTATACCTGATTACCTACTCTTTTCCTTCTCCATTTTCAGATTTCCTCTCATTTCATCACACAGACTCCCTCTCAGCGAAGATGCCACCTCCACAACCCATGCCTCCGGTGCCTGAGGGCTGGCGCCCGCAGTTTGACGATAGATACCAGGAATGGTACGATCACCTTCATCACTTTTGAGTGCGACGACGCTCGCAGTACTGACCATACCTACCACAGGTATTTCGTAAATCTTCGTACAGGACAGTCGCAATGGGAGCGTCCCGACCGACCGGCCGAGCCAGATCGCTCAGCTCCTCCTCCCCAAGGTCCCCCTCCCGGTTACGATGCCAGCACAAGTCAGAATAACAACGACGAAAAATCGTCACCGTGGTCGCCGAACCGCGACAGCCGAAGTCCCTATCCGACCCCGCAACCAGCCTACGGATATAACAACAATCCGTATCCACCACAGCAATACGCCACCCCGCCTCCTCAGGCAAACCCATATCCCAGCCAATACCCGCCCCAGTATAACAACCAATATCAGAATCCCTACCCGAACCAAAACCCAAACCAATATCCCGCTCAATATGCGCAACCGGCGATGCAGCAGCAACCGCAGCCTCAACCGGAACCAAAGAAGAAAAAGCGAGGACTGGGTATGGGCGGGGCTGCTGCGCTGGGAATCGGAGGCGGTTTGCTTGGGGGTCTGCTTCTGGGAGAGGGGATTGAGCATTTGGAGCACGACTTTGATGGGCCTCCTCCTGGGGACTTCGGTCCGGGGCCTGATTTCGGTCCGGGGCCCGATTTTGGTCCGGGACCTGGTCCGGGGTTCTGGTAACAGCGATGCGCTGACGCATGTCTGCTGGTGTTTCTCGAAGATATGCAGAAATTTTAGTTGGATTATGTAGATAACAAGGTTTATGAATTTAATCCTTGAGGAGTGAATGCAAGTCATGTCACAAAATTGCATGATGAGATAGGGAAGATCAACCACAATCGCGACCCGAAAGTGTGGCTACTTTGCGTATCGCCGAAGCGATTTGAGATGGCGAGCGAGCTGTCTGTCTCGTTCAGAAGCAGCCTCAAGCACGCAGATGACCTTGATAGTGATATTGATGGTGACCGTATCGCTGCAACCCGCTACTTGGCTGAACTCAGGGGATATTATCGTTGCACCAGTTCACGGCTGAGGTTGGAGCCTTTAGTAGGCACTCTGCTGACGGCCCCTTATGAAGCTACGCCCTCTGGGAGACACGTTTTCCGATAGTAGTAGTATACTTGGGCAGGTGGCAATGGAGAAGGAGGAGCAAATCAGCATCCAGCGTTATGGGGGACATGGTACTCGTCGTAGAGGCGAGTGTGAGAGAGCTTGAGCTTGTTTTGCAGGGATTGAACATCAGTAGTAAGTAGGTGAGGAGATAATCAGAAGTTTCACACAGTATAATCCCTAGTAGGGCGTATAACAGTTTGAGTGTAATGTTGAGACAAAGCAGGACGATGCATGCATAGTATTAAATTCCGGCTATGAAGTTCTGAAAGCTAGCATGCTCTTTGCATCGACTAGAAGCATCATCTAAGGCAAAGCAGGAATTCACCGGGCTAGAAGTTTCACGGAAGGGTGATTCAAACTTGACGCAGAGACCGGGAAAGTCGAGTTCCGCCGCCTGAAGGGGACGGAAGCGACGAACCTCGTCTCTCGTCCATTCGCGTAACGAGTCGCTGTCCGTTTGTAGGTCGACGAACTCCCTCCTGGGCTCCTCTCCGGGGTCCTCGTCGTCAAAGCAAGGCACCATGCCGTATTGAGTTTGATTTTCATTCTGGCGCTCGTCGGGCCCGACCGCCCTATAGCATCGAACAAAGGTGTAGAATTCACAGAAGCCATAGAAGTGTGGAAAATTTGGGAAGCGCGAACGCAGGAGAACGAAGGCCGTCTTTAGGCGCACCTCCAGCGCTGGCCAGTCTGCATCTTCTCCCGAGCCCAATTAATTACCTTCAGCCTTGCTGTCCGAGACGACAATGAGCTGTTTATTCAAGTCTTTGCTGTACCCGTCGATGTAACAGTACACAGAGAGAAATCCGAATTGGTCGCCATGGTTTCCTTGTCAGTTGTAGTAGAGAAATGGATCGATAGAATTGACAGGATCGTGCTCGCGTGGTGAATGCTGGGGTGTTCAAGATGGACTGGATTTTGTTTGAAACGAGGCGTGTACGTGGGGCTTTGTATATCTTGCTGCTGCTGAGCGGATGCAAAGAATGGGGTGTTCTGCCTGGAGACTTTTTGGATGAAAGGTCTTCTGGACCTTCCCAATGACAAGATAGTACGGCGCGCCCGGAGCTTTACCTTCACACCAATCAATAGCTTTGTTGTTTCGGTTCCTTCCTTGGCTTTTCTTGTCTCCTTGTACATTTGTGTCTGAATCATCAGATACAGAATCTGCCCTTTAGTTGTGCCCTTGAAGGAACGTTGAAGCATCAACCAACGTGGTTCTTCCGACGTCAAGTCAAAAAAAAAAAAAAAAAAAAAAAAAAAAAAAAAGAAAA